ATTAACGGCTATGACAATGTATAGTTAAAAAGAAGATTTTTGAATGGATAAATATAATTATTTTTGTTCATAAAAAAATGTCTTAGGCATTTTTGTTTTACTTTTTAACCTTTATACGTGTCTTTCCTTCACAAGTAAAAACAACATCGACAAAATAAATAGCAATACTTTCTCATCATTTTACCAGCCGAGCAAACTTTTATAAAGTTCAAAATAAAAACACAGTAGAATTGTCTTGTACACGCAGAGTTTTGAATATATTCAGTTAGCCCGTTTGAAGCTATTTTTTTAGGTTTAAGTTTTAAAAATTAAGAATAGAATAATAAATTTTAGAAATTAGTTTTTCTTCTAATTTTAAATTGCAAAACAAATTAGGTTAAAGCTTTTCATCTACTCAAATTTAGTTTAAAATATTAGTATTGATGGTGAATATAATAATGATAATGTTAGAGGTGATAATGAATAAACAGTATATTAGCAGTGATTATAATAAAATGAATGTTTTATTTTTTGAAATTCAAAATCATAAATAGTCCAACTATTTTTTTCCCAACATATTTTCGTTTTTGAAAACTGCATTTAGAAACTAAAATTAAAAAACTGGCAACGTCCTAGAACTAACCTTAGGAAAATAAAATAGGATTAGGTGTAGGGGTATGAAGAAAACCTAAGTACATTTAGGAAGGAAAAGAATAGGTTTAATTTATGCGTGACATCCAATGAGGGAAAGATACACTAAAATACCTCTTATGACTTCAGATAGCTACAAAATTGGACCTGGTCAGCGTACAGACTTTGTAGAGAAATAGAAATAAGCAATAAAGGTGGACAGCATGAGTTTAGGCCTTGTATAGGTTGGGCCATCAACATGCTGTGATTGAAGTTCTTGGGTTTAGAAATTGCATTAGACTGTATGTGCTGCTTGGATGACATTGCGATCTAAGTTTTTGAGTCTGACTACAGACTCAACGTGTCCTCTGAGAGTGTGCAACTCCCCCAGCCTGCAAAGTTTCATGCATTTTGAAAGTTCAAAATAGAAAAATGAGTTAGTTTTGTTTGATTTTGAACACAAGTGAAGTGTTGTCGATGAGAAAAGTACCTGGCTATTTCAGCACGTCGTCTGGCCTGTTCAGCAATCATAGAAGAACGTCTTCCATTGACCTCCAGGCCTCCAGCCATGAGATGAAGTCCTTGTAAAGTCCTCTGTGAAAGAACCCACTTCGCAGCCCTATCTTCTTTTCCATAGTCTTTCTTAGATGTAAAAGCGGTCTGTTCAACACACACACACACACACAAGAAGATAAGCTACACATTAATGAACTATCACAATTCATTTTCTCACTTACCTTTCTTTCAAATAGGAGTCTCCAGGCATCTCCACTCAAGCCATAACGCACTGTGAACTTAATGATGTCCAAGGGTACATAGAAGATTAAACTGTATATCCATATGACACCAGCCCATTCCCATCCAATTCCACTAATTTTAGCAAAACTGATTTTTGCATACACAGCAATTAAGGTGGCCACCTAATCAATTCATACATCAAAACCAGCACATTATTTAACAATCACAATGTATGTGTTGAATATATTAACGTTTCTTACACTTGCAGGCGTGCAACATTACCAGTTGAGCTATTACAAAGGCAAACACCAGCAGAACTCCGGGTCTCTCAAGAAATGACCATCCTTGGCTACGAGTAACAAAAATCAGAGCCTGGCTAATGATGCTAACTTGTAGATATACGGCTGATGAAACTTTCTCGCTGTCACTGGATAAGGAAGCCACATGGAAGTGGGTCTGCAACAACACTTCGTTCAGCTTAAAGATGCTTATTGAGCTTTCGTTTGAGGTCTAAAAGAACAAGAGCAGAAAGAGGAACAAAGACTTTTATACCTCAAAGAAAGTGGTCTCAACTATTGCCCAGTAGAATAGGACAGTAACCAAAGCGAGATAAGTGCCAATGACGATTCCTGTTGCAAATATCTCAGGTAGCTTCCAACTGTCAGGTGTCGGGGATGGCTTCACTCTGTCTTTAGATATGGTCATGATGGTACCTAATTAAAAATTAAAATATTATGACTACAAATCTTACAGATCTCTATATCTTATTTGACCTAATTTCCTATCTATTGTTGTGTCTATGATTTGTTCAATCCCATCTTGTAAAACTTGTGTTATCCTTTGTTAACTATGTCGGTCACAAAGTACCCTAAGATTCCATAGTCAGTAGCTAGAATTGTGTAACTTTGCACCATTTACACTATTGAATGAGAAAAAATAAATTGGGGGATGCCCTAAGATCAAGAGTAAAATGTATCCACATTGTTTTTTCTCGTAACTTCATAATAAAAATAAATAGAAATAAAATTGGTGATTATAGTTTTCATTTATTATTTAAGTACGTAGGTACAAAAGAAAAGTAAAATGGAAGTTTTATAATTCCTGTCCATAGTACTGCGGGGTGGAAAAATGATCTGAAGTATTACCATCATTTAGTATTGCAATGATCAGGACCATGAAGGGTGGAAAATCATACTCCCAAATTAATGCCAGGAGAGTAAAACCAAGCTGCAGAAGGGTTTGGTTTGATACGTTAGACGCACGTCCAAAGGGACTTTAATGTTTAGATAGAAGTCCATGATAAGAGAAAAACATAAGGTATTAAAATGACTTTGAAATTGGGGTAAGGAACTTTTCTTACCACTATCCTTATGGTGATAGAGACAGCATATATCTGCATTAAAGAAAGCAATCAAATGTACGTCAAATAAATGACTGGTTATTACTGATTAATACATTTATAATGACTTGTGGTTTGTAAAATCTAGATTTCAGTGAGACACTTTGATTATATTCTTGCTTCTAGAGTCTTGCTTTCTTGTTGAGGATACATAATTTATAAAAAAGTGAAAGGAGCAGTTTCCTATGATAATGCAGAGAAGAGGAATACTACACACTTAACTGTATAATTTTTCATTCTTTGGAATATTGCTCTGCTAGTTAACACAGCACTAATAATGACACTTAAGCCAGGCTCGGTTAAGACCAGATCAGCAGCACTTCTTGCAGCATCTGTAGCATCTGACACAGCTATTCCGATATCTGCCTTCTTCAATGCTGGGGCATCATTTACTCCATCTCCAGTCATTCCAACAACATGTTGCTTTTCTTGTAAAATTTTCACTATTTCATACTTGTGTTCTGAAAGTATGCATTGAACATTCATGATAATTTTGTTAAACATATTTGGTGAAATAGAAACATTTACAAAAATGATAGGTACCATACATATAGGGGAAATTCATCTAAAAGTTTTGAATAAGACAACAAAAACTGGTGTTAAACACTTCAGACTAGAAATTATTTTCAATGCTTAAATTAAATCACTCATTTTTTTATGGTAAATATGAAATAGTGTAAGCATAGGTTAATTAGAACAACTAAATCTGATTAGTCATTTATTGGAGGCTAAAAGCTTCAAGAAAAGTGATCAATTATGCAAGATTTTGTACCCAGTAGCCATGGTGTTGATCTATTAGAACAATATTGCCTCATTCTTTGTTAGCTATGATAGTGAGATGTCTGAAAAGCATATTTTTCTATTTGTAGTCATTTATTATATAGAATGAAAGGAAACAAAAGTCAAATAACTAATTTTCTTAAATATCAAATTCATATACCAGGATAAACACCAGCAAAGCCATCTGCCATTTCAACCAGCTCGTCTACAGGGAGAGCTTCATGCTCTTCTTTTTCACGCCCTAACAAAGATGAAGAAGGGTACATGTTTGTTCCCATGCCAAGTCTTCGACCTGTCTCCTTTGCAATTGCTAATTGATCACCTACAATTCATACACTGGCTCATTTGACCCTAAACATCCATACTTAAACATTTCAAATGAGCATATACACGAATTTGATGGCTTATTCAACAACATTTATTGGAAGATATTTAAATTTCATTGTTTGAGAAAAGAATATGGGTGTGTTGCTGGTAAGTTCCAATACAGAGAACATATAATGGGATAAAGGAACTAAGAATCTAATAATTTAGGGATTGATAATTAGTGATATTAATCAATTCAATGACATAGAGAATGAGAGTAATCATGTTTATTGCTGAGAAGCATTATAGGAGCAGGTTTGGTGAAGTTTGATCCAAGCAATATTCTCCTATTGATATTTCCTTTACTACATTTGCTTTATACAATTTTAGTTATACTTTGATCCTTTAATTTCTATAAACCTTGAATATCATTGTGAATTTTGTAATTATTAATGTGAATATTGGGCAAGTTGAATATAATTAAATAAAATATCTTATATCATGCAGTACACTACTTATCATTGTTTTGCAACTACCACCACCACACTATGGTCTTTTGCTCTATTTTATTCTATGCTTTCATTGGAATTTCAGGCTTACCTGTAATCATCTTAACACAGACTCCAAGGTTAAGTGCTCTTCGGATGGTCTCAGCACTATCATGTCTTGGTGGATCAAACAAAGGCAACAATCCACAAAAAGTCCAAGGACCTCCAGGGCTATCCTTGGATTTTTCAGGAACTTCCTGAAAGGGTTGTGACTTATCTAAGACAAAATAATAGTTGACATTCTAAAATTGTTTTTAAGTAATTAACATTTTTGAAAATTTCTATTAGTAAGTATCATTGATGTCTTTTTCTTCATTTAATTATCCTTTTTGCTGGAAATTAACAAAGAAGGTTACATGCTGATATACCTGATAAGCAACTGCAAGAGATCGCAATCCCCTTTCAGCAAATTTGTCTATTATACTGTGCACTCTTTCGGCAATTTGGTCTTTCTCTTGACACAAATCTAGAATCTGGTATTCAGTAAACAGCCAAAAACACACAAGTTTTGTAAAGGGCATTCCCATGATTGCAACATTTATTCTCTCCTCCCTTTGGATGAGGTCCATTGTGAAAAGGTTTGCATTAGATTTGAAGTAAAACTAGGCAATAAGAAAATGTTATATAACACCATCTTCAATGAATTTTGATACCTGTTCCGGAGCTCCTTTACTGGCCCTATAAAAATTGCCATCAGAATCAATATACGTAATAGCTGTACGTTTATCTACAGGATTGAATGGTAAAAAATGAACTTCAGTGATGTTTGCACGTGCCTGTAGAGAAAAAGAAGGAATTATTTTTCTTTTATTATAATGAACATTTGTAGAACTTAAGTATTAAGGTGACATTGGGTATCTTTACCTCCTTTGGATCAGCTAGCATATTAACTACTGCGGTATCAATGGCATCCTGGTTTTCCAGTCTAGCTGCTCTGGCTGCTAGTAGAACAACCGTATCTTTGTCCATATTTCTATTAAAAACCTGTTCAATATATAAGGTGAAACTCTAAGTAAGGACAAAACCTCCTGACAGTCTCAACTCTTAACAATTCTTGGCATTTCAATATTTTTAATCTAAGTGAATAAATAATACTTATAGCTAATTGAGGGTGGGGAAGAACGTCTGCTCTCCATAATATATCAAATTGTGACGAAATAATATGTTCAATTGAAGTGGTACCAAAAGTTAACTAAAAATTTGGACACCTTATGTCATGATTCGTGAAGATTCAAATGCTTCAAAACTCAGTATAAGTTATTCAAACATGCATGAAGTTTCAAAGTCTTATGTGAAGATGATCAAGTTGCTAATTATATAACTATTCTAGTGACTTGAGCAAACTGCATTGTAGTTGTACTCGTTACAAACACATTGGATAGTATATTGCCAATTATTTAGAAATTAAATTCTAATAAAACATATGAAAATATAATAAAGATATATAATTTTATGTCATTTTTTAGCACTTACCTCAATTAGGTTTTGATCAACAGTCAGGCGATTAAGTGTAAGAGTTCCAGTTTTGTCACTGCATAACACATCCATGCCTGCCATTTCTTCAATTGCAGTCATTCTTTTTGTGATAGCTCCCTTACAAATAAAGTAAAAATAAGAGAAATAGAATAGTCAGCAGCACAAAAATCTGCTACATAGTTTTGAACTTTAAGGGTAACACTTCGGTGCCCGTATTAACTATACACTTCAACGGATATGATATAATAAAGTATGATGGTGGTGGAGTATGGATACCCCAGAGTAATACTATAGACTTGCCAAACTTTAAACTACGATTATTAATAATGTAGACAAAAGCATAATTTCTTCCAATCCAATTTCCAACACAAGTATAAAGAGAGGGAATTTGATTCTATTTTAGAGCTAAAGAGTTGGACCTGCTGAGAAAGTCGGTGAGAACCGATTGCAAGTGTAACGGATAATACTGTTGGCATGGCGATGGGTATTCCTCCAATTAGGAGAACAAGAAGATTGTTGATTCCATCCCTGTATGATCGATGCTCCACTGGGAACATTATAATTATTTCAAAAATCATCCCTATTGCTATAGAGCAAATGCAGAAGTTACCAATAGAGGTAAGGACCTGAAAAAATGTAATAAACACAGATATGGTTTGTAATTTGACTGATTGATCAAACACTTGCAAAAATTGAAATGAATTTCCACATAAAACAAATGCTTTAATCTAATGTATACTTCCTTACTTCTTTTTGCTACTTTTATCATAAGTTAAGCCTGTCACAATCCTTAAAAGCATTATACACTTTTAAGTAATCATTCAAACTTCTAGCTCTTAGTAAACAACTTGGCTTGCCTATATTTCTTATCAATATAACCATGTCAAAAGAGTTGAAAGTTTTCCAAAGTTACCTTCTGAAAATGTCCAACAACTTCCGTACTGTCAACCAGGTATGCTGCCTTGCCAAAAAAGGAGTGAACTCCTGTTGCTATCACTACAGCTTCAATCTCTCCATGTTTACATGTTGAACCGGAAAAGACCTCGTCACCAGTTCTTTTTGTGACAGGTAGAGATTCTCCAGTAAGGGCTGACTGCATAAAACAACACCAGGACATCAGATGAACTCTACCTCTCCATCAGTTGTAGCAGTTTATGTCATGAGAGAATATATTACGAAATCATTAAATAGAAAAAAAAATGTATAGCATGGAGTTAAAATGTTAATTTATATCATAAGAAAGACTTGCCTGATCAATTTTTAGAGGGTCCCCTTCTAGCAAGCGAGCATCAGCTGGAATTATGTCTCCCAATTTTATGCTAATTATATCTCCAGGTACTAAAACAGCTGCATCTTGCTCTTGCCACTGCCCATCTCTGAGGACCTGAACAAAGATATTAAAGACTTTTATTCATTAACTTGCATGTGTAAGGCATCTTGAAAACAAGGTATTGTCGCATTACAAGCATTAACCAATACAGTAACATACTTAAATAATTTCTATATTTAAGGAGATATGTTCACTCTGCATGGCATAGGTGATGAAGTCCTACGAAAATGTCATCAACAAATAACATACCCTTGTTTTAGGAGCTAAACGAGCCATTAATGCTGCTGCAGCATTACCTGCATTATTTTCTTCTATAAAACTAATAGTGGAGTTTATTACCAGTAGGCATATAATCCCTATAAAGTCTTGCCAATCAGGACCTTCCCCCTGAAAATTTATCTCAAAATGAGGAATCTAGAAATGGAAATACAACCTAAAAACAGAATGTTGAAGGGAAGGACGAAAGAACATATAATATATTGAAGAACAATGACTGCATTCTCTACTCACTCCACCATTAGCAAGGATAATCGCCATCAATGCTGCTGCTTCCATAACCCATGATAAAGGATTCCACATAAAACTAAGAAATTTCAATATTTTATTCTCCTGCAGCAAAATTTGAGGACAAAGTTACGGTTAAAATTTCTTTAAGTAGATGTAAAGATGCTAACTGCAAGCAAGGGCTTCGCAACAAAATTGAATGCCTCTTTGCCCGTCAAAATAAATAACCACAATGCAACCTAGAACAGATAAAAACACTTTTAAACAATTTTAAACGGAAAACTAAAACTACATCCGAATATCCAATTATGCGAATCATATATTATTTGAGATGTGAAGGGAGACAATATCTATGTAAATGTGAGTGGATTAGTGTCAAGGCATAAAAGTCACGTGGTATGATAAACAATGCTTTAACTAGGTACTTGAATGGCCAAGTATATCCTGATTCACGTACTCTATATGATCAATTTATGAAAATAAGATTTATAAGAAGTATGCTCTTACTTTCTTCTCTTCAAGTTTGTTTGGGCCAAATATCTCTATTCGAGCTTCAGCATCGTCAGATGAAAGTCCTCCTCTTGATGTTCTCAACTGTTCAAATACTTCTTCTAACGGTATACGTTCCTGATCAGAATAACAATGTTATTTACAGTAAATATTGAAGTTGAAATTAAATAACAAGAGTACTATTTGATATGAGAAGATGTTTTTTCTTTTTTTTTTATTTGTAATCACAAAAATGCATTTTGCTTTTATTTTATAGGAAACAACAAAAAAGTAACTTCTATTTTATTTTAAATAAAAATTAAAAAAAAAAAAGATATTTTGTTGGAGAACTAACCAAATCAATGCCATCTCGGTTGAAATTATCGGGATCAAGCAACGGTTTATCCAGTTCCTCAGCCATGTTCTAGCTGCTGATTACGTATGTAGTAGTAAACCAGTGTTAGTTGCAACTATTGGTCCAAATGGCAATGAGAAAAATATAGAGCATCAATGCATGGGAAAAAAATGACTTGAATCGCTGCATAAGTTGAGAAAGTGGCCATGAATAACAGTGTGCATAAGAAGTAGAATGAAGATTTTGCGATGAAAAACTTACTTGGAGGAAAAGCGAAAGAGGCGAGATGGCGGGGAAGGAAGTGAGAAGAAGCAGAGTGGAAGAAGATGGAGAGACACATTTCATTTGGTTACATTCCATTTCATTATAATAAAAGAATTTCAAAGAATGCGAGTATGTTAGTTGCATGCTGACTGTTTGTTGCCAGATGCGGAAGAGTGAGTAAGTGACGATGCCATGCCACTTTCCAACAAATTCCATAAAAAGATCAAACCAACAGTGACCGTTGGCTTCGCTTCAACCACCTTTCAAAACTTCCCTCCTCAACCTAACCTTCTCTCCTTCTCCATTAAACACTCTTCTTCTTTTCTTTACTTCTCCCCCCGTTTCAACCTAATTACTTAGGTCTTCAGACACCCCTCACCTGTCTCAACTGCAGACAAGAAAAATATAACAAAAATATGCGGGAAAAATAAAAAAAACGAAGTAAAATTAAGTTTTCATTTTAAAAAATAATAAATTAATTAATTAAAATTAAGTAGTTCTATAAATATCATTTTTCTTTTCACTTTTCACTATTTTTTTTCATATCGTACCAGTGAATAAAACATCTTCCACTCTATACTTTTTTTTTAATGTCTAAATAATTGCTAAACGCATTTCATATCTGTCCAATTTACCAGAAAATTGATGTTTTCACATCAATTTTTTTTTCAAATAACCAAAATGAATACTTTAAAAAAATATATAAATTTGGATATGTAGTGTTTGAGAGTACAATCTCATAAGAAACTGTTCTTTTAAGTGTGACTTTTTTTAGTTTGTAATTTTTTAATATAATTAGCAGTTGTGATATTTAATCCGACTTTTTTTTCCTGAAATGCCTTGAAGTAGCAGCTGGGATGATGTCCTTCAGATGAGACTGAAAAAAAGTTGCCAAATCTTGCAGACACCAAAAAGTGGCTTTTAATTTCTAATATAACTATTAATGACAGTTGTGTAATCATTACGTGGAGAAGGATTGCTCTTAACGGCGATAGAAAGTAAAGTACAAAGAAGAACGTAAGAGAAATAGATACAAAAGTTGAGCAATTTAATTAAACAAACCCAATATTCACACTATTTCTTTACACAGCAATAGATTTATCAGGCCCTCCAGGCCCACATCCCACAACAATTTTTTTCTATCGAATCACATTTTCTCTTCTATTGGGCCTTTCTTCCTACAGTCACTATTTTCTTTTACCTTCCAATTGAATTAGAGACGAAAAAAAAAGGATGAAAATACGTATAAGTATGAGACAAAAAGTGACAGTAGAGAATCACCTAATAATTTATCTGGTTCCAGAATATCAGTCTTATTTGTAGTGCATCAGCTCATTCAATTATTAAATATTCGTTTTACTTGCTAGTATTTTGAAACCGAAAGTTACTGATCAGAGACCCTTAGATGACACAAAATACAAATAGTTGATAATTGAAGCACGTTCTCTCTCTCACTTCCATGTACCTGCATAAAAAATGTATAAGCATGTGTTATGAAAACGATCTCGAGGCCCTAGCTCCTCCTAAGTCCTATTATGAAGACGTGCTAGAAAATGTGAAAAACTCTAAACTCAACTCAATGAACCAAATCTATACTGCTTAATTGAACTCTACTCTATTATTTGTTGCAAACAGTCTCCAGTGGGAGCTTGTGCCACACTTCTGGAAGTACACTGAATGGAGATGCATGCATGTCATAAGGGATTAAGAAATACTACACCAATCCTCTTGTGAATTGTTTGTGATAGACGAAAGGCATGTTAGTCTTTTTCTCCTCGTTTTCTGCTGCACTGATTGTTAGGAGGGCACCAAAGACACCTACCTATGCTTTCACTCGATTTTCAACATTAAAAACATATCTACTCGGTTATGGAACTAATCACAAGATTAATAGAATTGCTTAGTTAAATGAAGCTCAAATGGTACCAGTGTGCATGGAGAAATGGAGCCATATCTTCTACATCGAGATCGCATTTGACCCATCATCACAAACTAATGCTAAACTAGGAGAAAGATAATCTTGATCTAAGCACCAAATCGAATAGTATATCTATTTGGTAAAATTGGCATCCTGGAAAGATCCTACTCACATCATGCTTAGAATCTGACTTTTGGAATGTTATGAAAAGCTGGAAGCCATTGCATCTACTGATTCGCATATCCTTCGCCCTCACTTTCTATACATGTAAATGCCACATTCTTGACAAGACAACAAATTCAAGTATAATCTTATTTGGATAAATTTCTTAACAAATACTTATAAATAAATAAATTTTAAGTTAAAATCAATTTTTGAAGAAGTTAAATTATAGAATAACCTGAATTCATTTTATTACTAGTGATTAAAAAAATTCTAATGTGACTATTCTAAAGCAAAAGGAATGAAAAGATTTGAGATTTGACCAGATCCAATATTATCCCCTAAGAAGAATAAGTACTTTTTCTTTCGACAGAAAGAAGAATCAGTACTTGGATCATGTGAAATTTTTGGCTTTGCATGATTTCGATCACAAAGGAACATATTCGCTCCAGAAACTAAACAGGATTCGTGATGAAGATAGTGGGTTAGATAAGATATTATCTTTGGTTTGGGATATATAAGAAGATATATACTAGCTAGTAAAAGTGACAGGTTTTGTATTAACAAGGAGTTAGCAATATAGGATAGATTGTTAGGAAATCCGTAGTTGGAAGTAAAAGAAATGGTGACGTGAGGGAGGGTAGAATCCAACCATGACTAAACACTCCGTGCTTTGTCTGGATCATAGCAGTGCCCTCCTTTAATGTTCCATCACCTTTGCCACTTTTCTAATAAACCTCAACCTTAACCTCAACCTCAACCTGGCTTGTTTTTGCACGCCAACCAGTTTAATCAACATTGGCAACACAAGTAAAGCCACTATTTTATTGCATCACGAAAACCACATTCATTCCCCCTCCCTACGTTGAAACTTAAACCTCTCAACTATACAAATCCTTGAGGCCTCAGTTTTCGAGCCTACACGTTCACTTCCTCTCTACTCCTTCACTCGGCACGTCAACCGTTGCCTTTGTACGTATGTACTTATATATAATAATATATACATTCATACACATTAGTATATAAGTTCATCTCCTCCTCCACCTTCTCCCTCAAGCTCTGTTGAAGCCAGCGCGAGGGAGCTTTTTTTGGGGTGTGAAAAGCACTAACAATATCATCATCATCATATAGATGGGTGAGGTTGAAGGGTTGAAGCAAGGAGCTAAGATCCGTGGAAATGGTAAGAGAAAGGGAGATGGGTTTAGCAACAAGTGCGCGTCTTTGGTTAAGGAGCAACGTGCTCGCATCTACATCCTGCGCCGCTGCGCCACCATGCTTCTCTGTTGGTATATCCAAGGAGATGACTGAAATGGAACCCATTTTTTATTCATTACACCTTTCTTTTTTTTTCTCTCTCTCTCTTTTTGAATATATTTATGTAAGTTTCAAGCGTTGTTTGTTTCCCTTTTGAATCCTTAAACATGTTTGCATGTAGGAAGTTGAGGTTGTTGGTTGTTGGTTGTTGAGTTGGATTTGCTGTGGTAAGCGAGGCCACCTTAATCTTCTCTCGCCGTTTGTTTCTTTTTACCCATTTGGACGACGGAGGATCCAAGCCATTGGGGTTTTACGGGGACAGGAAACTTTTACAGACTCGCTTCTGTTTGCTTTTTCCACATTCTGGGTATCAACCTGCAACGCCATCAACCTTTTACAACTCAACTCAACCCCTTTTTTCTTCTTGTGCTATACCATCTACGTCTCTCTTTTTCTCCGTGCAAATGATGTCAAATTCAATGTTCTATAATGTCGTATGTTATGCCAAACAAGTTGTAAACTTTTAATGCTTATTTATAAAGTTGCTTCATCGTCAGAAAGTATTGTTATAGCTTCCTGTTCTTCAATGTGTGTCATGATTTCGTTGAAACTCACTTCACAGCCTGGAAATAAAAATTAATATTACTTTTTTTTTCCTTTTTGTTAAACTAAAAAGAGTTTAAGTTGTTCATGAATGAAAAAGCTAATAGAAATAACATTTTATTAATCCACATTGAATCATTTAATTCACAGGTAAATAGGGGTGACAAAAAAAAAAAAAATTCAATGCAACCTCTTATGGCCTCTGTTGCCAAAATTTTGAATTCATAAAATTAATTCAAATTGTTATATAAAAATATAAACTTAAGGATCAAATTAATAAATAAAAATAATAAAGCTTTAATACTTACAAATTATACTCTGTTTTTACTCTCGTACAAATTCCAAATATGCAAAATACATCACTCCATTCCATTTCTTGAATTACTATGATATACTTGTTCCTTTTTTAAATAAAAACTTTCAAATTCCACTCACTTCCACTACCGACAACGTAACTATTTGAGGAGCAACTAAAATTGTTTGATTGTACTCGTAGGTCAAAAAAACATAGATAGGTAGATAGACATTCCTATTCTTTAGTCAATAAATAATCATCACCATCTTTCATTCATGTTCTATCTATCTTCGATTAACTTCCACTATCTTTTTGAATTCAATTCAATCATACCCCAAATATTGTTATTTTTTTTGTAAAAAAGAAAACAGAACCTATGGGTTGTTCATCTCTCTTCAGTCTTTTTTGTGTACTTCTTTCTTTTAATGTTTTACTATTTTGTTACTTGATTTTGCATAAGATGTGTGACCTTAAAACGTGAAATCACAAGTTTCAATGTCAGAAGATTTTGTCACTTTCTTTTGTTTTCTTGTGGAACATAGTTCGATTGCTTCACACAGTTAATTCTTTTCACCAGACAGCTGAGTCGGGGAAAAAGAGGAAAGCCAAAAAATCTTAGTGATGGTTTTAAATTGAAAGGACATGCTGAAACCTGGAGGGAACCTGTCCTAGTGTAACCAGATTAAGCACGGATATGATATAAACGCATAAAACCATTACCATAGACATATACTATTTTATAAACATTGCAGGAAGGTGATGGCCAAGGTTGCATAAACTGTCATTTGTTTTGATCAATTTCGTGGCTGAGTTTGTCTTAGCGTTCCTTGATCTTGATAGCAAATTAGTCGTGCCATTTTATTTAGTAACAAAGTAACCTTACGGTATGTGAAATTTGTGTAGTTTTAGTGATGCAATATTAAGTAAAACAAGATAGACTAGAGTCAGATAACAAAGGCTTGTGCAGTTTAGGATGATGTATTATTGGTAAGAGTTCAGAGAAACAATTTGTTGCACGAAGGTATACTTTCTGCTGATGAAATTATGTTAATTCCTATGATAGAAAGTTTTCCTGATCAATATGGACGATCACACATATATAGTTATTAAAATCTTGCTACTAACGTAATCTGATGAGGAGAGTCTTCATTTACAGATGTAAAAATGATTCTGTATATATTGAAATGGAAAATTTTTGCACAAGTATACATGTCTATTGTCAATATTTTTCAAGGGCAGACATTATCTCTAATCTTTGTTCATTTGCTGGTTGGATGATCTTACATTCCTCAGCCATTCAACAACTTCTCTGATGTTTGGTCTCTTGAAAGGATTCTGGTTTACACACATGCAGGCTACATCAAGAACCTGCTGCATCTCTTCTTCAAAGCCCTTGCCTCTCATATGTGTATCAAAGACTTGATCTTGTTTTCCTTCACTCCTCATTTGTTGAACCCAGACAACTAACTCCCTTGACATCTTTGGCTTGCTTACATCGACAGGCCTCCTCCCAGTAAGCAGCTCAAGCATGACAACCCCAAAGCTGTACACATCTCCTCTAAAAGTTGCCACCCATGCTTGTCCGTACTCTGGGGGTATGTAACCTAATGTACCTACAAGTTCAGTTGTAACATGAGTATGATAAGGAAGAATCAGTCGAGCCAGCCCAAAATCAGCAACATGTGCCTCAAACTTTTCATCAAGAAGTATATTGCTTGACTTTATATCACGATGCACTATATGTGGTTCACATATTTGATGCATGTAAGCCAATCCACAACTTGCACCTTGTGCAATCTTCAGGCGAGTAGGCCAATCAAGTTGAGATGGACCATCGGCCTTTTCATGCAGCCAGTAATCCAGACTTCCATTTTCCATGTAAGTGTATATGAGAAGCCGAACGCCCTCATGCACACAATAGCCTTGCAATGCAACCAGATTTTCATGCTGTGCTGTCGACAAAGCCTCTACCTCTGCTTTGAATTCCCTTTCCATAAGACCCAAATCTCCTGAAAGTTTCTTGATGGCCAGAGCAGTTCCATTTGGTAATGTTGCTTTATAAACCAAACCGAAACCCCCACATCCTATTATGTTTGCCTGACTGAAATTTTCAGTGGCTTTTAATATTTCAAATATGGTAAGGTCCTTGATTTCATTTGTTTTATTAGGGAACAGCACCACTAGGCTAGCATCTTTGTCAACCTCAGGATGAACCCCACTGTAAGAGTTGACAGAAATTGATTCTAGTTCAATCTTGTCAGGGTCTCCACCTGGATTGATCCTCCTCTTGGATATTACCCACACTATCAACACTGAAACGAAGGAAACAATACCAAAACTGGCAGCAATGGAAAATCCAATTTTCAATTTTTTGTTTGAGCTGTGACCACGTGCAGTAGCACCCTGTTGAGGAAGACAAGAGCGCTGAACAACTGAACCACACAACTGTGGGTTGCCTTCAAAGCTGGAAAAAGAGAAAGTATCAAATTGACCACCAGCGGGTATCGGTCCTTGAAGATTATTATATGCTACACTGAAAGCAGACAAAAAATGCAAGATTTTGAGTGAAGCAGGAATTTCACCGGAAAGTTGGTTTCCTTGGAGGTACAGTTTCTCCAAGTTAATCAAGTTAGAAATTTCCGCTGGGATACTGCCAGAGAAGTTGTTGTTACTAAGGTCCAGCTGATGAAGGACTTTCAGTTGGCCAATCCCCACAGGAATACTGCCATTGAGGTTATTGTTTCCCAGATATATTGCTGGTGGTAGGTTGGAAATCTGATTATATTGCATCTGAGAAACATTGTTGGCATTAGCAAATACGGGTAACTCCAGGTATGTCCTTTCTACTCCGTCATAGGTCCGTTGTGATGTAAGTGCTGGAAGCGTTGTGAGCTCAACCGGAAATATTCCTGTGAGGCGGTTGAAAGACAAGTCTATGTAGAAAAGCTCAGGAAGTGTGTACAACCAAGGAGGAATTGAACCACTGATTTGATTGTAGGACAAATCCAAGGCCTCGAGCTTCTTCAGATTATAAAGCCAACGTGGTATTTGGCCTGTGAAATTACAACCGCCCAAACCCAGAACTTGGATCTTTTGAAATCCATCTGGATTTGTTATGTTCACATCATCTGGCATCATTTCATTGAAAAAATTCTGGGAGAGCATAAGGGTGCTAAGGTTTTTGAGTTCCATAAGCAACCTCAGAGCCCCAGTGACATTACTCAGGTTGTTGGTAGAAACTGATAGGAAAGCCAGAGACTGAAGTCCAAGTACATCGGGTGAGATCTGTCCCTCAAACTGATTAGATGCTAGCCTTACTGCTTTAAGTGATTTACAGGCATACATAGTTGGTGGTATAATACCAGTAAAACTGTTGTTGCCAAGGTCAAGTGCTGTGAGTCTGAGGAGTCCGGAGAAATTCAATGCTGAGAGGTTTCCCTCCAAAGAGTTGACCCTTACATCCAACATGACAAGATTGACACAGTCCATTAGAGATGGGGGCAGAGTGCCATTTAGTTGGTTGGCATGAAGGACCAAACGTTCCAATTTGGAGAGCTTACCAATATCCGAGGGAATGGGCCCGGTGAAATTATTGGAGTAGAGCTCCAAAACCGTGAGGTTGGCAAGGTTAACAATGCCCTCACCAATGGTTCCACTGAGTTTATTGAGGGGCAAGGATATTTCTTGGAGAGAAACAGCATAAAAAATATCACCAGGAAGGGGCCCGGATAGTGAATTGGAACCTGCTCGAAATCTCTCCAACTTGGAACATGCTCCTAGTCCTGGCTGAATCATGCCAGCGAAATCATTGGAGGAATAATCCAAGAATCTGAGAGAGGAGGAGCTGCTGTGGTTGCTGCAGAGGACAGAAGTGGGAATTTGACCCGTGAAGCTGTTGTTACTAACATTAAAAGATGTCAAACTCCCTCCTGCGACTGCGTCTGCCAGGTGCTGAAGGAGGGAAGGTGGGAGCTTTCCGTGGAATAAATTACTAGACAAATCAATCTCCCGGATAGTATAGCCACTGGTATTAGCAACAAAGGGTGGCAATTCGCCAGAGAGACGATTGAAGCTTAAATCAAGAATCTGCAGGTGATTAAGAAGTGAGAAAATTTGGTCTGGAAGATTACCAGATAAGCGGTTATGGGAGAGATCAAGCCGGGAGAGAGCAGTGAGATTGGAGAGAGATGGGAAGATAAAGCCAGCGAGACCCCTGGATGGTAGCAACAGATGTAAGACTCTGAAATTCGCATCACACTCAATGCCTTCCCACAGACAACAATCAACAGAGGCAGCCCAATTGAGAGGAGAAGAAGTGGATATATTCCTTCCGAAGGCCAAGAGAGAGTCTCTGTCCAGTTGGTTACACGAGGAGGCTTGACCGAGAACAAGAAACTCAGACAGAAGCAACAGTACAGTGACAAAGACCATTAAATTGGAAATCATGTAGATGGAAGAGGGTCGTGTTGATGTTGATGGGGCTGGTCTTTGTCTGGAACTGGGAGCTCCCCGTGTCATGAGAACGAATCCCCAGAAGGTAAAAATGGAGTCTTTAGGGACCTTGCTCAATGTTCAGAAAAAGAATGAACGAAGAAATGGCCATAAGGGTAATAAGGGGTGGGGGATGTGGTGTTGAGATGCTGGGGATTGCATTTGCATAGCACAGCACAGCAGCGACCACCCATTAACAATGTCCAAGGAAAGCGCAAAGGCAAGGTAAGGAAGCAAGAAAGTGGCGTGATGTTGACAAGTGGGGGAGATAGACATATAAAAAGACAAGTATGTTAATGGCATTGCTTTCAATTTAAATTAAAAAAATTTGTATTTAGCGTTTACTTTTCTGCAAAGGTTGGGTTGACAGGGGCGGCCGGTAGTGGCTGAGTGGAATTTGTCTATGAATATGATCATGCTGGTCATGATTGACAAGTATGCCATTGCCATTGCCAATGCCTTTGCCTTACATAGCGTGTGAAAGTGGAACTGATAATCATAATCATAATATATCAACACTCTCAATAAACTACTACGCAATGCTCTTATCAGAGGTTGGATATTCTGTTTCCACTTCCACTTGCATTTTCAGTCTAACAACAATGGATCCTGTGTTGTGTGTTGTGTGTTGTGCCACTAAGATTAATTACAAATTTTATAACATTGTGGGTTCCTTTGATTTTCAATCTGCAAATAAAATATGGGAATTATGTCAGTTTCACATTTGTGGGGGTGTGATGATGATACCAATGAAATTAAAGTAAATTCCACTACTTCATGCCATGTCATATCACTTACAAAGTACAATATTTTCAAGCACCAATCTTCCCCAGACAATCCCCTTAAAAATGTAATTTTTTTTTAAGGTCAGACTTGTACTTGTACATCACACAGCACAATATACAAGGTTATGCATGCGTATACGTATAAGTATGCGAATTATACTACCATAAAATATTGTATATAATACGTTGACTTTAGCCAAATTATTCTTGGATTACAACGTAAATGTCAAGTTAGGAGCAAGCAATCCCCTCACAGAAATTAACAAAAATTAAATCAAGACATTTTATTAACGTCAATCACAACATTAGTGGAGACAAATTTGTAGATTATCTATAATCCAATCAAATTATATTTCGATGTTGTTTATCAAATATTCAGAAAATCAAATTAAATTGATTTTTCGAAATGGTTTTGCTTGGAATTTTTCTTTCATTTTTTGTTCAAATCTAGTTGTTTGACTATAAATTATGAACATGTTTAAGGGTCTTCGTTTTATAATTTAATTAAATTCGTAGGTTTTGTTTACCATGTCTTTTGTATTGTGATTCAACGTCTACAGCAATTTGCAATTTGTTTTAATATAACTGTCGGTATATATTTCCATTGTCACATAACAATACCCAAAGAAATGTAGTGTACAACAACTTGATAATTTAATTACAATAATAGTGTTGACTTTTATAATAATTGTTTTAAAATTTCAATGTATAATTACCTATCTATATTCTTAAGTGTGTCATCACAATTAAAAAAATATTCAAATTTATTTGCATAAAATCAATATAATATATAGATTTTGGTATTTATAGTAATAATAGGATTATGTTAAATTAGATAAGTTTTCAGACTTATACTCAGAGTATTAAATATTCAATTAAATTAAAGATTTAGGATTTATTATAGATTTGGCAGAAAGTTGAGCTAATAAAGAAATAGAATTGTTTTACTGTAAGATTTATATATTAATGCATAGATTAACCTAAAAATATGGTGATAGAAAAAAAAAAAAGTATGAGGTTTGACTTAGTGTATTAGGTGCATATTTATATTGTTTAAGAAAAGAATAACTAGGGTGGGGGATTTCAGATCACAAACCAACTTGCTATTAAAAATGAACCCTACTTTTCCATCTCTACGCGCAATTCAAAACCAGTTTTTACGGTAAATTATGAAAACCCTGTTATTGAATATTGAATCATGTAAACAATAATATAAACAATAACTATCTCAATTATAAAATGTCTGTGTTTCGATGTTCAATGGATGTGCATGTTAATCAAGAAATTCTATCATTCATTCACCAAACTGAGGAGAAGTGTTTAAGACTTTCCCCAAAAAATATTTTTACAAGGAAAATAAACTGTTAAAACTAAAAACTGATTTTCGTTTCTAAAAATTTGAAAATATAATTTTATTTTCAGTTTTAATTTGCCTCATGTCGCATTTTGAAGTTCTTAAAAAAATGAAATCTTTAAGGATGGTCCACTGATGTTGAAAGTTGACCACTTTATTATTCTTTTTCTTTCTCCCAACATTCTAAAAGTTAAAATTTGAGATTAACAAACCCTAGAAATAAAATAAGATTACCAAATATGGGAATATACGAAGAAATATAAGATAACGATGCCTCTGTATGTTCAAGAAAGTAATTAAACCAAATGTCTCCTAAGAGCACCATTTCCATACAACGAAGGCCCACACTTTCTATTTCGTATTGGTAAGTGTTATTCCCACTCCCAATATTGTAAAGTTCACTCCCAAAATTTTTCAACAAAGTTACCCTTGTTTCCTTTGTGGTTGAGGTTCCATCACACACGAAAAATAATTCTATCATGTATTGAGTCGCAAAACACTACAAAAACATCTTCATGTTGTATTCCTTTGTATGAAAATTTAACATAAACAAATACAATTTTGATATAAAATATTTTTGAATATAGAGAGTTATAACTTTTATGGGCCCATACACTTTTTGTTTATGTTGTAAATGTAAGTTAGTGGAACGCCCGCAATAAAGCCCAATCAAGAAAGTTAAAGCCCACTCAATACCTTCAAATTGAACAAAAACGAAAAATTAGCTTAGCAGCTGATACCTGCATAATGGTGGGTGCATAGTATAAGAAGTAAATTTAATTTCTGTTCTTCTGTCTTTGTTTTGTGTTCATGAAATAATGCACACACTTGATTAATATGGAGGCATGCATGTGTGTAACTGTGAGTGCAACAGTTTCACTGATAGTTTTACTCAAGTAGAAACTAATTAGCTAAGAGATTAAGATTTTTGAATCTGTATATCATGATAGTTAAATAAATGTTTCTCAATGTCAGTAGAACTTTGCATGCTAAATGCCAAAAACCAAAACGTGTGTACAAGGAATAAGGAATCGTGTTGAGTGTTGAGAGTGGAGCAAGTTGTTGTTTAATAATATTTTGATTTTGAGGAGCTTAAGCATATACACGTTAATTGAGTGGCCATTATTGATCACACAGTCATCTTTTACTCTTTCCTTCTTTCTCCGTAGATTGTGGGGGTTCATGCTGCAGGTTACCTTTTATTGAGGGAAGTTGGGATTGGGACCTCTTTGGAATCAAGATCCTGTTTTCATCAGTTTTTTTATAAACATTATAACAGTAAAAATAAAATAACAAATTCAATTTATTATTCTCTTATATTTATTATGAAACATTTTCAAACATGGCTAAGTTTGTATGATTGAGTTGTCATGCGACTGGACTGTAATATATCATTAGGGACACCCCTGTAGGAGGCAAACATCATTGCAACACTGCTAAGATTATCATATGGTTTTACTTTAATTATTTACCCAGTTTTGGTTTTGGATTGGTGCCATTCTAACCTCTTTGATGTGACTGCCCCTTTGGCCCCGTTTACCTTCATAATTCTCTCCCCTTCTTCATGCTGCTTAACTCCACTCTACATGTATTTATGCTCTAGCACTGCATCATAATTTAGTAGTTAACTTTCAAAAAGCAAATTGCAGCTGTGTCCAACTCTAATAATTGTAAAGCATGGAAGAATAAAGTGAACCTCCTCCTCATCATTATTAGGCTTTACGAGACAGGACTAATAGTTCACAAAATTTTAAGCTGCTTCACTGGTTTCATTTGATAGTCCAATAGATACTAAAATTTGTATATGCATGCATGGCTAATAATGAGAGCCATTAGATTCAAACCACACTGCATGGATTGCAGTTTTTGGACAATGAATGGGGATACATCCATGTCCGAGAATAATTCAATCTCATATTCACTTTTCTCAAATTTGAAAATATAATTCTAGACAATCAAAACTTTAAGAGAGACTTAGACCAATCACCTGCTCCACTTTTCAATTTTCATATGTAGTGTAGCTGCATGAAGAGAGTATTTTTTTGGGTTTTTGAAAGTAAGACATCAAAAGTCAAATGAAATGGGCGTGATTATACAAACATTGGGGTTATAGAATCCCCTAATCATTGTGTGGAATAACGTATCAGGCTAATTGATAACCAGGTGGCGTGGCTGTATGGGGGAGCCACAAGCAGAAACATAAAGGGAATTGTGCTGAACTTTGTATGGGCACGCATTATTTGGAGGTTCTGCATGCCTTGATTCCCTTCCATTTTCCAGAGTTATAAAAGTGGAGGCCGCAACGATCATGGCAACAAATCACATGGCAAAACATAACAATCTGAAGAATGCTATCATGGCATTCTTTGTCCCTCTACCCTCCATCCTATTCTACCTCTCATTCCAATCGGCCATTAGTGGCTACCCGCAGTCTCCATCTTCTTGGTCAACTCTCTGGACATGGTGCTATCACCATCCTTTGCTATTAGCCAATGTCCTTTTCTTCTTCAATGTCAATCTTCTGTTCTGGCTCATCGCCTTAATCCAATCCAGCCACTGGGTGCACTTTCTCCTCTTAACTTCCCTTTTTCCTTCTGTTCACTCAGATGCATGTAGTTTCGTTTTTGGTTTGGTTTTGAGCTTGACACACCTTTTTGCCGTTGGTGCAGATGATTGACCCGTATTGGACAGTGATACCTCTGATGCTTGTTCATTACTACTCAACTCACCCTTTGGCTCAATATAACTGGTTGAGGTCGAGGATGGTGATCTTGCTGACTTGGGTGTGGAGTATTAGGCTGATCCACAACTACTTCAGGCGAGAAAAGTGGCAGTGGGGTGCCAGGGAGGATTGGCGTTTCACTGATTTGAGCCATCAGTACGGAAAGCATTGGTGGTGGACTTCCTTCTTCGCCATCTACGTCCCTCAGCAGGTTATTCACCATTTCTTACACGAAAGATGCATGAACATACCCTATTCAAATTTAAATTTAAAAATGAGTCCCTTTGTTTATGTAGATCGATCTCACCTTTGCAGGTTTTTCTGATTGGATTATCATTTCCATTCTATGTTATCCACTCGCTGAGTGAGCCTCTGGGCATGTGGGACTTTGTAGGCACAGTCATGTGTATCTCTGGCGTTGTCATAGCATACATTGCGGATACTCAGCTTTACAACTTTGTGAGTAGAAACAAGGAGCTAAAAGAGGCAGGTAAGGAGGTGGTTCCTATTCTCGAGGAAGGGTTGTGGTATTACTGTCGGCATCCGAATTACTTTGGAGAGCAAATGTGGTGGTGGGGAGTGGCTGTGTTTGCTTGGAAGCTGGGAGAGGGATGGACCTTCATGGGGGCATTGGCTAATACCATATGCTTGGCTTATGTCACAAAGCTCGTGGAGGAGCGAATGCTGAAAGAACATAGCAGAGAAGAGGCGTATAGGTTGTATCAGAAGACAACTTCCATGTGGGTGCCTTGGTTCAAGTCCTCTCCTTTGGGACTTAAATCTAAGAATGCTTGATTATGTTTTATTTTCGTTAGTGCTAGCTTTAGAGCCTTGTTGGTTAGATGATTGTACCACCACCACCATCATCATCTTCATCTTCATCTTAATTTTGCCTAGTTTTGTTGATTATGTAAGAGATCCTCTGTGTGCTCTGGCTCTGCATCTGCATCCCATCATTTTTGTGTAATATTTACTACTATTTCCAGCACTTCCTACACATTTAGATGAAAAAATCCAAAGCAAATCACGTTAGATCAAAATTCTTATTACATTGTAAATTATTCCATTTCATATCATCTGAACTATCTAATGGCACAAATCCTTATAACCTTCAATAAAAAAAATATAAGTTAAAAAAAGTATGTTTAAAAGTTCAATTTATTTGGTAAAAAATAAATTCTTCATTTGTAATAATGAAGTTTAAAATTAAGAATGGAGACAAGTTCTTTAAATTCCTTTCAATCGTGAATAATGAATATATTTTTTTATGAAAAAGATTTAATTGCGGATAAGAGATTTCCTACCTCAAATACATGTCAAATATATGAAAAATAATTCAAGCTTAACTGCCTTATCCTTTTCTCAGATACTATCCTTTTGACACAACCCAATCCACATAACAAAATTATGTAATAATATTAAAAAAACAAAAACAAAAATTGACTATGGCGAACAATAGAGAAAATCCACTTGAATGGCAGAGAAAGAAGATGTGGTAGAGAAACAAAAAAAAAAGATTTTTTTCTCCTTTCGTTGACCGCGTATATGCTGTCGTGTTACATGTCTTTGTTGGTCATAAAGATTGTCTTGACTATAAACAAGAATAAATAAGCATTTGATTAGTGTAGGCATGAAGTGATGATTAGAGAGGTGATTGGAGTGGGTATGGCACTAAGAGGAAAATGGGTTTTGATTCCCCTGTATTTCTTTTGCCTCATTCCGATTTGCATCTGGGCGGCGAAGGAAGTAAAGCCGCCACAACAGCAGAAGCTGCGGTTCGGGGAAAACGGAGAGTTCAAGATCTTGCAGATTGCTGACTTGCACTATGCTAATGGGAAGACAACTCACTGCTTGAATGTCTTGTCTTCTCAGTATGCATCTTGCTCTGACCTCAACACCACCGCCTTCATCCAAAGGATCATCCTTGCTGAGAAACCCAACCTTATTGTCTTCACTGGTTTGTATTCCTATTTGTACTTTTCACTTCTTTCTAATCATATCAATTATGTATGTCTCTCTTCCTTCGTTTTTAGCTTGCTTTCTATTTGAGTGCACAAAGATGCTTATTTTGGAAACACCACCTACCCCCCAAACCAATTATTTTATTATTGTAGTTACAAAGATTAATCTTCATACACGTTTTGGTTTTAGGGCAATTGTCAATTGAAGCAAGGGAGGGTCATTTATTTGTAAAGGCCTTTCACTGGTGGTAATTCCAAGAATGGAATCGGTTCAAATTAGATAACCAAATTTAACTCCATTTCTTACTTTAATCAATGAAATGATACCTCTCAATAGCTTTTTGAAGCGAAAGTTAAACTTTCCATGATAACAACTTCTACATGTCAAAGATCATGACTTTATTCTAATTATTTGCGTTTAGGATGAACTCCAAGGGAGTAGCTGATTAGAATTAAATGAGTTTGGGTATATTAGCATGAGTTTCAATTTTTTACTTTATTCAGCAAGTTGGAAATTTCCTTGGCTGTTGATAGATTGTGTGTATTCATTTTGGTGTGACAGGGGATAATATATTTGGATATGATGCCTCGGATCCGGCTAAATCAATGGATGCGGCATTTGCACCTGCGATCGCATCAAACATTCCTTGGGTAGCTGTTTTGGGCAACCATGACCAGGAAGGATCCCTCTCTAGGGAAGGGGTGATGAAATATATTGCTGGGATGAAAAACACTTTATCTATAGTCAATCCTCCCGACTCACACATGATTGATGGTTTTGGGAACTATAACTTAGAGGTCGGAGGAGTTGAAGGAACTGATTTTGAAAATAAATCAGTGCTCAATCTCTACTTTCTTGACATTGGAGATTACTCCAAGGTTCCTTTTATTCATGGCTATGGCTGGATCAAGCCCTCTCAGCAACTTTGGTTCCAGCGGACTTCTCAAAAGCTTAGGGTATTGTTTTACCTGTTTCATTGAATAGATATATTTTGGCTCCTTTACACTTCTTCCTAAGATCCACTAAACCGTCCATCCTGTTTCTCTTTCTTTATTGTTTAGTAGCTGGTTATGGATTGTTTGTAGTGGATATTTATTAGACTCACGGCTGATTTTCAGTTCTTTTCCTTGATAATCCTTGGATTAACTATTTGCTCTTTGTTCTACAGAAAGAATACATAAATGGACCAGTGCCTCAGAAAGAACCTGCTCCTGGTCTTGCATACTTTCACATCCCATTACCTGAATATGCTAATTTTGATTCATCAAACTTCACAGGTGTGAAACAAGAAGGCATAAGTTCTGCTCCTGTGAATTCTGGCTTTTTCACAACATTGGTAGAAATGGGAGATGTGAAGGCAGTTTTCACTGGCCATGATCATGTCAATGATTTCTGTGGCAAGTTAACAGGTATAAATCTTTGTTATGCTGGGGGGTTTGGATATCATGCTTATGGAAAAGCTGGATGGTCAAGGAGAGCAAGAGTGGTGGTAGTTAGCTTGGAGAAAACAGAGAATGGTCGTTGGGAGGATGTCAAATCAGTTAAAACGTGGAAACGCCTTGATGATCAAAATCTTACTGGTATTGATGGTCAGGTCTTATGGAGCAAGAATTTTGGAAGTAAGATATCTCTGGATTCTGGAATACTTGGAGTACTCTGTTTCTTGTTTTTAAACTTGTGCTACATTACAAACTCGTAGAGTAGAGGAAATCACTTTAGAATTATATGACAACTGGAGACATTAAAATGAACTTCTGTTCTTGCTCAATTTCAGCTAGAAGCAAATAACCTTTGCTTCCTCTTTATGATCAAATTATCTATCTAATTACTATCACTTGATTTCCCTTGACTGTATCTAGCATAACTTATTGCTAATGACGGCACCTTATTGGTTACATTCTAACAGATACATGCACACTATTGTAAAACTTTGAACATAACTTAAATAATAATTCATGGAAAAGTATTTTGATTAATAAAGATCATCTATGTTTCATGATAACTAATTGTTGCGTTGACGTTATAAACATTTACCCTTTGTTTTGTTTGCACAAAAATAGAGTGGAAGGAAATGAAAAAGGAGGGGGAGACAGGATAAAAAATACCAAGTAAGAGAGGAAAGAAATGGAAAGTATAGAAATAAAAGGAAATAGAGTGAAAAAAATATTTTGTTTGAATGGATAGAAATAAAAAGGAATAAAATGGAGAATCTTTTCTCCATCAGTGGATGATTGGAAAGGAGAATGGAAAGAAATTAATAATTGTTTAAAAAACAATTCCATTGTTTTTTCTTAATATAAAATTACTTCCTAATTTTTTAATTATAAAAGTATACAATCTTTTGAAATTAAAATAAAAAAAAGGGGAAAAAGAGAGAGATGATTTCTCTCCCATTTTATGTAAATTTGGGGGATAAATTTTTAGTAGGTCCAACTGAAATAATTTACCTTCCTTTTCCACTCAAATAAACAATGGCAATTTGACATTCCTGTACAATCTTCATCTTTTCTATTTTCCTGTAGAAACAAATAGAGGGTTGGTATTTTCTTTTCTTTGATGCACTATGTGTAACTTATGTCTTTCCATTTCAAGTCATCTCCCTTAATTGTTTGTTCTGGTGCATTTAACAGGCAACCGCAGGAAAAAACAAGATGGTGGCTCTTGAGAATTAACAGTGTTGCAGAAAAACGTTATTATCATGAAGGTTACCTTAGAACGACTCAGTATGTTTCATACATTTGTTTATGAAAGGAACCTGTTTATTACGCTTCCTATAATAAGGATGCAGCAATACAAGGTAGCTTGATAAAAAAAGAATATATAAAAGAGATGAAAGATCACTAATGGTTGATGCAATGATTGAAACTGTCCGTTAACAAACCGAGAATCATGATGTCCATGTTTTTTATTTGTTCTTACGAATGGTGAAACAACCATAAGGCTAAGAGGGGAATCATCCCTCAAAAGCTAGCTCAAGAGGTTGGAGAACCTCCTACCTTATAAGGTCTCCCTGGTAAGGAAACCTCCCCAATGTGGGACTTGTTACATATGGCCTCATCATGAAAGGCTTCTTTAAGAAAAATGCACTATGAATCGAGAGTAGATTTCTACTTGTTATTTAGATATTATGCTACCTGATAGTGATGACACGTTTGCTTTGAAGTCACAAACTTACAGTTCAATGACAATTACTGTATGCAATTATGCGTTTATTTCCAAGATTGACACTGGTTGAATCAGAAGATAAACATCCTATCTTTGTGCACCTATGTTTGATGATAATATAGATTAGATTAACAGCATTCAGTTGGAGTAAATCTTGGTTCTGCTAGGAGTGAATACAGGAAATTGCAACTGTGACTTTGCTGCCTCCCCTGAAACTGGAATTTGATTTGCTATCTGGGTTTTGCTTAGCATGATCTTGCTGGTTTTAGTGCTTAAAGTTGTCCATCCAGAACTTAGTTACTGGAGATCAATTATGATCAACAACGGTCCAAAGTTGCTACATTTTGCAACTATTGAACTGCATTTGTGGAGTAGTGAACACAACAAAATGCATCAAGTGCAAAATGATACATTACTTAGATAATTTAAATATTCAAGTATTATATCCTTTATATTCTAAGTACAAGATTAGTATTGATGAGAAAAAAATCATGATATTTCATTAAAAGGTTTGGTTGTGCTCTTAAATGTCTTGTTTCATTCTTAATTTAAAATGTTTTTCTTTTCTTTTCTTTTCTTTTTGTTTTTTTCGTTTTTTGTTTTTCCACCCATTTTAAACTCCTTGATGAGATGGGAGATAAACATTATTGTTATGCTATTTACTGTTATCTACAGAAAATATCTAGCATTCGTGAGTGGTATCTTGAAACATTTTAATCTATTCAAACATATTTAGCTTGGCCAAGGTGCTTAGTTAAAATTAGTGAACAATTCGCAAGGTTGTACTTGTGAGCTTCAAACATCTGTTGTATGAGCAAACTACTCACTCAGAACTTAGCCTACTATGAACGCTCTCTATTTTTACTGAAATAGTACCAAAATATATATATATATATATATATATATATATATATATATATATGTATATATATATATATATATGGAATGCCACAAATTTAAATCCAAAGATGCCAATGAATATGGAATGACAAGGTTAAATTATTCCAATTTCATCAAATATGAGTTATTTAAAAATAAAATAAAAATTAGCAGCATCAAGTAAAGGAAAAGGAAATTGGTTAAGAAAAAAAATTGAGGATAATTTTTTTTAAATGTTAATTTATTAAAATAAGGATGACACAATTTTACATTGCTGTATGAAAATAAGACTTTCTTACAGTAATTAAACATAAACGTATTAAACATTTACATGATAATTAACAACAAATATATTATTTTTATAGTGATTGAATTGTAAGCAAACACATTTTTTATAAATATTCTTAAAAATCTTAGTCTTTAGCAAATAATTTTATTTATTTTAAATGGAGCTAAGATAAATAGGTCCCCCAAAATGTTTGTGATTGGTGCGCAGGGAAAATAGCATATAAGAATCTGCATCTCCTGTGTGTTGTGATGACATGTGCCAACTAGTAGATTTTATGGAAGCCACAAGGTCGTGTGAACCACCAGATTTTGATTTTTTTGAGGTTAACCTATCCAACTAGATTTCACATGCCACATGGCAACCCACAATTTCATTACCCAATCACACTCCTATCTTTTCGGATAAGATCCTGCGTACATCAACAACTCTGCATTTCTTTACCATTATTCATCAAACATATACCCAGAAGCAGAAATAGCCACTCAGTGAATAATTTAATATTTTGAATCAAGGGTGAATGGCTTCCGCTTGTGCTTCCTCTGCCATTGCTGCTGTTTCCATCTCCAATCCAAGGCAAGTTTCTCCACTCTCCCATTATTTATTGCATGCATAAAATGTTGCATATATCCATCCAATTAATGTGTACTTACGTTAACCTTCATTATGGAAATTCAAGCATTACATGAATGAATGCATGATGCACAGACGTAATTGATCTAAATTAGTGAATGTGTACAGTTCCCAGAAGAATGGATCATCCTTGGGAACCCCCAAAGCTTCTTTTCTTGGTGGAAGGAAATTGAGGGTGAACAAATACACAGCAGCAGTTGGAGGACGATCCACCACTACAGTGTGCGCAGTAGCGGACCCTGACAGGCCTCTCTGGTTTCCAGGCAGCACCCCTCCTCCATGGCTTGATGGCAGTCTCCCTGGAGACTTTGGCTTTGACCCTCTTGGTCTGGGTAAGTGAGTGCTCAATCTTCAATTAAAAGGACAATCTTTACTACATATGCTTCCTCACATTCTATTATATTACTGATTGAAATTTATAAATCTATATGTGAAATAGGAAATAAAACATTTTAGAATACTAAAGGAGTGTATTACAGAATATGTTATTAGCATTTTTGGTTTTGAAATCTCATTCTAAGTGAATTTGTTATGGAAGCAAATGAGAAAAGAAAGTGGATTTTGATTGATAGGATCTGATCCGGAGAGTCTGAGGTGGAATGTTCAGGCAGAACTAGTGCACTGCAGATGGGCAATGTTGGGTGCTGCTGGGATTTTCATTCCAGAATTCCTGACAAAGATTGGTATCTTGAACACTCCTTCATGGTACTCAGCTGGAGAACTGGAATATTTCACAGACACCACTACCCTCTTCATAGTTGAGCTCTTTTTCATTGGCTGGGCTGAGGGTAGAAGGTGGGCTGACATAATAAAGCCAGGGTGTGTCAACACGGACCCCATCTTTCCCAACAACAAGCTCACAGGAACTGATGTTGGTTACCCAGGTGGGCTTTGGTTTGACCCCCTTGGATGGGGAAGTGGTTCTCCTGAGAAGATCAAGGAGTTGAGAACCAAGGAGATCAAGAATGGGAGATTGGCCATGTTGGCTGTGATGGGTGCATGGTTCCAGCACATATACACCGGCACTGGTCCTATTGACAACCTCTTTGCCCACCTTGCAGATCCTGGCCATGCTACCATTTTTGCTGTAAGTTACATTTTGATTCTACACTGTGGCTTCAATTATTCTGGAATTGTTTATGCTGACCTTATCTTTGTTTGACGACCACTACAGGCTTTCACCCCCAAGTGAAAAAGGCTAAAGATCAACCATGGATGACATTGTCAGCTGCCTGAGAGAACATGTTTGACCCAAGTAATAGAGATCGAATGTCTTAGGAGAGGGGCGTTTATGTCTGTAGAAAGCTTGTAATGGCTACTTCTATATATATGCACAGAATGATAATCCAACTTGCCGACACCTATTCAAGTTTTAGATGCCATGAATATGTTTAGATAGTGATCACATTTGTGCATAAGATGAACCCACGTTGAGTATTTCATCATTCACGACAAAATCTGCGAACAATGGTCATATTTCATCATTTAAACCTTTCTCTCTGGATCATCAAAGGCTAGTCATAACAATTAGACATTAGCCCTATAACTGAATTATACTAGAGTCATAAAAATACATTCCACCTCATGCAATTAACGGAAAGAAGAGTCACATTTTTAGTTACATCAATATCCCAACTCAACAACATGCAAAATCTAAAATAATGGAATGGGGTGAGTGAGTAATAAAGACCAAGTGTAATCCGGTAATCAAAGTAAGCATATGGGGGAAAGACCAAGATCTTTAACCAATAATATTTCATACTTGAAACTCATAAATCTTTCTTCATTTGGTCTCGATCATCTTATTTTATGTGAACATAAATTGTTTTGTCTCTTTATTACAACGAATGACATTTTTGAACTTGGTAGAAGACCGGGTTAACTAAGTGATTGCATGATATAACACATTAACATTAGCATTATATGTAATTAAATTATAAAATTAAAGAATATACTTGTACACTGTTTTACAATATATATTTAAGATAAATTCTTCAGTTTTTAAAAACTCCTGAAGAAGGAATATGGAGCTGGAATTTTAGGTGGAAGGGAGATCATTTTGTAAAATAGAGAACATGAAACCTTTGTCACAGGTGCTATAAGTTGTCAGAAAATGAAGACAGCGGGACATGGGCTACTGACAAATTGGTGGAACAGTCAATGAAGTTGGTTCATAAAAGGCTCCTGACTCGTCAAAATAACGTTTCAGGCTTCCAAATCTGTCATTCACATGGGGAAGCATTTCTAGACCCAATTTCAATTTGCTATTCATTTTTTCCTTTGTCACTTTGAGAACAAATCTATACAATACAACATAGGATGTTGTTATCGTCTAAGCTGCTTTGTATAAACTTCTTTTTTTGGTAACGAGCGTATCTTTGCTTTTAATGCATCTCTCTCTTTTGATTATAGTTGAAATAGAATGCTTCCCCTTCTAGTTAGAGTTATGGGACAATCACACTAGAATTCGCCCTACAAAAATCTTTTGGTTAAAGAAATAGAGACGCATTTGAAGCTCTCAAATAACAACTCTCTGTCATGGTTTCTGCATAATCAAAAGCCGATCAATAGCTGTTATGCAAGTGGAAAACTTTGCTATTCAATATAGGTTTTCTATATATACAAGGTAATCAATATTGTAAAATGATTAAAAGGATCAACCAAAGTTAACCTTTATCTTTGTAAAAAGTCTATTGCATAGCTAGTTTGGGAATGTCACTATCAAATGACAATATATATACATATCAAGTTGTAAGTTTTATGTTGATCATATGAAATCAGTGTCGTCGAAAAGTTGTATGAAGATCTTGAAGTCAAGTAATATTATTTTTAGTCTCATAAGTTTGTTAGTGAATTTTTTAATTGTGATAAAAAAATTGAGAAGTCTCAAGTTTGAGAAAACTTTTATTTAATCTCAGGTGTGAAGTCCCACTTAGATACACTATTCTCTTATATCTCTCACTTTTTTCTATATAAGAAAAGACAAACTAGCATTACAGGATCCAAATCATATGGGCCAAATGTAACAAGGTGGTAGCTTGGTTTATTTTTTTCTTCAAGAAAAGTTTAACAAAATCCTTCATATATATTTTTTTTCATATGATAGTTATTATTATTATTTTAAATAATAACAGAATGAGTTTATTTTAAAAAAATTAGTTAATTTTAGTGTGACTAAATTGTTAAATGAAATATATATTAAATGAATATAAGTGCAAGCTTAGCTTCTTCCATAATATAAGTTGAGATATGAGAATTTGATACTCTTGATTTTTTTTTTTAAATTATTATTATTATTAATAATAAACTTAAATATGCTTTAAGTTCCTACAAATATAAATATATGCTTAATTTTAATGTTACTATTTTTGTAAGATTATTGAGATTTTTTTCTCACTTATCTTTATTTCTTCTTGTTATTATTTGCAGTTAGTTTAACTATATATATACAAAAAATAAATTAAGTGAAAATCAAATATTTATTACACTAAATTAAAGTTTCGTATGATTTTTATTCAACACACTGATTTATATTTGAAATTTAACAACCAGTATCCAACAAAGAATAATTTAAAAATAAAACATAAAATAAGTTGGTTTTATAATTTCTATATTTTTAAATATTTAAAGATAGTCTTAGAAGTAAAAACAAAAATTAAAGGTGAATAATTTATCTATTTTGAAATGTTTAGACAAATAAAAATTTAGTAACATTTTGTGGTTTCACTAGGAAGTAAGCTGGGGTGTATGAACATGTATGAAGACTTTACAAGGAGAAGTAAATTTGCAGATTAAACATAGATATAAAGAGTGTAATAGTTGTGATGAAAAGTGAGGACAATTGAACTCACGTGGACACTGGAACCGAGACCACCACGTTCCAGGTACAACCCAAAGTAACGACATATATGGGTACCACTAGAGAAGCTTGGTACAAGTTACATTCTCTTGTTCCTTTCAAATTTGGTGCAATAAAACAAAAGCAGACAAAAGAAGAGGAAAATACAAAGACATGTGGATGGTAATGGAGATAGGTAACTGGATAACCAGATCTTCATGTAACTTGAAACTAGTTTGGGTTTGGCATTTGGGAGGGCTGCACTAAGGACCTTCTTCACTAGGAATAATGTAAGCCAACCAATCAATATTCAAAAGGGTTACGCCTCTTTCGTTTCAGTGTATTTATGTCAGTGGTCACTCACTATTACCGGGCCACCATGTCAAGGACTCTCTGCATCATGCATGGTCCTCAACCACATTTAATGTGCATGCACCTCTTCCCCTATCTTATCATTATATTTGACATAGAAAACCAGCCAAACCTACACGCAGGATCTGCCATTTTTGGGGATTGCTACTTTCTTGGACTCTCCAATTTTTTCAACCTGAGATGGTCCAGCCTGCATGCTCTTGTTTCACATAAATAAACCTAAATTAAGATGAGTTTTATTCTCCCAACATGTTTTCATTTTGTTTAATCGGATCCATACTCATGTCTCCAATGTTACAAGATTGCATGCAGATCTGTCTTATCTGTTTCGTTACATTTGATGGTAAGCAAATAATTATCCATCTGTATAATTATTTTTCCGTAAAGAAACTACCAGTATTTCATAGCATATATAAAAAGCTCATGCTAAGGTGGCTTATAATTTTATTGTTTTCTTAACTTATGTAAAGTTGATATATACCCAAAACCCTCAACCTGGTGAATTCATGATATTTGTCTCATTAATAACATTAAGTATTTAATATAGTAAGGGAGGTAGATTTCAACCTTTATTCCTGTGGCGTCTTAAATTTGTCTGGTATGTAAAATTTCCTGAAAAGGCTAACCCACTTTTAAAATTTAAGAGCATGTCAAACCTAACATTTCTGTTTTGATTTTGAAGGATGAGTCACTCTTCATTAACCTTTACATAAACATGATGTCTAGCTATCATACTATTATTGTTAATTAGTCTCCTATATGGATGTTAAAAATAGAAGTGTGAAGCTTGTATGACGAACATTATTAGATGTAAGAAATAATGCAGGAACAACAGGTGTTGAAGTTCAGCAGGAAGAACACAGATATTGAATAATAATTGGAATGGTGAGAAAGAAAGTAAAGAGAAAGGTGTTAGATATGATAGGGTGAAGTGGGGGTGGTCCATGTTGAGGATTAGTACAATTATAGAATGATTTGGATGGATGAGTGATGGACAGTGCATGCGTCCAATCCAATGATCCAATTAATTTGTGGTTAATTAATGGAAGGCATGAGATGAGAAGAAAAGGGACCTTTACAGTACAATCTGATAGCTTTATATTCGTTGATCTGATAGTAAACAAAGATAATAATGCAACACCCCTCTCCTCCTCTTAATTAGCCCTAACGTCTACCTTTATAGCTAGGGTGGGGGACCCTTCATCCAAACCAATTCTAGATCTACCACCACTATATTCTTCATCTTCTGCATCATTCTACATACAACAAGTTTTTTACATTTTGGATTTATAGAGTCATCTTTTGACTTTTCATTTTATCATTATGTCACTAATTAATTCTGTGTCTTTCCCTTTCCACATTCTGCTACTTCTCCAACGCCATAACTTGTATAATAATCTCTTTTACATTCATTGCCTTTTCTCTGCATATAAGAGCTCATGTCTTTTATTTATTATGTAAAAATATTATCAAAAATTTTTAGTTATTTTTTCTCTAAAACTTTTCCTTGCCTTATTACAAGTACCCTTTCAGTGGAGGAAAAGGGAGGAAGCAGAAGCGTGAAACGAAACTGTACCCTTTGCATGGACAGATATTATTTGGTCTTTAATTCAACATTTTCATTGTTTCGATTAACAATTCTTTCTAAATATTAGAAATCATTTCTAGATGGTTAAATTGTTTCATAAAATTAGAAAAATATCAAAGAATTTTTTTAACAAAGACTAATTTATTGTAACCACTAATTTTATCTTTTATTCAATTATTTTTTTAATTGAACAGAATAAACTTAATATGAAAAGTTAGAACATTGAACCTAAGAAACCTATTCAGTCAAAAGTCAGAACGAAACAGTAACTAACTATATTTTATATACATAAATGTTATAAAAGGTATTGGAAACTTCAATGTCGAATATTTTTAGTATAAATTGCACAAAATATAAGTTTTTTTACCTGTTTTTCTCAGGCCATGTTTTCTGGCAATTTCGCTATTCGTCTTTTTCTTTTTCTTTTTATCGAATTTGAGAAAATACATAAAGTAGTGTATCTTCTTTGATTTGAAGTGGATTTTCATCGATAAGATAAATTAGTTTTAAATGGGTTTAGTTGAATGATTAATTTCAATACAAAATTATGAAATAAGGTCGTATCCGTGCATATATGTTATCTATTTTTTTATGCTTATTATTTAGTCCAACCATGCCATTAGAATAATATTACAAGAAATGTTATAAAGGTAGTAATTTTCAATAAAATGTATAGTAATATTTTTGTTCCTCACCTATAGAAATGTGTTAGATATTTTCCTTGTTCTATGTTTTTTAATAATTAAAAACAAATACTTTTTCTATTTGGATGGACTATAATATCATAGTTAACATTATTACTAATTATTACTTGCTGATGATTTTTATCTTCCATCAACTTCTTAATAATTATCTGAAAATGATTGTATGTGCACGTAAGTATATGTTATTCAATGGAAAAATAAATATCATTCTTCCATTTATTTTAGTTTTTTGTGATCCATATCATTTTTTTTAATGAATTCCATTTAATTTTAAAATTTAGGCATCATTTTCTAGGATAAATTGTTGCAAGTTACAATATATAAATCTCAGTTTGGTATTCTAACAAGAAAATCACTTTGGAATTGTTTGTGCTTTATCAAAAGTCAGTTTCCAAAAGTTAAAAGCAGTGATGAAAAAATTTAAAGAAGTTTACTAAAATAAACATACTCTTACTCATAAATTATATGTTAAAATTCTATACTATTCACAAAATTGATAAAGTTTTATTTACTTGCTTTTCAATAGTATTATCAATGAGGTTTAAATCAAATGTAAAACTCCATATAATAAAAATACCTTTTTTCTTCTTCAAAATTTACAAAATATCAATACTAACATCTAAGTTATTTTCTAAAATTGAGAAGGTAGGGGGAGGGGGATTATCAATTATTAGTAGTTTTTTTAAGAACAAAAGACTGTGTAGACCCTAATTAACTATGTTTTATTCCCTTTTTCTTTTTAAATTGGATATTGGATTAGCATGTGAAAATTTTGTGGATAAAAATTTTTGTTCCTGAACAGCTATTTTGGATCAATGATTAGAAATAACACATAGTGCTGAATATATACAATGAATTGGAACTTCAAGGAGTAATAAACATCATGTTTTTTCTTTCTTTCTTTCTATCAGCTATATTAACTTAACCATTTTTCTTCGTTATGTATAATGTATGGTGTTGTATATATATAGGGAGATTCTGCATAATTCAGTATACACGTGATTTGTGGAATAGGTAATTGAGTTCATAATAATATACCTATCACTAGTTCAGAGAAAGTAAATGCATTAGGGTGAGGGTTGGCAGTATATATATATATATATATATATATATATATATATATATATATATATATATATATATATATATATATATATATATATATATATATATATATATATATATATATATATATATATATACTTTTTTAACCTCTCACAAAGAAAAAGGCTTCATTGAATAAACAAAAATGCTAATTAATTATTTTTACATTTTCTGCAGATACTGGAGAATAGTACTGGATTTTAGAGTAAACACATAATTTCATGATCTTTCATGTAAATATCATTTCATAACTTGGTATAGTATCTAAACCCTCTCATACCTGCTTTGCTAAAAGTGATGAACCACTGATCTTTCATTTATCAGCAGTTAACATTTTTGCTCTTGCTTCCCCATAAATCACCACAGCTATATTAATGGGAAGATAGATGAACATATAATAATAATTAACATAAGAGCACCAAGGTGGAACAACATTTACATACTCCTTAACCCTGCATTGTCAACCCTAAAATACTGCTATATATTACGTATCCATCATGCTCTTACAAAATTATAATTAACTTCTTCTTCAAGTTATATATAATAATCAACGAAGTTTGAAAATTGATCACAAATGTAAATTTTTCTCGTCACTCAAACTGAATGTTACCAATTCTAGCTTTGTATTTTTCATATTACAAATGTGATTTTTTTTTTTTTTTATGCAAACATGTTTTCAAACACCTATTAGTCATATTTCATTCAGAAAAAAGTTTTAATTAATAGATAAGGACAATGATTAAGACATTAATAACATTAAAGTTTTTTTATTAAAAATTAATATTATTGTATTTTTCATAAAATTCATTTATTGATTATTTAACTATTATTTAAAGACAATAATTAACACCACCATTTCAACATAAGCTGCATGCTCACTTATGGAAAATTATGGAAAATGCTCATGCTCACTTAATTACCTTATTCAATACTGGCTACATTTCTCTCTCTATATTATATTATGTTGACTTTTTTCTTCAATAAAATTTGAAGGCTTATATAGATAATCTACATAATAAATAATTTTACTAAATACATCACAAATAATTGGAATAGAACTATAAATCTAATATAGAACACAATTAAAACAAGTAATCTTTATGGCTTAGATCCAATATTTTGCACGTATTGTTCTTCCTGAATGTTGATTTGCTTAGATTGATTAACGTGCATGACCTAACTCTAGGACAATGTTAAATCTTTTCATAATTGATCATATTTTATCTTGAATCTTCTAGCATATTAAATTGGTTATTCTACAAAAGGTATAATATTTTTTTTCTATGTACATACTTTAATTTCCAGTCGTTTCAATGAGTTCATGGACATTGACACTACCAACGGATCTGAGAAACTCTTTCCATTTGGGCAGAAAATCACCTTCAAGTGTGTGTATAGCAAAAGAAAAGTCTCTATTTTGTTTTTGCTTTCAATTACTACACTGTGTGAATAACATTCCGTTTAATCTCTCCTTTTTATGCTATGAACGGTCTATTTGTAATAAATGTGAGATTAATATTCAAACCTAGCTAGCTACTTTAACTATGACCAGAGATCTCTTTCATCAAATTTAAAAAACAAAATACCAAACAATGAAACATATATACACACATACTCACATATACGATAAAATGCATATACAGGTACATTGTTTGAACCTCAAAGCAAAATGTATCAAATTTTCATTAAAACTGGTCAGACAAGTCTCCATATCCAGATTTCTAAATCACATTAAAATTTCAAAATACTATACTACACATACCAGGTTGCACACAAAAAATAAAGACTAGAATTTTTATTTTTTTATCACGTTTCCACCGTAGTGATATAAGTGGCAACATGACATATGATTAACTCAACAAAGTAAACTTGTTTTCATGTTTGTTCAAAATGTCTAACAGTAACTGTTCTAAAGCAAATACAAAATTGTATTTAAGCAACCAATGACTTACCAACCTAGACGACTGTGCTGAAGAGTAGTCAGCTAAACATCTAAAATCAAAACCCAGAGAGAGAATAATATAACAGAATTTTCTAGAAGAAATACATTGTGTCTATCATTATGATAAGCATCAGAGGGCAGAAAGAGGACATTGAATCCCGGTTCAAGTAATAATGAATGTGGAAATTTAGCTTGGGAAACATTGAGATACTTACTTTTAACCCTTGGGGGGAGAAATCTCAACACATGTACTATCCTAAGCTCTGTGTGAGAAGTGGTGATCCAGACAAGAAGGCAATTTCTGAATTGGAAAGAAGACAACAAAGTTCAAATAGGATATATCAAAGGAGGGCCGTAGAAGAGGAGTAACTACTCATTAAATATAACACCAATAACATAGGAAGTAATGAAAAATATAATAATGGAAATTAATGAAACTTTGAAGAAGAATAAAATTTATTCACCATATTACAGCTGTACAACTTTCTGCTCCATATCAGCAAAGTGAAATGCCTAACTAAGCAACAGCAGAAGAAGCAGAAGCAGCAGTATTGTGAACGGCATCAACCCAACAAGGCTAACAGAAACACTAGAGGATAGAAGAAAGCAACAAGCTTTTCTGTGTATCATTAAATGCAGGGAACGGAAAGAGAGAGAGTACAGTGTCTACCAATGCAATAAAAAAAGGGACAAGAACCCATATTATATATATATATATATATATATATATATATATATATATATATATATATATATATATATTTATGATAAATTATAAATATAATATATTATATTCATTGTATTATACACAATTGAAGGTGTAGCTAATGGAGATCTCATATTCCGTCTCTTGGTCATGAAACGATTTTTCATTTCCTTCGAGACTCGAATCCCCAGCTAATTAACGCTTCGTGCAGTTCAAAACGTACCAAGAAGTTCAAACGCTAACTTATGCGTACTAATATATTACTGATTAGAAGAAGGAGAATAAGAATAGAAAGAAAGTTTTGGAGCTCTTTCTTTTGTAGCTAGCTGGTGAGAGAAAGCTAGAGAAGAAAGAAAAATAAGTAAAAAAGAAAAAAATAATGCTGCAAAAGAGAGGGTGGCTAGCCCAACTAACTCCAAAACAAAATCTTCTCCATTCATTATTGGTGGGTCGATGGATGTGTTGAATTTATTTTGATGACTACTGCCGATACTGCAAGGAGGGATCCAAATCAAACAGCAGAGAAGTCCCAGACCCGCCTTTTTGATCCCCAAACCTTGCTGAAGAAGAAAGTGGGTCTTCGTGGGGCACCCTCAACCGTTGCTGCAGATGCGGAGAAGAAGAAGAAGAAGGTGAATTACCCACTATTGCATGTGAACCCAATGACAAGCCTTTCGAATCTTCGGCCGAAGAGGCACATTCCATGTTCACCCCAAATAGCCTTAGTCGTTTTCCACCACTAGTGGCAGCACTAGCACCACCACTCGTCATGCCCCCATGCCCGTGGCGATGGTTATGATGACCAACGTTAACTGGCACAGAATCGATGATCATGGGCATAATGCTATTCCCTCTTCCTGCCATGTTTTGATCACCACCACCACCCATACCCATTGACATGGAGGACCTGAGGTAATAGAGTGAGCCAGTCCCAGATCCCGAATTATGCTCCCCATAGTTATTGTGATGATGAGCAGCAGCGGCTGTGGCAGCACCATGAGCATGGCCGAGGTACTGGTGTTGCTGCTGAAAACTGAAGAGGTTGTTGTAATTGAGATGGTGAAAATGATGATCGTGGTGGTAGCGAGGTGGCATGATGGAGGAGGTGGCAGGAAGGGAGTACCATCTGATAGAGGGAAGAAACAAAGGGGAGGTTGAGGGATCAGAGGGATGAGGATGAGGATGAGCATGATCAGACCTTCTCCTCCAGTCTATGTACAACCTATGTCTATACATATCCCCAAGGCCACGCTGGAAGGAGACAATGTCACCTGCATCAAGCTTCTTCTCCTTCACGAAACGGCTCCACCCCTTTGTCATCACATAGCTCTGGCTGCTGTTCCAATACGAGTACCTGAACCGCCACACCTTCCCACTCCGGTCCTCGAAATTCAGGAGCAGACCCTTCTCGTTCGACGAGGAATCAAGGGGAAAGTACTTCTCCGCGTGCTGCTTCGGTATCACCAGCCTGTTCAACTTCCCCACATCGCTTGGTGTCACCACTTTGTCAAACATGTGCTCTTTCTCCACTACTTCCTTCGTGTTTGAACAAGTTCCGTGACTTTCATGGTGATGATGTTGGTGTTGGTGTTCATGTTCATGTTGTTGTTGACTATGATAATGATGAACCACTCCTCCTCCACCTTGTTGCAAATTGCCCTCCTCTTCCTCTTCCTTGTTGCTCCCTAGTGACAACTCCATCAGGTCTAGCTTCTTTCCAAAATTGGACACGGCATCTTGCTGGTGTAACCCTAATTCACGGCAAGTGGGTGAATTGTTAATGGCATAGACAGATTCACGATGCATCCCCAACCGGGAATTTTGAAGATGTGGAGAATATTTATCACATGAAGAATTGAAGATGATGATGATGATTAATTAAAGAGAGGTGTAGTGGCACACATATATAGTTATCTATATATACAATTAATTAATTTTTGATTGATAGATGGAGAAGAAATTAAAAGGGGTAAGGTAATAGAGCTAGCTTACTGCTGCTTTCTGGCTCTCTTGTGATAGCCATAATCTCAGCTACTTCTTCTTCCTCCTCTTCCTCCCTGCTATCAGAATAATTGCCTTTAACTTGTTGCATCAAGTCCATGGAGTTATAGCTGACCTACCTTGAATTCTGTTAATAAAAACCTCTGGATCTCAGCAAAAACAATGGGAAAGAAAGAATTAATAATAATGATAATAATAAAATGAAAATGATTAGAATAAAGCGATCGAAGAAAAGAAGAGGGCAGGAAAGTAAATAGAAATAATAAAATGAAATTTGAGAACAAAGGCAAAAGTATGAGGAAAAGTGGGTGCGAATTAAAAAGACTAAATGAGATTACAGGGTCAAATAAATTGAAGGATGCCAACACATAGCTCTAGCATGGGAAAGATATTTTACCCAGATTGCTGAGGCTCTAAAGAAAAACAAAAACAGACTCTTAGTACACAAAAATTAAAACAGTCGGTGCCTTCATATTTTTGACCACAAGCCTCCAAATCCAAACCCTAAAGAAAGACAAGCCATGGAATGGAGAATTCAAAAGGGGTCATGTTATTGTTATATATATATTGTTGACCTATGAAGCAAAATATGAGGAGGAGTTAGATCGAGAGAGAAAGAGAGAGAGAGAGAGAGAGAGAGAGAGAGAGAGAGAGAGGGGAAGAGAGGGGGAAGTGGTGTGGATTTTAGCTATAAGTATAGTTACCTCACAGGAAGGTTCTTTACAAGTAGGAAAAGAAGCAAAAAAAATTGTTGCAACCCAGTTTTATTCGTGGGTGGGAGAGAGAGAGAGAGAGAAAGGTAGATAGAGAGGATTACTACACTTACGTGGGGGCCATGAATAATGTGCCTATTGTGGTCATGTGAGCAACTTGTCGTTTTCATCATATTTGGTATAATCTGTGCAGTACATATGCTTCCTGGTTGAGACCAAAAGGCCAGTTGTTCCAGAAGCAATGAGCTTATAACTTAACTCAGTTAAAAATTTGGCTTTCACCCTCATTTTACTCACAAATCATATGAAGGAAAGAACAATAGATGGGGCAATGATATTCGTAAATTTAATTTATGGTAGCTCATATATGCATGCGTACGGGCTGAACTATATGGTTCTAGCTAGTTGTAGCAGAGGAAATGGCACTGGTATAATAGAGAGAGGGGATAGAGTGTACACTTATTTTTTTTGACTTTTAGTGCCATTGATTGATTGTGTTGTGGATGGTCCCCATGAGTAAGGTAAGAAAAGGAAAAGCAAATGGCTAAACCAAGTGCAAATCAAAGCAGACCACCCTGCCCTGCACCATCCCTCTCTCTCTCCAATATACAACCTGTGATTCCATTCCCTTATCTTCCCTTCAATTCATTGGTGTCTTCAACACTCAAATATTACTAAAACCAAATCAGGTTATACATGAAGATTAACAATGCTCCTTCACTTGCTACTTCTCTTAAACCCTCACACAAGTTTGTTTTAGATGTTATGTGCTTGAAGTTTAAATTCTTTATCAAAATATTTTGAGATTTATATGTATGTAGTGTGTTTGGTAATTTCTGTCTACAACTTCAAACAAATTATTAAAATGAGATTATTTTAATGCATTTGTGTTAGTTGTGTTTTGTAATGTTTTACTAAAGTTGTTTAAGTTACCTGGCAATCTCCTGTTTCATCTTTTTTTAATTGAATAGTGACATGTATTGTAGTTCATTTTTCTTTTTTTAAATTTTTTACCACTATTTTAAATAACTAAAACTTTGTCAGTAGCCTGCCTCGTGACTTCTAGAAATATTAAGAGTAACTAAATGTATAAATAAACACTTGATAATTTTCTTATTTATAACATTTATTTATTAATTGTATTATTATGGTTCTGCTATTTAATTAGTTATGCTATTTATTTATTATAATCTGTTTTGTTCTCTTATTGTAAAGGTTAAAGAAACACAAGAAGGGTTTAAATCATGATTTTATAAAAGCATTTCACAATTCTTTCTTAGATTAACAACAAATGTTTCGCCTTTCCTTAAAACCAATTTTCTTAAAGAAATTTTAAGTTTTGAAAAAAATAAGAAATTAGTTATTCTTTTTAAAATAACATATATATATATATATATATATATATATATATATATATATCACTAGAAATTAATGCAGTAAAAAATAATTAAAATAATTTAAACAGTATAATTAATTTGTAATTAAAAAAAATAAAACCTACTTTAAAAATCTGCTTTCTAATTTATGCATGTTTTAAAAAAATATCCAAAAAACTATATACGAATATATATATATATATATATATATATATATATATATATAGTTTAAAATAGCTTTATATTATGATTTAATATAGATTATTATTATTACTATACTTTTTAAAATAGTTATAATAAACTTGAAAAAAAAAATATGATGAAACCAATGATTTTATCATATATTATTGATAATTAAATGTTAGTATATCATGCTTATATGATGGGTAGAACTAATAAGTGGAAACATATATCTTGTGTGAAGAAAGATGTAAAAACATATTTTCAAGACTTAAGTATTATTTATGAAGTAAAAACAAAAAAAAGTTGAAAATAATATTTGTTTCAAATTTGGTAAACTACAATTTTTTTTATTCTTTTTTCTTAGAAGAAACAGATTTTATTCTAAAATCCTTATTAACACATGATCCTTATTTTGAACAAATGCAATATGTGGATTAATCCTTAAAATTAGGATACTAAAATTCTTCTTCTTTTCAAAACATATTTAAAACATTGCCAAGTTTCCCTACCATTGAATATAAGTAACTTACAAATTGTCGTAGGAATGAATATAGGTTCTAAATATATATGTACTTGTGTGACCCCGGAAATTAACTGTATTATCTTAGGAATAGTAGCTGGGTTTTGTGAAACTTGCTGAATATAGATAAATTAACCAGAAAAAAATGTGAGGAATATGAAGATGAATGTATGCGTAAAACTAATCAATAATGAATGTATACATCAAACTAATCAATAACTTTCTGCTACCCTGCACGTGGTTTTTCCTTTCAATAGCTATTACTCATCAATTTATATCATAATGTCATAGTTTGATATTATATCATACAAAGCCACATATTTAATGCAGAATTTTTACACATTCACCTAGACACAACCACTCACTTGTGTCAGACATTACATGGTCAACCTTTTCTCTTTGGTTGAATAAATCTTTTTCAAATTATTATAGAAAAAGTATATATCTTCAACATATTTTTGTTGAGTTTTTCTTAAATTTTGTTAAAATTTATATAATCAATATTAAATATTCTATTTTTTAATCTTTTAAGTAATTATACATATCTGTACATGATTATAAGTTATTCTGTGTACACATTGAATTATGGTCTCTAGAAGTAACTATAGTTACTAAGACTCTGAATATCTCAGTTGATCGATAAACCCTTGTAGTGCATGCATGTTGAGTTATAGTATCTATGCTCCATCATGTAAGCTAAGTGGTAATCACTGATAGAAATATGTTGAAACAGCATTGAAAACGGTTGGTATATTGGCCTACATTTTAGAAGCAAATTTGATTCTGTAGTCAGTGGTGAGATTACATGATTTGATTGGTGTGTATTTTCGGTCTTTGGGGAGACAAGAGAAACTAATCTAGAGACATCTTCGTGACATGTTAGATTTCGGTTTGAAATGACTGCGTGTAATATACCCTGATAGAGTAACTGAAACTCTGAGAAACAATTAGTCTTTAGAACTCTACTTTCTTTGTTTTCATTATATAACACAGGTAGTGAAACAAAAGTGTCCATGCATCCATCCACAATCCACAAACCCCGGTTGGATGTTTCTTCTTTTTCGTCCTTAAGCTTCTCGAAATCATAAAAAATGAGCATTATTCATATCAGTTTGATGGTTGTTTGCATGTAAGCCAGGCTACAATTAATTGATCAGCTCTACACAGATGGTCATGTTTATGAGCAACCAGTAGTATCATGAAGTGGTCCAGTGTGATCTTTTTGCCTATATTTCTTTGGCTGGATGGAGCCTCCAATCACCATAGATTACATATTTGAATATAGAACCAGAGAAAAGAGGATCAAACAAGTTGCCTTTGCCTTGGCAAGAGGAATAGTGTCCAGTCACATTCCAATTACAATTCTACGCCACACATATTTAATAAAAAAGTATTAATAAATATTGTTTTTGTAACCAATAGTAATTGCGTAACACTACCATAGTCAGTAACCAATTAAAAGTCCTGCTTTATTAACAGAAAATCCTTAACAGATTTCCTTAAAACATGAATTGGTTAACATTAGTAACATTGGAATATCCGTCTCTGATAGCCACAAATGGGATTTATTTGAGATAACAGATAATATATAAGGAACAGAAAGAGGCAATGGTTTCATTGATGGGGGAGAAGTATGCACCCAATGGAAAGCGATTGAAACCCTAATGGAGTAGTGGGAAGGCATTAAATTGGAAAGAGAAAGAAATGGAGGAGATACATTTGATACCAAAAATAAAGAGATAAAAGTGAGTGAAATGTGTGACAATATATACTTGTTTTGCATGTTATAATCAAATATTATAGGAAGGTTGAATGATTTGAGGTTTCCCTTTTGTTGGGATCTGGTATTAGAGAGGAAAGAGTTGGTAAAAACACTTACCGAGAATTTTCCGAGGAAATGTCACACCACAGCCCACATGTGGATGACAGAAAACAAAAGAATTGCATGCATGCCTAGGTATAGCTAGATTCCAGTTAATAATAAGAAAATAGGGTTCAGTAAAGTCATTACAATTTACAATTTAAATTTTACAACTTTAGAATTTAGAACTTAGGAGTAGTGTATAAGGTTACTAATACAAATTTTAAGCCTCTGCTTGCATATGAATGAAGCCCCACCTCACATCAACTTCAAAAAAAAAAAAATCTACTGGGGACCCCTTTTCGTTTCACATGTTATATTTGCTGTTTTATATATATATATATATATATATATATATATATATATATATATATATATATATATGTGTGTGTGTGTGTGTGTGGCTACATTTTCTTTAAATACATCTACACATTAATATATATATATATATATATATATATATATATATATAGAGAGAGAGAGAGAGAGAGAGAGAGAGAGAGAAAGAGAAGAGGTTAATTAATTAAGTATTTAGTTTCTATTTTATTTTAAATTTTTTATTTGTAATTTTCAAACATTTTTTAGCATTTTTATTGTTATATTTTTTATGTACAATTTTAACAATGATAAAATACAAATTTAAAAATAGAATAACTTACCAAAAACATTAGATACAGTCATAGGACTCTTAATATTATTGTTACGTAAAAAATGTGCTATTATGAATACTAGTCACCTAAAATACTAGAAATTTTACATGTTATTGTTCAAAATAGGAAATTAACAAGTTAGATATAAAATGTCTTTAAAATATTTATAGTGAAAACAGAAGTATATAGAAATATGTTAGTAACCTTTGTACAGTTGTTCAAACATATATTTACTTAGAAGAAGTTACGCATTGAATGTATTTTAATATATTTATAATTATAACTGGTAAATTTAGTTAATAAGTTTAAATTAACAAATTCTATATATGTTAAGTTACAAAATATAGTTTTTTTTTTAAGAAAATAAAAGTATAGTTCCAGAAGAGAATAATGGTGCAACATTAATAAGGATGACAATAAAATAGGGGTAGGTGGCAATTGTTATCTTTTCAGAAAATAGCTTTCTTCAACTTTATGTATTTCTTGAAGTTTGGACCACATTTTCTGTATAGTTCTATCCATATCATAATTATTCAAAATACGAAAGGTATTTACTAATTTAGGATATACTGGAATATGAAAAGTGGAGTAATAAAAAGGTATAATGAATAATAAATATGAAGAAAACCATTATATATTAAAAAAGAAACTACATGTCATTATTATCATATTAAAAAAAAAAAAACAAAAAAAACTAACAAGTACAATGACAATGTTACCTACAACCAACTATGCAATGCATATAAAGGCTCAATTATCTGGACCCCTGCCCTAAAAATATCTTCTCTTTCTCTTTGCTCTTTTTCTAGGGTGGCTGCACAGTAAATCCACTAGATTATTTGGTTGCAGTTGTGCTAATTAACAACACTTGATAATTTCATATTATAAGACATGTGATTAAAAAATAATAATGATAATTCATACATGAATCTTCGTTTATCGTATCTCTCTCTCTCTCTCTCTCTCTCTCTCTATCTATATATATATATATATATATATATATATGGATAAGTTTGACCAATTTTTGATATTGCGTAGACTGGTAACTCAAGTTACATATTAGTGGAATTAAATTTTTGTTATGAATGATATTTGGTGGTTGTCTCACAAGTTGGTATACATGGGGGGTCTACTATGATTTTGACTCTATATGCCAATTTTCTATACCTTCCCTGTCACTTTTGTGTCCAAGGTTTATTCCAATTTCTGACAATAATGTGTGCCGAATCATGTGGTGTTGTTAGGATATCATTAATCATATAAGCAAAACATATATAATTTCTTTGCAAAACATAACCATAGTTTGGGGTGAGGTCTGGTGGACCAGTTTCGTAAAGTCCTGTATATATACATATGCTTCAAGTAGAATTAGGCCATAAACCATAATTAATATACACTTATTTGTTATCCTTAGAATCCTATAATAGTTATAAATTATTATATGTGGGATATTAATCAGTAATCTCCAGTGGAGTTTCAGTTTTATTTGTATGCTACATCATGTGCTCAAAAGTCTAAAGAATATATAGGGCTTAGCCATAGTGGGTTATAACTTGGATTAAAAAATTATGTGCATCTCATCTCAGTTGAGGATAAGGGAGAGAAGTGAAAGGAAATTAGTAAATGAAGAAGAATGTTTCAAAGAGACAGTAAAATAATACATGTGTGGATGGATGGTGTGAGGCTCCTAATTAAACGACAAAAGCAGTATGCAAAATCTACAAACCAAATGTTTGAACTCTCCCACATGGGTGGTCCAGTATCCTTTGGAGTTAATGTTGGAAGCACGTAAGAAAAATGGAGTCGAAGAGGATTTGTGTGTGCATTGGGTGAATTATAGATGGTATATGCAGATCTAAGGAAGGAAGATTTGGCAGATTAAGCAGGCCATAACATAAATGGCGATGGTGATGAAGCAAAGGAACAAGGGTGGGACCATATGTAAGGGAATGGGGACACATGCAATTATACAAATCAACCAGATTGCTGGAAAAGGAACTTTATTCAGTGGTGGCGAGTTTACCCAAATAATTCCATTTGAGATGTATATATGGGGCACAGTGTGGTAGGGGGAAGGCAGAAGAAAGAATATGTATATAGGGCAAATAATAGCTGCAGCATGGTGCAGCTGGCTAGGTAGGTGTTGAAGAATATGTATGTGTGTAAATGTTGCAGTTGAGATATAAGGGTGGAAAGAAGGAAGGAAAGAAAGAAAGAAAGAAAGAAAGGAAGAAAGAAAGTGTAGGAGTGTAGGAGTGTAGGGCTGTTTCTTCTTTCCTTGTTCCTGCGATCATTCATTCATTCACTTCTTCTGGTGTACAGAAAAATGAAAAGAAAAGAAAAGAAACCCCACACTAGGAGTCTACTATCTCATCACATCCCCTCACTACGACACTACCCTCTGAGAAAACCGTTGGGGTTTCTCCCTGTTGGGTCGCTGTCCAATCTTCAATATTGCCTACACTCTAATAAATATAGGCCACTAGCTTCTGCAGCCCCCACCTCCCACCCCCTTCTCTATCATTTATTCATGTATTACACTCCCTTGTGCTCTGCTTTTGTTTCTCGCTTTTGTTGCTTTCCTCTGCAAAATTATATGAGTATAATTATGGTGGAGCCATCTGCCAAACTGTTCTCTTCCCACCATTTATTTTTTCCCTTCTTCCATCTTTCCTTTCTGCACTTTCCTCATCAATACTCCATCCCTCTTCACATTTCCATCATATCCCTTTGCCACACCCCCCTCTTACTATTAGTACATCCGCATACACCTACCTGTTCATCTTCCTGCAACATCTTTCAACACATCCTTCTCTGCACTGCACCAAATCACCTTCAACAATTACGCAAACCATCATTTCATATGCCAACTCCATTCAACTTCAATGCATGCTATCTTATTCCAACCCACAAAATCCTCTACATAAAATGCTTGTAAACTGAAACAAGAACCTCTTCAACATTCAAACTTTCATGCCTATCTATCTATCTAACTACGCTCTTCCTTCGGTTCTTTCGTGTATATTTGACATGATTTTGCTTTGTTCCAACATATAATGATATAAAACTATTATGTCAGATCATGGTGGTCCAACAGATGTGTATAATAATGTCACACATAGAAGGTGATGACCCTGTACATGCATAAATTATTGCCCTACACGATTTTATTATTTATTTAAGGTCTTGGGGGCAAATTTTGTATCCGTGACTCAAGACATAAATGGGACATTACACACAAGTTCAAACATGACCATCTCAAAGAGATAAAGCCTGCGTACTCATTTTAATATTCAAACTATTCCAATATAAAAATCAAATTCTTTTTCACGTGTGCTGTGGTTAACATTTGAATGTGACGGAATAAATTGATTAGTGTGCGACCAAAAATTTAACTTTGATTTGCATCATCCTCTTGCTTTTGGGTTCGGGGAGTGTCCTTTGCCTTGCCTTGCACTTTTGTAATTCCTGGACCCGATCACGTCCTTTCTTTTTGGGCCGCATCATGTTATTTCTCGGCCTTTTTCTTTTCTTTTTTTCCTTCATGGACCCAAAATTTATAATCTTAATCTTTTCATGTAAAGTTTGGGAGATCACCAAAAATTATATAAATATTTTTTTTATGAAGTATATCCTCTGTGAAACGTTGTCACACGTTATATAATCTTCATAATTCATAACTTTATTCGTACAAAAATGTACGTTATTAATTACTTTCAAACAATACTTTCATTCAACCTTTCTAAAATTAATTATCATCAAATTATTTTTTATCTCATTCTTAACTTAAACAATTAGTAAATTTTAGTTATTTGTAAGTTTTTAACCAGGCTGAATAACATGTCCTGTGATAAATGTAATTCATTTTATTTAAACAAGTTAAGTAACACTTTATATATTGATATTTAGTTAATAAAAGATATTAAATTAAACGAAACAAATAATAACTACAATAAAATATTAAGTCCCTCCAATAAAATAATCATGGACAAATTGTTTTGAAATAAGTTGAATTCAAAGTCTTGAATTTAGTAATGAAGTTTTAAAATTTTTAAAGTATATTTGTTGTATTCATTAATATGGTCAATGTTTATTGTATTTACAGAATTACTAAATTATAGTGCTTCTGATATTACGTAACCGGGTGGAGGATACCCGCCCCGATCCATGAAGAAAATGATAGCTTGTAAATAATGGTAATGGCGGTCACAGAAATATCTATCCTTAATTAATGAAGGAATGTGTTCATATTAAATTTAGTTTTTATTTTTTTTTGTTTTGTTTTTACTTTTACATAAATCAGGTTTTCTCAGGACATGGTATGTGTCTGGTCTGGTTTGGGGTGAGTGTTTGTGTTCGCGACTGTGTCTGGATTTTGCTCTGTTTCTTCTGTCTCTGTGGCTGTACTTTTTCGTAATAATAATAAAAGAAAAAGCAGCAGCAGCGGAAGAAGAACAAGAAGCAAAATTCATAAAAAAAAAAAAAAACAATTTTTTTTAGCTGGAATCGGAAAAAAAGAAAAAGGAAGGAGAATAAGCGTTGATACACAGCAGAATACTTAAGAGGATTTGTGGTTAGTGATCACCTCTCTTTCTTTGTCACTATTCTCATTCATTATTCTCTTCTATCACTGTGGTTACTATTTATTTTTCTATCAGAGTTTTGCTTTAAGTAAAATCAAAGTGCAAAAAGGGGAAGTGTATTATTATGGAGGATGGGAATAGGGTTCCGGCTGGGGATGACCCCTCTTACTGGCTGGATGCGTGTGAGGATATTTCGTGTGATTTCATTGATTTTGATGTCTCATCCATAGTCTCAGAGCAGCCTGACAACCCTTCCAATCAGGACTTCTTCGGTGGCATTGATAAGATTTTGGACAGCATAAAAAATGGTGCCGGTCTCCCTCTGAATCATGGTGAATCTGCTTCCAACTCTAATGGCACAGCAGCAGGAGCAGGAGAAGTTTGGTTTTCCTCCAATGCCACTTTGGCGGATGGGGGGAATCATCATGCTCATGCTCCTGTTCCTGCTCCCACTGATGCTGCTTTTGACCATTCTGCTGCTATTCGGAGTAATGGGTCGAGTAAAGCGTCTAATGGGAATGAAGGGGGGATTTTGATTAGTTATTCTCAGGAAAGAGGGGTTCTGAATGGAGGCCATGATGTTGATAGCGAAGAAAGGTGCAGCAAAAGGCCACGGCTTGGTGGCTACAAGAATGAGAGGTCTCATTATGGTAGAGGGAATTACCAAGGCAAGGAGAGGGAGAGGGGTTTTAATAATAACAGGAAGAGGCCGCGGGATAGGGACGAGGTTGATAGGAGGGATAGGGATGTTGGTGGAAGGAAAAGAGAACATCATGGTGCTGTTGGCAGGAGGGATGTTAGAGATAGGGATTGGAGGGATAGAGAATCTAGGGGTTACTGGGAGAGGGATAAGTCAGGTAACAATGATATGGTCTTTCGCCTGGGTGCTTGGGAACCCGACCGTAATCGAGAAGACAAAATGGCAAGTGACGTGAAACAAGAGAACAATGGGAAGCTTGATAAGAAATCTGAGGAGGCTAAGGAGAGGGTTCCTGAGGAAAAAGCTAGACAATATCAGTTGGATGTTCTCGACCAAGCAAAGAGGAAAAATACTATAGCTTTCCTTGAAACAGGAGCAGGGAAAACCTTGATTGCTGTTCTTCTCATTAAAAGTATACAGGAGAGTTTGCAGAAGCAAAATAAGAAAATGCTTGCAGTATTTTTAGTTCCAAAAGTTCCACTTGTTTACCAGGTAAAGTAGTTTTTCACAATTTATTTATTTTAAATGCTTTTGGTTGCAGACAAATAGATTTAAGTAATACTATGCAAGTGGTTTCTATTCACTGTTGTGCAAGTCTTGTAGATCTAATTCTCTGTTATGAGTAAGTTGAAGTAATTTCAGTTCCGCCTCTAATTACAGCAAGCTGAAGTGATTCGTGAGCGTACTGGTTATCAAGTAGGCCACTATTGTGGAGAAATGGGACAGGATTTCTGGGATGCTCGAAGGTGGCAGCGTGAATTTGATACCAAACATGTATGTTTCGAATTTTTTGTTGAAGATATGCTGGTCTGTGCTTGCTATCACTTTGTTTTCTGTTATTTTGTACAGTATTTTCTGACTTCAGATTCTGTTTTCTTCTCCATCTTTGTCCACATTCTCCTCACATTAAGAGTTGGCTACTGGTTTAGTTTAACTTTTGGTTCTATTATTGTTGAAAATAAGTAGTTCATATATGGCAATGCATATGTGTTTCTTCATATTGAATTTATTGCTCAGATATCAAAATCGTGGCACATGCAGCCTTTGTAGTAAATGATTGGTCATATCTAGCTGTATAGATTTTTGGTCTTTAACCTTCAATACCACATGGATGGGAAAACAATGTTGTTAAATGGTGGTGCCATGGCGAATTTTTTGTCAACTTCTTTATGCAATTTTTTAATGGAGGTCAGCTATTGTGGTGGCATAGGCTACAATGGCACGTTTTTATGGTATAAGTTTTACCTTCCGCCATATTCCACTATCTGCTGTTGATAACACTGCAGGAAAATTGTACACATCTGTTCAGGTTTGGAAAACAGAAGTTATGGTCTTAATTTTGTGAATTTTAGCTGTTAGATTAAATTTTAGTTTAACTAGTATTATAGTATGTATTAGTATTTATCTATCAGGGGAGGATAACTCTACGGGTTTATGTGGTGGAATTTTGACTTTTTGTCATATTCCAGTATCTGCCATTAATAACACTTGGAAAATAGTACACATTTGTTTAGATTTAGAAAATTGAAGTCAACGCCTATGGTCCTGATTTTGTTTATTTTTAGCTGTTAGATTAAATTTTAGTTTAATTAGTATACTAGTATACTATTATGTGTTTATCAGTATTAGCCTATTTTTGTTGTCATAAATCATATCTGCTTTGTAATTTTAATTGGCGTTTGGTCAATGAATTAACTTCCATAAGTTGAATTCGTATAAGACGTGATCATAGATATGAAATGCTTCTTTTGCTTCCTTTGGTATAATAATTCAGATTTCAGAATGTGTGGGGATGTTGAGTACACTTTTTGATGGTTTTGTACTTCAGCTTTTATTTTCTACAAGATGTTTATCTCAATACTCCAATATTTGATCTGGCTGAGGCTTTTGTGATATTTGTATTTGTTGGAGTTATAAAGAACTTAATTAAGATATAGTAGTCTCAAACAATCTTCTTGATGTTGGTTTAGGCCGTTCAGAGTTTTACAAAAAAATTGGAATGCATATTCATCTAATCTATTATGCTTATATGAAGTATTTTATGTGGATGATATCATCATCATCATCATAAGGAATGATCATACTGGGATTCAACATTTGAAGGATCATCTATTTTGTCACTTTGAAACCAAAGACTTGGGTCATTTAGGATACTTACTAGGAATTAAGGTTGCTTAGTGCAAATATTGGTGACTGGTACGAGAGCTGCAATATTTCATTGTACTCAGATCAGATATTTCTTATGCTGATGGTTTGGTGAACCAGTTCCTTACTTCATCTTAAAAGACCATTGGAATGGAGTTGCTTAAATTTTGAGGTTTATCAAAGGATAGAGGAAAAGTTGGTGTATTAGAACTAGAGAGATAAGGATATTGTTGCTTATATTGATGCACATTGGGCTATATCTCCTTCTTGTCACAGAAGGTACACCTCAGGATATTGTGTTCTCCTTTTGGGGAAATCTCATTTCATGGAAAAGCAGGGACTAAAAGGTGGTTTCAAATCAATTGCTAAAGCTGAATAACAAAGTATGTTCTATGTTAATTCTCTTGTGCCAGCAGATTGGTTTGGCCCTTTTCAATGTCTGCAAGATACAACTTATTCTAAAACCTAGAAATTGTAATTATTAGCTAGTTCGTTGAAGCTCTTGTACTTTCTTTGTATTATTTTTAAATATTAAAAACCAGTGCTTGACCAATTGCTAGCAAATCATACTTAAAAGACATCACTCTATGTGATTTTAAAGTTGTATTGGCATTTGTTTCTGCAAATTTTATTCTCAGAATTTGATTTGATTTGTTGGAAAATTGTTTTTCTATAAGATTCTCAAGTTCTCCCTCTCTTTCCCTATTCATATTGCCACTCCTTGGCGACATGTGTTTATACTACGATTACTCAATTGGCTTTTCTTGCTGTAGGTTTTAGTCATGACTGCTCAAATTCTTTTGAACATTTTGAGGCATAGCATAATAAAAATGGAAGCAATCAATCTCTTGATTCTGGATGAGTGCCACCATGCCGTGAAGAAACACCCATATTCACTGGTGATGTCTGAGTTCTACCATACAACACCCAAAGAGAAGAGGCCATCTGTGTTTGGAATGACTGCTTCTCCTGTCAACTTGAAGGGTAGTTATTCAATTTCTCAACTGAGCTTAAACTACTGTGCTTCATTACTAAGTTTTCAAATCTATGCTTTGTGTTGAAATTATGGGATTTAAGGTATAAGAGGGAGAAAGCGAGATACAAGGGAATGAAACACTAATTTTAAATTAACTGAGATGCATAATATATTGCAACGAATTCATGTGTTTGATGTGTTCTTAAAACCTATAATACTAACCCTTAACCATAATCCTAACTAATTAAGGAAACAAATCATGATATGGTAAGGAGATTTGGTAACTAATTTTAAGAGATAATGAGGAAATAGGGAAACTGAACTTAGAGGATAATCTAGATATGACTAGATATTATAATTTTTTCTTGAGGTTTGAAACCCTTGTTCAACAATTTTGTATTCTTTTATTTTATGCCCTGTTCATACATTGAGTTCCATTTCCAGTCAACATTCTTCATGCATATGATATAATTCAGGTGTCTCCAGCCAAGTAGATTGTGCAATAAAAATTCGCAATCTTGAAAGTAAGCTAGATTCTATAGTTTGCACCATTAAAGATCGAAAGGAGCTGGAGAAACATGTGCCAATGCCCTCTGAAGTTGTGGTGGAGTATGATAAAGCTGCCAGCTTATGTTATCTACATGAGCAGATAAATCAGATGGAGGTTGAAGTTGAAGAAGCTGCAAAATCTAGTTCAAGAAGAAGCAAATGGCAGTTTATGGGAGCTAGAGATGCTGGAGCTAAGGAAGAGCTGCGCCAAGTATATGGTGTTTCTGAAAGAACAGAAAGTGATGGAGCTGCAAACCTAATTCAGAAGTTGAGAGCTGTTAATTATGCACTTGGTGAACTGGGACAATGGTGTGCGTACAAGGTACTTACTATTCCTTGGAGAATGAGGAGTCTTCAGTTTCTTTGCCATCTTTATAAAGTCTCTTTCTTTTTACAGGTTGCACAATCCTTTTTAGCAGCTTTGCAAAATGATGAAAGGGCCAACTACCAACTTGATGTCAAGTTTCAGGAATCTTATCTGAGTAAAGTTGTTTCTCTTCTGAAATGCCAACTGTCAGAGGGTGCAGTTTCTAACAAAAATGCTGGTATTGATGATTCGGAGAATGGTGCAGCTCAATGTGTTTCTGAGCGTGATGAGATGGAAGAAGGGGAGCTTCCAGACAGTCATGGTGAGCCTGGTTGTTGATATGAAACTTTGTAATGGCTCAAAGTTCATTTGCTGAGTAGTTCATAATTTATATTTTTAATTATCCTGATAAGCCATTTTTGTTATTTAATTTGGCAACATCTTAGAGTATATAAGAAATTGAATTACTAATTTTAAAAAATAGATTTTACATGTGTAAGAGTAGTCATAGTTCACCATATATCTAACTTATTCATTGCTTTGTAAAGATATTTAAATATTAAAATATCAGTGATTGAGATGGAATATAGTTTAATCTTTTATTTAAGCTGACCCATTTTTGTTTAGTTGTCTCTGGCGGAGAGCATGTGGATGTCATTATAGGAGCTGCCGTGGCTGATGGCAAGGTGACCCCCAAAGTGCAGGCACTAATCAAAATACTTCTCAAGTATCAGCATACAGAAGACTTCCGTGCAATCATATTTGTTGAGCGTGTTGTGTCTGCATTAGTTCTGCCCAAGGTTTACAAACACACATATTATGTCTATAGTTTCTATTGGTTGATTCGGTTGCATAATCAAGATCCTATTGGTTCCTTGTGTGCCAATACTGGCAGGTCTTTGCAGAGCTTCCATCTCTTAGTTTTGTTAAGTGTGCAAGCTTGATTGGCCACAATAATAGTCAGGAAATGCGGACCTACCAAATGCAAGATACAATTTCCAAATTCCGTGATGGACGGGTACATTTGTGTCTTCTCAGCGTGACAGCTATCATTTTCACTGGGGTATAAATAATCCCTTCTATTCTCTCAATCTCACTAATGTACTCATTTGTAGGTCACGTTGTTAGTTGCCACTAGTGTTGCTGAAGAAGGACTTGATATCCGGCAATGCAATGTTGTTATTCGCTTTGACCTTGCAAAGACTGTTTTGGCATACATTCAATCTAGGGGACGTGCTAGAAAACCTGGATCTGATTACATCCTGATGGTTGAGAGGTACTGATTATGGCAGTTTTAGCTGTTGTCAGTTTCGTTTTTGTTTTGTTCTTCAAGTATATTTTTTTAGAGATTTAGTAAGCCCAAGAGAATTGGAATCTCTTGTTTTGTTCTCTGGGTTTTCTCCTTCCTTTCATGACCTGTTATCTTACTGCTGGTTTGCAAATAATTATGTTATGGCCTGTTTTACTGATCGCAGCACTGTCATTCTTAATTGAGGTGATGGAAGGTTCCCACTCTGCATTCAACACTGATTTTTATTATTATTATTATTATTATTATTATTATTATTTATTTTTATTTTTATTTTTATTGTTCCTCCTCCAAACATTGGTTTTGTAAACCCTCATTTAGTCCGGGAAATTGTATAGTGTCAGTTTCTTAATTCCCTTACCTCAAAATCCTCACTTTAATCCATGACAACGCAGAATGTTATTAACTTTTGTCATTTTGTGTGCAAGAGAAAGGAGTGAAGTTAAGGACTTTTTTCAATGTCAAGGACTAAAGTTAAGATTATATATTAAGGTACGGACTAAAGTGAAAGACACTTACAATTTTAGAGGCTAGAACGAGGGTTTACTCACTGATTTTCTTCTTTCTCCATTAATTTTTAGTTTTGTTTGTTGGTTCAGGCAGATTCCTTGTCCTTTTTCCTCAGTGATTCTTGCTGTCACAAACAATTCTTCTTTTATAATTAATTATGTTTTTGACTTTATAATTATTTTTATTATTTTTATTATTAATACACTTGTCATAATTATCTTTCGTGACATGAGAACTCCAAATTATGTTCTTGGGAAAAGGAAGGTAGGCTAAAGTTGAGGCAAAGTGGCCTCGGTAGGATTTGAAAATGGTTCAAATAGTCTCTTAAGAACCATTGTGCCACATGTACTGAGGCTCTTGTGCTAATTGGCTTTGCTATATACTACATGAACATACTTTCAATTTAGTTGTGGTATTTAATTGAAAAATGTGTTTTAGATTTTTCCATCAATATTGAATTATGCTGTGGAAGTTTCTGCTTCTCCTTATCTGATAGGCATACTGAAAAACTGAAACTGGATTTTTGGTTGGATATGGCATTAATCAGCATTATGTTCATAAGTTTACCAAACATACATGATGTTTTATATTTGAGTGGAGGGATGCCGAGTAACTGAACTCTTTCCCTCTCCCCTACTTGTGATTTGTCTTGTATATACAGGGGCAATTTGTCACATGAAGCATTCCTAAGGAACGCTAGGAACAGTGAAGAGACTTTGCGCAAAGAAGCAATAGAGAGAACCGACCTTAGTCATCTGAAGGACACTTCCAGATTGATTTCTGTTGACACCAGGCCTGGAACAGTTTACCAGGTGAAGTCAACTGGTGCAGTTGTGAGTCTTAATTCTGCTGTAGGTCTTATCCACTTCTACTGCTCTCAGCTACCTAGTGACAGGTGCTGCATTTTGGCTTGAGATTGGTAGTTTGCTTTACCAGCCTCTTTTTAAGCTTCAAATTATGACTTGGATGTAACCTTTATCCAGATATTCAATTCTTCGTCCTGAGTTTATTATGGAGAAGCATGAAAAACCAGGAGGTCCCACAGAATATTCTTGCAAGCTTCAACTGCCGTGTAATGCACCATTTGAAAATCTTGAGGGTCCGATATGCAGTTCTATGCGTCTGGCACAACAGGCATGCCATCTTTTATTATGAATTTGATTGATTTTGCTAGTTAGGGTATGTTAGTTAGTGTTGTTTACAGTAGTACAATAGTCTTTGTTTTGTTAACTGTCACATAAGTGCTGTGTCAGCACAGTAGTTTTTACCTGCTAAGCACTCTTATTAGAGTGTCTAAAAATGTTCACTCTGCTGAATGACTCAGTAATAATAAAATATATCTTCTCTTTCAATTTCTCTTTGAATATTAAATTGTAACACTGCTCATCTTTATCAAAAACCATTTGTTGATTTGGTGTTTTCAGGCTGTTTGTCTGGCTGCTTGCAAGAAACTGCATGAGATGGGGGCATTCACTGACATGCTATTGCCTGATAAAGGAAGTGGGGGAGAAAGAGAAAAGGATGAACAAACTGATGAAGGAGATCCACTTCCAGGGACTGCTAGACATAGGGAGTTCTATCCTGAAGGTGTGGCTGACATACTAAAGGTTGGTTCTTTCTGCAAGCTATGCAGTCTAAGCGATCTTTTTGTAGGGGTTTTGTTATATGGCTGACCAGTACACCATTTAATTAGTCATTTGTAAAGAAAGATTGTGTGTAATACCTTTATCCAGTGCTATGATCTTGAAGGCTTTAACATTGGTTAATAATGAAACAAAGAAAATAATGGAGACAGGGATACCTTATACAGAAATGAAAATTCACCAAATTTGTAGCTGTGCTACAACAAGCATGCTATTTTAGTCTTTAGTTACAGGATAGATTTGTTGTCTTGCCCTCATTATTGCCTCATGCTATTTGAACTTTCAGGGAGAATGGATCTTATCTGGAAAAGATGCTTGCAAAGACTCCAAATTGCTTCATCTTTACATTTATGCTGTGAAGTGCGAAAATATAGGTCACTCAAAGGATCCGTTCTTGACTCAAGTTTCAAATTTTGCGGTACTTTTTGGCAATGAGCTGGATGCAGAGGTAGTAATTTCTATTTATGCTACTGCTTCTACTTCCATTTTTAGCATCATAAACTCATTTACTCTTTTCTAATCATATTCATTTTTTAGGTGTTATCGATGTCAATGGATCTATTTATCGCTCGAACTGTGACTACAAAGGCATCTCTTGTCTTTATGGGGTCGATAAATATCACTGAGAGTCAGGTTGACAGATTAATTATTGTTTGTGCTTGTTATAAATGTTCTATATTTTTTTCAAAATTTAGTTTCTTATACTTCAGTAAAACCTATTTTTTATGACATGCAGCTGGCATCCCTGAAAAGCTTTCATGTAAGATTGATGAGCATTGTCTTGGATGTGGATGTTGAACCATCTACCACTCCTTGGGATCCTGCAAAGGCATATTTGTTTGTCCCAATGTTTGGCGATAAGTCTGTAGATCCTATGAACCAAATTGACTGGCATCTGGTTGAGACAATAATTGGAGCCGATGCATGGAAAAATCCCCTCCAGAAAGCTCGACCAGATGTTTACCTTGGTACTAATGAGAGAACGTTAGGTGGAGACAGAAGGGAATATGGATTTGGGAAATTGCGTCATGGCATGGCTTTTGGGCAAAAATCACATCCTACATATGGAATCAGAGGAGCTGTGGCCCAGTTTGATGTGGTCAAAGCTTCAGGATTGGTTCCTCATAGAGATTCCATGCAAACACAAAAGCAAATCAGTATGACTACCGATGGAAAATTGATGATGGCAGATACCTGTACTAATGCAGAGGATCTGGTAGGGAAAATTGTAACTGCTGCTCATTCAGGGAAGAGGTTTTATGTTGATTCAATACGCAGTGACATGTCAGCAGAGAACTCTTTCCCTAGGAAAGAAGGTTATCTTGGTCCTCTGGAGTACAGTTCATATGCTGATTACTACAAGCAAAAGTATGATACATTACGAATATGATAGTCTCCTTGTTTATTTCCCCATCCAGTCAAGCCTCCCTATCCCATTTTCTGTACTCTTTTGTATCGTATGTCTTGAAAATTCTTAGCATTAACTTGTTAGCCACATTGCACCTCTAATGTTGTGCAGGAAGAGCGAGGGGCTAATCTTAATCTGTGAAGGAATCTTCTGTTGTCACCTCTAAATAGTGAGGACTTTATCAACAATGTTCCATGGAAAGTGACAATAACTTGTTCCTTCCAGATTAGAGAAGCTTTTTGTCTCTTCTTGCACAACTGAGGGTGTGCATGGCTACTGGTTCTTTTTATTGCTTTGCTGTAGGTATGGAGTTTATTTGATTTACAAGCAGCAACCTTTAATAAGAGGGCGTGGTGTATCATACTGCAAGAATCTTCTTTCCCCTCGATTTGAGCACAGTGAAGGTCTGTGCTCATAGTTCTCATAATTTTTATCCTGGAATTATTATGTTTTGAAAATTTGTGGACCCTTGTTTAATGGGAAATGTCATGTCATTGTATAGCACATGAAGGTGACTCTGAAGAGGCACATGACAAAACTTATTATGTTTTCCTTCCTCCTGAGCTCTGCCTTGTACATCCACTGCCTGGATCACTTGTCCGTGGTGCCCAGAGGTTGCCTTCAATAATGAGGAGGGTTGAAAGTATGCTACTTGCAGTTCAGATTAAGAATATGATAAATTATCCTGTCCATGCTTCAAAGGTATCTTCTCTGCTCCCGGTATTTAGATTTTTAGTTCTAGTTTCTTCAGTTAACCCATGCCTTCTTTCGGAACAGATCTTGGAAGCCTTGACCGCTGCCTCTTGCCAGGAGACATTCTGCTATGAAAGAGCAGAGCTTCTTGGAGATGCTTACCTGAAATGGGTTGTGAGCCGATTTCTTTTTCTAAAATACCCGCAGAAACATGAAGGTCAACTTACTAGGATGAGACAACAAATGGTCAGTAACATGGTATTATATCAGTATGCATTAAGTAAAGGGCTTCAATCATATATTCAAGCCGATCGCTTTGCTCCATCCAGATGGGCAGCTCCTGGGGTTCTGCCTGTCTTTGATGAGGATACCAAGGATGGGGAGTCATCTTTGTTTGACCAGGAGCGATCCATTTCTAAAACTGAGAAAATGGATTGTCAGACAGATGGATATGAGGATGAGATGGAAGATGGCGAGCTTGAGAGTGATTCAAGTTCTTACAGAGTTCTGTCCAGTAAGACACTTGCAGATGTTGTGGAAGCACTGATTGGGGTATATTACGTAGAAGGTGGTAAAAATGCTGCTAATCACCTTATGAAATGGATTGGGATTCAAATAGAGTTTGATCCTGATACGATGGAGTGTACAAGAAAGCCATTTAATGTTCCAGACAGCATACTTAGGAGTGTTGATTTTGATGCTTTAGAGGGTGCTTTAAATATGAAGTTTAAAGACAGGGGGCTGTTAGTAGAATCCATCACACATGCCTCCCGACCATCTTCAGGAGTATCCTGTTATCAGCGGTTGGAGTTTGTTGGTGATGCGGTCTTGGATCATCTTATCACCAGGCACTTGTTTTTCACTTACACAAATCTGCCACCAGGACGGCTCACTGACCTTCGGGCTGCTGCTGTAAACAATGAAAATTTTGCACGTGTTGCAGTTAAACACAACCTTCATGTGCATCTCCGACATGGATCCAGTGCCCTAGAAAAACAGGTCTTGTTTCTGTCTAATGACTTTTTAGTACTACTTAGTGATGAATAATATGACCTATCCGTAATATTCCTAATTTATTTATGCAAGTTGATGATTTTGTTGGGTTGCCCAATATTGAGATTTTGGTTGTCTACAGATTAAAGAATTTGTGAAGGAGGTTCAAGATGAATTGTCAAAGCCAGGTTTTAACTCCTTTGGTCTGGGAGACTGCAAAGCTCCCAAGGTCCTTGGTGACATTGTTGAATCTATTGCAGGTGCCATTTTTCTTGACAGTGGAAGGGATACTACTGTTGTTTGGAAGGTTAGTGCCCAACTTTTAAGCATACGGCCATTTTTTCCTGTATTCATTTACAAAATGGAAGAAAGAAAGAGAAACTGATGGATATATAATGGATCTCCCAATTTTGTCAGGTTTTTCAGCCTCTTCTGCATCCTATGGTTACCCCAGAGACTCTACCAATGCACCCTGTGCGAGAGCTGCAAGAGCGATGCCAGCAGCAAGCTGAAGGCTTAGAGTATAAAGCAAGTCGTATTGGCAATTTAGCGACTGTTGAAGTATTCATTGATGGGGTGCAAGTTGGTGCTGCTCAAAATCCACAGAAAAAGATGGCACAGAAATTAGCTGCCAGAAATGCCCTTGCTGCTTTGAAAGAGAAGGAGGCGGGAAAAACTCAGGAGAAGAATGACGAAAACGGGAAAAAGAATGGAAACCAGACATTCACTAGGCAAACATTAAATGATATCTGTTTACGAAGAAATTGGCCTATGCCATTCTATAGGTATGAAATTATTGAGTTACCTATATAGTATTGCAATTTGCAAATTGTTGGTCACTAGAGCTAACCATCTTTACTTTTTTTAATACTGAAACTTGTAGGTGTGTAAATGAGGGTGGTCCAGCACATGCAAAGAGGTTTACATTTGCGGTGCGAGTCAATACTACTGACAGAGGATGGACGGATGAATGTGTTGGAGAGCCAATGCCAAGTGTCAAAAAGGCCAAAGACTCAGCTGCCGTTCTACTCTTGGAACTACTAAACAAATTATACTCGTGAAAGATGGAGTGATTTTAATTCACATTCTATCTAGCCAAATATCCAAAGCATTCATGCGCATCAGGTTTGAACCCAGCGTTATCAACTGGTTCAAACATTGTCTCAATCAATGGTTGAATAAATAAGAAACAAGAGATGCTACGGTTTATAAATTTATTATATATGTACAATTATAAGAAAATAGCTTGTAGTTCACATTTTCGTCTTCTTCCCTACTGGCATAGGCACCTGAGACCTTAATTTAATGTTTACGAGAACACATCTTGGCCAGTATTTTGGGACGGATTATAAATATATGTCAGACAACCAGCATTTAAGTGCCTTGTTGACACTGCCATTGAAGGTTAAGTGTACTATTTTGTAGCTTGTATGCATTCTAGAAACAGATTATGCAAAATATTGAATTACTCTACGATATTGCACTTCTACTAGATGATTTTGAGTCTAGAATGAAGGTTAAATACGACTCGAGTCAACATTGATGAAAACACTGCCAAATTATGGCTTGGAAACTGGTAAACATAGTTAAAGCACTTCAATTTCGATTATTATATATGAAGCTTTTTACATAGAAAGTACAGTTGATATTAAGCATTACATTAAGCACGGTTAATAAACCAAACAGGTTGTAAATTATCCGGCTAAATACAAAACTATGAAGAATATATAGGGTTGATTAAGATATATCAAAACAACGGTAGATTTTCTCTTATTCTTATTGTTGGTGGAGAACGTAGAATAGCATTTTTGCCTATCGCCTCAAGGTGTGCAGAATATACTCTGCGTAGAGATCCCTGCACCAAATTAGAGGCAAGGTTAGTAGCGTCAAAAACATGCAGCAGATTCCAGATTTATAATGTTTTCTTTTTTTCTAATAATTACCTTACTTTTTTCTTCTACCCTTATTTCATGTCCAATAAAAGGGTATATTTTAATAGGTGTAGCAAAATGTGACGTGAAATAAACGAGATTCTTGCACTATAGGGAAGCATTAATTGTATAATAAACATGTTAGGAATGACAAAAATTGACAACAAAAGCATGGCAGGAGAGATTGATTTAGGAGTGACAATAAATGACATATATATGTGATGTGAGTATATACTTACATTGAGTACTTGATGGCATCAATAGCAACGCTTGCTGGTAGAAAATCATTAACTGCCACCTCCTTGTGCTCGTTCTTTTTGTCTTAGCAAATGTGTTAAGAAACAACATTCGAATTTTGACGAAAATATGAACTAAACTTAGAAGAAAATTAGGCAGCAAATTGTTGAATTAATTAAGATTGTGATGAATGGGATACAGTCTTCAAAGAAGCGTCGGATCTCAGAGATGCGATGAGGTGCAAGTTCTTTGTAGTCGGTAAAGTGCTTATATTCTGGATCATCAGCGCACACTGCAATAATTTTATCATCTTTCTCTCCCTGTGTCAAAACACATGTGTTATTGTGTAATGGAAAAGAAGTGGGAATGGTTTTATTGGCATAGAAAGCAATAGAGATAGATACCTGGTCAATCATGGGCATGAGTCCAATGGCCCTGGCTCGCAGGAAACAACCAGGAAGAACTGGTTCCTACCGTCAACCACAGTAATTCATTCAGTAAGCTAACTATGTTGATATTTAGAGGGAGAAATTCATTCAACAATTAACATGTGTTAAAGACATTGATTGTTTAGAAATAAGTACATTTTTAATATGTCCCACGCAACATTACTCATGTTTTTAATTTTAAATGGTGGACTGCTTATGTTTAGGATTTCAAAAAATGGATGGAGTCAAGAAAATAAATTATTTTATCTCATCCTCCATTGCAGACCTTTGCACTAATGGCTAATGCAATATTTGAGTTGATTAGCCATCTCAGTCTTTCATTTGGTGAATATAAATTAAAAATTAACTTTGAGGCTTTGTTTTCCATCTCTGCAATTCAAATGGGTCAACATTTCCTCAGTAGCTTTTAACTTACGGCTAATAAAAGAGGGAACTTTACAAATATAATAGGATATGGTTTTATGCAGAACTACCATAACTGTTTAGTATTAGGACTGGGGCTCTCTTTACCTGCATGAGGACCAAGACATCAATTGGATCATTGTCTTCACACAGTGTGCGAGGGATAAAACCGTAGTTGTGAGGATAAACAACAGATGAATACAAAACTCGATCAACCTGAGCATTATTCGGATAGTAAGAACAATAATGTAAAGCATAAAGATGAGTGGTTAAGGGAAAAAAAATCAGCTGGCTATAAGTTCTCTGAAATTTGTTTCAAATTACAGCACACGAGAAGAGACTTCCATTTCAATAACCATGGAATTAGTTTGTACCTTAATTAGTCCAGTCTTTTTGTCAAGTTCATACTTGACCTTGCTTCCTTTAGTGATCTCTACAACCTGCAGGAGGAACACGCAGAAACACCATTTCACTACAAAATTGCAACTCGAGAATGGAATTGCAGGAGTCACGCAATTTCTACTATGGTCCGTGGAAACAAGTTTTCGGAGATCCAACCAAGTTTGAAAAAAATTGAGATTCAGTAACCTAGTACAGTATTGCACTAGAGCAATGGCTGCAGGTTGAAAATACTAGGTTTATTTTGGACTTATTTTCGTAGTAACACGGTAAGAGATGACATAATGAGGCAATAAGCATTCTTGTAAAGCAGAAGATGAGAACTTACACAGTTGAAAATCTGAGGAGCCTCGGGTCCTGCATATTTATGAAAATTAAGTAGTTTTTAACATGTTTTTGAATCTTGCCTGAAATGTAAATGGAATGCAAATTGGCAAGATAAATATATTATATAAGCAAGAATACCAATTTCAAGATCATGCCAAGGATGAGCAGCTACTGATCTCCTTGACAGAGAAGAAAGAATCCTTTCATTCAAACGGGGAACTTCACGGTTTTCTTGAACTTCTTCACCATTCGCAGCCATCTTTGAAGATATGGCATAGAAATATGGGATGAAAAAAGTAACCAAAAAATGGTGCATGCAAAAAGCAGAAAATCTGCTGCGAAGAAAAGGAATGGCTAACATGCAATGCAATGCAATGCAGATTATTACAAGGTTTGAAACAAAGAAAAGACGTACCTTGACAATAAGTAATACTATTAACGAAAGAAAGTGTAAAAGGGTTGAAAAGAGAGAGATAGAAGAAAGTGGAATAGTTGATGTATTTATATAGAGATCTGAAGGGAAAGGGAAGGGAAGAAGAAAAGACTTGGTCAAATTGTTCAAAGCATATTCTTCGGGTCTTTATGGGAGCTTACCTTTCCACTTGTTTCATGCAAATTTCAAACTTCATTCTCTCTGTATTAACCTCTATATTCCTTGAAAGCCAAGTTATTAAGCAAATTATTCACGCTTTTTTTTTTAGAAACTTCTTGACTTTTTTTCCCGTTTTATTCTTTCTAATTTTAATTTTTGGATAATATTGTAAAATGATACATTTCTTACGGTAATTTGTAGTTGACTTCTGGTATGTATATTTTTTTTCAACTATCTTTATGAGAAATGAATATGCATTAATGGAGAAATTTTACATAAATGTCGTATACCTAATTTTGGATTTGTTTTGGATTGGTGAAAAAACTTGTTTTATGAAATTTATTCAAATTAAACACGTGACAGTCTAAAGAATATGCAAAATGCTTATTTACTTCCTGCTATAAGCATTGCAAATATCTTTTTTATTTAAGAAATAAACTTTATTCACCTGTGCCTTTTCTTTTGCATAATTTACGCTCATTAATTCACCTAGAAAATGTTGTAAATCAAATTCTAGGAAATACAAAGATAGAGAAATTTCCATGCACTAAAAGAACATGTCATAGGGAAATATTTTTTACGTAATCATATAAATGCAAGTTTTAGTAAAAACCATCCTAGTTGCTTGATTGAAGATTGTATATAATTCATATAGAATGTATGAGAATAAAATTATTTATGCAAGCCTCTCTAGTTTTGAAACTATATGTCTTTATTTTTTATTGAATTGATGAAATAGTGTAATTGCCTTGTTCTTTTAATACTGTACATTGATATTCTAATTATGGTAACTAGTTAAGTTCCTTAGTGTCTCATTCCTCATATCATTCATACATCCGCTGTTACCATTGATTAGTTTTGCATTAACAATCATCATAGGTTAATAACGTAACATTTAGAATGAAATTATCTAACTGAAGAATTTAGTCATCCAATCCAAATCATGAACATGCAACCATTTGGTCGCCAAGATTTCCATACAAATGCTCACTCATTAAAGAATCTCTCTATTGAAAATGGTTTCCACACTGTCAATAGCAGTTTTGATTGAATTTATTAAGTTACAGCTACTGCATACACTTGCTTTGTACCTTAGTGAAGTATGTCAGGACCAGAATATTGGATTCATTCCCAAAATGTACAGTGGCGGGGAAGTTATAGTTCACAAATAAACACGTACAATTAAGGTTGTTTATCTTTTTCTGTTTTTGGGACTGCCAAACCAAACTCACTGGGACATGAAAGGAGGAAAAATTCAGGGGACATTCATAGAATCAGGAGACAGTGATATCATCTGAAGAAGGCTTGAATTTGAGAATGTCTCCTCCAGTGCAGGTCCTTTGCTATCAAGACTTTCTTTAGTCAAGTGTACTAACTCCCTCACAACATCAACCATTCCTAGCCTTCCATCTCCACCAAATAACAGGCATCTTGTGGCAAGATCTGCAATGATTTGCATTTGCTCTTGGCGATAATGTGGTTGTTCATGGTAGCAAAGAAAGGGGTCAAAAATATCTTCAAATTTTCCTGCCCTTATTTGCTGCAAGGCCAAAGTTGGTAAATCCAAGCGATTTGAGCCTGAGATAATCTCAAGAAGCAATACACCCATGTCATAAACATCATTTTTGCAGATGCCAAAGCCTTCATAGTTCTTGTGTAAGTTAGAACCATAGTAAAAATTGGAGTTGATCAGACCAAATCCTGCAATCTTGACAGAATAATCATCATCTAGGAAGATGCAGGCAGATTTAAGGTTATGGTGAAATATGGGAGGATAGTTCTCGAAGTGTAGGAATGCAAGAATACTCGCTGTTTCTGCAGCAATAGTCAGTCTCCTATACCAATCTAAACGAAGTTGTTGTCCTTTGCTTTGATGTAAATATTCCTCCAGAGTACCATTGGAAGGAAACTCATAAACTACCAAAGTGTTGCCAGATTCAATACAGCAACCAAGAATCCGGGCCATGTTTCTATGTACTATAGAAGATAGAACCTCGATCTGTGACAGGACTTGAATTAAGTCTTTCTTCTCACATTGTAATTTGTGGACAGCTATGTGAGACCCATCCCCTAAAACTCCAGCGAAGATTGTCCCATTGTTGCCATGCATAAGTTTCTGACCCTCTTCAAAACCTTTAGTGGCTTCATCTAGCTCGTGGAGGCTGAATAGTCGAGTTTTACAAGCTTTGGGGATTGAAATGTTTTGATAGTAAGCTTGCTCGGTGTCAAACATCCCCGCTTTTGTTGGCCTTTTAAGAAGATAAAATAGTGCAATCAGGGAGGCAACAATCAGAACTGGGCCAACGATTCCTGCATGTTGAGTTGAGGATGGCATTAGATTGACACAAGAACTGGCCATGAGTGCCATATTATGTAGATTAAGGAAAACGGTGAAAAGTTGAAAGCAAATCTGGTAGTCATGAATCCTTGTGTGACCTTTGCATAATTGATGTTGTAGTTTTTGAGTTGGCACACTCAAAACTTTAGGAAAATAAAATTATTTGAATTTTACAATTCTCTATTACTTACCGGCAATTATAACAAATTTCCTTTGATCATGTCTTTTGCCGTCGCAGTCACTTCCATATGCTTCCTTTCCGTCCTTTATGCAGGCTGTCATCAATACATCAACCATGAGCAAATGCCATGCTCAAATGTAGAGGGTCAAGAAATCATGCAGTTTATATGCTCATAGCCCAAAAATATCCATTGGCGGAAGAAAAGGGAGTTGCTGATCTTTCATGTGTCGTGATATTTACCAAGCTTTAATTAGCTTATTCAAATTTTCTTAATGGACAAGTGAGAAACCAAAATAGTATTTCTGGTTCAAAAACCTGCTTCTACTGTCCATGAAGAAATGGTTTTCTATGAGCAAGAAAGGCCAATCTAGAGAAATAAATGTACAAAAAATGAGAAGAAGAAACTTGAATTTTTCAAGAATTATATATCAGCAGTCACTGACCAGAGTGTTACTGGTAAATTTCTACCACACCCTTGCGTGCATCACATTTTCTTTCAAAAAGTTGCAATACAAACAGCGTAATTGCAAATATGTAATGTCATTAAAACAAAGACTCTTTATCAACCTGATTATGATATAAACTACTCACCCTGCAGACATCCAGTCCCATTAGCGAAACCATCACCAACATATCCATTTTGACAGACACATCTCACGCCTCCTTCGATTGCTGTAGCATTGGCCATGTAAGCATTCCTTGCACAAACTTGCTTAGAGGAGTTTCGGGGAAGTGCCCATTCCAACTTGACCCCACGTTTTCCCCAAGTTGAGCCTCGCAAAACGGCCCAACTAGAAACCCCCCTGCATCCAAACTGAGAAAACACCGAAAACCCATCTCCAACATGCCATATGGTATGGTCAGAGAGTGGATAGCAACAGGCAAGAGAACCTCCACCCCTTCCATCACAACCAGGCAAGTCAATAGTTTCACAATCTGCTTTGCACAGAGAGGAATCCTCACAATCATAGAGGCCAATAACATTGTCAACCGAGACTCCAAAGTTGTCCTTCCCTGCAAAGCTTCTGCCAAAAGAATTCAAGTCATTGTACTGTCTACAGGACGATGAGCCGGGAAAGTCCACCAGCACACCATCTGGGAAGAATTCCAAGACCGTGTAGCTAACCGAGCCAATTCTGAGCAAAAGGGCAGATGAATTTGTGCACGACAGATGGAAGGCACTGGAAATCGACTCACAAGAAGAGTTGACATAGAAGGGAAATGGAACATGGAAGTCCCCGCATGTTTCATTGCAAGAGTTTGGAAGCAAAGGAGCTTGTGGCTCTTTTCCTTGCTCTTGGAGGGAACAAGAAAATGGAAAGAACACAATAAGCCCAACAAAAGTCAGGAGGACAATACGTGACATTGTACGTTAGTTTCTAAGGAAGAAGAGAGGTGAGTCCAGTGTAAGTGTAGTTCCTCCTCAATTTAACGGCTCTTATAATAATCAGAAAGCATCAAATATTACTGTGCTGTATGTACATTACAAATTCATTCATACATACATACATCATAACAATAACAATAAATAATAAGTAAGCCAAAGTACTGCAGTAGTAAACTATCCTACAGCAGTAACATACTTGTGCTACAGTTAGTTGTGATGAGATGAGAAGGTAGGCTCTGAAATGTGCAATGAGAGACATGGAGATGAAGACGTGGCGAGATCAGGGAGGTAGTGGGTGGTGTGAAGGAGGCATAGAAGTTGGAGAAGGAGGAGACGATTGGTCTGAGGAATGGGGTACATTTCGTATCAGAATAATACATGGGAGCGTGTGCTGAGCGAGCGTGGCCAAGGTTGTGAGCATTTCAACCTTGTTGAATTGCACAAAGCGTAATTACGTAGCATTCAGTATTGTGATCTTGCATGGGAATCGAGATTTGTAGCACAAACTGAGAGGAATAATCAATATACTATATAAATGAATCCATGTTAATATTTGCTAAAGTTACGAACAAAAAATATTTGATTTCTACACTCTCCATGACACCATTTTTTTATTCGTACTCTTCATATCTATGAATTGAAATTCAAACCATAGTTTACTGTTTTTTTTTTCTTGTGTGTGGAAGTAGTGGGTTCCTTATACGTGCGTGTGTGTATAATAAAAACGAAGAGCAACATAGTTTAAGGATTACGGAATGTCAGTGAGATAGATCTGTAAACAATGAATGTATGGAAAGGAATATGGATGCGTACCTTACAAAAAGAGAAGCATGAGTAGTTAATGCTGTTGGGGACCCACCTCGGACAAAACGATGTCACAGGCCCACCACCTAAAGCCCACATAAACATTAACCTAATCCAATTTAACAAACTAAAACACATAGTTAAGTCTTGGTTAGACATTGATCTGATGGCTCAAAGAACACAAAAAAACAGTGTTGTGAAGCAGCCATTGTAGCACCCAATTACACACAGAAACAGCACCTTCTGCTGGTTACATCTTATTCACAACATGTAATTATGTTCAGCCATCTAATCGTCAACACATAATTATGTTGTTTTGTTTTTTTCCACCGCTGTGACCGGCACAAATCTTTTTATATGGAGCCAAAGAAAAAAGGTAGCAGAGATTAAGGTTCACCTTGCCGTGTTAGGTGAGAAGCAAGATGTTTCTTTCTTTTAGATGTGCAAATTGAATGATAATGTTCCATTCAATGACAATTTTTTAAGAGGAAATTATCATAGAGTAAATACAATACTTATACTAATATTTAATTAGTTCATAAGTTACACAAAAAATATTGAACTCATGAGGTTGAATTTCTTCGCACAATTAAATCTCAATTTATTAGCATAACTATTTTTTAAAAAAGAAAATACTTTCTCTGACCAATAATTTTTCTCAAATGAAATTATTGAAAATAACAATTTGTATAAAATATTTAATATAATTGTATACATATATACTAAGCGTATTATAATAATAATAATTGATGTGATCAATTTACCAAATCATCTTTTTAAAAACTATTCTGAAAATTTTTCAATTTTAACTTTACATTGTTGAATGGAGCAGTGTTCACTGTTTCATAATTTAAGCAGTATCTGAAACTTCTTAATTAAGTTATGGTCTTCAACTATGGTGAATAATAAATAAATGTTAGGTAGGTTTTGGCTTCTAATAATCATGATTTGGCTACACTCTTCTTCTTAGTCAAAACTTATTTAATACTTACTTCCAATAAGTTTCAGATCAAATATCCAGTTACTTACTAAGTGCATGCATATTTCAATAATTTTAATCATATTATTATTTATTCCCATACTATAAATAAAAATCATTATTTTGAGACACGTACTATTTCCATTAATGTATCAACAACTAACTATTTTTCCTTTTCCAATTTAAACTACGTTTTTTTATCGCTATCTTTTAATTAAAATTCAATATTTTTTTCATATTATAAATAATTTAAAACAATCTTATATCACATTTTATATTTTTCACTTTAAATCTAAATCATAATTTATATATTAAAAATATATGTATTATCAATTTTAATTATAGAAAGTAAATTCTACACACTACATATACTAGAGTACTAGTTAGTTATTAATTTGTAATTTATTATGAAAAAAAATCATATCTAAAATTACTAATGTATGAAATTATTGGATAAAGTGCATGATACATGGTCATCATAACATAAAATGTTTAAATAATTACCACTAATTTAAATTTATCATCTCAAAATTTACCTTTTTATTAAAAAAATAAAAATGACCAATCCTATCATTATTTATGTATGTAAATCTTTCTTTTTAATTATTTTACTTTACTCAACATATGTAAATCTTTCTTTTTAATTATTTTAGTTATGCACATATATAAATATTATACACAAAACTACACAATCACGGTTCAACAAAAAAAAATGAGCCCAAATTGGTAGCCGAACTTAAATCTGGGCCAGCTTTGAACCAATTCGAATCGACAGAATAGGAAATGATCCAGAATAAAATATATTTTACATTAATAATTAAAAACAACTTATATGATTATAAATGTATTATCTTTAGTTAAAAAAAAAAACTTGCTTGATAATTCAAAATCTTAAACTTTAAATCCGTTGTGAAGATTAAATGTATTCTTAATTACATTTTTGTGATGTTGTTGTTTTAATAATATGACGTAGCGAATTTCATGAAATAATATTCCTCTGAAAGTATAAGTACAACAATAATTTATAGTTAATAGTAATTGAGAAGCAACATAAATATTTTTTAGGATATAAAATAATAAAGTAGTGAAAGTAGAGGGATAACTTGTTCTTTTATTTTATACTCGCTCTTACCATTTTGAAGATGAACACGTACCTCTCTCCAACACAATGATAATCAAATGCCACCAAACTTTCCATTGTTTAACACTTCGTCTCTTCCTCACAAACTATCATGGGATATGTTTCTATAGTACATACTTACTATATAATAAACCAAATATGAAGACCTGTATCCTAATGAATGTTCTTGTTCTGTGACTGAACCTCTATATTGATCATGTGAGATTTCATCAAAGAATGCAATTCTAGAAATTTCGGACTAAAATCATGATCGCAAAGTCTGTATAATAAGAATCAAATTGTTTAATAAATATAATAATGAAATAATAGGATTCTGATCAGAGAGTAGAAATTTCAAATACAAAACAGAATAGCTCATTAAAAAAAAACCTTAGTATTAGTTTATAAACACGTTTTACTTGAATCATACGTAAGGATTTGGAGATGAGTAACCAGCTAAACTCTAAGGAAAACATTTAGTCGGATGAGATTTGAAAAAATAACCTTAGAAATTCAGGATTTAACAATATTCATAATCAAATAATAGGTTATACAATAATCTCAATAAATTTTGTTGTTAAGATGAACTTTGATAATATTATTAGATGCAAAGGAAAATCCAAGAAATTGGAGAAAGGTGATGGAAAATGAAAGAAAGAAAAGTCCCTTCTTCCCAGAATATGTATGTTGGTCGCCCCAGCCAAACATAAAAGAAAGAAAACTTCCTGTCCGAGGATTTCTCCTTAAACTTGGAAATATTTTGTGATGGAGGAAAATAGTTGACTGAATGATAGATTATAAATTTCTTAAATGATGAATGCACAAACAGTACTTAATGTGTCTTGTCTAAGTCTAGTTTAGCGGAGTTTTAAACTGAGGTAACATCAGTCCAAGAAAGAAAAAGAGTGTATCATGTGGTAATTTAATATGGTACACACACCTACACGACAAGTTTCGTGAGCTGCAAATAAGCAATACAGACACTGAACAAAGGCACTCAGAAATGATATACGCAAAACTAGAGATTTTCTCTGTGGTCGCATGCATATTTCTATCAAGCATCAAGTTGAAGCTTCCTCATTCAAGCGTATTCTCTTAGGACCTTTCTCTTCACCTTGGTTGCAGGCCGTTCCGATCATGTTTTCATTGGCCTCTACTGAACATCTTTTGTAAGGTTTAAACCCTGTCCGACGTGTCTTCAGCTTTCCTTGTCCAAGACCTATGGTTAGCAATCCCTCCCCCTCACGATTATCTTTGACAAATGGCAGAATTTTCGGCACCCCATCAAAATTAGGACTGCAGTTTTTGGTTTCAAGGTCTTCATCTTTGAAGTCTGTGTTTTGCTTTTTATCCTTGATGCTGTCTATCTGATTATCTGCATTTATCAAATGAGGAGGAGGTGAAAAGCTTTGTGGCAACACCTCTCTGGAGAATAGAGCCTGAAAAGCAAGCCGCCCCTGAAAATAACAGTGGTATGAGCAAAGAAGCAATAAATGCATTCACTACATCAACATTGCATCATAAGATAAACAGTCATATACCTCTTCAGATACCTCCTTCCAAGAATCAGTAAGGTAGCTAATGCTTCTACTGCGACGATTATTAGGCTCAGTACCTAAAAGGTTTGCATCAGGTGTGTTGGGCTCTTCCTTGTCTTTCTCATCCTTCTCTAGTATTTCAGTCTCTTCACTGCTTGAGGCTGTGTTAGAACCACACGACGAGCGGTCTACTGGTTTTCTGCCTTTTATTTTGTCCGAATCTGGATTCTCGGAAATTGCTTGGTTCATCTCATGATTAGTAGCCTTTGATGTAGTATTTACATTGGTGTCTCCCTTCTCCTCAGATTCGGATGAAGAAACAGCTGGTGACTTCGAAGCTGAGTGTTGAGCTTGCAGAACTTCTGATTGTTCAGGATCCAGTATCTGATCTTGCAGAGTAGGCTTTTGTAGCTTAATCTCTTGTTGGCTTTTTTCTGGTAATTCACCCATAGTCATGCATGGAGCTGCAGTTGCTGATGCTGGAGGACAAGCAAAGGCCGTATGAAGTGGAGTACACAAAGGAAGAAGTCCATGAGCAGCCCACCATGCAGTTGCGGCGGCTACTGTAGCAACTGCAATAGCTGACACACTTTGAGGAGAGCCAATTTGTCCAGATGGAAAACCTGGAATGCACACGGGAGAATCTGAGGAAGTTTCTGCATTTGCATAGGGCCAAAATGTAGCAGCAAAACTTGCTGCAGCATGGGCAGCAGGGTTTTGTAGCAAGGTAGAGACAATAAGACTTGAAAATGTGGAGGACATGTGAAGAAATGAATGGTAATCATCCTGATTATGTTGTGTGAAGGGAGGACAAGGAAGAAATGATTGATGAATAGAGGACCGTGCTGTGTTATTTTGACTTTCACTTATGTCTGATGCAGTAGAAGTGGTGACAATCTTAGGTTGCCCATTAATCCCTCCAATTGGCTGAAATATGCAGTCTTGAACCACCATATCTGGGGATGGATTTTGATTACTAGTTCCAAAGTTCTCATCAACAATGTGCACAGGGACATGTCTTGGGTAATTCTGATTTCCTTGCATACCATCTATTGTTAATGTACAATGAGGACTATCTGTTTTCTCAGTTTGAACCAATTTCAAAGAACCAGCATTCTCCAACTTAGAGACTTTACATGCGCCATTACTCTTTTGTGTGTGCTTTCCATCATCTAACTCCAACTTCTGATTTTCAAGCTCATCAGTGATAAAAGATTCATTTGTTTCATCAAGAGTTATTACCTCTTTTATTGAAGGTATAAACTCTCTTAAGGCACATGAATTTCTCAGCGGCAGTGATACAGATGAAGAAGGTGCCTCCTGGAGAATGGTAAATACTTTTGAGCTGCTTTCGTCCTTATTTTCTTCTACACTTGATGGCATTAGGTCGACATCATGCTTCTAAAGGAGCAAATAGAATGGTTTTATTGAAAGGGGAAAAGACAGATAATTTTAATGACAATTGAAATGTAATGAATAAATATAACCTCTGGAAGTGGTTCTTTCTCCAAGTCCAGTGCTTGTTTACCATGTGAAGATGCAATTGAAAGCAGAGACTTTCCATTCTTTGCTCCACTGTGTAATGTTGAAAGACCCGCATTGGTCTTCCGGGGATAAGGATTGCTTGGTTTTCTTTTTGGTCTTGGAGGGGGGATGTCTATATCAAGAGCTTGTCCAATTGGAACACCCTTTACAAAGGCCTCTTTCTCCAACTGAAGGTAAAAGTTGCAGTATTCTCAGCAGATGGACATTTAAGAATCCTTAATTGGAGCATTTGAACATTAAGTTCTCTTATGAAATTGCCAAAATACTAACATTTCAATGCATTGAATAATAAATCCTAATGAAACTATGTACATGGGCTTTCAATCAAGTACAACCTTCAAAGAAAGATAAGGAAACATCCAAAATCTCTGCCATCAAGTTGGTTAAAATTACACAAGAAAAATCAACAATAGGCTGAGGTTCAGCTTTTTCCACATGAAAAGCAATACATGTTTATTGACTAGAGTGATGTTGGAAGTAATTGTCACCAAGTCATTCAAGCCAGAAAGAACAGTTACCGTAGTGGTTATACCAAGAAAAGTCAACTAACGGATCACAAAATTTGCATACAGTACGGCATTACCTTACTTGGTTTGCAGAAGCAACACTGATGACTTGTGCACAAACATGATTGGGATTAACACAATTGGGGCATCTATTTTTAAGTGTTCAGGGTGACCAAATCTAAATTCTTGAAAGATTACACCACTGCAAGAGAATCAGTTTCAGCCAGAGATTGTTCCATCCTTTCTAGTAAATAATCAACTAAAAATAAAAAAAAAAGTTTGGTGGGGTAAAGATTAGTTGTGGTTTGTGTACTAAGATCAAATCCACTAACAGGGTTTACACAGGGGAAGGAAGGGCTGGCATGGGATGCGATAACAACCCAAAAAATTAATTTTATATAAAAAATTAATTTATAATTATTTTATCTTTAAGTGTCTTGATTAAATATTTTTATAAATTACAATTTATCTCAATTTTTAAAAACAACCCCCAATACTAGGTTAAGGGATAAATAATTTTTTTATCCCATTATTTTTTTAATTTTATTGTTAATTTCCATCTCATTATTGTTTTCAATGTTGACTTAGACCTACTTTTTTAAAAAGTTAGCAAATAAATATAGTATTTTTTTATAATTTTAAGAAATTAATTATATCATGTTTGCTTATATGATATTAATATTCATGGATGTGATACCATTGTATATTAACCTATAATAATATACCATGTTAAAACAGATATGTCAGGATTACATTGGCATAGATGTATGAGTACCATATTAAAAAATAATAGTCGGCTGAAAATAAAAATTAGTAAATAAAATAGTGGGAAAAAAATTATTTAACCTATGAATAGGGAAAAATGTTTATAAATTATTTATAATATTAATTTTTAAATAATGTGATATTTTTCTATCATAATAATATATTTAGGGTAACAGAAATTTAAGATTAGATTACATAAAATTAAAAAATTGTTAATTTGGTAAAAAAAATAAAGAAAATATTTTAAGAAATTAGATAACACTTACACTAAAAGAATTTTGTGCAATATTAAAAAAAAAACATAAAAATGTATAATACTAAATGTTAAGATATACGATGTGAGACTTTCAACACATCAGTTAATAAATCACGAAAACATAATTTTAGAATTTAAAAATTAAATTCATTCCACTCAATTTAACAAAATAATATTTTTATAATATAATAATTATATAATAACTTTATTAATATTTAAAAACTAAAAATTTGTTATCGAGATTACTATATGTTATTATAAATATAAAATATAATAAAAATAGAAGATAAATAATAAAAATAATTATTATTTAAAATTAACAAAAATAAAAATAATACAAACTAATATTTTATATCTTTTATAAAAAAAATCATATTTAAAAAAAAACTGGTCTTTAATTTTTATTTTTTTTAAATCTCTTCTGCCCAAAAATCTAATCGTTTTTCTTAATTTAATTAAAATTCAATTAGATTGAATTAACCTACCAATCCAATTCAATTTTCAATACAGTAAAATAATTCATTATCGTAAAAATGTCTTGCACATGCAAATATGGCAAACCAAAGGATCTGCTATGTTATATAAAATAACAATTTTTACATATAAAATCAGTTAAATACTCTTCACTATCAACTAATCAATTATATCAATATATATTCTCTCTTTGTAATTTTTTTAAGCCACTTCTTAAACTAATAATATATTTATATTACTAATATTTTTAAATTAAATATTTTTACTTAGTTCTTTAAAAAAATAATTTACATAGTTTTCTTTTAAATAATTACTATTTTATTTTAATTTTCACCTTTTTTTCTCTTCACTAGTTTCTTGTCACTTTTTTTCTACCAAACATATCTTATAGATAAAAAAAATAAAATAATAATAATAATAATAATAATGTAAAATTAGCACACTAAGGGGTAGAATTGAGCCTAATAGAGGAATCTCATGAATTACTGAGTGAAGTATCATACTCTATTTTCTTTTTGGTCTAGGTCAAACATTGAGATAAAAAATCAAAGCTATTGCAATGACTCCAAAGTTTCTCTCTTTGTACCAATTCCAATCATGTTCCTTGTCAAAATTATACTTCATTGTTAAAATCGATTCCTTAATTTTACAAATTCTTTGTTCTCTAGATAGCTTCACAAAATTTAGGGAGACAAAACAAATTAGGTATGCCCTCATCTTTTTCATGTAAATATGAGTTATTCTATCATAATTAGAGTTATAGAAGAATTATATATATATATATATATATATATATATATATATATATATATATATTATGAGGTAAATTGAGAATATTATTATTTTTATATATTAAATTATCTAATTAAAATCAATTGTTTCTTTAAAATATATATAAATATAATTATATCAATATATTGAAATTAAAAACTTGAAAACCTAATTCTCAACAAATTTGACATGAAGGATTTAAATTTGGAATGCAAATCAGTAGAGGTAAGCAAAAGGGAATTTTTCAGTTATCTGGATTAGAGTATATCAATAAATTTTTTTTCAAAGATTTAACATGGGATGTCAAGTCAATTAAGACACCTTTATTTAGTCATTTTTATCCATCCAAATATCAATCATCTTGAACAAAAGAAGAAAGAGAATCCATGACAAAGGTTTCACGTGCTTCATCTATTATAAGTTTAATGTAAACCATGATTTTTTAAGACCATACAATAGGAGTTGTAAGTAAGTTTATGTCAAATCCAAGCAAAGTTGATTAAGAAGTAGTTAAATGGATTTTGCTATGTATAATTTAGTAAAGGAGAATTAAAAATACAAGGATGTCGATGCAAACTTTGGAAGTTAAGTTGATCACGAAAGAAATATCATTTGGTTATATTTTTAAGTTGGTACTGAATAAATTTGTTTATCCACTTCAGAGACTAAGTAAATAAGTCAGTAAAAAATCAAGGTTTGTTAATAAAGTTGGATTCATTCAATATTTTTTACAGTGATAATTAAAGTGTTATATATCTCAGAACGAATTCAACATTTTTTTTTATAACAAAACACATTAATCTTCGTCATAACTTTTAGATCTTTACTTGAGATGGAATGTTAACATGAGAAAAGATTCTAAGAGCTAAACAAACCCAACAAACATTGACAAAGATAGTAATTATTTAGTAATTATTGACAAATTGAAGTTCTGCTAAATTCCATGCCCTGATATAATAACAAAGGAATGTTTGCTGCATTGACGGAGGTGTGAAAACAAATTGAAGTTAGTCTTCGTACGGGAGATTGTTAGAGTTGATCATGGGTGACGTATTGTTTTATTAAGGGAAGATAAAAATCAATAAATTAAAGGAATGCTTAAAAATAGGAAACGCAATGTGAGGATAAGATACTTTGTTTGTATATATATAACTATGTAATTCATTCCACCTACGAGGAAGAGAAATAAAGAGAGAAAAAATAATAAGAATTGTACACGCGTAATTTGTAATTTTCTCTTTCAATAAAAAGGCTTACTGCAATTCGGAGAGAGTATGCATAGTTGGCTTATCAATTTTGTGTATTCTGTATTTTTTTTATTTCTCCAATTATAAGAAATATTATTTCCTAACACTCTTCACCTAAGCTAAATTGTTTTAGCACATTTTATCAATAATAATTGCAAGGTATGTACTATAATGTCAGTATAGTAAAAGGTTATATAGGCTGTGAAAAATGAATAAGGCCTTTGAAATAATTTCATTTCTCTTCCATTGCACTTGTGTCCATATTGATTCTGTAAACATGTTTATTATATTAACAGGTACTGCAAGAAGCCCACCACGTGACACCTAAATGTTTCTTAAGTGGAAGATTTCAGCAGATGATGGTGACGAATGAAAGAATCTGGTTAGTAAACATTATCTCTCCATACTGTGGTGAGTTAGTTCATGTCTTCTCCAAGGGACACTCAATTCGGATATCCAAAGGAATCTTCTAGGCAAGGCATAAGCAATAATATATGATGATATACACATCAGGTGGGCTTTCCATACTCAAGTTTTTTTGTATTTTTTAAAAATCAAATCCCGATAGTATAAAATCAACCAGTTCATCATATACAGAACTATTTTGTGCCATTGAGAATGGGAATTTCATGAATCAATCAAAATGCCAGATTGATTAATAAATCAGAAGCAAATCAAAATGAAGCATAAACTATAGGACAAGAACTTTCAATGTTTAATCCAAGGAGAGAAGGTACTGATTTACCTTTGAAAAGAATTTCTGAGCGTGACTTCTGATTTGCACAGCAGTCTTTGTTCCTATATGCTCTGCACAACAAAAGTAAAACATTAAAAAGAGGACAGGGTAAACGAGAAAAAATAATAGTCCTACATACATATTCAATAAAACAGAGAGCAGTTTGTATCCTATATATAAGTATTAATGGTGAACAAGATGTTGCCTTCTATGCGCTGCCATGCTCGCCCGTATAGCTTTAAGGCTTCTAGAAATCTATTATGTTCCTCCTCTGTCCATCGTTCTCTCTGCTTTGTGATGGTATATGGTTTTCTTGTCTGCAATTGCCAAGCAGCCACTCAGATTAATAAGAATCAATTAATATTTTAGTTTCTAAAGTTGTTTCCAGTTTACATATTTTTCTATACAATAAAAAACTGTAAGCTTTAATTTTTGTGACGTAATCTTTTATGATGTTATTGGTGTGAAGTATTTAGTTTTTTCAATAATAATAAGATTTAATTGAAATTTTAATCTCTATGGTTTCAAGTTTACATTTTTTTTTCCATATACCAGAAAACTATAAGTTTTACATCTTAGACATGCATCCATTTTTGTTATCATGTGGTAGATGTAAAGTATCATTAACTTTCGTAATGACTAATCTTTACTAGGAACATAACTAGTTATTTTTAGTGGAATCCATCCTTCCAAACTATATATGTTTTTCAGTTAAAAGATATAAAATCAAGACATTATTTAAAAGATGTGAGACAGTTCTACTCAGACCATCATAACGTTGGTCTGTATACTAATTTAAGTTTTTGACCCGGTAGCTAACATGGTTGACAGTGCTATTGTTAAAACCAAGACAAATTGTTTAGACATAGTGAAATTGCTACAGAATTTCCTTGCAATGTTTAATCCTTAAATTCTTCTTCTATGACAAGGTGTAAAACCGATACATATATTTTCTGAGACAGTTTTATACAGGCAGAACATCGTTTAGCTATTTAACAATTCTATATTTAAACAATAGAGACCTAATATCAGTTAAACCTAACAGAAAAATGATAGATAACAATAATGATAATAGTTTCGTTAATTCCTTTTGAGGAATTAAAGTTTCCCATTAATCTATGACAACAAACTTGACTTTACCTTAATAACCACTTCTTCTCCAGAGGAGTAGGCGTCCATGAGAGGACGTGTGCAGCTAGCGCTGCTTCAGATTTTTCCGGGACGAGGAGTGGGTAAAAGGAATATCTCCTATCGTTTTTTGTGACATGGAACACAGCAAATAGTAAAGCCGTTGTTGTGACAGTGAGAAGAAGCTGATGATAAGGCGATGCTACTGCAAAAGAGACAGAAAGCAAGAACAATAGGTAGAGATCCGTCTCTGTTTGTATCAGCTATAATATCTATAAATAAGCATTCCAATTCACAAGCCACACGCAGGATAATAGAGATTAGAAATGGCATGAAAAAGGGAAAAAAAGTTCAATAAATTTTAAGAATCCACCGCAACAGAGAGAGACGCTTCTCCGAAAGAATAAAAGAAAACTCTTATCAGAATCCTCACCAAAACGAACTCCACAGCGCCAAAACCTTTCAAACGAGGAAACAACTACAATTAGTATAGCACAAGAACACTTCTAACTTGCACGTTCTAACTTGTAATTTCACTTCAAGTTACAACTTGTCACTGTATATAAATACACTACTCCTATTTGGTTGCCGAGAATAATTAATCACAGAGCAAACAAGCAGAGAGGTTAACTCAAGTGACCTGATATATGCAAATCCTGAAAGTAATTCACTGAGTGATGTACGGATAGATGCATAATTAATCGTTCTGCAGTTTCCCGTGATTTAATTTTCTCGGTAACCAAAAAGAGGGGAAACTGAATCCTTTTCCAAAAGAATACAGAGGAAGTGAAAATTACCTTGATAAAAAGCCATGGTGAAGAAGAAGAAGAAGAAGAAGAAAAGTGTTGCACGAGCGATCATGCATATGAAGAAGAGATGGATATCACCGGACACTCGCCGGAGGACTCATTTGCGGCAATGGCGAATCTGACTCTTGATGAGAGGAAGTATTAAATTGGAAGAGAAAAGAAGAAGCGGAAACAGCAGCAACAGAGGAAGAAGAAGAATTAGGGAGCGACTTGAACTACAACGAACCAGAAGCATCCACACGAACTGTGGAACAGTGAGAAGCAATCTCAGCCACCACAATTTCCCAATAATTTATATTTTTTTTTCTTATTAAAAATGAAGTAGTCGTTTTAATTTGAGGCTGCGAAAGTGCGGAAGAGTGAAACTGCCAGGGATGTCAACAAGTGGCATCAATTTAGTGGCTGGTGGAGGTAAGGCACATCCCTGCACTTTTCCTAAAAAAAATTTCACTCTTTTTCAATTTCTTTATTATTGTTTTTTGGGGCCTTTTCCCCTCAAATCAAATCTCATCCACAAACTCCAACGCTTTGGTTTTCAGTCCGTAAAAGCGTCCCCAGCTGTCACATGTGGGCCTCTCCAGTTGCGTGGCAATGGCTTCGTTCAGTCACCGGCGCGCGGAGCGGCTCGCCTCCGGCTTCCGTTTTCCGCCGCCAACGTGGCAGCTCGCTTTTCAGAGACTGCTACGCGGCACTCTCTTCATGGTTAGTTAGTTGCTGTGTTCCAGTATTTACTCTTATATTCAACATTTTTTTAAAATAATACAATAGTCATATATATAAATATTGCACAGTGTATATTAATATAGAGTTATTTCAGATTAATTAATGTATTTTAAGTTTAAATTCTAATATTCAATTGTATTAAAATGTTTAAAGAAATATTTATTCTGATTTTATCTGCTAGGACAATATTATTTTAAAAAAACAATTATAATCTTTATCAGCAAGTATATAATTTATAATTAAATAACAATATTAAATTAAAAAACACTTTATTACTATTTTTGGTTGGGTGTGACTTAAAAATTCAGCACAAATTTGGAAAAGTTTGTGAAGATAGAACGAAGCTAGTGGATATAATATTTTTTTAAAATATTTGTTTGTAGAAAAAAACTAGTTTTGAATTTTTGTGGCACAGGAAGTGCCATGTGGCATCTCACGAAGGAGGTAGGGAGAGTGTGCTAGGTTTTCTTGTTTAGCTGAATTGCTTCTTCCATCTGAACCTGCAAGTTGGGTTCACAGTATAAGAACGTGATCATCATTAGAGTATCCCTAGCCACATATAGAGATGCATATACTCATAATTCTTTAAAAATATTTTTTTTATTGAAGTATTTTTACTTAAAATAAAAATGTATATAGAATTTTTAATTATTTTAAATTTCATTAGAACAAGATAAAATATAAGTTGTTTATCAATAATATGATACAGTACAAATCATAAATCATGTATTTTTTTTATGTAGAAATAATGTATGTAGATTGTTTCGTCAATTCCATTTTACGCCTATATTTGACAAAAGGAAAGAAAATTATATATATATATATATATATATATATATATATATATATATTATAAGATAATATATTAAAAATATTTAATTCAACAGAGAAAAATTAGAAAAAAATATAGATGTATAAATATTAAAATTAAATAATAACCGGAAAATAAAATGATTATTTTAAGAATTTTTCAAACAAAATTAACCTAAATTAAATTATAATTAATTAATATATGTTTTGAGTAAAAGGTCAAACTAAATTATTTTTTAATTCATATTTCAAATATTGATTTCTCTGAATTAACATGCTAAAAATAAATTAACTATAACTTATTTTAAAAAATTTATAATTTAAGAAAATATTAACATTATGTTAATTGGGACACCGACAACACAAAAATTTATTACCTAAATTTGGATTAATCTAAACTAATGTTTTATTGACCCGTTAATTCATATTCTTTCTAATTTTTATTAGATTAATAGATGTCGACAAAAAGATGTGATAAGATTAGTATATCGTATTCTGAGTTTTGACTTCAATTTTGAGGAAGTTAAATGACTTCCTTTCGAAAGAGCATAGACCACCTACAAAAAATATTATGACCCTCAAGTCAATTTTTAAATAAGAGAGTTATATATTTAAGAATAAGTGATGAGATAAGATTTATTCCTTAAATGAATCTCTTTATATAGGATTCCAAAGATGATAATAGCCCAAAATATAATAACTAATAGTACAACAGATAACTTATATATCTGAGTAAGGTATGTATCACTTGTGTGACTTCGAGTAAGGTAAATGTAAGTTGTTATAACTCATATACTTAAGGTATGTACAACTTATGTGACCTCAAGTAAGGTGATGCAGGTTTTGATAACTTGTATACATGAGTAAGGTATATATAACTTGTGTGACCCTGAGTAGGATAATAGTTTTATACTCGTGCAACCTCAAGTAGGGTAATAGTTTTATATTCATGACCCCAAATAAGGTAATAGTTTTATACTTGTATGACCCTGAGTAGGGTAATAGTTTTATATTCATGCGACTCCGAGTAGAAAAATAGTTTTATACTTGTGTGATTCTAAGTATAGTAATAATTTTATACTCGTACGACCCTAAGTATGGTAATAGTTTTACTCATGTGACACCAAGTAGGATAAGTTTTACACTCGTGTGACCCCGAGTAGGGTAATAGTTTTATATTCGTGTGACCCCAGTAAGGAAATAGTTTTATACTCGTGTGATCCCGAGTAGAGTTATATTCGTGTGACCCTGACTAGGATAATAATTTTATATCTGTGTGACCCCCGGGTACAATTTTATACTCATGTTAGCCTAAGTAAAGTATAATTTTTTAAATAGGTTTTACAACTCTGAGTTGTTGCGAATGAAGTGTGTAAGAGAAAAAGATTAGATGAGTTCCTCAATTATATATTTAACCTTTTAAAAGATAGTATGTCCATAATTTTGATGAAATCGACAATACTTGGTTATATTTGCATGGGTTAGGGTCATTAGTGGTAGAGATGCGTGTACAAGTTTCAGACTAAAAGTCTGTTAGTATTGAGGGGTGTATAATGTTCTTATTTAGCTGTCTTAGGTTTTTGGAAGGGTTAAGTCGAGTGTGTCTGAGGATTGGCTTGTGTTCCCTTATTGTTATCCTCCATACATATGTAGTTAGCTAATAGAGTCCATAGTTCTAGTGGCGGATCTTTTTGGGAGCTGAGGGGGGCTGTGGCCCCCCCAAAGTTTTGTAACTCCCATATAATTTATGATTTTGGCCCCCCCAAAATTAATGAACATTTAATATATTTACCTGTATATTTACAATTCTATCCTCTCAGTCCCTCTGTATAATTTATGATTTTGTCCCCTCAAATTTAATGATCATTTAATATATTTAAATATATATATATATATATATGTATAATTTTATCATTTCACCATTTCATCTTCTTTCTTCTTTTTATATTTATTTATTATTTATTAATAATATATTATTTAACCCTCTCAAGATCAATGGTCAAGATCCGCCACTACATAGTTCCTCAAGGGTCCTCAATGGATAACCAAAACAATTGTCCATCAAAGGTCCTGGTTGTAGAGTAACTAGTATCGCATGTAGGGTTACCTTAGGTGTAGATTTGGTATTGTGTTTGATACTCGGGCAAACCGATCCATGAAATTACGAGAGGACTCGCCCTCACCCTACTTCCCGCTTTCTAAAGCCACCAATGTGACTTCGTGCCCAGTGACGAATCTTGATCATTAATCTTGGAGAGACTAAATAATATATAAATATTAAAGAAAGAAAGAAGATGAAATGGTGAAAGGATAAAATTATAGATATATACTTAAATATATTAAATGATCATTAAGTTTGAGAGGGACAAAATCATAAATTATATGAGAGTTACAAAACTGAGGAGGGGCTGAGAAGATAAAATTGTAAATATACAAGTAAATATATTAAATGTTCATTAAGTTTGGGGAGCCACGGCGGCCCCCCTCAACTCCCAAGAAGATCTGTCACTGTTCGTGCCTATTACTAGTTGTGAATCTAACTCGGAATTGTTCCACCAGCATATAATATGAATTAACAGAGTTATAGGGTAAAGAGTTGTATCATCCTAAAGTTGTATCCTATTACTCGGTTGTGAATCTAACTCGGAATTGTTCCACCAATATATAATATTTACTCGTATATTTACAATTCTATCCTCTCAGCCTCTCTCGTATAATTTATGATTTTGTCCCCTCAAATTTAATGATCATTTAATATATTTAAATATATATATATATCTATAATTTTATCATTTCACCCTTTCATCTTCTTTCTTCTTTTTATATTTATTTATTATTTATTAATAATATATTATTTAACCCCTTCAAGATCAATGGTCAAGATCCGCCACTCGCATAGTTCCTCAAGGGTCCTCAATGGATAACCAAAATAATTGTCCATCAAAGGTCTTGGTTGTAGAGTAACTAGTATCGCATGTAGGGTTACCTTAGGTGTAGATTTGGTATTGTGTTTGATACTCGGGCAAATCGATCCATGAAATTACAGAGGGACTCGCCCTCACCCTACTTCCCGCTTTCTAAAGCCACCGATGTGAATTCGTGCCCAGTGACGAATCTTGATCATTAATCTTGGAGAGACTAAATAATATATAAATATTAAAGAAAGAAAGAAGATGAAATGGTGAAAGGATAAAATTATAGATATATACTTAAATATATTAAATGATCATTAAGTTTGAGAGGGACAAAATCATAAATTATATGAGAGTTACAAAACTGAGGAGGGGCTGAGAAGATAAAATTGTAAATATACAAGTAAATATATTAAATGTTCATTAAGTTTGGGGAGCCACGGCGGCCCCCCTCAACTCCCAAGAAGATCTGTCACTGTTCGTGCCTATTACTAGTTGTGAATCTAACTCGGAATTGTTCCACCATCATATAATATGAATCAACAGAGTTATAGGGTAAAGAGTTGTATCATCCTAAAGTTGTATCCTATTACTGGTTGTGAATCTAACTCGGAATTGTTCCACCAACATATAATATGACTCAACAGAGTTATAGGGTAAAGAGTTGTATCATCCTAAAGTTGGTCCTCTGAATATGGTGGGAAGACTCGGCAAAGTACGACTATGTTGTTGGTATACAATTTTACCTGTGTCTTGTACATTGTTAAGTGATCTTCTAGATCTATCGAGTCATCATATTTTTCTATGTTGAATGACTCACAGTTCGGTAGGAGAGATGTTTCCATTATTCCTGGGACGGATGGGTGATCATTTGTCTTTTTCATGATTTTTTATCCTTTATGTATGTTGGGAATGTGTGGGTCGAAGCCGGGGTGAGACTTCCATTGTATATTCTCCCAAATGAGGGAGTTTGACTATTGCTTCATTAGTGGATTTGTGTCTCACATTCTTCCTCGAATGACTTCAACTCCTTCGACTTGGTGTTTAGTCACTTGGGTTAGGTGAATTTTCTTATTTGTGTGCAAGTTGACTTCTAGTTTGGTTTGAGTTCTTTTGGGTCAGTGTTAGTGATTGTTGAGTTCGCACTTTGACTGGATGTGGCGATTTCTTCTTGTATGCGTGACTTACTCGTCTGTTGCTGAAAAGTTTGAAATTCGACTTGTTGGCTTCATATTAATTGCATATCCTTGAGGGTTTTTGGTGGATTTGTGATAGCCTATGGTCATTATCTTTTTACAAATTATTTATCTCATTGTGATTCCTTTATTGATACTCGTTCATATGCTTCTTAAGGTTAGGAATAATAGTTGCAGGATCTATGTCGTTGCGTGTGCCTATGGGTTAAAATCATAAAATGTAAGAGACTGTAGAGATCGTTTTACCAAGTCTCACAGTGCCTGCCAAATATTCTTACCGAACTAGTAGAGGTCGGTAAGAAGATGTGATAAGATCAGTAGATCATGTTTCGAGCTTCGATTTCGCATTCAGTTTTGAAGATGTTGAATTATTTCCTTTAAAAAAAATATTAGTGTACAAAAGATACTTCGACGCTCAAGTCGGCTTTTAACAAAAAATATAAATTTAAGAATGAGTAATAAGGTGATTAAATAAATATTTTTATATAAAACTTAAAATATGATAATAACTAATAATTCAAAATATAATAACTAATATAAAATATAATAACAAATAAAATATAATTAAATAAATAAAATAGTTTTAATATATTTATATTAATATAAATTAATGATTGATTAAGCTTAACATATATTATTTTTCATTTCTAGATACTAATTTCGTTATGAAAAAAAAATTAAAGCATTGTGATCCTAATTTTAAAATTAATAAGAGTTAAAATAATTTTTACTAAATAGATGTAATATTTTTAAATTTTTTTTAAAATAGATAAATTTTTAAAATATTACGAATTTGGATAGAATAATTTTAAATTAAAAATCATATTATCAAATACGACTTTACATATAAAAAAGTCGTATTATAAATTACAATTCAACATAAACAACAATTACTTCTAACATGATTTAACTCTCTTTTTTCTTTTCTTTTTCTTAATAAAGAAGTCGTGATAATTAACATGATTTTCATATAAATTTATATAAAAGTTGTATATAGTAATTCTAATTTTATATTATAATTAAAAATAATATGTTTTATATTTTTAATAATAAGTTAAATAATAATGATAATAATTTAATTTATATTATTATTAACATTATTATTTATTTTATTATTTAAATTAATAATTAATATAATTATTACCTGAATTATAATTATTAATGTAATTATTATTATATTAATATTATTAAAATAATATAATATAAAAATGAATGATTATTAATAAAATTAATAATATTATTAATAATTATATTATTATTAATAATAATAAAAATAATATTAATAATAAGATAATTCTATTAATAAATATAAGTTTATTATTATTATTATTATTATTTTAATAATAAAAAAATAATATTAATAATGAATAATTCTTAATAAAATTATAATTTTTATTAAATAATAATAACAAATATATAAATAAGTAATATAATTATATTAATTAAAATAATTATTTTCTTTTTAATATTATTTTTATTTTATATAATTATAATTATTATTTTATTTTTATTATTTGTAATAAAATTGAAATAATATGAGGTATTATAATTATATTACTTTTAATATTTTTATTTTTATTTTATTATTAATAATACAATATTAATTTAAATAATAAAATAAATAATAATTTTAATTATAATATAAATTAAAATTTTATCATTATTATTTAACTTATTATTAATAATATAAATATATTATTATTAATTATAATTATTATTATTATTATAATATAAAATTATAATTCTTACTGGTATGACTTCTATATAAATTTACATAACTTCTTCTTTTAAAAGAAAAAAAAACTTAAATTATATTATAAAGTACGATCTGTTAATGTAAAGTCTTATTAAATTGTATGACTTATTTAAATTTGTAATTCTATAAATTTAAATAACTTCTTCGTTTAAAAGAAAAAAAATCTTAAATTATATTATAAAGTAAGATTTGTTAACGTAAAGTCTCACCGGATCGCACCATTTATTTAAATTTGTAATTTTTTTAAAATTTATCTATTTTTGGTAAATTTGAAAAGCAATTATTTGATAAAAAAGCTTTGAAAATTGGAATTATTAAATGATAAAAAATTAAACATGTTTTAAAAAACAAAAATCTATAAAAGTTTATTATTATATATTTTATCAAAATTGTCTTTATCATAAAAATATAATTTAATTCTTATAAATTAAACATATTTTATCATAATATAAAAAATAAATTTGAATGATATGTTCATATTTATATTATTTTTTTCAATAATATTAAACAAAATTTGAAATGCATATAGACTTTATGCAATTTGAAATTTTAATTATTTTCCTAAATATTACTTGATAAGCTTAGATTCAACCATGTAAAACTATCATAAATAATAAGTAAAAATAATAATAATAATAATAGAATTAAAAAAGAAACAATAATAAAAATTATATCTTAGGCTCAAAGTTCAAATTAAACATTAATTTTTATAGACTAAAAAAATTTCACAGAAAATATTAATACTATCACTAATAAATAATTATATATATATATATATATATATATATATATATATATATATATATATATATTCAAATCAAATGAAAGTCATATATATATTCAAATCAAATGAAAGTCTAATATTTTCTTTGTTGTAGATAAAATCACTGAAAACCTCTCAAATAAGAATATTACATAAAAGAAAAATCATTATACAAACATTAAGAAATAATATTTTACGTAAAAAGGAAAATATAATTATCATAAATTAAGAGTATAAAAATAGAAATAGTATTTAAATGAGAGTGTGAATATATGTGTATCCTTTGAAGTGCAGGACGGGGTGAGTAACGTGGGGAGTGATTGCAGAGTTGAAGTAGATATGGCCAACCTTCCAAACTCAAAGCTTAACAGCGAAGAGAAGATGAAGGAAACAGAGGAATTAGAAAATGAAGAAAACTTCTCGCGTGCAGTGCAGCTTGGGACCTCTGTGGTGCTTTCCATGGCACTGCAATCGGCGACGGAGCTAGGCGTATTTGATGTGCTGCAAGAAGCGGGTGAAGGTGCCAAGCTCTCTGCCGAGGAGATAGCATCCAAGCTTTCTTGCAGCAACATCGTCTCCTCGCCCTTCTTTCCTCTCACTCCATTCTTAAATCTTCCCTCATTCCCGACCACCATAACCCTGCCACCTTCCACAGACTCTACACCATCACTCCTGTCGCCACATTCTTTGCTCGCAACTCTGATGGGGTTTCATTGGGACCCTTGATGGCCTTGTTCCTAGACAAAATCTTCCTGCACAGCTGGTTAAACTCTCTCTTAATATTATTTTCATTTTTTATCTCCCTTCCCATCATTAGGAAACTTGTTAGATGGATGCCTAACAATCACAAACATATTATAATTATACCAAAACACGATTTAGACATGTTTGTAATTTAAACTTCATATGTTTTCCTTCTAGTTCTTTGTTTTTGGGTTAGGAAACAGAGTTTTTAACTTAATGCAGGATAGGAGGAAGAGATTTTAGTAGTGAGAGAGATCTAGTGATGATTCTCTTCAAACAGGTCCAGTTCTGAACATCTGCAATTTACAGAGTTTGCTCTCCAACACTTTCCTACCAGCTAAACTACTTTACTTTCTTCGTTTGAATTATCTATGTTGGGAATCCGGATTAATTTCTGGAAATGTTTAAGGTGAACGGCAAAAGGCAAACCAATGAAGATGGGAAAATTGTTTGCACAAACTTGTGACGAGTTCTATTTTGTTTTTAAGGTGGAGGGAGGAATAATGGTTTCTGCATTATCATCTAATTTGAGTGAAGTTTGGTCTTTTAACAGAAAAATTGGTCTAGTTATCATTAATAATTAATATAGCCATTATCTATTATGGGTTATCAGTCTGGAATTTGTTTGTCATTGCTCACAAAATATAACCAAGTATTTGGACAAATTACATAGTTTGATACTTGTCATTTTTTAGTTCTTCACAGTCCACTTCCTTCATTTTCTCTCTTGCCATCTCTTGCCTAAGACAATAGTTAAACTTCAATGTGGATGATTGTTTGAAATCAGAACAATTAAACTTTCAAACAAATGAAAGTAATTCAAAACACGGTTAGCTAGATCAGAATTTTGATTGTATGTGATTTGCTAAATCATGTTATAGGAAGTAAATATTTTCAAGAGGTTTATTTTATGAATTATGAGGCATTTTCAACCACGTTTCTTCATTTACTCAAGAACTGTGTTTTACATTCTTAGGTCTGAGCTGAAAGATGCAATTCGGGAGGGGGGTATTCCATTCAACAGGGTTTATGGCACTCATGCTTTTGAGTATCCAAGTTTGGACTCAAGGTTCAATCAAGTTTTCAACACAGCAATGATCAATCACACCACTTTAGTGATGACGAAGGTTCTGGAATGCTACAAAGGTTTTGATGACATAAAAATGCTGGTGGATGTTGGTGGTGGTCTTGGGATCAATATTAACTTGATCACTTCCAAATACCCTCATATCCAGGGCATCAATTTTGACTTGCCTCATGTCATACAACATGCTCCTTCATATCCGGGTATGATCTTTACACATTCCAATCCAATGGTCATGGAAATTTGAAAAAAAAAAAAAAGTTGTTCTTTACCGTCTTTTAAACAGCGTTGTTAGGTAAAATATTAGTTTTACTAAATAAGAACATAATACTGTCTACTTTCTTTTTCCGTCAACGTTAGTGTCCAGTTCCTTTGTTAATAATATTATACTCAAGATTCATGTTTTAAACACGTTTAGTTCTAAAAGCACAAGCTACCTAACATTGCAGGAGTGGAACACGTTGGCGGAGATATGTTTAAGAATGTGCCCAAAGGAGACGCCATCTTTATGAAGGTATGTGTTATGCGCAAGTGATGATGGATGGTAGGGAAACAAACTCATCTTAAAGTAGTACTATTAAGTTTTAAAGGGAAGAGGAATCTGTTTATGAAACAGCTTTTTTACACAAGTGGAAGCAGGTCAAAATCTTTTTCTTAGTTTTTTTTTTTTTTTTTTTTTTTACGAAAGATACTTTTTCTTTTATTTTTCTGTACTCTATAAAGAGAATGAATAATTTGTGATTTTTATCGTTTTTCTTTCTTGTTTTGTTTCTTAACTAAGAAAATAAGAGAGACAATTAAAGATAACATCAAGACGACACTGTGATTGTGTATTCACGTGAAATCAGTCCACTGTCAGAAAACAAGACAAAGCTGTCCATCCAAACTGATGCATGACTTGTACCAACCCCATTATTGTTTGTTTTAAAAACTTAAACATACAGTACATTGTGCAGTGGATACTTCATGATTGGAGCGATGAATACTGTTTGAAGCTGTTGAAGAATTGCTATGATGCAATTCCTGATGATGGAAAGGTGATAGTTGTGGAAGCAGTTCTTCCAGTAAAACCAGAGACTAGTGCTGCTTATAGGGCAGTTTCACAACTTGATGTTATGATGATGACTCAAAACCCCGGAGGGAAAGAGCGATGTGAACAAAAGTTCATGGATTTGGCAACTGCAGCTGGATTTCGTGGCATCAGATATGAATGTCATGTCCACACTTTCTGGGTTATGGAGTTCTTCAAGTAGATCACACCATCATATGCCATGCTATCATGCTTCCTCTGCTCTATTTCCAATGGTTTGTTTTTGTGTTTCACTTTTTTTTTCTTTGAATGTTTGTTTATGTTTACGATTTTCCGCATTTTAAAAATTGGCAGAACAAGCTTGTGTTGTTTATTATATTATATGTACTGTTTATTTATAATATAGAAGCATTTTTTTATAAACCCTTCTGAAATATAATATATATACATATCAAAAGTTGAGTTTGATTACATCTAACTTCAACAATAAAGAAAATTAACTACTTTGAAAAGAAGAAATGGAACATGACCTAACTTTTAAATGAAATTTAATTGGTAACTAATCTCTTTAAATACATAACCTAACTTTTCAGCTTTAGTAACCTTTCATTTAACAGATTTAGTTAAACATATAAATACAAGTTGAATAAAATTAATAAACAGTGAAATTATGTATGGGAGAAAGTTTTTGGTTGTAATTTGTTATATAATTCACAAAATTAAGTTAAACATCTCCTTCAACAATTTTATAATGTCTTATATATTGAAATTTTATGTAAAATTTTTTAAATCTATGCAACAATCCATATAACATTGTAAGATAAGATCACAGAATTAGGTCGAACAACTAACTTAAATATTCATTCATAGAAAATGTTTTGATAAAAATAAATAAATATCAAAAGTCTTGTTTAGGAAATTTTTTTTGATTTAAGGAAAATAAATAAACGAAAAAAAAAGTTAGAAGAAAAGAAAAGTAAAAAATATATCACTTTCACATTGTTTGGTAAACAAAAGAAAGTTAAAAAAAATGAATAAAAAAAAAAAAGAAAAGAAAAGTGAGTTCTGCACTATCGTGGAATCTTTTCTTCCTTTTTGAACTTTATCCATCTTTACGAAGCACTAGTCTTAACTACCATGGAAAAATCGAAACTCCATTCCCACCCACAATTTGACTATAAAAAATTGAAGAAAACGATACATTCTTTCAGTATGTGTTACTTTTAATTAAAAACATGTACTGAAAATTTGATCATTTATACATAATCCTAAATTAAGACTTTGTTGTCGTTGTACATTATTTTTTCAGAACTAATATATTATTATTATTACTATATTAGGGTTTGGAATGGGAAAATATTATTTTTATTTTAGTAAGAAATAAAATAATTTTATTATTCAAAAACTTATGTAAAATATCATGAGATTTTTTTAATATTGTTCTCAACCAAACTTACAATTTTATTTGATAATCTACATTAACATTTAATGAAACATTTATTGTACAAGTTATTAAAAGATAAAGCTTTAATTGTACGTACTCGAAAAAAAAAACTACTTATAATACTTATTCTAAATTTGTTACATAAAATATTATAGTGATACACTTAAAAATATAGTAATATAATAAAAAAATACTTGAATTTTCATAATCGAATTTTCAAAAAGAACATTCATCAATATCTACGTTAATAATTAAAATAACTATTTAAAAGATAAATTTTAATGTACCCTTTCCTTTGTTACGTGTAAAAGGCCACATTGTACGAACTGAATTGTATAATTATTTGAGTAATTAATTTACTTTTTTGTTCTTCAAAAAAATTATAATTAATCATTTGAATCTCTTCATTCATATGTTTTATACATAAAAGTTGTTAAAATAATTATTTTGAAATAAAACTAAACAAGTGATCGGATATTTAATTATAAGAATGCAAAATTTAAATAAATTGTCAGATGAACATTTTTAATTATTATCATATATATAAACGAAATCTTTAAATATTTATGGTAAATTACCTAACTGAAACATTTTTCTAATGATAATTAAAAATAATAATTTAAAATTTGGCAAAAAACAAATTACCCAAATTTAAATAACTAAAAACATATTTACATCTTTTATAATTTTCATTTTAAAAATATTACATTTTTTAAATAAAACATTTGTAATATATTTTTAAAGCCTAAAAGTCAATAAAATATTTATAATATTTTTTAATTAAAATTAGTAAATCGAACATTTTTAATTTAATCTCAGTGAGCATTTATAACACTTTAAAAGATAAAAATTGTCAAAATTATAAATAATTATAAATAATTATTTTTAAACAATTATATATGTATATATATTTAAATATTTTGATTTTCAAGAAAACGTATATAAATTTTTTTAAAAATCTAAAACTTCAAGTGTAATTTTAAATAATTAAAATAAATAAACTTGTATTTACTAAGCAATTTGAATTTTGAAAACATATTAAAAATATTTTAAATTTATGAGATTTTAATAAAATACTTATAATAATTTTTAAATTTAATAAAAAAAATTATTTATATTTTTAGGGTTCATCGAGCTTTATGATAATTATATATAATTAAATTAATTAATAAATTTAATTATTTATAATAATGAACTGTTTATTATTTCAACGAAGCATTTATTAGAATATATTAAAGTAAAAGTTTAATTGGGGAAAGTCATGTCAGTTGTATGCTTAATTTTAATGACTGACAAAAGTTTAAAATTTTCAATTAATTTAAAACATTGAATTTTAAATAACTAATTTAATGTCAACTATCACAATTTTATAATAATTAAAAAGGTTAAATTATAATGAAATTTATCTAGAATGCTTTGTAGAAAATGATGTGTACGAAGTGGATCAGAACAAGTGTTATTATTATTATTATTATTATTATTATTATTATTATTATTATTATTATTATTATTATTATTATTATTATTATTATTATTATTTATCAAAGATCATCAAATTCAATGACAGCGACTTCTTATATTAATACTCCTTTTACTTCATATATTCAAATATTATAATTTAGAATATATAATTATGAAAACAAATTATAATTAATTTAATAATAAAATATTAAACTAACTAATCTGTAATATTTTTTAAGCTCACTAAAATGCAATTATATCAATTAACTTTTTAAATAACTCATAATACAAGATAATTTTGTAATACACTAAGTAGTTACGAAAATAATAATAAAGTATATCTTTTCTATTGAAAGCATAAAAATCTTTTAAAATATTTTAAAATAAATATTTTTTAAGAGAAAGTATTTTTTTATTTTTTTTAATTAGTGTAATTCGAATAACTTCCAGGGAGTCCCTTTAAACAATGTAAGTGCGGTTTCATTCCTTTTATCTTCTTCCACTTAAAGATATCTAGTAACAATTATTCCTTAAAAATACACTTTTTCCTCCTCAAACTTCTCATAAATAATAAGTAAATTAATGTTAAAAATAACGTTGTATATTAAGAAAAGTATATTTATACATAAATGAACATATAAGAGAAGGTTTATAAATATTTAAAAGTAATAATTTCCTCATATTTTTAATAATGTGAATATATGATATATTTTTTGTTTATGAAATTAAATATTTTGTAAGAATTTTCATTATTTCCTTTACTGGATATTTTAAGTGTGCAGGAGTTGATATATTAGTCAACACTTTGGTATCATGATAACAAATAGTGATCAATTTTCAATTTTTCAGTAATTTGTTTTTATTGTTTATAAAATGGATAAATTATTTAAAAATTTCAATCATAAGTAGTATATTTAGATACAACTTCATAAGAAAAAGTAGTGTTTTAAAAGATGATTTTAATTTATTTAAAATATATATATATATATATATATAACTTTTTTATTTTTTAAGTTATATTTGAATATATTATAAAATGATTTTTTTATTATTGACAACTTTAATTAAATATTTTTTCATTAACGACGACTTTAATTCATATATTTTAAAATAATTTTTGTATTTTTACTTAGTAAATTTTGATTTTAATATTTATTAAAATAAAAAATAAAAAATTAATTATTATTTAGATATGAAGAATATTAAATAATTTTAAAATATATTAAATTGTTGAAAAGAAAATATTAATATGTTAAGTAAAAATGTTTCAAGTATTTACTTTATCATGATGAATATGTTTCAAATAAAAAATAAATCATTTTGTTAGAATGAAGATTATCTGTAATAACTATCCATTTCAATAATAAAAATATAGAATTTCATTTTCATGTATGTTTTTCTAGTTAACGAATCTCTTTTTAACAATATAATATATTTAAAAATTATTTAATATTATAGACATATAAATAATAATTAAAATTTTATTTTATTAATTTTTAAAATATTATTAAATAAAACTTTAAAAATAAAATTTAGTATAAAAAAATATAAATTAAAGTCATAAATCAATTAATAATTTTAATATAAAAAAACTGAATTAAAATCATTAATTAATTATTAACTTCAATATAAAAATAATTGAACTAAAATTGTTCATTAATTGAGTTAACTGAAAACTTCAGCTTAAAAAATTATATTAAAGTCATTAATTGGAAAACGCTAAAAAAAATGATCACGTCAACAAATCTTTAGAATCAACTTTTTACCAAAAGTCGTTTTCACGGTGAAATTGTACATCAAAAGGATGATTTACCCATTACCCGTTTTGAAACGAATAAAGTAAATTGCACTATGGTGAATTTGCCATAAAGAGTAGGTCCCGTGTATATAAGGTGAACTGAAGAGGCATTGCATCAATTAATATAAATGGTGTGTGTTAGGTTTTGTGATGGCTGAAACGTTAGAATCAACACAAGAAGTTATGAATGGGAGAGAAGAAGAAGATGAGGTGACGTTGTGCATGGAAAAGATGCTTTCGTTTGTGGTTCCAATGGCTTTGAGGACAACGGTTGAGCTTGGCGTGTTCGATATTCTAGCCAAAGCTGGGGAAGGTGGGAAACTGTGTGCAGAAGAGATTGCAGTTGAGATAGGAAGCAAGAACCCCGAAGCTCCAGCAATGGTGGATCGTCTTCTTAGTCTTCTGGTTAGTCACTCTCTGCTATCTTGCTCTGTGTCTCAACAAGAACCACACCCTCGGAGGTTCTACACCCTCTCTCCTGCTTCCAAATTTTGTTTCTGATCCTCACGGTGTATCATTGGGATCTTCCGTCAAGTTGCTTCTCGACCCCATCTTCTACAAAAGCTGGTTAGTTTTCTCGTAAAATAATCTTATAAACGGTTTATAATAATACAAAAATATATTATTATTATTATTGTATTCATTATTAATTACTGGGGTTTTGACTCAGGAGCGAACTGAAAGAAGCGATCGTAGAAGGGGGTGTAGCATTCGACAGGGCCCATGGCATGCATGCCTTCGAATATTCAGGTGTGGATCCCAGGTTTAATCAGGTTTTCAACAACAGTATGACAGCCCTCACCACTCTAATTATGAAGAGGATTCTTGAATTCTACAATGGTTTTCTGCATGTCACAAAGCTCGTCGACGTTGGTGGAGGTTATGGTGTCAACCTCAAATTGATCACATCCAAATACCCTCATATTGAAGCTATTAATTTTGACTTGCCTCATGTCGTGGAAAATGCCCCCGTCTATTCAGGTTATTATCTGGAATTCTGTATTCATGAAGACATGTTTGAGAGCATGCGTGGTGTGTGTTTGAGTCACAGTTATTGTAATCCTGCAGGTGTGGAGCATGTGGGAGGAGACATGTTTGAGGGCGTTCCTTCAGGAGATGCCATTTTTATGAAGGTGGGCTAGCTTGTTTATTACACGAGCAATGGATATGATGGTACCCTTGGTGGATATAAATTTTCAGTGGATACTTCATGATTGGAGTGATGAACACTGCGTGAAGGTCTTGAAGAACTGCTACAAAGCTATTCCTGATGACGGAAAGGTTATTGTGGTGGACTCAATTGTGTCGATGGTGCCTGAGAAAAGTGTTACTGCTAAGAGTGTTTTGGGATCTGACCTTATGATGATGATTCACAACCCAGGAGGGAAAGAGCGAACGCGCCAAGAATTCATAGAATTGGCAGAAGCATCTGGATTTAGCGGGGTCAGATTCATCTGCTGTGTATGCTGCAACTGGGCTATGGAGTTCCACAAGTAATCATACATATTACGTTGAATGTGGATATTATAGTCAGAGTTTGGTCTGTTTATTAATTACATGTAAGATTCCTTCATAACAACTCCAACACACACACACACACACACACACACACACATATATATATATATATATATATATATATATATAAGCATTCATAAATAATAAATATTGTCTTGATTTTTCTTTTTAATAAAGTGGACATGTTCAAACTTCTATTTAGTATAGAACTTACTAGGGAAAAAAAAACACTAGATAGGCTATTTTAGATAAGTTTATATCGATCTTAAATTTTCGTTGAACATTATGTAAAGGGTTTCATAAACATTTAGAAAGTGATAAAATTTATGGTAGATGGTGTCTTACCCGTAAATTTAAGTGGGTCTTTCTTATACCCAACAAACAAATAAATTTATCGTATTTTAAGTTAAATATCGTATATATTCTAACAGAAGAAAATAATAACTTTATTTATTAATAAAATAATAACTTTTAATTAATTTTATTTTAAATCAATTATTTTATAAATATAATATTAACAAACAAAGTTTAATAATAAATACTTTTGTCTTTTTTATATCAAAATATTAACACTCTTGATTTAGGTACAAATAAATTATAACTTTATATTTTGTTCGTGTTATATCCATTTTTTAACTCTTAACAATATCATAGACAAATAATTAATTACGTATAACTTTGAATTCGTGATAAATTTGATTCAAACAACTAATATAAGATAATAATATGTCTTTTTGATAGATTTTTTTTTCACAAACAAATTGCAAAAACTCCTTAATTCCTTTCTTTACTCTTAATATGACGTGCATTCATCCAACTCCGATTCATAACTAATTATTTTATTAATTTCGTCACTCCTAAAGATTCAAATACATATTCATATTTAAACAAAATTAATATTCAAACAACAAAAAACGTAAGATTCAAATAAATAAAGTATAAGACTCAAACAAATAAACCGTGAAAACATAAGAATGTAGTGTATAAGCTATAGGAGTATTCAAACGAATAAACAGACAATTATAAACAATAATAGTTAAATTTCAACAATAATGCAGTGAAGACATTCATGCAATATCGTGTTTGAAATCTCAAAAGTAATCATGAATTCAAACATAAAACTAAAGATATAGAATACTAACCTCAAAGATACATAAGATACTATAAAACTCAAATTTAATAAGAGAGAAACATCAACCACCACAAATAGAACAAATGTAGGTATTGTCGCCACTTACTGTGATAAAAAAATACTCTTAAAGGTGCTACCGTGGTTGTTGTCGCCATCACAATCTCAAAAACCCTCATATGTGCGAGTAAGAAGTGATCTTAGATGAGAGTAAAATATAATTTTTATGATGGACCTTATAGAAACTTACATAAAATCTCGTGTTATTATTTACAAAATATCACCATATTTTTTTAAATAAATTATTTTATAATTCGACAAAATAAAGAAAAAGGACATAAAAAACTCATTTAAAAATACTCAAAATAAACCACTCCTAAATTTTAAATCAATTAAATTAACACAAAGTAAGGGTAAAGAAATTTAAGTTTTATAACATTTTATATTTATTTTATTATATATATATATATATATATATATATATATATATATATATATATTCTGCAATGCATGTATAATAATAATAAAAAAAAACATATCAAATATGTCATCTTTTTATTTTCATTTTTGTTTTCTGATTTACCTTATTATTGTTTTCATTTTAACTTACGTTTCTCAAACGTAGGCATCAAGAAGTGCCCTTATCACTACCTCATATTTATGTATCCTTATTGGTTTGAGAGTCAACTTCCTTCCAGTGTTGTAGAAAGGTCTATTTCTGACATTAAAAATACTAAATTTATGTTTTTTGAAAAGATTTTTAAGTAAGATGGTCGATCTTAGTTTTATATGTTAATAAAAATTGTGGATAAAAGTAATTTATTTTTCATATGTAATAGGAAAAGATGTATTCACATTGAATCCTTTTATACACCTACGACAATTTTAAAATAATAATATTTTTGTTGATTGATAAAAAGAGATTAAAATAGAGTAGATAAATAATAATGTAAAATTTCTTTGATAATTATTGAAAGGATGTTTGAGAATTTATGGATCTCAAAATATGATGACCCAACTTTAAAGGACAATGATATACATTTAACTCAATTTTTTCAGACATCAACTCTACAAATCATATTTTGATTATATAATAATAATAATAAATTAAAATTTTATTAATATTATAGGAAAAAAATTAACAAATCCCTTTATTAAAGTTGTTGATTAATATAATAATAATTATCATTTTCTAAAGAAGGTGGTGGGAAAGATGTTTTTAGGAGTAGTTTTTTATCTATATATTTTTCAACTTTAAATAGACTTTTGAATAAGGATCCTGATAATAGCATTAAAAAAATATCAATAAACAACTCAATATATTAATATAATAATAGTAAAAGGATAATAAGAAAATAAAAATAATATAAAATTATTATTATAATATTAAAATAGATTGTGGATTGAATGTTAAGGGAAATTAGTTTTTTTGCTTGAATAATGTGGTGAAGTTATTAGGTCAACTTAGACATACAAAAGAGGCTTATAACGTCAAATTAAGTTTCATATTTTTAATCAAGGTATTTGGATCATGTCTATTGAAGTCTAATTTCATCTGACACAACCTGTTTCCAATTATACCTGGTCGTATGCTCCACTGCTTCAATTTTTCAAGTGCCTAATATTATTGCGTTGATGTTCTCTTTTTCATGCTATTTTAGCCAGATCCTAAAGCTCTATTTAGCAGATAATGATGATAAGGTATCCTTCAAATTCTTGAACTCAGTTCCATGTAACTCAAATGTTAATCTTGAAATTCACAAAGGGATATACATATGTATATATATAATTGAAGAAATGATACATTCTTGAAGTAGATTGATATAATATATTAAAAAGATTACATTTATTTTCAGGGTAGATTACATTACATGAGATGAAGTATGGTCAGAAGCTTATTGGGACATCTTCAACAAATGCTGCAAGACAGATCTCTATTGCATCTAAGCTGCAATTCCTCACTGCTTTAGCTGCTCCCAAGTATTTCGCTGTATGTTTCTTTTACCTTTCGTAGAAAAGCTTCCCTGTAACAGCAAGAAAATTATGGAAATAAAACATCTATGGTGAACTTAATTCATCCAACCAAATTATACTAAATTATTCAACAAATTCAGCTCTACCTGTCTGGCTTGAAAACTAGGTTCTTGTAAGCAAACCACTGCAAAGAAAGACAAATTGACGATGAATAAATGCATATCCCAAACTCCAGTAAGGAATACAAGGAATCTAAGTTTTAAAATGTAGATATTGTTCATTTTCAATTGAAAACAGTTCGGCCTCACTCTGATTAAGTAATATTATGCAACTATCATCAGAATGAAACATAGAACTGATGGCAGCAGAAAAATATAATGGACTTACCCCAGTGTAGCCAATGCCTACGACCTCAAGAACCCCAGGAATTAAAGGAAGCCTATCAATTGCCTGTTATGAGTAACAATCATTGCATAGGTTACCACAACTATTTACCAAAGTCATTATCACAAAGTACGTGATAATTAATGCATTATTTGATTGCCTTGCCACACAATAGAAATTCTGTGCTAAAAAATAACCTACAGAGATCATTCCAGCTGAGCCCCACAATGCAACCACACCAGCTACGGCCAGTGAACTCACTGCATATTTATCTTCAACTTTGTCCCACTACGTGCCAACATTAAATAGTCAAGTCAGAAACACAATAACAACGTCACATATATCACGCTTTTATAACTAACAGAAGTACGTTACTTGGTCAGATAATTTGAGATCCTTACAGCTTCTTGAATAGTCTTCACAATCTCTGGTGTCTCGGCAATAGCCAGCTCAGTTGTGGCAATTTCTGCTGCTGGTGCCTCTCTTGTGGTAGCCATCCCCATAACATTTCGAGCAATCCTGCGACCTGAAAGAATCAACCTTGAAAAGTTACCTTCTCCTAGATAACACTGCAGAAGCACTGGTTAGAAATATCCATGATTCATGATGGGCATGACACATTTGGTTATTTCATATCAGAAGAAAGTAACCTTCACGTCATATAATAAGGTGGACTCGAAGCCAAATTATGAGACAAGTCAAGGTGTTTATGAAATCTGAGAAAGCTTTTAAGGTGATTAATCGACTTACAGAAAGCAGCGGTCTTCCAAGGACGAGTCTGAGAGTGCACAGGAGGTGGGGGAAGAGTGGGAAGGGTCACAGATTGTGGGGAAGAAGCTGGTGATTGCCTTGGAGCCTTGGCATCAAGAAGGGTGGAGGAAGAGGATATAGAGAGGGTGGAGGAGGAGGTTGAGGCCATTGCTATTGGTAGGTGTAGTGAATCCTTGAAACTGGTACTTTCGGTGTCCTATGAAGGATTATGAGGCTACTAGGGAAAGAATATAGATTATGTTGTTGAGATATTCATTTGCTGTGTTTGTAATTTTGTTGGCAGATAAATCAATGTCAATGGTGTTCGATAATCTGGGAAAGGAGTGTGGAAGTGGTTCTGCCACACTATGAAGTGCTGAACCACTCATTTCTCTTCATTGTGGATAGTGTGTGATGACATGGCTCCCAAGATAGGGCTTTTATGGTTTTTCCTTGGATAGGAGGTTCCTGGTTGCGTGTCCTCTTTCACATGAAAACATTTCTCAAAAAAAAAAAAATGCTTCCATTTCTTTCAAGGTCAAACCATCCAAAAATATCTCTTTCTCAAATTACTTAATTACTCACCTTTTATTTTAGTTCTATTTTAAAATAATTTTTTTAAAAATTGAAAACATATTGCTAGATAATTCTAATTGGAAACATTTTAGATAGTATACCACGTTGATGACACGAAGAATCGTGTAAAAATTTAAAATATTATTCATAAAAATAAAAAATATATTATAGTACTTTTATTTATTTTTTTAGTTTTGAAAATTAAAAAATAAAATCAGTTATTCTAAAAAAAATATTTTAAAATTAAAAAATTAAAAAATATTTAAAAAATGTAAAATGAAATCTATGTTTTAACCGTTTTTAATGACAAATTATGGGGAAGTAAAGAATTTCCGAATTATTTTGATAATTGGTAGGGTAATGAGAACCAAGCATAAAGTTTGACAGTGAGTAAAGGGCTAATGGATAATGACCCAAAAAATAAACCCAAAAAAATGGATAATGGGCCAAGGATTGGACTGGATTTTATGGAGCCGAAGAATGAGAAGATATTAGGCGTATGAATAATAAAATATTCAGTGACCCCATTCTTTCTTGGTCTAAACGATAATATTATCATTTATGTATGTTGATATTTTGAATTGAAGTGTTCTTTCTAGATTTATAAATCTGAAAAAACTCTGGATTGGTGAATTTAAAACGTATAATATTTTTGTAAGTTTGGGGTTAAAATAATCTGAAATATATAAAAATAGTATTCAGTAAAATTCTAAATTATTGAATTGGAAGATTTTTGGGAAAGATGAATCCGAAATGGGCACCAAGGTTGATAATCCGGTAGAATTAAGAAGGGTTGGAGAGGAAGGTTTCAAAATCTGCAAAATAGTTTCATGTTATTTGACAGTGCCATCCGAAAATGTCTTCTAGAGGAAGCTTCTTTTCTTTTTTATGCCAAATTAAATGTGTTCGGTTTCTTAATTCCACTGTTCGCTGATCAATCGAATCATCCAATGGCATCACATAAAAGGGAATCCAATACCTTCACTCTCACAATCAAACTCCAGCAGAGGAAAGTTCATAGATGCGATGCCCACCATTGACTGTCTCAGAATTTATACCATTCTTCATTTATCTCTGATTATCTTTTTATCTATCTCACCACCATTTTTCCCCTTCTTGCTAAAGAAATTACAGTTTCTTTCCCTTGCAAAAGTTATGAAGACAGAAAATGTGGTATGACTACAAAAGCATTCAACTTTATACACCATTTTACTTGATGCCGAACTTTGCTGCATCAAGCGCCATGCGTTCAAACTCACATCACAAACATGGCTCCCCAGAGCCATCACCATTGCAAACCAACAACACTACCAATTTGGAGTAAGAGAAGAAACATGCATACATACCTTTCATTCTGGTTCCTCTAAATTACTAATAACATAACCTCGCACACTGCAACTTTGGAAATTCTTTCATTTTTACCTTTTCTAACACACTGAATTTGAAAAAAAAAACTAACCGCTATATATAATTGCTGGGTTTTAAGGGAATAAAGAAAATAGAGGAAGAGTGGCATGTTTCACATTATTACACTGAATTGAAGACAGAAACAAAAGAAGGAGCTTGATTAGTTGAGAATGAATCATTCATACATCGACATCGCAGGGTGTAACTCCGAGGAGAGGAACTGGACCCACCAACCCTTTCTTCAAACCCATCAACACATCGCACTTCACGTACAGTCCATAGTGTGCAGTTTTGATGGCACCAGCCTTCCACCTCACCCTGCCCTGAAATATCAGCGTCAGCTCCACCACCCCATATGCCTCGTCCACCATCAACCCGTTCGACACCTCCACCGATACCGGAACCGGAGTCCCTCCGATCACCGGCGACACCGACACCGAGGTGTGTTTGCCCTGGTGCAGCGGCGGCAGCAGGACCTGCGGCGTTATGGCCTGGTTCCTGTAGGAGACGAAGGCGGAGAACCTGTCGTAGTAAATGGAGACACGCCTGTTGGGGTTCTTTATGAGGACGGAGAACTGCATGGTGGTCGATATGAACGGTGGGGTGGTGGCGTTGATGCCGTAGATGGCGGCGCCGATCACCGTGAAGCGGGGCTTGTGTGGACGGTAGACCAGCCAGAGCACGAGGAGAGTGACACCCGCTAAGAGGAGGAAGATGGTGATGGCTGTGCACGCTGCACGTTTTGGATCGTTCGACGTTTTGTCCTTCAACATTTTGGCTATTTTGCAAGGTGTGACTATGGAGTTGGGCAGTGAAGAAACGAAAAAAGATGGAGAAATTGGAGCTCAATATAGCAGAGGAATCTACGAGGAAAGGTTTGCATAATTTTACTTCATGTTTTTATCACATACACGTGTCTTATCTTATGTCTCTCATTTTTATTTCTCCCTCACACTTTTCTACATTACCAACTTTAATCATGAAACATTGTAGTTCATTATCCAACAATTACTTATTTTGAACTTATTCTGACGAAAAGAAAGATGCTTTAATGTAATGTATATATAAAAGTCACAAAGGAGATTTGGAATTGGGTCACTAACTATTGGAGTACTCTCACATCTCTTTCAATCAATTTTTTTTCTTCTTCTTTACTTGCTATCGTTTCACTTTTCTTTGCCTATCTCTTGCTAAGAATATAACTCAGTGAGTGTATGCTTTGATTCTGATTACTCGTCACTTTGGCAGGCCATGTCCTTTTACATCCCCCACCCAAACTCGTACGTAAGTCTTAAATGTGTTTTTCTCCCTCATTTCACTTCTTCTTATACTTGCTTTAATTGTCATGGGAAAGATAGTTAATACTAACGATAAGAATAAACAAAATATATATATATATAGAAAAAGGTTGCACTTCAAAATGATTTTACACGGCAACCAAATAAAATTCGTGTAAATGTAAGTTATTTATTTCAATGTTATGTTTGGTGTCTTAGAAATGGAGAGGGAATATATGCAGTTGTATAGTAGAAATGAATTAGTAAAACAATAAATAAATAGAAAGATTGTAGGTCTAAATTTTATTTAATTTCCCATAAAATGATGAGAAACAACAAACACATTTATTCTTGTTTAGTGGCTTTGTCATCAAACGGTGATATTTTTAAAAAATTTCCTTCCATTTCTCTGATACTAAACAACACAGAATCTCCCATTATTTTCTATTAGGATAGACAGGTACTTTAAATATTGGAGTGCCTTAATTAATTTCTTCATAGGTAAGCTACACAATTAGCTTTCATGCTGCTGCTTATGTCAGTGCATACTAATAGTCAAACCTATAATGAAAATCAAATGTGGAACCAACAAAGTTCGCCGCTTTCTTATGCAGTTTCTGCTAAAAAAACAAAAAGAATAACTTCCTTTTCTTAATTTAGCATGGGGTCAGGTAGTTGTGTGCTTTTATTTTCTGTTCTGGAAAATAAATGGAGCACCAAAAGAAAACAAAAGTAGAGGAGGAGGGGGAACCGAAAGAAGAGCTAGAGGAGATGTGGCACAATTTCACTCCTTTCACCGACATGTGGATAAACTCAGACTTGAAAACTAACAGTTTCTGAATGCAATGAAAGTGATATGAGATGACAAGCACTTATGTGTGTACAATTCAATCACACACACGTTCGGTTCCGTTTGGACCATGCCTCGCATGATCCTCCAGCAAACTCAACATGCTGTGTTGTGTGTCCCACAACTGGTGTGCACGTGTCACATATAAATTATACACATCACACATGTTAACACTATGCTTTCGCTACCCTGTTTTCATCTATAGCATTTGCGCGCTAGGTGATTGGTAATTACAGGATAACAATATTAATCTATCTTAACTCTTATTAAAAAAATTGCTTACTATATTTTTATTTAAGCATCAAGTCCAGTTGTATTAAACATGAAAAGATATATAAAAAAGCCTTAAATTTTGCATTAACTAAAATTATAAAAATAGAATCTGAAAAATAATATAGAAATAGGAATTAGGACAGAAAAGTTAGTTTCGAAATCGTAATAGGTTCGATCCATAAAACAAACAAGGGAAAAAAAAAAAAAAAGTGAAATTCACAACCGGTGGGCCATAGCAGAGATGGGATAGAAGGTATTTCATCCTTTGAAGACGAAAGCATACAACTGTCTATATAACGATAACCCTAAAATAGTATTCAATCGTGGAAACATATACACGAGGTAAAATCAAAATATCAAATCAATCCTACTAAATAATTACAACCCTACATTCTAAATGAAAACCAATATAACGAGTCATACGAAAAATACTAACTACCCTAAGGATGAAACATATTTCACCAGACACACCAGACCTACAGTTAATCCTTGTCGACAGAGGTAAATCAGTTTTGGAAGTCACATTGTGATTAAATGAAGGTAAATTCAAGAAGCCAGAAGAAAATTATTTCAGGAATCACCACCCAGATCTGATACGGGATGATCACTGTGAACTTGGCGAACAAACTGTCCTTTCACCCGAGGACGCTGCTCTGCCAGTCTCTTACGGCTTTGATATCGCACCTGTGAAAGAAATTTGAACAATAAGCAGCTGAGCCTATTTTCCAAAAATGTTAGTCTAAGCAACTAAGACAAGAAAATGAGCACATTTAAAATGGTGAGGTAGTTAAATATGGCAGAAAGCAGTTGCAGATATTTTAAGAGTAGCCAGATGCAGTAATAGCAAGGTGGCAATACCTTTTTCTCATAGCATCTGTCTTTCCGCTTAAGACGAAACTTCGTTAGAGCTGCTTCTCGTTGGGTGGTGCGATGAGAATCTGTCCCTAGAAGTCCATCATAACCCAGGTGACCCCCATCAATGAAACTGTCATGGTTGTCCTTGGCTACCTTAGCTGAAGTAGCATTTCCACCAATTTTGCAGCCTATGCTACTGTATACACCATTACAATTATGATTTGTTGTTTCATGGTAAAGACCAGTATCAGCACTCAGCCTAGCAGCAGGAGATCCCTGTGTCTCACAATCCAAATTGCTTCGGTTATTTACATTTTTATCAGAAGCATGGGTTGCATCGTCAGACCAGTGATGACGTTTTGAGTTGTGACTTTGAGGATTAGACTGGGAGGAATTACTTGTATTAAATGGAGAACTCTCTTTCTGGAACACTGATTTTGGTGTCCATGACGGATGATGCACACCTGACTGAGAATAAAGCATGGAAGGGAAGAGATTTTCATTTCCAGTTGACTTTTGGTCATAAGTAACCCCTCTAGCAGGAAACAATCCAAGATGACTGTTTGGTAATTTTGGATCAACTTGTCCAGATTGACCAATATCTGAAGTGGTGATTTTCTCCTGATTTTGTTTTTTAACACCATATTGATGAGAAGTAGATGCGTTTTCAGAAAATGAATGGGAGTTAAGAGAAATATGGCTATCTGTTAATTTTGCAGGGATAGTTGATGGTGTTGGATAAAGGGGCTGCAACAATTTACTACTACCATACCTGCAGATAAGACTTTTATTACATATCATAATAAAAAGTTCTCTGTATTTTTGGAAAGTTCAATAGAAGACATGGTTTGGAATGCAATAATTGATGTCTTTTGACCTACAATATATTTGGGAAGTATTGTTTAAATTGTTGATGACTGAGGATAAAAGACAGCAATTATTTGGTCTCTATCTAGAAGCTTGGACAAATTCACCATCACTTAGTGCTTCCACAGACCATAAATACATGCTCTCACAATGGTTTTATTGTGTATGACTTAGCCATTTGGTCAAAATTCATAATGACATAAAAATGGAAAAGAGACTAGAAAGAACACGTACAAAGCATACTATAGAAATCAAAGATAAAATTCATTTTGCTGAATTTGTTGTAGTTAGAACAAGGAAAGCTTTGTACAACACCTATCTTTAGTACTTTATTACGAATTAAAAAAAAAAATCAAAAAACAAATAGAGAACTCACCTAGAAAAGGCAGAAGCATTTGAATGGTTCAATATCTGTCTTTCCTCAAATGCAGTTTTATATGAACTTCCAGGAAAATATCTTCTTATAGAAAGTTCCAATTGTGTATCAAAGTCAAACTTGGCAATGTTACCACTACTGAAACTAATTTTTTTATCAGTGCTCTTTGGAAGATTATTGAATGTAGCAATCAAGTCAATGGCGCCAGTAGAAGGACCTTCCAATTCATCACTGCATCCATGAATATTGACATTAATCTCAGGATTGGGTTTGCTCGACTCTATTCTTAGAACTTCATCTTGATTTCTCAGTTCACCACAATCATAGCCTTGACCTGGCCATAAGCTTGTTGGTTTAAAAGTTTTGCTGCACCCTTCACCTTCTGATATAAATATTGATTTCTCTGCAATACATACTAGTTGTAACTAAGTAACGAAATAAGGGCCAAAGATTTGAACAAAAGTACAAAGAAAGAAACTTGCACACCTCCAGCTTCATCATTATGCTTATCTGATTCCCTTTCACATTTTGTAGAGTTTTCATGCTTAACTGTGTAAATATCGCCCAAATTTGAAGAACTCTTCAGCTGTGAAATATCCTGCATATTTTCCATGTATGTACCATTAGCTTCCAAAAAAAGGAGGTATACAAGTGCTATTTATAGGAGTTGGCAAAGCATGCAGTTTCTATATAAAATCATGAAACCAGCCTAACTTATAAAAGGAAAATTTCCCAAGTGGGGAAAAGAGAGGCTTCATATATGTAATGTAAAAGAGATTCTAGGTTAATGTTTGTATGTTACTCAGGCCAAGCGATGAATGTGTACATAAAACTTCACAAATGAAATTGGCAAAATTAAAAATTAATTGTTGTTTTACACAAATTATTTCTTATCTTAAATAATGTAAAACAAGGATTTATGATGTCACATTATTTTAAAACAACTAATTATTGATTTTCCTTCATTAGAAGTTTTCTTAATAAATTTTAAAAAACTCATTCTCTCTCCTCATTTATTTTAATTTGCTTATTTTTGTAAGTTGTTTGATGAAACAATTATCAAAAGAACTTCAACAACTTATCATGCCATATAGGATTTCTCCAATAAAAAGTTGCTTATAAGCATCTCCTATTGGAGATGCTCTAATAGTAATATTAGAGCATGTTATTTTAGTGAAAGTTTTGGAGATTGGGAAGGAAAAACTTACTTGAGCCTCACTTGTTTTCTCACTGCATTCATTGTTTTTTGGTGTAGAAGCCACAGAACCACTAGAATCACTGGTTGTAGCATGGTTTTCTGCAGCAAAACCAAGTTCAATCTGTGGCAGTGTTAAATTTTGAAGAGGCCAGTTTATATGTATAAAAAATATAAAATTGAAACACAAAAAGGAAATTAAATATAAGTCAAAGTAAATTCGTACTAACAGAAAAAAGAAATATCAAACATTGCCAGAATAAAAATGGAAGAATATGACGTACAACATGCCTTCTCCATACATGCTGCCACAAGTTTCTTAGCTCATTCTTGCGCACAGGCTTTATAAGAAAATCAGCTGCTCCTTTTAACATGCACTTGAACACCATGCTAACTGAATCATGAGAAGACATCACTGCAAAAGCATGAAAAGGTGAGCCCAAATTTGAGTCCATTACCCATATCTAACTATTAACAGTACCAAGTCAACGCATACTTATTACGGGAATGTTTTTGCAAACGTCATGCTCCATGATTAAACTGAGAAGTGAAAATCCAGATATTGATGGTAAATCCACTTCAGTTAATATGAGATCTATGTCAGATGCTTTGTTCTTCAACGTCTCCCATGCCTTTATGCCGTCACAAACTGTGGCAACTGAATGTAAAAATTAACATTAAGAAGTTCATAAGCATCTTGAGCTTGACGATAAATTCACCTTCCACACACTACAGTGGAAGGAAATAAGTTACACAGTCCCTACACTACAAAATAACCATTTACATGAAATAATACCCACTATATTTAATTAAAACAAATAGCTATTATTTAGTTAAAGTACGTTGTGATTAGCTTATTTTTTAACACAAATTAAACTTCTAGGGCGGAAGCTCTCTACTGGGCATTTTAATAAAGATTTATGTTTTCACAGTAAAGTGAAGGTGGATCACGTTCTTCACCACCAAGCTAGTTCATGCGTGCCATACTTGGTAAGTGAATCAAACCTCTAAAACTGGTGTGAAAATTAGTGGCTTACATGGTAAGTGAGTCAAACCTCTACAACTGGTGTGAAAACCAGAGGCCCTCTCTAACCGTTCCTTCCCCTGACTAACAAATGATGTCGCCTTGATCCTCTTGAACATAAAGTTTTTGAGGGTTTTATCCTTTTGTCGTTGTTGTTGTTCTGTCGATTTACCATATTTGTGATTTGTCATGAATCAATTTCATCACGTAAGTGATACACACCTCAATTTTTTTCTTTACGATTCAACTTTGTTGCATGCACGAATAACAAAAAATGCAGTTCAATGTGGTAGTAGACCTAAAAACCTGGAATCTCTGCTTTCCTCGTTCAATGAGCGGTGATATTTTTTTCAAAACGATGTTAATTAGTTATGTACTTGTGTTGGCTTATTTACATTCAACACGTTTTTAGAGGAATGAAAGGTGGTTTTTATTATTTTATTTTCTTCAGAAAAACAATTTAAACAATAATTTTTCAAATACAAAAGAAAAGAACCTTTGTAACTGCATTTACGAAGAAGAGCAGCAATGATCTGTCGAGTAGAATCATCAGCTTCGACAAGCAACACCCGAAGCACCACCCGAGGCAGAAACCGTTCCCACCGAACAGTGGAGGCATTATTGCTCTGTTCTCCCTGCGTCTGCATCACACCCTGCTCACCCACCACTTCACCCATTCTCAAACAATTTGCTTCTTCTGCATTAATTAAGAGCACCACACCAAAAACACATCAAACGCCAAAGCCCTAATTGGATGCGAGAAAAGTACGAAGAAGATGAAGAAGAAGCGAAAAGCACCTCATGCTAAGTCTTGAATTGGGTAGTGAAAATATCTTAAAAATCCGCTAAATTGAGTGGAGGCAAAGAGAGAGAGAAAATGAGAATTTCACAAATTTCAAACCGCCTTCAATACGTGCTCGCAGCGTCGCTCCACAACCGCGAAAATCCTCCAAAATATCTTCTCACCACATGCCACATACATTGATGCATGAAAATGTGAATCTCATCGCCCTCTCAGATCCCAACTGCCATTCCATCCAACGTGATGTGTTTCCCGTGCTGACGTGTCCCATTCTCCACCATTAGTTTTGGTTTCCTCTCCCCAAGTGGGATCCACTCACTAGACACGTGCCTCCTTCCCACTACTCTTTTGTTACTCTTCATTCCCACCAAATAAAATATTTATAACAGTTAATAATGTTATTCCTACATTTTGTGTATATAGTTTTTTTTCCAAAATTATCCTTAAACTATATTCTTCTTCTCAGTTCTATTTGGATATAAATTTCTTAATCTACTTTAAATATGGGAAACTTTTTAAAACATTTTTGTAGTTTAAAGTAAATTGTGTACATATTATTTATATTGTTAATTACTTGGTTTTATACATATTTCCTTATAAAATCCTATTCTTTTGAAATGAAGTTCACACTTAAAAAATATTATGTCCAGTGCCTAAAATACATAAAAAAATAAGATAAACCATCTTCAATGTTTATAAATATTATTTTTTTAAGTTTGAATACCAAAGGTCGAAAATAAAATTTGAACATTAGTAATTAGGTCAATTTTTAAAAACCAGTTCTTCCCTTTCTGCTTCCGTCAACCATCAGAACCGAAGCGAAGAGATGCACAGAGCATTTGTTAGGTCCAAAACCCTAATTACCGTTGCTTCCAATCGCATCTTCTTCGCTCCACCACTACCCCTTTACTCGCAAAACCAAAAGCAACCAGCTTTTCACTTCAATAGCAACAGCGGGAACACCCCTTTCGGGTCACCCACCCGAGTTCAGAAGCTGATAGCTTCCCAATCAGACCCACTTTTGGCCAAAGAAATCTTCGACGTGGCCTCTCGCCAACCCAACTTCCGCCACAATTATTCCACGTATCTCATTCTCATCCTCAAGTTGGGTCGCTCCAAACACTTCTCTCTCCTCGACCATCTCCTCCGGTGCCTCAAATCCGATTCTCACCCCATCACTCCCACCCTCTTCACTTACTTGATCAGAGTCTACAGCGAAGCCGATTTGCCCGACAAAGCCCTTAAAGCCTTCTACACCATTCTCCATTTCAATTGCAGGCCTTTGCCCAAACACCTTAATCGTATTCTCGAGATCCTCGTCTCCCACCGCAATTACATTCGTCCTGCGTTTGATCTCTTCAAGGATGCTCATCGGTATGGGGTGGAACCCGACACCAAGTCCTACAACATTCTCATGCGCGCGTTCTGTCTCAATGGGGACATTAGCATTGCCTACTCACTGTTCAACAAGATGTTCAAACGAGATGTTGTTCCAGATATCGAGTCTTACCGGATTTTGATGCAGGCTTTGTGTCGGAAAAGTCAAGTGAATGGTGCTGTTGATCTTTTGGAGGATATGCTCAACAAAGGGTTTGTTCCGGATTCTTTGACTTACACCACGTTATTGAATAGTTTGTGTAGGAAGAAGAAGCTCAGGGAGGCTTACAAGCTTCTTTGTAGGATGAAGGTGAAAGGGTGCAATCCTGATATTGTTCATTATAATACTGTTATATTGGGGTTCTGTAGAGAAGGGCGTGCTAACGATGCTTGCAAGGTGATTACTGACATGCGGGCCAATGGCTGCTTACCTAATCTCGTGTCGTATCGTACTTTGGTGGGAGGTTTGTGTGACATGGGAATGCTTGATGAGGCTAGTAAGTATGTGGAGGAGATGCTTTGCAAAGGTTTTTCTCCTCATTTTGCTGTTGTTCACGCCTTGGTGAAGGGGTTTTGCAATGTTGGTAGGGTTGAGGATGCTTGTGGAGTTCTTTCTAAGTCTCTTGAGCATGGGGAAGCTCCTCATGTGGATACTTGGATGGTCATAATGCCTGTAATATGTGAAGTGGATGATGATGGTGGGAAAATTAGTGGTGCTTTGGAGGAAGTTCTTAAGATTGAAATAAAAGGACATACTAGAATTGTGGATGCTGGTATTGGTTTGGAGAACTACTTGATTAGGAAGATACGAGCCAACTCCAGAGTATTCTAAAACTTATGTAGGACTTACAGTTTCCAATCATGCTGTTGTCATTCGTGTTGGATCTTTGTGGTATGTTTGTTACCTTCCAAGCTGTGAAACCTACATAAAGTTGTTTGTCCACTATTTGCCCAAGAATCTTACTCGATTTTATCTGATAACCAAGGTTTGCAAGTGACGATGTTGCATTGTTGCATGTCAATCATAGTTATGCAACTTGACTACTGTAATAATGGTTAATATGCGGACAGCTGGGATAGTCAAGATTGGGCCACTCCTTGGAACTCCAGAAGCAGGGAGGGTTTCTGCCCAAACTAACGACCGGCTACTTTTTGTAACCTATTCGAGATTCAACAAGCAATATGGAAGTCCCAAACAGATCAACGTGGACTTGGTAGGTTAAGATCTTAATCTAATGAAACCATTCTTGTGCACTGAGTTAAGACATTCTTGTCATTTTCATCTCATCCTTTTCAGATGATTAATCTCTCCACCCAATCATTACAGATTTAAATATGTATAGAAGTATACAAAAAAGAAGAAATTTACTTATATCAGCTCTGATATACTTGACTTGACATTAAGTGGAGTACTCCCATCAACAAGAAAATTATGTTCTACACGTTGACATGTTGCTGATTGTAATATAGAACACAACAATTTTAAAAGTCTCCATTTAGCACCAAACTTACAGATTGATGATTTTATTATCTCTATAATGTGGTGTAATAGAATAATAAACTCATAACAAACTATCCAAAATTGATTATAAAATGCTCTACAGTCATGCTTAAGAAATTATATTATTATTTCGGCTTAAGAACTATATACTTACCTATATGCTAGTGCACATACTGCCAGAAGCAAAAAAAAATTCTAACAAACTCATTTTAGAACATATTTTCTATTTCTAATTTTACTAATAAAAACTAATAACATTTCTTTTGGGTCTGCCGTAGGAATTGGGCCGTAACAGTTTGGGTGTTAATGCTTACGGTTTAGTCTGGTGTGTGGAGGACTGTAACAAACTGAGCCAAATTGGAAGTTGTTTGAGCTTGCTTCATGATATTCTCTCTTCGAATATTGCCTCAGTACGCGATTTCAATTTATGGTTCAGAAATTAGTTTTGTCATTAAGTTGTACGTTAAAATGTAGTTGATGTATTTTTTTATACTTAAAAAACTAAAAGAGGGAGGTTCTCTGGACCATGCTGTCAGAAACATTAGTTTTAGTTTGAAAACTGCACGACAGTGGTAAAAAGTTTCCTCAATAATCTTTCTCATATTGCTTTAATCTCTTCGACTGAGCTTATCCCTGCACCTAATTAGTTACTGCGGGTTTCAATAATTATAGATACGTGAAAATAAAGCTAAGTTTATTATCCGATCTGCATTCTATTTCTTGATTTTCAGTTGAATACTATTTCATTCAAAAAATCAGGTTTTGAACTTTCAAGTATGCACAGATACTGCGGATTGGAATTTGACATACAACTAAGGGTATAAATCCCGATTTTGATGGCCTTTCCACAGTAGGTCCACTCCACTCGCTGACATTTTATAGCTCTGGAAGTTTCTCGCATCAATCTCAGTTATACATACCAGAACAGAGCTTCCTCCAAAACAATCAATATTGCATCAATCTTTGCAAAATCTGAATATCTAGTTAGGTCTTATTCCTCTCTCTCTCTACATGTTCTCTAATCACTAGTGTACGACCACAAAGTACCTGCAAGAAAGACCAGGCTAGGTATCAGACACAAGCACACGATAAAAAGTGTTGGACAATTTGAGGGAACAAAAAAATTAATCACATAATCCCCTTCAAATCTATTTCTGCATAATACTCTCACTTACAGTTGGAATCAAAAAGTGTGATAAGGTAGAATAGATATACCGTTCCATTGAGAGACTTTGCTGCATCACGTTCTCTCTCTGAAAGATAAGAGACAAACGCATAGACTCTTTGTCTCCCTTGTTTCATATCTTGCAACACCCTTACACTAGTCACATTACCAAATCTACCAAAAAGCTGCCTCAAGTCTTCAGGCCTAGCAAACTTGGAAAGATTCCCAACATACAACTTATAAGGACCTTCATAGTATATAGTTCTTACCGGTAACGAGTTCATTGTATCAAGATTCCTCCTCTTGGGATTCATCTCAGCTGAAAATCTAACCCACAATTCGCGCCCACCAACATCCTTCAGTTGTGAAAAAGGAAAAAAATAAAAAAGACGTTTTCAGATCAAACAAACAGCCAGAACACATTAATGAAATAGATGCAGGGGAGCGAGTTTCACACTCACGAACCAATCCGTCCAATTCAGCAATTGCTTTTCTTGCGGAGTCAATAGATGCCATTGTGACATAAGCACTCCCTCTGCTTTCACCAGTCTCCTCATTCCGGCAAATCTGCAAAAGAGCAGTCACGCTACAGCACAAAACCTTCTCATGATCCCACCTATCGCTGATTCAGATTACAACGATGAAAAGTGAAAACATTTGTGCAGTTGAACTAAAAATTTGAAAAGTTTAGTGAGAACGAGAAGTAAGGATGGGTATAGTGGGATGGACATTAAATAAGGAAAAAGTGGAAGAAGCGATAAACCTGAGCGGAGAGTACGGTTCCATGAGGATTGAACATATGAAGTAGATGTTGTACATCACAGCTTCTAGGAAGGTTGCAGACGTAGACTTCGGTTGGTCTAGGTTGCTTCAACGTTTCTTGCTCCACGTGTTTTCCTCCGTGAACGACCCTTACTTTATCCACCGTGGCCGCCGAGGCGGTGAAGGAAAAAGTCGTAGCCTTGGAACAGGAAAGGAATGATTTGGGAGTAGGTCCTAATTGGGTATGGAGGTTGTGGTTGAATAAGAGTAACGAGGAAGATGTGAATGAGAGAAAGAAAGTAGCCATCTTTAGCCTCAATGTGCTCAGCTGTGTGCTGCAGTAACAGTAGAGTTGAGAGTTATGATTCAACTCAAACCCCAATCCATTGTTTTAGTGCTTAATAAAGTTCTTTTTCCAGATTATAATTAAATTATTTTTTAAAAGAAAAAATATTATAAAATACATATTTTGAAACACAAACTTAAGGTTGTTAAATATTTCATGATAAAAATATAAAACAAAATACGTTGTTGTATAAACAGTTTGTAATTAATATTAATATAAATAAAAACTTTAACATAAATAAACTAAAATATTTTTTAAATGATAGGAATTAAAAATATTAATACCAAGGAATAATATCTATAGCGCGTAAAATAGCGTGAGTAAGTTTTACTTCCAAAATGTTTTAAACTATTTTACTCTCTTTTTTTCTGTCTAATTTGGGGATGAAATGAAAAATGAAGTGCCCCTAATGGTAGCTTAAGTAACAAAAGAGTGTAATAATTCAGAGTTTAAGAACTTCCCTTTGTAATTGTTGTTATTTCAGATCTGATCTGAACGCGAATGTGATTGTAGATTGTGCGATTGATGGTGCAAGAAAAATGGGGACTACTCCTGAGGCCAATGGTAATAATGCAGCGGAGGAAGAAAACGCCATCGACGGCGGTTCAATTCATTTCGGCACCGTGGAGGCCGTCGAATACGTCCGTTCCCTCACCGACGTCGGCGCGATGACGCGCCTTCTCCATGAGTGCATCGCTCACCAGAGAGACGTCGACGGCGAACTTGACGAGCTTCTGTCGCAGCGCACTGACCTCGACCGCCACCTCCTCCAGCTCCAGCGCTCCTCCGACGTCCTCGACATCGTCAACTCCGATGCTAACTACATGCTCTCCAACGTCGCCTCCACCTCCGACCTCGCCGACCAGGTCAGCCGCAAGGTCCGCGAGCTTGACCTCGCGCAGTCGCGCGTCCGCAACACGCTCCTCCGCATCGACGCCATCGTTGAGCGAGCCAACTCCCTCGAAGGCGTCCACCGTGCCCTTGAGGCAGAGGACTACGAGTCCGCCGCGCGCTACGTCCAGACCTTCCTCCAGATCGATGCGCAGTACAAGGATTCCGGCTCCGATCAGCTTCAGAGGGATCGCTTGTTAGCGGCAAAGAAGCAGTTGGAGGGAATTGTAAGGAAGAAGCTCTCTGCCGCTGTGGATCAGCGTGACCACCCAGCCATTCTCAGGTTAAGTCACGGATCTGCAAATTTTAAGTTGTGGGAACAATAGTATAATTTATTGATTTTTTTTTAATATATCTTAAATTATGAGAGTAATTTTTAATTATGCATATACATATATATTACAGATAAGAGTAAGTAGTATATGCATATGTTTACGCTGAAATCCTGTGATCCATTTGCAAATTGTTATATGTGACTATTTTTTTTCATTTCACATTTGTTACTTTAATACTCATACATTCCATGATTTTTCTGATTGGATTATAATGTGTATATAATTTTTTGCATTGAGTGCATAGAAATTGAAGTCGATAATATGTTAAGAAATTTGAAAAACTAGTGGCATAATGCTGAACCTGGATCCATCATTGCTCAGGTTCATTCGGCTCTTCACTCCGCTGGGGGTGGAGGAGGAAGGATTGCAGGTTTATGTTGGGTACTTGAAGAAGGTGATTGCAATGAGGTCAAGAATGGAGTTTGAGCAGTTGGTGGAGACAATGGATCAGCGTAATGTCAATTTTGTTGGTTGTTTGACCAATTTGTTTAAGGACATTGTGTTGGCGATTGAGGAGAACAGTGAGATCTTGAGTGGTCTTTGTGGGGAGGATGGAATTGTGTATGCCATCTGTGAGCTTCAGGAGGAGTGTGATTCTCGTGGTTCTGTGATTTTGAACAAGTATATGGAGTATAGGAAGTTGGCTAAGTTGTCCTCTGAGATAAATGCACACAACACCAATTTGCTTGCTGTTGGAGGAGGTCCTGATGGTCCTGACCCACGAGAGGTTGAGTTATATTTGGAGGAGATTCTCTCCCTTATGCAGCTTGGTGAGGATTACACGGAGTTCATGATTTCAAAGATCAAAGGGCTTACTTCTGTTGACCCCGAGTTGCTCCCTCGCGCCACCAAGGCTTTCCGGAGTGGCAGTTTCAGCAAGGTTGCACAAGATTTAACCGGTTTTTATGTCATTTTGGAGGGATTTTTCATGGTGGAGAATGTTAGGAAAGCAATAAGGATCGATGAACACGTGCCTGACAGCCTTACCACTTCTATGGTGGATGATGTGTTTTATGTATTACAGAGTTGCCTGCGGAGGGCAATATCCACTTCCAATATCAGTTCTGTTGTTGCAGTTTTGAGTGGTGCCAGCAGTTTGCTCGGTAATGAATATCATGAAGCCTTGCAGCAAAAAACAAGAGAGCCAAACCTTGGTGCAAAGTTGTTCTTTGGTGGTGTTGGCGTGCAAAAGACAGGGACAGAAATTGCTACAGCTTTGAATAATATGGATGTTAGCAGTGAATATGTTCTGAAGCTAAAACATGAAATTGAGGAACAGTGTGCTGAGGTGAGTGGTGTATATTTTTAGTACCTTACAGTTATTTTACTGATGAAATTCATTAAATATTGAATTATGATATTAATTGTAGCAGTAGGTATGGTTGGCTACCCTTGCTTTATGGACTTTGTGCCTGGGATCCCATTAAAAGATAATTAGAGATTCCTAGGTTAGGGAATTCGTATTATATAGAATCGTGATGAAAATCAATACAGCAATTTTTTGGGCATAAATTTATGTATGCAGTTTGTGTCATTTAATTTGTGCAGGATGTAGTTCGTAATTGCTGTAACATGATTTAGAGTTTTATGCACAAATCTTGGATTAAAAATATGAAGACAGCGGCATAAGACAAACCAATTTCATGATTGCCATTTTGGCAACTTCATAATCACAGATTGAGGATGTTACTGTCCTGAGTGTTGATCAGTCAAATTTGTAGCAATCCTTTTTGTAACATAAACATGGAGATGATTGATTAGAAGAATGCACTCGAAGTCTGAGTTAGAAATTCAGAAATTGTAGCATTATGAACTATTTATATAGGTGCTTAACACTCTCAGCAGTATTGATGATATTCCCGTGAACGTAGTTATGAATACATGCTCAAATTTGTAGCAATTCTTCTGTTAACATTAAAATGGAGATGATTGATTAGAGATATGCCATCAGAGTATGGTATTGAAATTAAAAAAATTAAGTATTGATGATTCACTTAATGAACTATTTACTTATGAACTATTTTCCACTTTACACTGGATGGTTCTTCAGATGTGTGCTAATTGAATATTTCATATTTGTCTTTAGCTTCGTCAACAGCTCCTCTTTCATTTTTAAAGGAAAGAAAGTAGCTGGAACAGAGTTAAAAATTATTTATTTTTAACATCTGTTTCTCAATTTATATAGCGCTCTGTCAATTTGTCCTTTTCCGGTTCATAATCTATAGGTCATTTTTTTATTATTTTCTGTCTATTTGCTTTGCCTATACAATATACAAGTTTAACATTGAAGAATTAGCTGAGTGAATAACTTCATGCAGGTGTTTCCTGCACCAGCTGATCGAGAAAAGGTGAAATCTTGTTTGACTGAGTTGGCAGATAGCAGTAATGCTTTCAAACAAGCTTTGACTGCTGGCATAGAACAACTTGTGGCAACCATTACACCTCGAATAAGACCAGTATTAGACAGCGTTGGAACAATTAGCTATGAGCTTTCAGAGGCTGAGTATGCTGATAATGAGGTGAATGACCCATGGGTTCAGAGACTTCTCCATGCTGTTGAGACAAATGTGGCATGGTTGCAGCCACTAATGACTGCTAACAATTATGACACGTTTGTTCATTTGATTATTGACTTCATTGTGAAAAGGCTAGAAGTCATTATGATGCAGAAAAGATTTAGTCAGCTAGGCGGTCTTCAGCTTGACCGAGATGCTAGAGCTTTGGTAAGCCATTTCAGTGTCATGACACAGAGAACTGTTAGAGACAAGTTTGCACGTCTCACGCAAATGGCAACTATTCTGAATTTAGAGAAGGTTTCTGAGATTCTAGATTTCTGGGGTGAGAACTCTGGACCTATGACCTGGAGATTAACTCCAGCTGAGGTTAGGCGTGTATTGGGTCTGCGGGTTGATTTTAAACAAGATGCAATAGCTGCTCTGAAGTTGTAATACTCGTTTATATGGTCTCTTCACATTCTTTTTTTTTTGTTTTTCATCTGATAAGTATTACATCTTCATTCTTACTACTTTTGGTGTTTGTTAATTTACATACATTTTCGTTATGCCATTTGCATTTCTAACTTCAAAAACAAAAGAATAAGCAAGAGTATTCAGATTTGCAACCCAAGAGGCCAAGGTCTCTTATATTATAGAGAGCATCTTGTGTGAAACGGTCATTGTTCCTCAATAGCCACTCCAATTTTGAATTTTTGTGTTTTTTATTTTGTAAATCATTTTGAGGCTTATTGGTTGTTATAAAAAATCTCACTTCCAAACAACTCTTTCGCGCGTTTAATTGCAGAATATACGAATGTTGCATTTATTTGGATGATCAATTGTTATTTAAACAATGATGCTGGCAAAGTCCAAAGTATCACTTTACGCAATTACTCCTGCAATCACATCAGGCATGCTGCAAAACAAGTTAGAAACGCGCATAGATACAATTTACATTCTAGTATGGAAGTGTCGGAAATGCAGAAGCTTTCATTTCTTGTTAATCTATCTATACCTTGAATATATAATCCAAGTTTCCATTAAGAATACTTTTCTAGCTTATTTTTTCCTGGCATATATGTGTTCAATTAATAATAGTATGGTTGAATTATTCATTTGTTCTACCTCCTCATTTTAAATTTTAATTCTTAAAGTTATAATTCTTAGTCTCTACACGCAAAAAGAATTAAGAACTATAAAGACCAAATGGAACAAGACTTCGTTGTTATATAGAACCAAACAGAGGATTCCGCTCATATTATGCATAGTGCCTACCTACCTGCCAATCTACCATTTCATGTTGACCCGGATTATTTGCTTCTTGTGTTCTTGGATGTCCTGTACGGCTTTGAGGCAGCATACTATTGGGTTATGTATTTTACTACTTCTGAGGGCAGAGTTCTGGAACACATTCAATTAATCTCACTCGAAATTTATTCTACTAAATTCGAATAATAATTTGTAGGAAATCTACAGTAGTTGGTGTTGCTAGATTTTAAATCTACACTAATTGGTATTGCTACATTTTAAATCTACATACAGAATCAAATTATGAGAACAGCTCATGCCTTGTGGTATGCAATCTTCTAAGCAAATCTTCTTTGTCTCAATCATAAGAAACGGAGTGAAGGATAAATAATGAGTATACCAGGAGGACAAGCCGTGGAGATACCATTCATGCTTTCAGTTGAAATTTATAGAAGTCCACTAGAAGAACGATGGCTGCTATAATTGCAACAACTGACAGGTAAAAGGAATGATTGGCGATTGTCATTGTTGACACTAGTTCCAAGAATAGTAACAACTATAAAGAAAGAAAAAACAAAACTTCAACCTAAAGAACAAATCCTCTTTATATTTTATGAAGGGCATTTTGTCTGAAACATTTGATTTCTAGTAACTATACGAAAAAGAACATGAATCTAAAACTGAAAACTCGCAGATAGATATCAGACTTGATAAATATTAGACATGAGCAGTGCCTTCAGTGAATTTTGGGTCCTCGCATCTGTACTTGCCATCAGGTCCAATTCCAAAACCTTTTGGATCAGCAAAGACATTCTCCAGAAGCTGGCTGCGGGCTGGAAAAGGGCTCTCATCTGCAAACTCAACAGCATCTTCAATAACCTCATCAATCTTCTTCTCTATGGCCTTCAGCTCTTGCTCACTGGCTAATTTATTCTCAATAATGTATTTCTTCAGTGCAGAGATGGGATCCCTACCAGCATAATGTGCCTTCTCAGCTGACAAAGCACAGACATATAATGGTGAATAATTACCATGAACTTGGCAGACACAAATAGAAGACATAAAAGCAAACTTCGGCAAGATGCGACTAATTTTGATCATGGCATGAATATCCTGACTTGTTGAAATTAGAACGGTTGGTAATCATAATATTATTGCTGTAAGAATAAAAACAATAGCAAAACCTCATCCCACTGGTTAGGTTGGTTACATGGATCACATGGCACTATTGCTGTAAGAATAACGTAGTTGAATATGCATAGAAAAAAAAAAGACTAATAGATTTAGCAGGACATTTTAAAAGGATAAAACAATCTACATTTATCAGCAACAAAGTAATTAAGAGCAACTATAACCACATGGTAATCTGAATCATGTCAACATGATTAGATGCACTCACAGTATTTAACAAATTGACAGGAAAAAAAAAACTGGCTACATCATTATCAATCTATAGGAAATGCATCCACAACTTTTGTTTATCAAAATTGTTTATAAATGTTAAATCAAACTACATTTCCATATTTCGACCGAGATGATGATCAAGCACCATGATGTTTTGTACTTGCCATCAAAATGATAAGAAAAGCCACTTTTCAGAAAGACAAATTCATAAAGTGTAGTATATAAGTGTAGCTAACGGATGAAAATGTCTCAGCGAACCAACTCAGCCAATATTTTTCTTGAAACATTCCAAATTTGAGGATAATAGCTAGATCACAAGAAATTTGAAGTTTAGGCAAGAGAAATCTACAATTACTGGTTAAACTATTGTCTCTATCATGTTGGCATGATTCTTAAGCATATAATGTAGTTATAAATATTTTCAATACCAAATTATAAAGTGTTACATCTTTACACCATTAACATGTTTAGAGTGCACGACTACGGGTACAATTTCTTTAACATGCAAGTTTGTCAGTGATCCAAATCCATGATGTTAATCTTAATATCAATAGCATTCTCAACATCTAAAATCCAGAGGAAAGTGCTCCTAAATTTAACTACACAGATAAGGCACAGGAAACCATATAGCAGAATCAATGTACAAGGATTTATGTACAGTACCACTGAAGATACCATAAAAAATGCAAAGGACTGCAACATAATTAACTAAAAAATTAACAGCATGTTTGAAGTATATTCTAAGAAAAGAAAGCATAAGGTCAATGCTTACCAGGGTCACGAAGCTCATCAGGATCAGCCAATGAATGTCCTCTAAATCTATAGGTCTCACATTCTACTAAAGTTGGTCCCTCTCCTCGTCTGGCTCTTTCAATAGCCTCTTTAGCCACCTCCCTGACCTTCAAAACGTCCATCCCATCAACATGAACCCCAGGCATTCCAAATGCCGGCCCTTTCTTCCATATCTGAGGATCTGAAGTTGCCCGGAGATGAGACATCCCAATAGCCCACAGATTATTTTCCACAACAAACACAATAGGCAATTTCCATAAAGCTGCCATGTTTAGGCATTCATAGAACTGTCCATTGTTACATGTTCCATCTCCAAAAAATGCCAACGTCACATGATCACAATCTGCCTCTTTCAAAACCTCCCTTCTATACTTGCTGGAAAATGCTGCACCGGTGGCAATAGGAATTCCCTCAGCAATGAAAGCAAACCCACCGATCACATTATGTTCCTTTGAGAACATATGCATAGATCCACCTTGACCTCGGGAGCATCCTGTGGCCTTCCCAAAGAGCTCGCTCATTACAGCACGTGCCGGGACCCCCTTACTCAGTGAATGAACATGGTCCCGGTATGTACTCACCACCGAGTCTTCTTTCTTGAGAAGCTTAATGAAGCCAGTTGATACAGCTTCTTGGCCATTGTACAAGTGAACAAAACCGAACATTTTGCCTCTATAATACATCTGGGCACACATGTCTTCAAAGAACCTGCCTAATATCATGTCTTCGTAGAGCTGCAAACCTTCCTCTTTCGAAATAAGCTGCAGACACAAACACAAACAAAAAACTTAAATCTCAAACACTCATTTCCAAATATCAAAAACATATTTTCCAGAATAAAATGATCTGAAGCTAATTGGATAAAGGTGGCATAAGAAGATCTCTTCTTTCCTTACAGTCAAAACCAAACGTATACATCAAATTAGGAAGCATCTACAACATTCGAAGTAAACTATTGAATCGAGCAGCTCATAAGGTAAACGTTTAATTTCTTTGTACCGTAAGTGTAACACTCTTTATACTTGCCATCCAATCAAAACTCATGCTAGCTAGGGATAACTTTTAAGTTAAGTACTGTAACAATTCTAATTGACTGCCACTGCAAAAACTCTTTATACGGTTCGCCGTTATACTATTCACTCATAAACTAATTGGGTAAGTCGAATTAAGTGGAAAAAACACTTTTCGATTTAATTTTCAGAAACCAGTCACGCAGGATCCATGCCATGCTGAACAAATGAACATCTCTTCTTCCCAAAGGTATGAATTATTAATATTTGATATGAAAACACAAAACGGTAAAAGGGTTACCAGATTGGCGGCTGATTTGGGTTTCTTGTCCTTGACAGCGTCGGAGACAGAGACAGCAGTGGACTTAGAGTGAGCATTGAGCTTAATGGGGGCGATGAGACGTAGCTTGTGAGTGGATCCAAGGAAGGGAGTGAACGTGTGGAAAGACATGGAGCTGCCATTAGATCTGTGATGGAGAGGAAGAGGCTGCGCCAACTTCGGAGTGGAGAGAGACATTATTAATATTACGGTATTGCGAGTTGCGAATGAGAAAGGAAGGAGTTAAAAAGAAAGAGGTTAATGTGTTTGAGGAAATGCAGAGGAGAGAAAAGAAGAATGGGAAGAGCGGAGGAAACAAGAGAAGGAACGAGAGCGATGTGGAAATCAGCGTCTTTGGCTATAAATCATCAACACACAAACTCACAACACACAGCAGAGTCAATCACAGATCACAGAAACGCGAGGGGGAAGCCACCAATGCACAACCAACTTTTCCTACAAATATTCAAATTATCGTTCAACCAATTTAATTGCCACAATGTATTAAAAATATATATTTTGTGTCTTAATATTCAATCCTAGGTTTTTGTAGGTATTAAAAAAACAACTAGTAAAAGGTTAGTCTTTTAAATATTTTTTTCTACAAATTAAATTATTCCTTATTTTGTAATTCGAGGATATCCTAAATTTAAAGTGTTTTGCTTCATAATAGTTGGGATTCTTGGAGTATTATTTTCTACAGTAAACTTCGAAAAACTACTTACATGAATTTAAAAGAATTAAAAATTTAAATTATTTTTTAACTTAGTTAAACTACACTCTAGCATAAGAATCAATTTGATTAATATTTTAAAAGTTATTTAAACAACTATATTGTCTTAAGTACTGTTTAAGAGAGAAGTAAGTAATTTGAGGACAAATTGATGTGTTTTTTCTGATAATTTTAGCATCATACAATAAAATAAATATTCTCAAAATCTGATATTTAAATTATATTAATTTTCTTTATTTAAATATATACATTTTATTTTATATAAAAGACTATTATGTTTTCGTGTATTTTCATGTAAACGGCTAATAATTTGTTTCTTTTCCTCTTTTAATGACGGCTACCAAGAAACATTTTTCAAACTAGGAATTATTGAATCAATAAAAATATTTCATATTTTATATCTTTAAAAGTGTAAATAGATCGTAATCATGACATGATTATTATGTTTTAAAAATTATATATCATGATAAATGACAAACTTACCTTAAAGTGGTAAACTTAAAAATTAACATGCAATGAAAATCTTACCCTTTTTTTTTTACTAATAAATTGTAAATAGTTAAGCAAAAGTAGATTGTGAATAATGTCATTTTTATTAATATTTATTTAATACATCATAAAGTATCAAACAAGGGTCCATAGCTCAGTGGTAGAGCATTTGACTGCAGATCAAGAGGTCACCGGTTCGAACCCGGTTGGGCCCTTCAAACTAAATATACAATTTTTTAAAATTGAAGTTTGAATTTATATAATAACTAAATTAAATTATATAAAAAATTATTATGATAAAAAGAAAAGTTAATTTAAGCCATAAAAAAATGAAAGAAAATGGAATATGTTTTCTAAACATGTTTAGCTTGGAGAAGAAACTTATAAATATTTAAATGAAATATTAAACATCAAATTAGTTCCTTGTTTAAAGTATACTCGAAACATATTATTATTTAATCATACCTAATTTTTAACTTGGAGAGAAAGTTGTTACTCATAATTATTTAAGAATAAAAGTAAATATTTTATTATAAATCTTATATCTGAATTGCTTAAAGATAAAGAAAATTATTTAAAATTATTATATTGAAGAGAAAGTTTTTATCAATCGTTACTTAAGAATAAAAGTGAATATTTTATTATAAATTTTATATCTGAATTAATTAAAGATGGAGAAAGTTATTTAAAATTGAAAGAAAATAACTTAAACAAGCTATCAAATCTTAAATAATTCAACTATAAGATCTATACTAAAATATTCAATTTTATTTTTAAACAACTCTTAGTTTAAAATTTTCTTTGGAGATGCTTTAAAAAAAATTGTAAATAGAACAAAAAATAATTTAAAAATAAGCAAAAATATTTTAAAATTATATAATTTATTTTATAAATATTTATAAAAGGAAAAAAAATCAAATATAATTATCTAAACTTTAAAAGACACTAATATGTGATGGTTTATACCAAAGAACTTAAGTATAAATAAAATTTAACTTATAAAAAAAATATTTTTTTATTTTCTATAAATATTTAATAAAATGTTTATTCAAACAAAATCCTAATTAGACACCTATATTTTATAATTTTTGAACTTGTGAAAACTGTTTCACAGAAAATTTGACTCAAACCTGTAATTTAATTAAATTAAGTTAAAAATCTATAAATGTTATTAATCTTTCATTTATACATGTACATCTTAATATAAATTACTCGACATAATTAATAAAAAAAATGAATGATTTGCATAATTTCAAAGATATCAAAACTGTATATTTTACTAAAAATAAGATCATTTGTTATAACTATTTTAAATCCAATTTCTGTTTATTCATGACAAAATAATTGTTCCGAATAATGTGAATAATTATAAGACAATCTCTTACGATTTAAAGTTGAGAAAACAAGTTAAAACTATTTTGAACATTTTTCACATTTAGTCACAGTTAAAATTACCTTTCATTTCTTTATTATATAAAAAAATTAATAACAGCAAGAAAACATTCCTATTAACTTTGTCGTGACCAAACAAATTCCAACCCTATATCTTCCGTATAGACTTACTTTAGTTTACTATCGCATTCACAAATAAGAGAACGACTTCAATTTCTAATTATCATAATTAGAAGAAAAAGTAGTTAATAATCATTACCATAATTTTATAATTACGAACCAGTTTATTTAAATAAATAATAAGCATTTCAAAAAACATTTTCTTTTAAAAAAATACGGTTTGACTTTTACAAGTAAAAATTTGTTTGTTTAAAATAGACAAAATAAAAAACATAATTACCTATTACCATTTAAAAAAACAAGCAATCACTATATCTATAACATACCTTTACTGTAATTAACTTTTTCAAGTAACTAATTATTCCTAATTATCATAATCAGAAGAAAAAAAAATCCATAATTTAACTATAGGATTTAAGAACATAATCGTAAAATCAGGCATTACATCCATCTTTCAAGACTTTATAACAAGCCTAAGAACTCGAAGGAAAGATGAAGGTAGAGTTACAAAATAACAGAAAAACCCGTTTTAACGAGCAATGACAATCCTTTACGGTATTATCAAAGAAAACTGCGATAGTTTTCATTCAATCTAAAAGTGCGTCGGAACTTCCATATTCATATTTTTATCCCTCGACTCATCTTATGATTCGATTGAAAACAAGCACACTACATTGCTGCTTGAGAAATCAGAACCAGGTTTTAGTACACCAAACTTCAACAATACCATAGTGCAAACAGAACTATGGTGGAAAAATTGGGGTCAGAACAGTGGAGGCAAAAATAATGGTCAGGAAACAGATAATAAAGTAAACATTTCTCAGAATTTTCAGATGAACATAAACCCATATTCCAGAGATCATAGTACTACAAAATCAAGTCGTATACAGATATAAATAACCAACATAAAAAGAAAACCTAAATATCCATAAGGAAGTTAAAGAACCACAAAAATTTGACATGACATTAAGAAACTCCCTAATCGAACAAGCCGAATCCCATATCATCGTCACTCTCTTCTTCAGGTTCTTCCTATAAAATTGTAACAAAACAAATTAGACACAACCATAAACTAGCATAAGAGAACAAAAATTGCAGGAACAACCATTTCACAAGAGGTATACCTTCTTTTTCTCTTCAGCAGCAGGAGCGGCTGCAGCAGCACCTCCACCTGCGGCGGCAGCAGCTGGGGCAGCTGCTACAGCAACTGGTGCCCCACCGCCGGCAGCATTTGCTATCAAATCGCCAAGATTTTTCTTCTCAGCAAGTTTAGCAAACAACGGAGGCCAAAAAGAATCGACCTGAACCTTGGCGGTTTTCAACAATGTGACGATATTGTCTGCCTATTTATGATTTAAGGAACAACACTACATATCTAAGCAAATTCACTTCTGATTAACCCTAAAACTCACTTTTTATCTCTCAGCAAAATATACTAACACGATCAAATTAAAACAAAATAACACTTTAACATTTATTTCATTCAAAAAACTTACTTTACGTAACAATGGCAATGTACTTGGCCAACAATAGAAAATGAAAACTACAACATAACATAAAGTAAAACTCCAACTTCCCCGCGTTTGAATTGTTCCTAAATGAATCCCAACAATAAAACACGGGCAAAATTAAACCACAAAAAATACGTTAACAGCAAACTAACTTTCCTCTTCCAAAAAAGAACTTCCGTTTTGTTTTAATTCCAATTCCAAGAACTTCAAATGATTCAAAATTCAATCCAACAATAGAATTGATAAGCAGATACAAATAAAATAAATTATATCAAACATTCACTCACAATTCATCAACGATGAATCTAAGAGCACACAAAAGGATACAGTGACAGCGATTCCTTCCTCGTGAAGGATGAGAGATGCGTATGAACAAGCAGTTTCAGCAACCGACATTTTCACACTGCAACATAGATAAATGAAGAAAATAATACAAATCAACATGACAAAGTCACAAAGTACATTCAAATGAGAAAGCCAAACATTGAAATAGAATTACCTTCAGAGATAGCAGATCGGAGACACACAAAGAATGAATGAAGAGTGCTTCCCTGCTGCAGCCGCTAATGAAATACGATTCTAGGGTTTCAGGGTTTAAAAAGTGATAAACCAGTTCATGGGCCTCGTGATTTAGGGCCCATTTTAATAAGTCTGGGCCCAATTCATTTTCTTCATTATGTTACTGTATCTTAGTTATGTTTTTTCTTTTTCTTTCCTTATCCATATATGAACAAGGAATATGTAACAAAATTAGATAGTTCATTTTTAATATTAAATTATTATTACTAATAATAAAAAAAGGGTAAAGATACTAGTATATAATAAATAAAAGAAATAGATTAAAAGTTTATAATTTATTTTATAAGTTTAAATAAGTTCTCATAAAATCTTAATATATATACCAAGATATTCACATAAAAATGTCATCTCATTTATTTTATAACACAATTTAAAATTTGTTAAGAAAACTGCAACTTGGCTCATTGAATTGATCAATCTTAATTAAAATCAACTTAATTATTAATTTTTTTGATTACCTTTATTAGAAATACGTTTGAATTATCACGTAAGTTAAAACAATTTCATTTTAGAAAATTATATATTTTTCTAGTAATTTAAAAAATAGAACCCAATTGAGTACTGAATATTTGTCAAATAAATTTAAAAGAAAAATCAAAATCATAAATAAAAACTAATTTATGGTCCTGAAAAGATACGTAGATGTCAAAAATGTCCTCCTCATGAAATGAGAATTATGGTCACAAAAATGGATGCATGCATATTTTTAGCTTGGCTATTTGCATATTGTCATTTCTATCACTAAAATGAATAAGCTAAAATGAACTATATGAGTTGTAAAACAAAATTACATGAGGTTGTCAGTATTCTGATTGAAGTTATTTTAATTCTTCATCATCTCTTTGCATACAGCGATTAATTCTATATTAACCTTTTAATACTTTAAAAGTAATTTTAACTAATTAAGTATATTTTTCTATATTTATTTCTTCTTGTTCAAAATTTAAAATGCTTATGAGCGTAAATTTCATTGTTGTTGGATAACAAAAGATAAAACAGTAGCAGAAGAGTTCATCATTGTAGTAAAATGTCAAACTGGAATCAAGTATGTTACAGGACTGTGAATTTGGTGTCACGCATACTCTGGACTCACTTGCTGGAATCGATCTTCCACATTCTTAATCTCACTCTCTTCACATAACATATATATAATATAATATACAAGTTATAACCCACACCATGATATTTTGTCCTTGGTCTTGCCCTACCTACCCATCATCACCCTTAAACAAAACCACATGTTACCCTTTCTAAGAATCCATCATTGTGTCCATTGACCATCATCTACTAAACTTTGAAGCTATGCTTATTATCCTCCTTCCCATGCATATCGACCACCTCCTTTGCAGAGATTGTTCCAACTTTTAAGGATAGACATGAAAAAACAATCATGGTTATAATTAGATTGTTAACCATTATTTCAATAAGTTTAACAAAAATGGTTTAAACAAAAACAATGTGGCTTCAATTGATTTTGGGTGTTGTATAACTTTAATTATTTTACTTTATATTCTTGTTATAGTAATGGTTGATTCACAAAAATGACTATGATGGTTCAATCTTACTTTGCTCATAATATAATACAAACCAGGTGGGTCCCCAACTAAGTTAAAACAAAAGAAGCATAGAAAGATACCCCAAAAGGATGGCAAAGAAAGAAGAAAAGAATTTGATGCTTTATGTGTCGGCTAGTTAATAGTTATCCCCCGAACTCCATCCCCATAACATAAACAAGAAACCTTGTCAGTTGTTGTCACCGTTCACATAGATCAGAGATTCAGAGCTTATAGCTAACCAAAACCTAATCTTCAATGGGGAACTGTGCCTTTAAAGGATTCACTGCAAGTGAGGGTGTATGGGATAAGGACACGATGGTGAAGGTGGTGACACCAAATGGAGGCATAATGGAGCTTTACACCCCAATAACCGCGGAGTGCTTAACCAACGAGTTTTCCGGCCACGGAATATTCCGAAGCCGCCGCGACTTGCTCTCGAAGCCGCTCCACCACGACGAGGAGCTTCATGCGGGGGAGCTCTACTACCTTCTCCCTCTCGACCCTTCTTGCAGGTTGTCATCCACCAAGAACATCACACGACAACTATCCAACAACGCTGCCGCCGCCAGTGAAACCTTAACGCCGTATAGAATGTGTACCTACGATAACAACAACAACAATAGGATATGGTCGGAAAAAGGTGAAGTTTTTTCGAGAAAGGGAGTGTGGAAGGTGAAGTTGGTGATAAACCCGGAGCAGCTGTCGGAGATATTGTCGCAGGAGTCACGGACAGAGGCGTTCGTGGAGAGCTTGAGGACGGTGGCAAAGTGCGGCAATGGGGTGCTGTCGGCGGCTCCGAATTCCGATCACAGTGCTTCTAGCAGTTGGAAGGGCCCTCCCTTTGAATGAGAATCAAGGTTTAGATGCTTAAATTAATTAATTAATTAATTAATAGTTTGCTCTTTTGTTATTAGTTGATACCCATATAAATCTTGTATTTTGTATCACAATTCAAATATTTGGTGTTTTACAATTCTTCTGTTTGTTTTTAATTAAGATAGTCATTACACAGTATTTACAGAAAAGAAAGCAGTATATGGGCTTATGCTATAAAGTTTAACTTGGATAGGTTTAAAATAATTTTAAGATAATTATTTTATGACTTTTAAAATGATTAGTGTAAATATTATAAGTATGATTAAGAACAAGTAAGATTACAAAAATACTAGTTTTATCAACAAATTATTATTATATTTATAAAATTAAAAAATCATATATGTTGATAACAAAAAGTCATATATATGATTTATATTGTTTCCCGTTTAATTTATTTATAATACTTTAAAATCTTTTTATCTTTTAATTTTTTTCATTTCTAAAATTTTATCCTTCTAAAATAATTATTTTCTAGAGTTTAAAATAAAATTTCATAACTTTATCATGGAATTGTGTGTTTATTTTTTCTGTCTTTAAATTTCTGCATTTAATTTCCTTATAATGAATTCAACAATTTCTTATTTTAAGGAAACTAACAAAACGTACTGCATTTCTAAAATTTTATCCTTCTAAAATAATTATTTTCTAGAGTTTAAAATAGAATTTTAGACAACATTTTTAACAATCCAAGTCGTGAAACTTGTTATATTTTATTATTTATATGAATCCAATAGATACTTAAATAAAAGACTGTCATAAATATGATAAAAATACGTGAAAAATAAAGTGAACAAAATTGAAGTTAAACATTGTGTCAGATTTTATTGTATAATTAGTTTTGTCAATATGTGCTTAATTCCTTTAATACCCAACATTCACCTACAACATTAATTCACTAATGTAAAGAAGATGACGATGGACTTATAAGAGAACAAATGTCTTTTTTTTTTTTTTTACTTGAGATAAATGAACCAAGACTATATTATGTCAAAAAATTATATAACCTATGTTGAAATCTGACATTCACTTATCACCACGTACGAATGTTTCCTCGTCCAGAAAGACTACATATTTTTCTAAAATGATTAGAGTAGATAGAGGTCTTAAAATAAATTTTGAAAAAAATATGAAGATTCACTAAAAATCTTTATTAGTTTCGTCATGGTTACTATTCGAGTTTTCCTTTTATTAATAATTTTTTTTTATATAGTTTTAATAGTTGTAACACTATTACTAATATAAAATTGGACTTTTACACATGTTATTCTAGCTTTTTTACGTCATAAATAAGTTTCACGTTAATATAGAAGACATAAATTTACATTGGACCTGAGAGCAATTGATATAAATTTACGTTGGACCCTGGGGGTAACCAACGTAAATTTACATTTGGTATGCTTCTGGTTCGATGTAAATTTTGTTTTGTTTTGTTTTGTTTTTGCAGCGAGTCTAGATATCATACAATACAAAACAACACTAGGTTGTGATATTTATCTTCTGCTGCATAGTCATTAGAATAGTATTAGAGAAAATTCTTATTATACTTTGTGGTTGCGGTTAATCTGATCTTCCACATCAGAAAATAGTTATTCTTGTTACTGGATATTATTTGGTAGTGTGATAGTGCATGTTTAGGAAAAGTTCTGGTAAGAAAATACTTAGTATTTAAGCATGTCCATTAGTGACCCACCTCTCTTTCCTGGGAACTTACCTAGTGTATTGGTTCACGGTCTACCATTGTTGTTCCAGTAGGTAATAATATTATTCATAGTGAGGATTGCATAGGTCAATTTTGGAACTATGACAACGAAATATGAGATAGAGAAGTTCAATTAGAGTAATTTTTCATTGTGAAAATTGAAGATAAAGACAATTTTGATGAATGACAATTGTATTAATGCAATTGTGGAAAGAACCATGGAACACACGGATGAACGACGATGGAAAGAAATGAACGACAATGCTATTGCGAATTTGCAATTATTAATGGCAGATTCAGTTTTATCCAGTGTTGCGGAGAAGACTACTGTGAAGGAGATTTGAGATACCCTCATTAAACTATATGAGGTGAAGTCACTTCACACAATAATATTATTGAAGAAAAAACTCTATACTCTTCGAATGAGTGAGTCCACATGAGTGATGGACCACATCAACCATTTGAATACATTGTTTGTCCAACTATCAGCGGCATATTTCAACATAGTTGAAAATGAGTGTGCAGAGCTTCTACTTTAGAGTTTAACTGATTCGTACAATCAACTCATCATCAATATTACAAATAATAATATTGATGAGAATATGCACTTTGAAGATGTCGTTGAAGCTATTCTTGAAGAAGAATTTAGGTGGATGAGTAAGGGCGAAAGTTCCAAACAAGCAGAGACTTTGACAATGATGAAAGGAAGATCAACCGAACGTGACTCGAGTAAGAAGAGTTCTAAAATCAAATGCTACTTTTGTGGCAAGAAAGGGCATACAAGAAAATAGTATTGGAAGAGGAAGAGTGGAGCAAACAACTCTGAAGAATCAACCTCACAAGATTGTGTTGTAAGTATTTCGGAAGATAGAAATATTATGGTGAGTGAAAGAATAATTAGCTCTAATGGTGAAAAGTAGTTTCATGACAAGTTGATAGTGGATTCAGGTGCAACATGACACATGACTCCGCACCGAGATTGGTTTCACACTTATGAACTATTCTCAGGTAGATCTGTCTTCATGGGAAACAACCATGCATTGGAGATTACTGGAGTTGGTACTGTCAATATTAAAATGTATGATGATACTATTTGCACAATTCAAGGGGTACGACATGTGAAGGACTTGAAGAAGAATCTATTGTCCATTGAGCAATTAGATGACCTTGGGTGTAAGATCCATGTTGAAAATGGAATCTTTAAGGTGGTGAAGGGGAGTTTGGTGGTCATGAAGACAAAGAAGATTATGACAAATTTGTATGTGCTTCTTGGAGATACGTTGCAAGAAGCGGATGCATTAGTTGCGACAACAAGTCAGGAAGATGCAGTGATCATGTGGCATCATAGACTTGGTCATATGTCAGAACGTGGTCAATCTAAAAATCCTTGCAGAACGTAATCTCTTACCCGAGTTTAAAGATGCTGGTTTACCCTTTTACAAGCACTGTGTGATAAACAAACAACATAAATTGAAGTTTGCTAAAGTGACTGTTTTTCTGCATAGAGATCTTGAAGAGGAAATTTATATGCTCCAACCAGGAGGCTTTAAAGAACAAGAAAATGTGATTTGCAGGTTGACCAAATCTCTATACGGTTTAAAACAAGTGCCCAAATGTTGGTATAAGAGATTTGATTCCTTCATTATTTGCCTTGGTTACAATAGACTAAGCTCAGACCATTATACATACTACAATAGGTTTGATGATAATAATTTTGTTATCTTATTATTGTATGTGGATGATATGTTGGTAGTAGGGCCCAACATAGATCAAATCCAAGAGTTAAAGACACAATTGGCTAGGGAGGTTGACATGAAGGACTTTAGACCAACAAACAAGATTTTAGGGATGCAAATTCACAGAGACATAAAAGATATGAAGGTATGACTTTCTCAGAAGAATAACTTACTGAAAATCTTGTGACGCTTCAAGATGTAAGATTGTAAGCTAATTTCCACCCCCACTTCCTATCAATTGTAAGTTATCCTCAAGTATGAGTCCTAGCAATGAAGCAGAGATGACGAAAATTTCTCGAGTACCGTATGCATCAGCAGTGAGAAGTCTTATGTATACCATGATTTGTACAAGACCAGACATTACACAAGCAGTGAGAGTAGTTAGTAGATTCATGGAAAATCTTGATAGAGAGCATTGTAGTGTTAAAAAGAGGATCCTTAGATACATCAACGGAACCTTAGGTGTTGTATTATATTATGGAGGATCAGAACTAGTTGTTAGAGGTTATGTTAATTCAGATTGTGCAGGTGATCTGGATAAAAGGAGATCTATTACTGGTTATGTGTTTTACAGTTACAGGAGGGGCAGTAAGTTGGTTATCCAAGTTATAGGATATTGTGGCTCTGTCTACCACAGAAGCTGAGTACATGACAACCACCCAAGCATGTAAGGAAGCTATTTGGATTAGGAAGATAAAGGAGGAACTCAGACACAAGCAACAATAAATTATTGTGTATTGTGACAGTCAGAATGTCTTGCACATTGCAAGGAATCTAGCATTTCATTTCAGGACAAAGCACATAAGAATAAGATATCATTTTATTCGAGAAGTAGTGAAAGAGAGTAGTGTGGATATGCAAAAGATTCACACATATGAGAACCTAGCAGATGTTATGACAAAGTTGGTTAGTGTTGACAAGTTTGTATGAAATCGATCATACTATTGCCTAGCAAAAAAATAAACAACATGGATGACAAGAATAAAGTAAGTATGGTGTGAAAATTTGATTAATTTAATTAAAATCTTCAAGTGGGAGATTGTGAGAAGAAAAGTCTCACGTCATGGAAATCTTAGTTTGACACTTCTTTTTCTAATACCTAACAGTGGTATCAGAGCCAATGGTTTGTCCGGTAACCGGCTTAGTTGAGTATAGTAAGTGAAAGATCCTTGTGTCGAAAGTCTTCTTGACAAGGGTTTTAGGCAAGCGAGTCCCGTTAAGTTGAATGCCGGTATAAGTGAGGTCATCACTAGATACTCATGGCTAAAAATACTTCCACTCGAGGGGGAGATATACTAATGTGAAAGGGAATCACACTTGAGGGGAAGATGTTGAGAATTCCAGTGTGAGTTTGAAGTCCCACATTTGGTAGAAATGGAAAAGTTGAGTAACTTATAAGTGAGAAAGACCTATAACCTATTGTCTTAAGGTTTTTGGTTGAGAGTGGTATCATATTTTCTTATATGGTTGACTCATGACCCATTTGTGAGAATCTTTCTGCTGTTTGTCCCCTCGAAAATACCTAACAGCTCGCACTAGAAACAAATCAATCACGTCTCCATTTTGAGTTTCTGCCTTTAACACCTTTCGATTATGAATAACTCTTTTGTTGACCTTACGAGTCTTGTCCACCATTACTTATACATCTTCCTCGACCTTTCTTATTCAATTTTCCTTTATTACCTTCACTCTTTTGTTTCATTAACAACGTTTGTTCTGCGTTTAACTTCTCTTATACTCTCTCACGTAATCATTGTTCGTGAGCCTCCAATGATAATCCCTATAGTTCATCAAGTTGCAACAAATCGAAATCCTTCAACTCTTTGATAGTTACAAAAATTATGTTGAACCTAACATTAAGGCTTCTCAGCATCTTCTCTACCACAACTCATTTTTTCAAGTTTTTGTCACATGAATTCATCGAATTTGTAATCGACAATAATCTTGCAAAGTGTTCTTGGATGGTTTCTTGCATCCCCATTTGCAACAACCCATTCTGACAACGGAAGATTTAAAGTCGCATCACCTTAACCTGCTCCGCATGCATAATTGTACAACAATATATCTCATTCTTCTTTTGTTGAACTTGTCAATGAAATTTTCTCAAAGTTATTTTCCTCAACATACTGATGAATGTAGAAAGTAACTTTGCAAACATGTTTCTTTTCCTCTCAAAGCGTTGTACAGTGCCCTTCGGTGGAATTTTCTGGTAGCTCCTCATTCCAATCAATCCAAGACTTCTTGAAATTAAAAAATAGTATTTATCTTCACACACTATCGTATTTATTCAAGTTCTTGCAATCGAATATTGACATTTTGTCATACAACCTAATTCATGTCATCATCATTCATCTTATTTTTCTTATCGAATATTAAAGTTATGATATCACTATTAATGAAAAGGGGTCTAAAAATAAGTATCAATATTCACCAAAAGTTTTCACTTGGTTTCGTTGTAATCACTATTAACAACATTCCATTCTCTAATTCTTCTTTTATATAATATTTACTTCTTCTTTTTTGTTTCAATAGTCGGTAACATAATGATCATTGATCATTTTTGTAATAATTCTAATTTTTTGGATATGGATTAAAATTTAAATTTGAGTTAGAATATCAAATTAAATATAATTAATAAAATAAGAGATGCACAAATTTATTACTTTCTAAAATTTTAGATTAAAAATAAAATTATATATTATCTTATTTCTCTTAATCAAATCAATAACCATATTAACATCTAAAATTCCAATAAAAATATCTATAACTTATATGTCTCATAATTATTTATATATAAAGTAATTTTGATCACTGGTAAATGGTAAAAAGTTGATATAATTATGCCTTAAATTGTTATGAAACCATTTAACTTATGTTAATTCTAATCTATTTTTCTCCCAATATAGGATGAATTTGAGAAACCTTGATACAAGAGTAAGGAGCATAATTGTCAGCATAATTAGAGAAAAATTGAAAGAAAGAAGAATGCTTAAACGAATGAATCATGCGAGACTCGACCAAAATTCTCTTATAAAAAGATAAGATGTGCTTTGAGAAAAGGAAGCACGACTACGGTTAGAGTTTCGTCTAATCTTCATTAATTCTTCACTTCTTCATCAATTAGAGCATTGAAATGACCAACATAAGTGTCTAACTTCATTCTCTTAGGATTCAGTGCACTTCCTTTGAACTCTTTTGTATCATGGTGATATTTTGAGATATTAATCTATGTTTTGATGTTGTTATTCTTATCCTTTATGCTTTGGAATGATTTATTCTTGATTGTTTGAGGTATGATTGGAAAATATATCTTGAACCCTAGATCATGGTAAGAATATTTGTTACGTTAATTATTAGGAATAGAATGAATGTATCAATTGCTTAAACACCCTAAACCTAATGCTGAAAAATCTCTTAATTGTGTGAGGAATCAACATGGATGATTTGAGTAGGTGACATCAACATTGTTAGGTTAATTGACGTTCTTAATTGACATAGTCATTACAAAAGAAGGATAAGGAAGGAAACCAATCCTAAGTGTCTTTAATTGATATTTTCTCAACAATTTACAGTTTTGTGTCATTGAATTTCAATTCAACTCTTATTTGCAAAACCTAATCTGTTTAATCTGCTTAGTAAGCATAATTGAAAATTTCCATTGAAACTGTTTCTCGTGAGATTGACTTTTATTTAATTGAAATATTAATGTGATTGATAATTTTGATACGTTTGTCAATAATTCAACAATTATAGTAGGTGTAATATATAACTAATATCGTGATATATTCGTTGGAAGCAATTGGAAATACTAAATATAAATCATAGTATGAAGTAGATAACGTGTATGAACATATTTATTAGTTAATCTAATTTGTTTCATTTGCTATATATATATATATATATATATATATATATATAGCCAAGAGAGTAAGCAATTATGTATAGTTTTTCTTTTTTATTGTTATAAAATAAGAATACTTAAATATATATTTGTTTCTAATAAATTAATGTATAAAAAATAAAGTTTTAATATAATATCATATGGTCCTAATAATATTAAATAAAATCTGATACTATGAACTCTCTCTGTATTTTTCTGACAGTGTTGAATTAAATAATAGTTATAATGCACTCAATTAAACTAACATTTTTTAATTAAGTAACCATGATTAAATAAATATTAATAAAATATAACTTTCTATTAATTTTGAGATGTAATAACCATGTTATTTAAAATTTTTCCTATAAATTTAATATAAAATATAAATTAATAATTATAATATTTAAATATATAAATATATATATATATATATATATATATATATATATATATATATATATATATATATATCTTTAAAACAAGTTTCAGATCTAAAATTAAAATTAATGGCACTTTAAGAGAGAATGAGACTGAATATGGTATATACTTTTTTTTAGATTTTGCTTGTGATAATTTGTTATTTTAAATTTATTTTTAAGTAATAATAACAGTGATAATAATAATAATAAATTTATTTAAATTATTATTTTTATTTATTTTAAGATGATATAAATATTTGAAAATCTAAATAATAATTTTAATTAATTAGAAATAATAATCTTTTCCTTGCAGGTAACTAATTCACAGATTTAAATTTTGATTTTATAAACCAAAACAACAATTTCTAAAATGAAAAGAAAAATATAAACAACTAGCTAGCTATCACATCTAGAGAAAGAATTTTACATAGTTTTTTCAAGTAAAGAATTTTAAATAAGTTTCAAAGAATTTAAGACACTGTGACCTCATTTTTCAAATATAATTACTTAATAGTTTCTTTACAGAATATTATTATTATTATTATTATGTAGTATAAAATTTATGATAATTATAAAAAAAAATGATTGTCAAAGATATTTTTTCATATAATATTTTTAAAAAAAGAAAGAAAAAATCGATAGTAAAATTGTGAGCCCAATTGTTCTCACTAATGACGGGGTTGGCTGAACACAAGGCCCATTTTAGAGTAGTTGGCTCTGGCCGGCTAACGTAAACGGAACTCAAAATTAATCTTAAGTGACACGCATCGAGGAGAAAAACGATGTTACTCCCATAAAAGGAATTCCTGGAGCGTATTGTGCTTAACGAGGATGTCGCAGTTCACACCCACTCGTCTTCTTCTTCTCTTCTTCCTAGGTTTCTATGTCGCACTCTCTATTCCGGAGGACCCCATCAACTGCTTTACACGCAACACAAACTGCACCGTCACTAACTCCTACGCCATCTTCCCGGATCGAAGCATCTGTGAAGCGCAACAGGTCTTTTACCCCGCGCAAGAAGAAGATCTCCTGAAACTGGTTGCATCAGCCACTCAAAACGGAAAGAAGGTGAAAGTTGCCACCCGCTTCTCCCACAGCATCCCCAAGTGGGTGTGCCCCGAGGGCCATAATGGGTGGCTAATAAGCACCAAATATCTGAACCGGGTAATGGAAATTGACGCGGAGAAAAGGACAATGAGAGTGCAGAGTGGCGTCACGTTGAAGCAGGTCGTCGATGAGGCTGCCAAGGCGGGGTTGGCCTTGCCGTACACGCCGTACTGGTGGGGTTTGACGATTGGTGGCATTTTGGGGACAGGGGCCCATGGAAGTAGCTTGTGGGGGCAAGGAAGTTCGGTTCATGAACAGGTCGTGGAGCTTAGAATTGTTACGCCTGCACCTCCTGCAGATGGCTATGCCAAGGTTCGCACCCTAAGTGAAGAAGATGAACATCTCAATGCAGCAAAAGTCTCACTTGGCTTGCTTGGGGTCATTTCGCAGGTACGTATGAATAATTCTCCATCACCTCCTTCAACTTCCTATTTTTCTCTTCTCACTTTCACGTATTCATCTTTTTGTTCCTTTTTAACTTTGTTATGAATATGCTTGTTATTCAAGCAGTTTATGACGTGTGTGTTTCTCACAATGATCCATGTTTTGGGGAACGCAAATTATCTCACCGTGTTTCTCACACTTAATTAAGAAATTTATGTCAATATGTGAAGCACCTTCCGAGAATACAGCCCAAACATAAATGAACAAGAAAGTAAGAATGTGGTACGTTAAAGCGTGAGAAAAACTAAGGATGTTGTGATTTCTGCTTTTTGTTTTAACAATGAATTTTTTTTTTTTTTTTTTATATCAAACATAATAAGATACATCATTATGATAACATACATCACGTTACTGGAATTTCGATCTCATCCCCTGAGTTCAAAAAATGCATGAGAAAATTCAAATGAAAACTTTTATTTAGGTGGATAATTAACTCAAGTAGGGTAAAAATTATATTCATGGTATATTTTAATCTTACTATATATATATATATATATATATATATATATATATATATATATTTAGTTGACAATATTATGGTAGGAGTTGTTATGTAGAGTGGTTTATAAATAAAAATAAATATTTTATTATACATTTTATCTCAAAGTTACTTAGAAATAAAATAAAGAAAATTACTTATTGGAACAAAGTAAAATTTATATAAATAACTCTTTCACTAAATTTTAAATAACTCATATTTAAGATTCATAATAAGATATTTAATTTTATTTTCAAACAATTATTGATAAGAGTTATATAGGAAGATGTCTCTTATAAAAACAACTCACTTCTTACCTTAAAAATATAAAACAAAAATTTATGATCTCACTTTGATTTACTCCATTAAAATTTTTCTTAATAAGCATTTATCATGATACATAAGATTTTTTTTATAAAGAATTACTTTAAATAACTAATACTTTAAGTATTTTAATAAATAATTTTCATTAGTAAATATAAAATTTCTTTGTATTTTATATTCTCAGTGTAATTTTTTTATTACACACTCTTTCGTTTAAGAAAGTTTATTTTATCATATTTCACAATATAACTATTATTTTTTTCAAACCATAAGCTAAATACGTTTTTAATTAAAGAAGCTGAAGTTGGACATTATTTATATAATTTTAAATTGAACTTTATATATTTTCAAAATTTAAAAATCACATTTATCTTATCTTTTTTTTTTAATTTATAACATATTAATGAGTATATAGATGTATAATACTTTTTAGTATAGGAAAATTTAACACTTTATGAAAGGATTTATATCTTACCTGACCATTAAATAAGTCATACGTTAAAAAGAAATTATGTTTTAAATATTGTTCCTATTTTTCATCAAATATTAAATTTGTCTTCTTCTACCTTGGACGGGTTAAGACAAATTAATTTGTTTTATATCACTCCTAACAAACATATTCATAATCATATGACCACTTTTTTTTTACCTAATTTCCTATATGCATAATTTATAATACATTATTTATCTGAAAATATATTTTTATACTATTTAATTAAATTACAAATATTAATAATAAAAAATAAATAAATTTATATCATGCATAAATGTGTAGTCAACAGTGTGTAATTAACAAATGTCATAATATACATAAAATTGTTTCCATCTATAAATAAAACAAACTAAAATGTTAAAATATATATAGAATAAATACATGTATAAACTAAATGGTGTAATTTTGGAGACAACCAATAAAGGGTTGAAATGACATATTTAATATTTTTCGTTTTCTAAACATTTACGTAGTTTTTGTCTCCTATTTCCAAAATTTTATAAATTTTACCCCCAATTACATTGTCTGCTTGTAGATACCATACCAACTGTCCATAAATGTGCTAAAAAAATACATAATGGATAATTAATGTTTTTTTTACAGCAATTTATATTAGGTTATTGATATATTGAGATTTCTTTACAACATAGAAAATTGATGAACTTTGCAGATTACATTGAAACTAGAACCTCTTTTCAAGCGATCCATTACCTATCTGACCAAAAACGATTCAGATTTGGGGGATGAAGCCATAACATTTGGACAGCAACATGAGTTTGCTGATATAATTTGGTACCCACATCAACGCAAGGCTGTATACCGTGTTGATGATCGTGTCCCCATCAATACATCAGGCAATGGTGTTTACGATTTCATCCCTTTCCGTCCCACTCCTTCACTCCAATTAGCACTCCTCAGAATCACTGGTGAGTTTTGCCTAATTTACTAGAAAATGTAAACTTATATCTAATTACATAATACTTTTTCTGTACGGATTGTAGAGGATGTTCAGGAGTTTAATGGTGATGCTGACGGCAAATGCTTACTCGCGATGACAGCAACGAATACCCTTATGGCCAATGCTTATGGACTAACTAACAATGGTGCTGAATTTATTATCTTATCTATTTTAGTCAAAAGTGCTTATTATAACTATTTTTCTTTTCTTCTTCATTAAGCCAATGGCACATAATTTATTTTTCTGATGCAAAATCATTTATTCTATAATAATTTCAGGAATAATCTTCACTGGATTCCCTGTAGTTGGATTCCATAACCACCTTCAGGCTTCTGGGTCATGCCTAGACAGTGATATGAAAGGAAAGAAAACATCGTGTCCTTGGGACTCAAGGGTTAAAGGAGAGTTCTTTCACCAAACCACATTTAGCATTGGTTTGTCGGTGGTAAAGAAATTTATTGAAGATGTGCAAAAACTAGTCGAATTGGAACCAAAGGGATTTTGTGGCATAGAGATGTACAATGGAGTTCTAATGCGTTATGTGAAAGCTTCAAGTGCCTACCTGGGGAAACAGGAGGATGCAGTAGACTTTGATCTCACATACTACCGTAGCAAAGAGCCCATGAATCCTAGGCTGCACGAAGACATTATTGAAGAGATTGAGCAGATAGGGATTTTCAAATATGGAGGTTTACCCCATTGGGGTAAGAACAGGAATGTAGCATTTGAAGGAGTAATTAAGAAGTACAAAAATGCAGACAAATTTTTGAAGGTTAAAGATGAGTATGATTCACAAAGGCTATTCTCCAGTGAGTGGACAGACCAAGTGCTTGGTCTAAAAGAAGGGTTAACTGTCTCAATGGATGGGTGTGCATTAGAAGGTCTGTGTATATGCTCGCATGACAGCCATTGTGCACCAAGCAAAGGCTATTTTTGCAGACCAGGCAAAGTCTACAAGGAAGCAAAGATTTGTACTCGTTCAGGGTCTTAAAATGTAACTTGCTTTTATTCTTTACAGTGTTGAAATATCAATCTACTGAGTATTTTGTGACAAACTTTGAATGAACTGAATAACAGGTCATCACAACCTTCAACAGTTCAAAACAGATAATTTGCTTACTTGTCATTATGAGACCATCACACGTTCTTATATATATATATATATATATATATATATATATATATATATATATATATATATATATATATATATATATATATATATTTTATTCAGTTTGGCGGAAACTGCGAGATTCAACACCGTACTTTTCCTGAATGCATGTGCATGTGTGTGTTTGATTTCCATTAAAACACAGTGCAACTTGCGTTGGAGATAACACCAAAAAAAATCCTTGTTAAGACATATGCAATAACTTTTCAATAAATCATCATAGATTATAAGTTACGCATCATTTTTCTCTTTTTTGGTTAAAAAGTACAATTTTTCATATTTCCCTTTATTTATATATATGTACATAATAAGATTAGACACTGTAACCATCAGATACATTTTTAGAGTCTGTAAAAGTGTGATTTATTTACTTACTGCGATAAAATATCACACTCAATTTATTTACTTATTTGATGGAAAACATGTCTTTTAATTGACATTATTTAGGGTTTTTATTCATTTCAAAATGGCAATATGGTTAGTAATTCTAAATAGTTTAAGACTATTATTATTATTATGAAGTTTTAACTTTAATTAGAAATATGATCCAAAATTTTGTTATATATAATAAATATCAAATTAATTTTTAAAAACATTGTTACCTGTTTTTTTAACGTAATAGTTTTTAATAATTTCTGTATTGTTTAATAAATAGCATAATAACAACCAATTATTTGATGGACTGATAGTGATATATTTTTTTAATGTATCCTTATTTTCTTCATAGTAAAATAAAATGCTGAACTCTGACTTGGAAAACTTTCACTTCAAATACAAAAATATGAATTTACTCAACAAATAATATACATGTATTTTCATTTATCAATTTGTTTTAACTTGTATTTTCAATATTATTTATTATTTTAATCAAAATAAATATAATAATTATATAGCACAAGATAAAAAAATAATCATAATCAAAATGAAGTTTTATATAAAAAAATATGTTAAAAAGATACGCATAATTTTACATTATTACTAATATATATTTTGAAAGTTAACTATTGTAAAATTAATAACATTATTATATATGTTAATTTAAAATTAAAATATCATTTTATAGTTGGTGTATAGTTTATTACTTTTAATAAATTTTTAAGTTATATATTTTAATTTACAAAAGCCAATTTTGATTATATATAAATGTGTGATAGATTTAAATTCAACTGTGTTTAAACTAGTTTAATTTTTATAATTTTATCACTAAATAATTAAAATAATTTTTTTAAATAATATTTCAATTTTAAGAAATGAAGTAAGTATACTTAATTACTTAATTGTTAATGCACAATTATTCAACAAAAGGTACATGTATTTATAATTATGATTACAAATTTCTTCTTATGCATTAGTTTTTTTATCGCTAAATATTCTGATTATATAAATTTTTATATAATTTTTACCTTGTATATATTGTTATTTATGTTAAGAAATTTCAGAAATCATATATTTTACAACATATATAATTTATGAATTTCACATTTATTCGCCAAGAAATTGGTATTTTTCTAAAAATAAATTTAATAAAAATAATGTCTATATACATTATTTTGTTTACGAACATTAAATGTGATTTTTTAAAACTTTATTTATTGTATATAGTAATAAGGAATTTAAATTCAAGAATTGGGATATTAAAAGGGATTCAGTGTATAATAATATTTAGGGAGTGACGTGGGAACTGGTAATTGGAGGAGAGCAGGTTACAAACGCGTGAAGTGAGAACGAGTGTTCCTTAATATTGTCTATCGTCAGGAGCATCTGGAAAAGGAGGGTTCGCTGGATAAACACAAATACACACATTTCAGTCTTTGTCTCTGTCTTTCTCTCTGTGTACAGGAAGGGTAAGAACGAAGAAGAAGAATCACACAACCCAACCCACTCAGAAGCAAATCCGAAAACCCCTCATTTATTAGTACTGGTACGCTATCCAAAATCCCTCCTTTTTCATTTCCATCAAAAAAATATGCCTCTTTTTCTTTGTCCCACTCCTTCTTTCGATCCAATTCTAACCATTCCCATGACGCCATTTTCGGCCCTAATCTACCAACAAACCCTCTTTCTCTTTGATTGGTCGCATTTCTCTGCCCTATATTCCTTTTCTTCTCCTCTCCCACTCACATCACAGGGTTTAACCCTAATCTGACCTTGTATGGTTCTCTCTCTGCAATATTTACATGTCTGCTTCTTTATTTTTTCTAGTTTAATTCTGATACCCGGTTCGCTTGGTTGCCATTCCTCTTCTCCACAAATTTCCCAATTGCCCATTTCGTAGTCTGGAACTAGAACTTGAATAGATGAAGGAGAATTTTTCCCCAGTTAGTAAAGGAAGGAAATGAAGGAGAATTGCTCAGTACTCACACCCTTGTTTGCGTGTCATTGATTTCCAAGTGGGATGGAGAGGACTGGCTTAGTTGGTCAGCTCAACCCTCCTCATTTCGTCAGTTGCTTCAGAGACCTTTCTGCCAGTGGGAGACTATGTGATCCAGATCCCCAACAACCAGGTATACGTGGACATCGCCCATGTCCACACCTTGCGGAGCAGGAAAACATACGGTTGCCTCTGCTTGTTCATTGGAATCGCCAGTGGTGAGGAGGGATGGAGAGAGAGAGAGAGAGAGAGAGAGAGAGAGAGAGAGAGAGAGAGAGAGAGAGAGAGAGAGAGCAAACGTTTCTACATCTTGCATATAAATCAGACAGAGCATGAACGAGCTGGATTTTACAAATGTTGTTGGGGGAATAGAGTAATTTAATCCGTTTTCTATAAATGTGGAGGAGTTAGGGTTTTGGAGGTTTTAAAAATTCTCCAAACCATTTCCCCTATTTTAGAAAGCTGCCAAACAATATAAACCCTCCTCAAAGGCCTTCCCTTTTCTTCCCTTCTATTCCTTCCCAAATTACATTCTCAAACATAACCCATAGGTCTTAATTTAGTTACCTACTGGTCAAATGAAGGCAATTTAGTGATGTTGCTGGGTGGTCTGTATGACTCTGTCTGGCTTTATGCCATTTGTGTGTGTCCACTTCAATAGTCCTAGAAAAAAAATTGCCTTTGAAAAAGCAATTACCTTAAAACCTGGTGTCGTGTGAATCCTAAGGTTCTGTTCAGATTTTGTAATTAATGTGTGAACCTGCAGGTTTTCAGCTGTTCATGAGAAAAGCCTGAACCAATCATGTCAGAAGGTGCAGAAATTGATGAGCGAGTGGACCTTGATGAGGAAAATTATATGGAAGAGATGGATGATGATGTTGAAGAACAAATAGATGATGATGGAGTGGATGGAGGTGAAGATGAAAATGCTGAAGGTAGTGTTGAGGAACATGAATATGAGGACCCAACGGCAGAGGTTGGCGGGAAGGACCAATTACCTGAAGCAGAAAAAAGTGACATTGCCACTGAATTTGGTGATGATGATCAAAAACCGTCTTTCATTGATGAAGTTGAGAAAGAGAAGCATGATGAACTTCTTGCCCTTCCACCTCATGGCTCTGAAGTCTTTATTGGTGGACTTCCTCGAGATGTATGTGAAGATGATTTAAGGGAATTGTGTGAGCCAATGGGTGATATTCTTGAGGTCAGAGCCTTTGATGAATTGTTGTAATGATATTATAAACTTGTCCTTTCTGCAGGTGGGAATAATTGAGATTATTGGTAAGATTTTTATATGTTGTTTCTTTTCAGGTGCGACTAATGAAAGACAGGGACACCGGAGAAAACAAGGGTTATGCCTTTGTTGCTTTTAAAACAAAAGAGGTAGCACAAAAGGCCATTGAGGAGATACATAGCAGGGAATTTAAGGTATTTACTGTGCCTCCTAAAAATCTTGTTCACTATATTCTATTTTCAACACAGATTTCAATTAAGAATCTTATTTGGTGAATGGCTGTAAAATTTTTCACGATTTCAGGGAAAAACTTTGAGGTGTTCACTATCTGAAACCAAACACAGATTATTCATTGGCAATGTTCCAAAAACATGGACGGAAGATGACTTTAGGAAAGTCATTGAAGGAGTTGGTCCTGGAGTTGAAAACATTGAACTCATAAAGGTGCAGTCTCGAGTGGCTGTGCTACTAGCCTATTTTAAACTGTTGTCAGGTCTAACAATTTATTTCCACTCCATTTCGTTTCTATCAGGACCCTCAAAATCTAAGTAGGAACCGTGGGTTTGCTTTTGTTTTGTATTACAATAATGCATGTGCTGATTATTCACGGCAAAAGATGTCAAGTGGAAGTTTTAAGCTAGATGGCAATACCCCAACTGTTACATGGGCAGATCCTAAGAACTCTCCTGATCACTCTGCTTCTTCGCAGGTAATTTTCAGAATTAAGGTGGAATGCAAATGAAAAGTTTCTAATTGCTTTTTCTATCATTGCATGAAGGATTTGGATGGACATGTATCCCTTGTTCCCTTCTCGGGCAATCTTTCGTCCTTTTATCCTTTTCCTTCTCACCCTGCAGTACCCAATCCAATGGGTATTTTCATGTTTTTTTATGCTTTTGACATCAATCTCAGCATAGAGGAAAACCTGTTTGGTGTTGGAGAAATTTATTTGTGATTTTCTGAACTGCACTTTTAAACTGTCAAGTTGAGCAAGTTGTGTCATTTTTTTTTTTAAAAAAGGTGAAGAAACTGGCCCACTTACCATATTTTTTGGTTAGAAAAGGGTTGATGGGGAGATGAGTTTGCCTTATTTCAAGGTCAGGGCTTATCACAATTTATAAGTGTCATTGAGGACATACAGTGATACTAGATGGCATATCAACCGATGACCATAAATTCTGTTGTTTCAATTATAATCTTTGTAATCTTTCATAAAGCAGATGAATGAATAATCCGAGCTTTATCAGAAGTTACGGCAGGTCCCTGTAGGAACTACTTGATCCTTATGTAAAATCCCTCTTAGGCTGCATGTTAACCCCGTCCCAAAAAGAAACTCAGAATTTCCCTAGATAGGACTGCCTGAGATTTGCTGTTTGAGTTAGAACAAGATTCTGGCACACCAATGAAGGTTGCAGTGTTTAAAATCTTATTCCTTTTACTGGATGATGATAGAGATATGTTGGACTGCTATTCCTTAAATCTTACAAGGATACTATTAAAGTAACTCAAGATTTATGGAAGAAGTGTGGAATGGAGTGATCCTTTCAGTTTAGCTTGGCACTTTTGGAGAATGCTCAAGTTGGTCTTTTGCCATTTATGATGGTTGATAAAAAATACTTTTACCGCAGGATGTCATTTGGTTAGTTTAGTTGATTTTGTTAGATTGGTTTATTAGTTAATTACCATCTTAAGTTAGGAAGATAACCATTTGACTGAGATTTTCTGCATAAGCTTGTCATGGTATTTATAGTGTAATCACAACCTTTACAGTCTATATCAGTTTATTCTCTCATCCTTTCTCTCTCAATCTTATTTTGTTCTTGCTGTGGAACACGTTCAGTACACACCTTGAGCTTCTCCAATGCATCATCCTTTTCTTCTGTCCTCTGTTTTCTTTATCCAAAATTTTCCATATTTCCTCTCATTTTGATTTTTCTCCAGCTGGTTTTCTGTATCAGATTACTGTTTTTCATGCTTGTTCTGTATTTTCTAGGGAAATTTCCTCTTACTTTTCTTCCTATTCATGAGTTTGTGCCTTCCTTTCTCTGAAATATTTTCTGTTTCTTTCAGATTGTTAGGCATGAATTTTTCTCCATCATGGTATTTATAATTCCATCCTACCAGGAAGTGATTGGTGCACTTTTATCTCGTCACTTCCATTTACTTCATGCTTTCATGTAATACTATTAAAGGCATAGAAAATGGAAAATATGGTAGCTAGTTTTTAGTTACAACAGTTGGTTTGCTGGAGAGGATTAGTTAAATATATGGAGGTATTTAGGATAGGGGGGTCATTCAGGAACTTGTATTTGGAGAGGATTTCATATTTGCTCAGTTGTAAAAAGGGACAGTCATTTGTGAAGGGGTCTATACGGAGAACAATTTTTCCGTCCTTGTTTCTGTCAATTTCATTCAATCAATATAAATCATCTTAAATTTTACTCATTTCTTCAGATATTCCTACTGGGTATATTTTCCATGCGCTACTGTCAAAATCTTCCAAATCATGTGCATATTCAGTCTTCGTTTAGGGTTAAACTTTGATTTCAGCTTCTGCCTACTGTTCTCACAATTAGATTGCTAATTGTGATGTTATATAGTGGCCCAAAGAATTCCAATTTGCTTTAATAAGTACCGTAGTTGCATAAGAATAAGATCAAGTTTACCACCTACAGACTTGTTGAAGACTTTTAAGAGCTATGCTTCTTGGACATTGCTCATTCTCATTCTCATTTATTTTCTGATTTTCTTGTCATCCAATAGATTACATCATGGCTTGTATTGTTCATCCCTAGGTTGTAATGTCTATTGTTCAGGTTGCTAGGAGCTATTACCACATGTGTAATTGGTTAATTTGGTTGTTAGTTAAGTACTGGCAATTAATTAAGCTAGCCTTGTGGCGCATATAAGTTCATCAATGTATTCTGTAAGCATATTTTCAATCACTTTTGGTTTCTTCTCACATCCCTTCTATCTCTATTTTTTCTGATTCTTGCCAATGGTCCCAATCTTTCCTGGAAATGGATAGATCTTAATTTTTTCTGGTTCTTGTTTCAATTCAATCGTATTGGTGAAATTACTGTGACTGACACTTACAGAACGCTGGTTTTGTTTAGGAGATTGATGTTGATTATTGTCAAAGCATCATAAAGTTGTTATGTGGTGTTTATATTGATGTTGCTTTTACTATGTATGACCGTACAAGTTACTAATTAGTTAATTGAAGTTTTGCTTTCAAACCTTTTGTTTTTTGGCATTTTCAGGTTAAAGCTCTATATGTCAAAAACATCCCAGAGAATGTTACCACTGATCAACTGAAGGAACTATTCCGTCGTCATGGAGAAGTAACTAAAGTGGTGATGCCACCTGGCAAAGCTGGAGGGAAACGCGATTTTGGTTTCATTCATTATGCAGAGAGGTCAAGTGCATTGAAAGCTGTAAAAGATACGGAGAAATATGAAATTGATGGTACTTTTTTACACTGTAGACTTATAAACCAATTTTGTCCCTTCAAGTTTGTCTATTTTTCTGATGCTTTAATTGAATTTCTATGCAAAAAATGTCAAACAATAAGGAGAATCCAACTTATCTATGCATAAAAATCTTTAACATGTGTCACTTATCACCTGTCAGTAAAAGAAGTTATTTGAATAAACTCAGTGTGTTCACTTAAACATGCTTAATGGCTTTGAACTATAGGCCAACTGCTTGAAGTTGTTCTTGCCAAGCCTCAAGCTGATAAAAAACCGGATGGTGGGTATGGCTACAATCCTGGACTCCATCCAAACCATCTTCCTCATCCTGCATATGGTAACTTTTCTGGAAATCCTTATAGCTCCTTAGGGGCAGGATATGGTGTTGGAGGTGGTTATCAACAGGTATTTACTGAGTTACAATGTATATTTAAAACTGATGTGTTTGTTTCTTGTTTCATTCTTTGTTCTAATGTTCTTGGATCTTGTGGATTCTTATGTATGTTTGAGCAGCCAATGATATATGGTAGGGGTCCAATGCCGGCAGGAATGCAAATGGTTCCAATGGTGTTACCTGACGGTCGAATTGGCTATGTCCTGTAAGTTTGTGCAATTCATGTACATTTTTTCATTTCCTTATATTTGATATGACCAGTACCTGTGTAAGAATGGTGTATTAAGATTATAAATGTGGTAAATTTAGATAAATTTATATAAAAATACTAATAAATTATTACCTTATTTTGATGTTAAATCATATTATATATTTATGTAATATCTATTTAGTAATGTCTATTTAATCTTAAATTGCATTGCCAATTATGCAAAAACATTAATTTAACATAGTAATGCAAATACGTATTAAATATTATACCTGCTTTATTTGAAATTGTTGATATGTATGAAAATTATATTTAAATGTAACATTACTACAAAAATTTATCGACATAAGTTTTCCATTAATTTTACTTCAGACATGATTCTCGATCTTTATATGAAATTATGTCCATGTTTTTAAATTTAAATCAATTTTATATTCTATCTTATGGAGTAATAATGTTTACATAATCTTAAATTGAATTGTTAAATTGCCAAAATAAGTGATCTTCATATTGCTGATATGCTGCAGACAACAACCTGGTGTACAAGCGCCCCCTAACAGACCTCGCAGAGTTGATAGGAGCAATGGTCCAAGTGGGCAACCTGGGCGAGGAGGAGGAGGAGGAGGTGGTGGCAATGATGAAGGCAATCGTAGTAGAAGGTATCGACCCTATTAGGGATACAAGACAGATAAATGCCATCTGTCTTTTGCCCCCCTAACTGTCTTTTGGTGGTGAGGGGACTTTGGGAACCAGGGACTTGTAATTCATTTGCTATACATTGACAGAAATTCCCAATCCCTATCCCATAAAAGGAAAAGAAAAAGAAAAATATAAAGAGAAAGTTAGGATTAGGACCAGTGATATTCTATTTAACTGTTTAATGTTGGTGTTTACTGCTGTTAGATAAGTCACAGCAGAGTAATTGCCATATTTTCTACTTGTAACGCTTCGTGGAATTTTTTATGGACACCAGTAGAAAATTGTGTTACTTCGGCCTGAAATGCTTTAGCGGTTTTGTAGCCATATTTTTTAAACGTAAATGGCCCTTATCTCTGTTAGTGGCAGTTTTGTAATCTTCAATGGAGTAGCACTTTTAGCATTGCAAATTAAGGCTACTTTTACTACAGTGTAAAAATGAAAGGATAAAAAGAGCATAACTAATTCAAGGAAAGACGATAAAAAATGTATCACTAAGAGCTAGGTGGTTGGCTTATTGTCACGAATGTGTATTGATTGCGACCCCAGAAACATTAAGGCTGAAAATCGTCAAACATCAAGGTGGAAGCTTTATGGATCATTTTGGTTTTGCTGCAACAAAACACGATGTAGTTCTACTCCAAATTGCTACCTTCCACTTTTTAAGCGAAGCCATATTTGATTTTGCGCTTTCTCAAATGTCACCAACATTATGTTTGGCCGCCCTTGCTTGCATGGTTCTTGTAAAAAAAATCTAACACAGAAATTTCATTTACTTCTGTTCCATATAGGTTATTAGCTCTCCCCATTCATTAACGACTACATAGTTGCTTGCAAAGCTGGTGTTAAATGAATCAAGCTGTTTATGGTGAACTGATCAACAGAATGACAATTTCAATATTTTATGGTGAACTGATCCGAAGTTATTTATTTGTTTTTTCACCAGAAATATAGTACAGGACTTAACGAAACACACATAAATGCTGCTGCTAATATAACTCAATGTATGCTTGCAAATTTATGTGACTTGTGTTGGTGGTTTTTAGATTACTATTTGGATGCAAATATGATGCAAACATGTTTAAATGTAAATGGATTGAAATACTGTCACCCACTGGAACTAGCAACACAATAATGCATTCTGTCGTCTTAGCAATAAGAAAATTGTTGTGATGATACAATTTATGGTAATGGTAACCTAATAAGCAATCCCGGTTCACCACAGAAGATACAGTGCTATACAACTAGAAAAATCTGTCCATAAAGATTTGAAAACGAAAACACGTTTTCCTTCCCCTATTTGCTAATATCTTAGGGAAAAAGTTAACCAGTAAACAAAAGAGTGGTTTCGTAACGCACCAGAACAATGCCAATTAATGGAATTTCATCATTTTTCTAATTACAATTTAGAACACATGAAGTAAGAATATAATTGAAAAATGGTTCAGAGTTGCACATGCATTGAAAGATCATGCTTATAATACGGGACGTTAAGTTATACACTGTTGAGCATCGAACATTCATCACATGAGTACTTTTCAAGTCTATTAGCACAATTTCTCTTCTGCAAGTGGGAAAAAAAAAAAGGCAAGCATGAACAATCATGTCCAAGCCTCGGCATCTTCAGCTTATCAGTAGGTAACTAAAATTAAAGATTCATCCTTTCAACTAAAATAAATTCTTCCAAGCTGCTAATCATAGCCACTCCATCCATTTAGTATAATATTGAAAACCAAAATTCCACTCTTCAAGCAAAAGCACGCAAATTACGGTCAAGTGACCCAAAATGAAGCAACCATTTAAAAACAAACTATATTAAATTATTATCTGAAAGCTCACGAAGACGTTTTTCCAAGTCATCCAATTTAGCAGCCCAATTTGCGTTTATGGAGAGTGGACGAACATTGGTGTAATCCACGGCGGGTCGTTCGGGGACAGTGGCCACAGAGGATTCTTCCCTCCGGAGTTCCTTCTTATTCTTCTGGGTCTTCTTCTTCCGAGCACTCGCTCTCTGTAATGCCCAAAGTATATCTGATCCACTAATCTCGGCTTCTTGTTGCGTTGGTTTCGAAATTGGAGTCGAATTGGAATGGTGAGTGGCAAGAAGGGTGTGCCTGTGCCCCAATTTCCCACCTTGTTGGCTGGCGTTGGTGGAGACGCCGTGGCTTCGCCTCCAGGACGTGGCTGAGACGGAGGGAACAAGAGCCTTATCAAACGACGTCGCGTGGTTTGGGCAAGACCACATCTTTTTTTCTTGATTCTCTTTTACTAAAGCTTCCTCCTTTTGAATTATTTTATTTTTTAAAATAAAGTTTGCAAATATAAAGTAATTTAAAGTTGCTTTCTTTTGAAGTGGACTTGAATGACATTTGGAGAATGACACGTGAAATTGGGGAAAGAAGGGGATCCATGTGTGAGAAGTGATATTTTGACAAAAAAAAAAAAAAATCTTCAAAATAACCCATTTTTATTAATATAATAATTATAAAATAATTTAATAAAAATGAAAATAAATTAAAACTATTATTAATATTAAAAGATGGTTGTTGGTAAGGATTGTATCATGTGAAAATATAATTTCTGATTCATGTGTGTTTTCATTTCTCGTCATTTTTCTTGGCATTGCTATTTGTGGTCTACAATATGACATGTAATATTTTTGCATAGATATTTTTAATTTCCTATCTTACACATAACATTTTAATCTTAATCTGATATAATTTTTATTATTCTGAGTAATATGAACTATAATACATTAAAGAAGCCCGTACAGATATAAAAATGAGTTATTTATAAAAAAATAAAAAAACAATTATATCTAAGAAACATCCAAGGGGAAACAAAATATACAATTGTGCTTACAAAGACTCAATGGTAATTTACCTTTTCGTAAAACCATATTAACAAATATGATAAAGTGAGTTATTATTTATATTTGTGTAAAAATGTTTAAATCTGAGATTATGTAAAATTTCATTTTACCCTTATTTCAAAATAGTTCAGAAGTTATATCTTCTTTTAACGAGGATAGGATCTTATACATTAAAGTTATCATTTAATTTATCTTAATGGCCAAATTAGGGAACTAACTATTAATTAACACAAACATATTTGGATTTGCAGTGATAATGTGAAACTGCTAGTTTGATGAATTATGCTGCAAATAGATCCGAGGTGTAGTTTCGTATGAAAGGACAGTGCACTTCATGCGAACGTGTAGATTCCGAGGATGTTTTTGCACATTTTTACGTGCTTGGAATTGACACGAGTGTGATATATTCCCAAGAACCACCGTTGCTATAGTTAACCGTGTCAGAAACAGAGTGGCATAAGAATAATTATGAATTGCAGAATGAAGTGTGTGACCATATTATACGTTGGTAGAGGTGAAAAGATGGAAAGAGAGATCAAGGAGAAGAGGCGGAGGGGAGATGAAGGGGATAGCGATGGAGGGAGTCGTCCCAGGGGTTGCCACGCCATTCCCTCAAGACGGGGATGTCGCGCACGGCCTTCCAGACGGCGCTGTTGCACTTGAAACCGGACCCGAATGCGATCTGCCAGACCCGATCCCCCTTGGCGACGCGACCCTTGGCCTCGGTGTAGGCGAGCTCGTACCAGAGGGAGCTGCTGGAGGTGTTGCCGAAGCGGTGGAGCGTCATCCTCGAGGGCTCCATGTGCCACTCGCTCAGTTCCAGATTCTTCTGCAACTCGTCAAGCACGGCCCTTCCACCGGCGTGGATGCAGAAGTGCTCGAAGGCTAGCTTGAAGTCAGGGATGTACGGCTTCACCCCCGACATCTTCAGCACCTTCCTCCGAACCAGCGACAGGAAAAACATGAACTGCTCCGAGTAAGGCAGAACCAACGGTCCCAAGGTCGTTATGTTTGTCTTAAGGGCGTCCCCTGCCACGGCCATTAACTCCCGCGCCAAACACACCCCTATTTTCCCGGTCTCGTCCTCTTTCTGGTACACGCAGTTGTAGTTCTTGTCATCGCCGCCCTTGTGGGTTCGGACGGTGTGGAGCAGCTCGTACTTGGAGCGAGGTCGGTCGGAGGGCTTGTTGGAGAGGAGGACGGCGGCGCCGCCCATTCGGAAAATGCAGTTGCAGAGGAGCATGGAGCGGTCGTTGCCGAAGTACCAATTGAGGGTTATGTTCTCTGTGCTGACCACCACCGCGAAGGAGTTGGGGTTGGCTTTCAGCAGGTCCTTGGCCAGGTCAACGGAAATGAGTCCCGCGCTGCATCCCATGCCGCCCAGGTTGTAGCTCTTGATGTTGCTTCTCAGCTTGTAGTGATTCACAATCATGGCGGAGAGAGAAGGGGTAGGGTTGAACAAACTGCAATTCACCACCAGAATATCAATGTCCTTCGGTTCAACGCCCGTTTTCGCGAAAAGCGCGTCCAACGCCCCGAACATCACGGCCTCTGCCTCCAAACGCGCTTCGCTCATGCAGAGATTGGGCGGGCGGGAAGTGATTCCTCTGGGAAGGTAGGTCTCGTCGCCCAAACCCGCTCTCGTGGAAATCTTCCTCTGGAATTGAAGAGACTCTTCCTCGAAAAACCCAGTCTCTTCGGTCATTTTAAGGAATGACTCCACTGAGATTTTCCTCTCTTTCTCCGGCTTGTAGCACGCGAAGTCCACCAGATACACTGCGCCGGAGCGCTTCCACCAGTAGAGAGCGGCGAGGGAAAGGAGCGCCGCCGAAGCGGCAGCCACACTCTCGACGTCGAGCTGGTGGGAACAGAGTTTGGAGAGTTTGAGACCGGTGAGGGAGAAGAAGATGGGAAGGGTGATGGCTACCATCACAATGCTGGCTGCGTTGCATGAATAACCGTATCCCAATCCCAACTTCACGTACTTTAGCTTCACCGACTGAAGAAAATCCGGCAGACGGCGGCGGATTCTGATGACGGCGGAGGATGAGTCCTTGAAGTCCATCTCCGCCGTCAATCTCTCCTTGTCCATGTCTATGCTATCGCCACCCATTCTTCTTGAATCCCTCTATCTTGTGTTTTGTGCGAGGGAAAATTCTGGTATTTATTGTCGTGGAAATTGTGATGTGGAAGAGGTGGGTTTTGGTTGGCTTATAAAGCAGACTCTAGAGGAGTGTGGCGTTAGGAGGAAGCTGAACCATAATTGCTATCTAGGAAAAAAACAAAACCAAATGCTGACGCTGACGCTGAAAAGGATCAACCAACATCGTGTTACTAATCGTGCTTATGTAATGGTAGCTAGCTATTAGGCATTTTCTCCACTCTCATCATTACTTTCTTCATCTTGTTAATTAATCTTGTGTGGAGGTAGTTTCGAAAAGGGTTAGATATATCGTTCAACAACTTTCGCCAAACCAAACTCTCTCTCTTTTAAAATGAATATATCGTGTGGAGGTGATTTTAACTTCAACTTGGGTTTTCATAATGAATATGTCTAATAATAGCAAATAGTGTTCTATGGCGTTGTTCCAGTGGATAGCCCAGTTTGACTTTGTAATATATTCTCTAAATAACTTCATCACGTGTGTCTGTTTTGCCCTTTTTCCACTTGTTATATACAATAGAACATTTGGCGTATGCATTTGAAACAAATTTTGGTGCCCAACACGCAAATGTAAACCAAAACAAGAGAGAAAAGAAAGAAAAAAAAGAAGAAATTGGTCTCTATTTTGGGGGCATATGTTTTATTAACCAGCCCAGGGAGATGGAGAAGTTTTGGAAAATTGATGGAAGGCAGGTGGTCGTTGGTGGCTGGAGGCTGGTCATCATGGAACAATTAATGGTATTGTGCTAACTTGTCCAAACCTCAATCCCATTTAATTCATCAAACAACTGTTTTAGTGATATTATCGTACTAACTTATGATCCATATTCATTTTGTCTTTTAATCTGTCTCAATTATATGCAGTGTCTTTTCATGCGGTATACGTACGTGAGTTATGGAGTTTGCTGTTCACAAACATAGACTATTTCTTTGACAATTCAATCATGCATGATGCATCCTACAATCAACAAACACCACAGGTTAGAGAAAGTTGGGGAACAGTAATAGAAATTGTAAGTAGCTTAAGCCAGAAGTGGGAGTTATAAGTTTGGTGATGGACGGTGGATTTCAGAAAAAAACTTGACTTTTCTGAGTAGAGTTGTGTGTGCAATTGGATTGAACTGAGCCATTATGTTTGTCTAAGTTGGTGGAGAAGTGGTTTAGGCCAACAAATTAAACTCGAAATGACATAAGCATCTCATAAATTATGGGATACAAATAGTTGAATTCGTACAGTAGAGTGTAGTAGCATAGTTTAGTTGGTTAGTTTGTAGGTTATCTGTACATTCTTATCAGTTTAATTTTACCCAGGGTGTATTTGTGGTTGAAATTTCTGACACACAAGATAGAATTGGCCCCAATATTATGGCCACCGATGATTCAGTGGTCATTGAGTATTAAATGGTTCGTACAAACAGATCTTTATCCATCAAAGATTAGGACCCAAAAACAACACGTGTATGTTGCATGCTACAGCCATACATGTATGTTGCATGTAGTTCACCGAGCTTGTTCAACAGTTTTAACGTTTTGATTTGGTTGACCACAAAGCAGAGACTTTGCTGTCACTGGTCAAACCTTGTTTTTCTGACCAAACCTTACTTCATCCCTAATGACCAATAAAAGTTTACCTAGAGTCCAGTTTCAAAATCTGTCATTTCTGTGTGCTGAAAAGCTCTGCATGCAAGGACAATCTGTGTTCTTGAGTATCGAAATTCAACAAATGTTGGAAAACAAAGTTGACAGATATTACGCAAGTTCAGAAGAATAAAAAAAGTAGTACTGCATTTTATCCTGAATCAAGGCTATCTGCTACTACATTTTGATTTGTTGGATTGAGGGAATGATACCTTGAATGGCATTAACACAAGTAAGTGAGAATCCAACACATCAATAGTATTTATTCCTGACAAGAAAATGCCTAGATGTATTCATATTTAGTTCAGAGAGAATAAAATTGTAACATTGAAGAGTAAAATTGATGATATTGTTAATACAAAGAAGTGGAAGATTTGGAATTGAACGAGGAAGAATATATATATATAAGAAGAGGTGAATGTTAAGGGATGAAAAGAATTTATGGTTGAAGGTGGTGGGTTGATTCCATGAGTAGGGCCCTTTGAACTCTGCAACTTGGTAGCGGTCCCCCCATATAACATAAATGAAGCACTAAAGGCCATATAAGCATATGGCACTGAATTTATGAGATTCAAGTTTTGGTCCCATTCAAGTTAGTATACGCATGCAGTCACAATGTCTCGGTTTCATATCTGAATCATGCTTCTCCAACTACAAACTAATTCAATCAATGTTTTGAAAAATCATGACAATCATAATCTTGACCTATAAGCCTATTAACTCACTTGCAGTGCGGTGAAAATTTCAATTATAACCTATCTCAATCATATCTCACTCATATATTATATCTTTTATTAATTGGAAAAAAATCTTAAAAAATTATTTTAACATTATAGTTAATATTTCTAATGTAAAAATAAAGTTTTTCAATTTTTATATTTGTATTTGAGATAAAAATGACATTCTAGTTTGTTTAATAAGATTAGATGTATTTGAGTAAGTTTTTGGGTTTTTCACTTCTAAAAATTTTCATATTTTTTTATAAAAATTTGTAAAAAATATATTTCTTGTAAATTTAAATATATTATTTTTTAAAAATTTATAGAAAATAACTTATTAGCGTTTATTCGATTTAATATTTAAAAATCACATTTGTATAATACAAAGATTGATGGTATTTTATATTTTAAAAATCATGATTTTCATAGTTTTTTTTAATATTTTCTGAAATGATTTTTTTTAAGTTATTATTATCATTTCATTATGTGAAAGTTTTCATTTGATTTCCGTTAATTAAAAACTACACGAAGAGTCCACAAGGAGATAATTTCATTAGAAAAATGATACTTTTGACAACCCAAATTCATACCACTTTTATAAACAACTCTCTTTTAATATTATAATAATAATTTTACTTTATTTTTATTTTTATTAAATCATTCTATAAATTATTATATTAATAAAAGTGAGTTGTTTAAAAAGTTGTATGATTTTTAGTTGTCAAAATATCACCACTCATTTCATTAACATTCACACTAACGTAACCTAAATTTGAACAAATTTGATTGGTAGAACATTTCGTAGATGTTTATTCTAATTTCATCTTTTGTGACCAAACGAACAATAAGATAAAAATGATAATTTACTAACACAATTATAACTTAATAATAAAGATTATTTTATGAACAAATTTTATGGAAGAGTCAAAGTTGTAGAATTTTCATAGAGGAGTTGAAAAAATAGAGTGGAATGCAATAATTAAATTCATAATTTATATTAAATTTCTTATGAAACATTTTTCTCAAACATAATTCAAAATTAATTTTTGCAGAATTGAGTTTACCAAGTAACCATGCAAAATGAAGTTTATGAATACCCACCTATACACACAAAAATTGAGCCCATACCTATGTCTTTGTTGTAACAGACTTTAATTCAATAATTGTGATTTTTAGTAAATCTTAATCAATAGTAAAAAACATTATAAACAAATGTCAAAAAGAGTATTACAATTTTTTATGGTTAGAACATAAACAGGTATCGGAAATCTTTATGTGCAGTAGTTTATTAAACAGTGATAACCCTGATCTAAGAGCAAGTATTATACACACTCCACTGCCTACTCGCTTGTACTAATTTTTCCTCATTTACATTCTAATCTATACTGAATAAGGGTATTGATTCTTTTTTTGAAGAGTACAAGGTCAAGGATGAAGAAGAAATAATATCATTTAACCATATAGACTCTAATTTCCTCTCTCATATGGAACATCTAACCAGACACATCCAAAGATTTAGCAAAGCACCGAGCGTTCCATGAACCACAGCAAGATAATGGCACTAGAAACAGAACATAACCGGGTTATGAATTAATCAAACGAATCATTGAATAAGTGACCCTTTAATAGAGGTTGTTGTCGACAAAAATGGTACATGATCAAGGATGTAGATAGTGTATAACAAAGGGGGGATATAAGGTGATACCTTAATTCTTCATTTTTTCCCTTCAGTATGCCACACAATGTCTTGCAACCCTGATGAGAAAATTTCGTAGAACTGCAAACAAACCAAAGAGGGAAGATTTCAAAAAGGTAGCTATTGTCTTTCTGGATTAGGAGCAAAGAGTAGGAACTTTGACATGCCTTATGAAACTCAAGTGTATCACCCCCTGTCTTTCGCAGCTCCACCATGTGCACTGAGGGAGCCACTTCAAAAACCTGACGCCAAAGACAGCCAGTTGTAGCAATCAATTCCAGTCGGAGCCTCTTCGAAAGAAGCCAACTAAAATCTATTGCATCATGTGTTCTTCTGACAGATTCAATTGTCATCAGAAGACTCCAATTTATGTTCACATTTTATTGGATACTAGAGTCAAGATCATATGGTTAGGCAAAAGTTGAAATCAAATAATTGTTGTAAAAAAGTGTCATGCATTCAAATCTCTCGTTGTCATGGAAATTCCAGTCACTTTTAAGCCAGACTAAAAGTCATGTCAAGCATGTCAGATCAGAAATGCCCAAATTCTCTGAAATTAGATGATTTAGGTAATAAAAACTGGAATTTTTCACAACAAATTTGTGATCTGGTGACTAGGAAAGAAGTTATTGCCACTTACGAGAGAAACAAAATTTTGTACTAAGTTGCCATTATTTAACCAGAGACAAGAAAAAGGGAGAAAGAATTTGTCATGGGACCACGAAAAAGAAAAAAGGCATTTGCCATAAACAAATTTTTCAGTACCTCAGTAGCCACTGAAAGGTGACCCTTCCTCCCGCTCCGATCACCTTGCAGCTTCATCTGCAGTATCTAAATAGACGTAAGTTACAATACTCTACAGCATTACAAAGTAAGTCGCGCTAAAGACAGTTCTTAGGAAATAGACAATACAGACCAATGTGCAATGCATAATAACATTGAAGAGAATCCACAGTTACCTTATAATTTTGCTTGTGTACATTAAACCCCAGTGGCTTGGCTGCTTCCTCGATTTTATACATAATTTCATTTGCAGGGCAATGTGAGGTAAAACAGGTTTCTTGCTTTACTTGATCCTGAAGTGTTTAGATACATAAAACAGAGAAACAACAAACATCAACCAGAAGGACTATATATAATCGTCAACATCTTATCGTCCACTTGACACAATGAATAAACTACTACCTTAAATTTAGAACTGATTGAGAAATTGAATATAAGTTTATCAAAATTGATCCAAAGACCATAATCCACAAATTACCACAGGTGGTTTGTTAAATTTCATGAAAATTGACAACTTGTGATTCTAAAGTAACATTAAAAAAACTAAGAGATGCATAAAAACGTTGACATGGTCAAAGAAAAATTCATTTTCACATACCGTTTGCTTCTCGAACAAACTGCCAAGATTGAAACTTTGTGACCTAGAAATGAGCTCAAAAGCATTCATGTAGACCGGTTTCTCTTTTCTCTCCGTCACTATACTTACCTACAAACCGAAGTGAATGCATAAACAACAGAAGTTTTTACGGTGGATGAAAGAATGAGTACAAATATTGACTAAAAACCAGTACATTAGACTCATTGAAAGCAACGGCTACATCATCCACACTTAGGTCTTCCTTAGTAAAGGATGTTGGTTTGTAACCTTTCTTGAACCACTCATCTCCTAAGAGCTCAGGAATTTTTATCCTCTGCAGAAAGCAAATAAAATATCTTGAAGCGTATATTACAGGAAGCAATTAGCTAAAAACAAAATCATAAAAATACAATAGTAATTTCCCAAAAGGAAATGAAGCAAACATTCAAAGCTACCGTTAGAGGGTTTGGGTCAAGAATGCGTTTCAGCAGTGCCTTCGCTTGTGGAGGAAACCATGATGGACAGGAGAATTCTGCCCTGAGAATCTGAATTATAATAGTATTTATAGATTTTCACTCGCATAAATAATGATAAATGCTAATGTCATAGGTATTAACAATCTGAACTGACTTACTTTCTTGTACAGAGCCATGTGAGTTGGCTCATCAAAAGGTAAGTACCCAGCCATAAGTACAAAGAGAATGACTCCGCAAGACCAGACATCAGATGTAGAACCAACATAGCCTTTATTATTAAGCACCTGATACAAATGGCACAACAACATACCATTTACTGCAAGTTCGAGGCATTGAAGACTAATTTAGTTTACATTGCCATTCACCGGGATTAGTCCTAAAGTAGATACCTCAGGAGCAACATAATTTGGGGTTCCACATGCAGTGCGGAGCAGTTCATCCTCCTGCAAATTGACAGCAAGCAAATATGATCTACACACAAATCATTAGAGGAATGCAAATTCTAAGCGAAATAATCACAAAACCATTTATCGGTTGTCAAATACTCCTGAAGAATTCTAGTGAAACCTGAGATGATGTAAAGATTAAAGATTTTCTTTTGTACCAGCTAAACTGTACCTTTAGGCAGGCATAGTGTCTAAATTAAAAATCAAATAACTTGAAACGTCCATCAATCCAATATCGAAGAAATCATCTTACTTTCTGCGAGTACGTACTCAATCCAAAATCTGAAACTTTAAGAACACTATTCGAGTCCAGAAGAAGATTCTCAGGCTGCAAAATACATTGAAGATGACCATAAAATAATTGAATCTTGATCAATCCTATTACACTATATTTAAAAGTTATGGTGCTGGGGAGATAAGATTAAGGAAGTTGAAAGACCTTCAAATCTCTGTGATACACGCCTCTACTATGGCAGTAGTCAACAGCATTAATAAGTTGTTGGAAATAATTTCTAGCTTCTTCTTCTTTAAGTCTCCCCTTTGCAGCCTAGAAATCAAAGAAGCATTCCAAGAAATGTATGTACTCAGATGTAAGATTCTCCGAGTAGAATATTGATAAAACCAAATAAAAAAGACGAATATATGTAAAAGGTATATATTGCGTGTAACGAGTAAATAAGACTTACTATTTTGTCAAATAGCTCTCCCCCATCAACAAACTCCAGAACAATATAAATCTTTGTTTTGCTTGCCATCACCTATCCTTTAATAAAGGACATATATTGACTGAATATAGTGAATGCAGTGGATTCAAAAATGAGAAATATTAGTTACACTATATCCACCATGTGCAACAGATATGTAATCTAGGCTAATAAATTTAAAATTTATAGATTCATGTATATTTTATATAAATATAATTGGTATAGTGCAATATTCAAACTGTATTATTGTAAAAATGTTTTTCTGTTGTATTTAACGTAATGTAACGTGATTACAATATGACTATCAATATTCAGAAACACAGATAAAAATTTTAAGCTTGGTTAACCTCAGAAAATTAGTTTCATGAAAGAGTTTTGATGAATAATCAATTAAGAGTAAAAAAAAAAAACAGGTGGTGTAGTGGTTACAGGTTTCTTTCTAAAACAGAGACTAAGGTCCAGAACAAGGGAATGATTTGTATATTTAACGTTGAACAGTTTCTCCACTAAATCGTATCAGTTCATAGTCAGTTTAACAATTTAGAATTCGATTTTTAAATCATCAATAATCTCACAGACTTGACTAAACCGGTCATGAATTTGTGTCAGAACGGTTGTAGTGACGATTTAATCTGATTTTGAAATCATGGAAAATGTTTGAAACTTTGAGCTATTTCAGCAATGTCACGTGTTTCCGAATACTGCTAGAGTATACTTCATGGGACTGTGATGCTTTTTGTTCTTTTCGCGGAAAACGATATATTTACATTGTTTTATATCCACGTTACATACTCTTTGAACTGATGATATTTTGGCATTTTTTGAAGAACCTTAATAGTACTTTTTATATTATATTATATATATATATTATATATATATATATATATATATATATATATATATATAAGTTATCAGAAATATTAGAATAGTTTTTTTTAATATTGCTAAAAAATTATTAAAAATCTAATAATAATATGGTAAATTTCACATTTTATTTAATAAATCTCTTATAGGTGATTTCACAATTTTTAATAAATTTTAATTGATAAAAAATATGCTAAAAATATTGTGTTAAACGAATGTGCTCCTAACACTCCTATTTATTATATTTTTTTCTATCATTTTTTCTACTTAAGTTAATAGATTTGTGTTGTGGAGTCCACAAGCCATTTTATATCACTGATTAATTAGATCATACACATCTTAATGTTGGAAAAACTAAATTATTTTAATAATTGACTAATATGGTCAAAATTGATTAATATAATAAATTATAGTCAAAATCAATTTTTGTTTAATTAAGTTTACTAAAAGCTATTTTTAGATAAATAGTTTGTCTGGGTGCAATAATAAAATAAATATTCACACAGAAAAAAATATGCATGAAGTTGATAAAGAATAAAAAAATTGTTGTCAAATAATCATAAACTATAAATTTAAAGATTCATGAAAACAATTTATTCTGTAGAAAAAAATTAATCAAATTCAGCTATATTATTTCAAACACCCAACATTGTTTTGTGAAAACAATAGAAATTAGGGGAAAACAGTTTCCCAAACATGCTATAAGAAAGAGATAGTGTTAAAAAAAGTACTAATATAAATAGTGATATGATGTAATAAAAAGGTAAAAAATAATAAATGTTAATTGAATGTTTTAGTTGTTTAAATATCAATTAATTGATCAAGTTTGTGTTTGTTATAAATATAAAAATTCAGTTCTTGCGGAAAAGAATTAATACATGAAGGAGTGTATATGAGTAGTGACTGTTGCGGAAAATTTTGCAGAAAATGAAGAAAAAAGTGAGGAAGGTAAATAGATTGCTATGGAACGAACCTCAACTATTTTAATAACGTTTGGGTGATTGATGAGCTTCATGGTTGATATTTCTTTCTGCAGCTGCCAAGTGCAAAGAACGGGACTAAATAAAATGAAATAGCAACCCTAAATTAAAGAAGAGTAAGATTAAGAAAAACCTGTTCCATCATGTTGTGGCGGAGGACATGTTTACGGTGGAGAATTTTGATGGCAACGTAGTTGCCGTTGTGGACGTGCCTGGCGAACTTCACCTTCGCAAAGCTCCCCTCTCCGATGGTTTTTCCCAACTCGTATTTCCCAACCACCATGCAACCTTTCGCTTCCTTCACGCTCATTTTTCTTTCTCTCTCGCTCGATTTTCTGATATCCACCACCTTCTTATCCGTTTGGTTTGGTGTTTAAATAGTTGCTTGAAACTCGAAATGATTGTGTTGTGGTTGGTTTTGTGATGAATGATGAGAATGTGAGAGTACCAATGGGGACGAAGGAAATCAGATATGTATGGAAAGAAAAAGAAAAAGGAAAAAGGACAAACATTTTAAAGAATTGTTTATATTATTTAACGTAAATTCTGTATAAATAAATTAAGGTACTTATATTTAATTTAATTTATATTTTTTATTTTTAAATAATTCTTTTAAAAATTAATTTTAAACATTTATGTCGGTTTCCTTGTTACCCAACAAAACATGTCTTCGTATCATTACTCAACAATAACTTTAAGCTTTACAAATAACTTTTCTACAATTTATCCATTATGTTTTTTTTTCACATTTTATCATAACATTTTTAATTTTTACCTATAACTCTGATAATAAAACAGAATTATTTTCATATTTCAAAAATAAAAAAATAAAATCTAATTATATCACATATTATAATTTTAGTGTTAAATAAAAATAAATAAATACATAAATAGCCATTGCGTATGTTTCATTGTCAAACTCGGAAACAGTATTTCCTTGTAACGAAGAGTGTTGGTGAATTATTGAGCGAGCTATGATTGAGTTGGAGAAGAGGATAATAAAGATAGGATTTCCCATAACAATAATTTATATTTTCGAATTTACAAATTAAAATATTCACTGTTGTGTTGATTCACGTATTACGATAGTGAAGCAAATTAACTTTTAAACATCTGTTTAAAAATAAAATAAAAATAATAATTGATAATTAGAAATTTAGCGAATAAAAAAATGTATTTTATTATGTATATTTAACTATGAGTTTTTAATTTATAGTTTCTATTGTATTGGAAGGCTAGAAGAAATCTTTGAGAAAAAATAGAGAGGAGTGTGTAGCAGATTTATAAGGCTGATTTGTGAGCTTAGATGGATTTGTTTTGGGCCAATTAAAATGGTTTTCTTGCCTTGCATGCATGTGGGCCTGCGTACATAACCCAATAACCCATTCTTGTTACTATTTTACTAACTACAATCCATTTTGTAGTATAACATTTTTGTATTTGTTTCTAATTATCATATATATAATTTGCGAAGTATTCCGTAGATAGAAAATTTTAGAAAAAATAAATATAAATTACTTAATGCGTACTACATAATTTATTAAGAAAGAGTTACATATCAAAATAATTTGTATATTTATTTATTATTTAAAAATATATGTAAATTATGTTTGTCAATTAAAGACATCTCTCAAGGAATTCTTATTAAGAATTGTTAAAAAATAAAATTAAATATTTGATTATGAATTTTATGAACGAGTGAGTTAAAATTTGATTAAAATTATTAATATATTTTTTAATTTTAAGTAATTTATTTTAATTTTAAATAATTTAATCGTAAGATTTATAATAAAATATTTATTTTTATTTTTAAACCCTTCATATTTAAGATTAAAAATTTCATCTAAAATAAATATATAATTAATTTATAGTATGTAACTAAAATGATAAACTAAATTTATATCATTGAATTATATATTTATTTATTTATTTCTAAAATCATCTCCTAAATATGTTTATTGGAACATAAATCTATCTCTTTTTGTTTATTTTTTGTGTGTACGTGGCTGAAAACTTGATTATAGATGAATTTGTGTTGTGTTTGACGCAGAGAAAGGCAAAATCCCACATCGTGTCTCGTAGCATCCCTGCATTCGTGTTGTCATCTGGCGCCCCTGTCTCCTCTCTTATTTCACACTCCCACCAAACTACTTAATCCTATAAATATTTCCACCACTTTCTTCCTTCCATCCTCTCTCTCAACTCTTCTTCTCTTCCCTCCCTTTCATCACCATATCAGAAACCAGCTTCTGCTAACTTTCTTCCATTTCAGGGCTGCAAGTGGATGGGATCAAGCGAGGGAGATGAAAACGGAGGCTGCATGAAAAGAAAGTGGCTAGCAAAGCCATGGTGTTTGTTCATTTTGTTCTTCTCCTTGTTGGCAAGCATAGCAGGAGGTTTCGTGCTTGGATGGTGGCTACACAAATACCATCCATCAAATAGCCAACTATGGATGGTACCCTTTGGCTTCGTTCTCTTTCTTACCCCTCTCATTATCTGTCTCTCCGTAGTCCTTCCTGACCTCTGTGTTGCCACAACCAGAATCGACCAAGAACATGCTTTTAAGACACAGGATCACTCACTTTCTCAACCAAACACATGATGGTCATGTCTTGGCATGCCATGAACCTTGTTTTCTTTATATTTGGTTTCATTCTCCTGCATTCTAAGAGGAGTGTACCTCCATGTTTTGTAAACAAGTTTGTATATAACAGCTCAAAATTATATATACTTGCTGGATGCTCCACACTTGATAATAGTGTTATTCAGTTATTCATAAACGAGTTTGAGTAATCTTTTCGTAGTTTCTATGGATGAATAGTAATCCAAGGATAGTGGCATGCCATCATTTTCGACTGTTTGTTTACTTTATTCCATTTCGGGTTTAAAACTAATTAGGTGTCAGATATCTTAGAACATGACAGGGGTAGTACATATCTGGGACAAAATTTTCTATCATTAAATTATTATTGTTATTAATAATACTATTGTGACATCTTTCATGATTAAAGAAAAGGGTACATAGAGGGGATATCTACGAGAATCTTTGGTGAGTTATGTGATTTGGAAGTGGCATATGGAAAGCAGTGTGCAGGGGCAGGCTAGTGACAGATGCTCCCTTCCCCAGATTCTACAATCCCATTGGAATTGACCAGGCACATATGAGTGAGTCTTGTAACTTGTAAGCTAAAGATAATTTTCAAGAAAAAGCATTTTTTCCAACACCGTCCCTTTAGTTTTCAATGCATGACGTTGCTTTCCAATAATACAACCATTTGGAAAAACCAATATCAAACGAGAGCCACCACAGTTCATAGAATTTTCCATATACATGCTACTGTTTCAATACAGATTAGGTCAAATCCTGTGTGTTTTCGTTTTCAGCACAATAAGGTTATTGATATATATAGTTCACATTTTATCCATTTTCCTGTTATAGAAATGTTTATTCTAAAGTAATCCATAAAAAGGGTTTGTTGATGTTAGAGAGCCACACTCTGGAGGGTGAGTCCAAAATCATCATGTTTCATAATTGAAAAGGAAATTAGTTTATCAAACTTTTCATAATTAATGAATTGAATTTTGCAACTGACATGTGATGGATGTGAACTTTAAAACGAGACTGAACCACAATTATTTTCTTAAACAACAAAACAGTGATCGCAGAAACTATTTTACCCTTTCTTTAGTGGCCGCCAACGCAATTTGCTTTACTAATATTTTATTCAAAAGCAGTTCTATATTTTGCAAGTTCTACTAGAACCATTCTCAATTGCTTAAAGTATAAGTATTATATAAAAAGAACATCTATATCATGTTTGATAAAAAAAATTATCCTAATTTCAACTGTTTTTTTTTCTAAATCAAGTTGTTTATGAAATAAAAATTATATTTGGACATCAACTGAAAGTTGTATAGTTTATTTTTTTCTAATTATAAGTTGTTTCAATGAGTTTAAAATTTTCTTAGTTTTTCTTTTCAACTTCATATGCATTTTTTTAATGTAAAAATGATTTTTATATTCCACCTAACTGGAATTATTTATCTTAAAACAACTTTTGAGTAAATTTATCTAAACAAAAATTAGTTTTTATTATAATGCATTACACGTATAATTAATTATTAAAATAATTGAATTTTTACCACTACTCAATTCTCTTAATGTCTAGGGACCTAAAAACTAATAAAACTATTGTAGAATTGAGTACCCAACTTATGTTAGGATGAGTTAGGATAACACTTCTTTGCATATAAATTTAGGTTTAACTATTTGTTTGATCAATATGTTTGTATTATTTATGTATAGATTGTTTTGTCAACTACCTTTTAACTCCATTAGTGTTGAGTATTCTAACACCACTATGAAACAAGAATCGGATGTGTCGATTGCTAGAAAAAATTTGCATTGTTAAATCATTATAAATTTATTTCAATGTTGTCTCTTTCATTAATCTTCTTTTACACTTTTACACTATATTATCTTAAGAGAATAGTTTAGAAATAAAAGTTAATATATAATTATAAATCTCATATCTAAATTGTTTTAAATTGGAGATAAAATTATTTAAAATTAAAAAAAGTTATTTATATGAATAACTTAGATTAAGTTTTAAATCACTGTAAGACCGTAATAAAATATTGAATTTTATTAATAATTAGATATTCGAAAATAGACCAACTGAGTAGATGCGGAAGGATTTTGGTTATTTGGTAGAATGAAATGTTACATGATAGAAATATAGGTTATTTGGCGGAAAGAAACATAGAAGAAATAATATTGTAAGGTTATTTAATTTGAAAAAGAAAAAAAAAACCATTTAATTTTGAAACTTAAAGTAAACAAACCTAATTTTAACTCTATTCTTCTAACATTTTTCTTTTCTTGCATACGAATTTTCCTTGTTTATGAAACACGCTTTTATTCTGTCATCTCTCTCTCTCTCTCCTTCCTCCATGCCTTCGTTGGGATGCTGTATTTGTAGGTTACTAACCCAATTCTACGCACGCCTCGTTGTCAATGGCCTCCACAACAATCCACTTGCCTCTACCAAGCTTCTCAAGCCCTACACCCAAATCAGTTTTCTCCCACCTCACTCAAAATTGCACCTTTCCTCACCCTTCTGCTCCCAATGCCGTTTTTCTCATTGTTGACTTGGTTACGAGCAGGAAGGTGCATGGAAGGATAGTTAGTTAGATGGGAACATCGTTGTTGGGAACGCACGAGGAATAGAGATGCTTGAATGATGCTCAAAAGGTGTTTGATGATATACATGTGAGAGATTTGGTTTCTCTTGAATATGTTGTGTTAGGTTTCGCTGGTTTATAGAGGAAATGTCATTATTTAAAGAAATCAGAAATGGGTGCTTCTAATCTCGTTATAGGGCCTGCACTAATGGATTTCTATGCTCTGCTGGAAAATAATCAAATGTGATAAATAATTCAATGTCATGTCTCAGTTCTCTATAAACAGTTTCAGAGAAAGAAAATAATAAGAAATAAATAAAATATTTTTTATAAATTAAATTTAATCCATATATAAGTTTTTATAAATAAAATAATAAATTATTAAAAAATTATAAGATTTTTACAAATTAACTTATGTATAAATTATTTTAATTAAGAAGATAAAAATACTGATATTAACCTTCCAAACCAAATGACATTGCAATTGAGAAATCTCTACAAATTAACAATGATAAAAAATGCTTTTAAATATTTTGCCCTTAGTTGCTTGATTATTTTGTATTTTAAGTACTTTGACCCACATTCATAATTAACAAATCAGTTTCAGAAGCCAGTTTATTATTTCCACCCATTTTCAACGGTTGCATCTGTCACAGATAAATTTTGGACTTCCCAATACCTTCACAAATCCAACATTTGGATTAAGTTTGAAATTCTTTTTACAATGAATATCATCGAGTACAACAAAGACATCAGATTAATAATGCATTAACATAAAAAATGAAAGTTATACCCATCAATCAATTCCACAAACAACCCTAAAACAACATTTCCCTAGAACAGTGCAACAATGGCAGGTCAAACACTTGAAATGAAGTTTGTCCTTAGAAAGCGACTCTACATTTTTGTCCTCTTCAGATGACAGGAATTACACGAATAATCCGAACAAACTGATAGAAGATTACATATATACACCTACTGGGCAATTCTTAGTTTGAAACATCTGCAATCAAGCAGAGTACTCACAATTTCATTCCCTATGCTGCACTGTCATTAAGTATCAATTTACTGGAAAAAAATGTTCAAACCTAAAAAGCTACCCAGGCTTCATACATCAACATCAGAACGTGTAGGGAAATCAATGCCCCTTAGTGCAGGTATGTTGTCTAAATCCTCTTTTGAAAACAATGGAAACAACCACAGGGCCTTCTTAGTGCCAAAAACCTTCAAATGATTGGCAAATTAAATAAAAAAATCAGATAAGATTGATAAAATCAGACAAGTTATTAGTTCATACAGAAAAATACAGAGAGGATAAAATCATAAAATTGAGGTAGGACAACCGAAAGTACACATTTCTTTTTCTAATCAAGATCTAATACATGGTTTATTTATTTGTCAGTAGAAGACTTCATTTCTTGTTAAATTACAAAGTAAAAACCATCAAAATATTCAGATTATATTTTCGCCATAAATAAAGAGAAGTTACAATCTGTAAGTTTAATTACAAAAGACCATGAGACAAGCAATTCCTTAAGCAAAAGCTTTATTTTATGTTAAATTTCATTAAAACATCACATCATTAACACTAAGCTTTGGTCACTATGGGGGGAGGCAAGTTATGATAAGTCCTTGCACCATCCTGGAGTAGGAATTTCCCTACTCCAAAACCGGGAAGGATCTCCACTATCCATTTTTACTCAACTTCTCATCTATTTTTAATCTTTTATAGCTATGGTTAGACCATCCTAGAATAAAAATTCTCGTATGCCAGGGGGATGTAAAAATATTTGTTAGGGGAGAGGGGGACAGAAAAGTGTAAGGAAAAAACATAACTTCTCTCTCAAACACACACACTCTTTCTCTTTTTTTGAAAAAAGTTATTAACTCATACATCATAAATGTAACATTTGCTTCCATAATTTTCGAGCATAAGAAAAATGTGTTTTTCTGCTTACTATCATTTTCTAATCTTTTTCTATTTGAAAACAGATCTTACCTGCTCAAAATTCCTCTTCCAGCCCAGGTCGTATATCCACCTAACTCCTTTTTTCTTTTCATGAACCTAAAACATAAATTTTTCCAAATAATCTTTTAGATAAAAGAAGGAACAGTGCTGCATGAAGATTAAAAAATAACCAATACCAAGTTATTTTCAAATTTGTTTGGTAGTGTTAATGGACCGGCTTTTCACCTAGTTTAAAAGTTCAATGAGATGATGAACAGATAACTGAATCAATAACTCATTGAAACAAAACCATCTCCCAAGCACAACCATCTTATCAGAATCAACTATGACCTAATGAACCTCATGATTTTGTTTTCTAAAGATAAAATAAAACCGTCCAGAGAACTGTATGTCAAGTCTTCATGCTGAAAGGTATTCTATAATTTTTGTCGAAAACTCATTTGGAGGAGGATTTTAGTCTTCACCCATGCGAATGTCTGGGTTGTCATTCTAGTAATAGCATAATAATAGTCTGGCATGATTTCTATGTCAAGAGAACAGGAATATGCTGGGTCTCAGACACGAGGTATCAACAGTCTCGTGCATATCTGAAGTTGTGTGAAAAGGGTTGCATAAACCAGTTCAAATAGGGTAAAAAAGAGAAAATAACAGTGTATTTATTACCTCTACTGAAGTTGTGTTGCTTGACAGAAGAGATATATGCATAACAACGAAACAGAGAAGACTGAGCGCAAAGGCTAAATTAAGAACTGCATCAAGGCACACAATCTGTAAGAAGCATTGACAGTTATGAGAATACAATAAAATCTAGTCATAATAACTTAATTTTCTCGATGTAGAATACATATACTTACTAGAAGCCAAAAAGATGATGGCAAGGCTCCCGGGAGACAATGAATGATTCTTGTTTCCACCAAAGAATCTGATAAAACTAGGAACCAGAGCTAAGCAATCCAGTGTTGTCTCGAGAAATGTATACAGCTGTGCATGGTGGTAGGGAGAAAAATTAAAGTTAGGCAAAACAAGCACTGAAAGTCTAGGAGTAGCTTCTGACTTAACCCTTTCCAAACTCCACCTGAACTACCCCTTCTCTTCTAACAGTTCCCACATTCCCTATTCCCAGATTTTGTTTTTCTCCAAAATAAAAGTTCCACTGTGTTTCCTGCTCATACTAAGATAGGACCTATAGTTATTCTTAATAGAATCAAATTCCCAGATCTCTCACTTTAATTTCGTAGTTAAACGCACTTCCAAGTTCCCTGCCACCTACTACCACAATAGCAATCAATAAACGGTTCACTATATATTTCAACAATTAAATTGAATTGCGATACTCACTTACACTAATACCAAATAAAAGGAAGAAGAGAAATGGATATACCAAAAATAGGAGAAAGTGCTTGTAGTTACGCGCCCCAACACAGTTGACGACCCAAATGCAATGATGGTCCATCTTCAGAATACACCTTTGGCCTACAGGAAGGAGAACATGGTAATGGAGATGGTGAATTATAATAAGAATAGAGATAAATTAAAAAAAAAAAAAAAAAACTTACAAATAGAACAGTGGTGGCATCGCGGTGGCTTGCCATTCTGGCATCGAGAGCAATAGGCGGGGGAGGGCGTTGGCGCCGGTGTCTCCAAATCGAAATCGGAACGAAGTTGTTGCCGGTGGTGGTGTCTCCAATTGTGAGGAACGGAACCGGGATCGGTGAGTACGACCATGAAGTAGGACCAGGTCAAGAGTACGAGGAGAATGTGAAAGAGGAGGAGAACGAAGAAGGCGGAGAAGAAGGAGGGGAGGTGGAGAGGGGAGCGGAAGAGGAGAGGGCCCCAGGTGATGAAAACGACGGCGTAGTAAGTGAGGGCGACAATGGCGGCGAACAAGAGGATCATGAAGTAGCCCAGAACTCTGAGGGCGGAGCAGAGCTTGAAGAGGTTTATGTAGGTTCCCATTCTCATTCCAATTCGAATGCTTGGAAGTGGAACCAAAACTGAAGCGGGCAACGCCACCGACCTGCTTCTTTGTGGCGGGAATAAGCGCTTCCAGATATCTGAAGCCAGGATTGGATGAATTCAAACGGAATTGAAATTGGAATTGGAATTGGGGTTTGCAGATGCGCCCAACAACACCAGCCGAACACTACACAAGCAACCCAACCGTCTCATCTCACACTCACCAAACTTTATTTCCAATGCGGGTCGCTCCGGATCCAATTCACTCTTTTTTAATATTTTATGTTAAGAATGTATTTTATATATCTTTATAAATCATTTTCATTTCAAATAACTCCTGTTAGTTTATTTTTTTGATAAAAAAATTTAATTTTATGATTTTTAACATTCAGATATATTACTATTATGTTGTGATAATATTACTGTTGTACTAAAAATTATTTATTAATTGTGAACCAATTTCTTTTTTAAAATTTATCCATTTTTATTTTCTTAACTTATATTTTTCAAATCAAAATTATGATTTATTTGAACTATTTTTTTATTATTTTTTTATCTGCCCAACTACATCATATTCCTTTTTTAAAATTTTGTTCAAAATATTTCACTTACATATATAATTAAATATGAAAAATAAAATATGCAAACATGTAATTTTTTCTTTCAATAAAACTTATATAAACAAAAAAAATTGAAAGAAAAAAAAACTCTTGAACAGTAACATAATGATTATAAGATCTTCATAATAAAAATCATAATAAAACATTAAAAATAAAATTAAACTAAATAATTATATTTACTGATCTGATGTTATATCTAATAAAAACACATAAATAAAGATAACAAAAGTTAAAGTTTCATCATTTATAACCTTTTTTATACATCCAACTCACGTTCCTCTCTCCAAAAGTATAGAATCCAAACAAATCAACATAAAAAAAAGTCTAAGGAATATATCTCATTGTGTAAAAGAAGCATATAAGAATTACAAGTAGTTCTAAATATACATAAACATCATACACACCAACACATTCTCTAAATGTATACACCAATGTTGTTATCTCTTCATATTATCTCTATAAATGTTGCCCTCTTGGCAGAGCTGGTAAACTTTTTATGCTAAATAAACCACTGAAAATGAGAAAACTGTTGGCTGGGCTGTAACACTAAGGGTGCCTAGATATTTTTTAACCTTCTTCTTTAGACAAAGTAAATTGATTTTTCCAAGTCAAATAAACTATCATTGCATAACCAACATAGTCTTAAATAACTGGAATCCTTCATTGTAAAGAATTCTTGAATACTGAAATGTTTGAGACTGTGGTGCTATTGTGCTTAGAATTTTCTATAGTATACTGGATTCATCAAGGAATGTCTACCATGAAATTGTTCATGTGTCCTTTATGTCTTGGGCCTATTTTGAACAAACACTAAAATTTTCTCCTTCATGTGCATCATCTGAATCTTTTCGTCTGCTTCTTGCAATGATTGTTAGTTTGTTACTTCTTATGATCTACATGTTATATACCCCCGAAAACATTAAGAATCAAGATTCTCATGTTTAATTTGAATGGCTTGTTATGGCACATGATGCAGTTTCTTGATGAGAATGAGAAGCTGATTCCCACAATATATGAAAATTATGAAACTCGAGCAAGGTGCCATGTATGTGAAATTTGGTTGATAGAGTCTTGGCATACAGCCAGCTTTGTATTAACTGAAAGTGCTGGCGCCAAAACTTATGAAATGATGCAGCGAAGATATGAAATTGTTTTGTAGGGTCGTGACCTTAGTGTGAGAAGAAGAAAATAAAGTGTATTCCAAGCAATAAGTTTATCTATTTGTTATATATGATAGTAAAATACCAAGTACTTGATCCAGCAAAATTCTTTATAGCATTAATGATTAGTGGGAGACATTGTAAAGTCCTTGAAACATTTCAAAGAACTTGTATTCTACCAAGAGAGCAAGCAGCAATTACAGCTAAAGTTACACTACATACAATCTCAAGCGAACTTCTATACATCTCAATCACACAAGGCGTAAAACCAAAGCATGCATGCAGAAGTTGTTTTAGGCCCAAGCCTCTCCACGTTCCTCCCTAGAATTTACACTATCATGACTTGCACGTTTCTTAGTTGGCTTGCTCAGTTGAAACACAGGGTGTCTGCATAGCCTGCGGACTCCTTTTCTCAACCTCACCCAATGTTCACTGTCATATATACCTCTATATCTATTCTCTAATGATCCACTATCATATCTAGAAGGTGAGCTACCACCTGAAACAGATTCAGATTCCCCGCCTTCATTACCCTTTTCCTCAGATCTCCATAGTTTCTCTTCAATGCACCATTCTATTCTTCCCAAGGTAGAAGTCCTCGAGAATTTGCTTCTCACAGGTGGCTTTGTGGTACAAGTTTCCTCAGTTGGTTTACAAGATTTCTCCTCCCTGTTATTAACTTCCGAAGGATGGGAATCACCTTTGCATGAGGGAGAATCTAAGAGCGATGAAAGCTGTCTTGCCTTGGCAAGTGACTCATCTCTTTCCCGAAGGGTCTTCAGAATCAATGTCTTAAGGAAGTTCATGACTTGCACTGCATGAATCAATGCAGTCAAAGGGTCCGCCATCTGCATATCACAGTAAAACAAGCATTTAAATGCATAAATAGACCATTTTCACACTAAAATCTGTATATTGCATTAGCTAATTATATTCATTTTCTAACCTGTGTCATGTTGGGGGCAAAAACCATAGCAATATTGCGAGCATTCATTTTGTTGAACTGCTCTTGTTCAACAACATCTGCCATCAAATTAATTGCCCAATCAAGCAGTGCAGCTTCAGTTGAAGGAAGCAACTTCATAAGATTGGTGCAATCCTCTTCTGTGTTGCAATGCATCACCTGTTCTGGTGAGAGGGAATCAAGTACCCCCGTTGGAAGCTCTCTAAACCATGCCTACAAAACGTAAATAAAATTAAAAATAATAACAGTAAATGGGAAGAAAAGGTTTGTTAACAGGTTAGAAAATTTGTCAGCATCAATAATACTAATGAACATTTTATGGATGCTGTCACTTTTGTCTCCTAAGAAAGATTCTCTTCAGATACACACTACACTAACGGATAAAATAAGCTATGAACACTAATCAAATCTGCAAATCGATGAACATCGTTTTCAAATATTATACAAATTAATTTATGAATAATAAAAAAGTTAAATAAAGAATATAGTGTATACCTTTATCAAACCAGATAAACAATGAACGTCAATTCCAAGTGGTACCAGACCTCTGTTTAGCTGATCACGCACAAATTCTTCTTGGCTGTTATCAGCATTAATTCGAAATATTCCTTCCGCCTTCAGCCATAGCAAAACCAAGAAATTAGGCCTCAAAATTTATGTCAAAGTAAAGGGGATTTATGCGATACTTGAGTTCGGTTGTACAACAAGTTTATTAATGGTCGATATATAATGAATTATTGAACATTTATTGCTACACCAAACAACCAACAAAGGTTTGGTAATTCAGCCAGTATCCAGTGGCTAAAGAGCAATTAAAAGTAAAACCAATTAAATACTTTTAAAATCTCATTCTACCCGAACAGAAAAAAAACATACTTTAAGGCCTCCCTCTGAATACAATCGCTTTTGCATCATCAGCAGAATCGTTGGGACACTGTTTCCCCTTTCATCATACGAGCACTGCATTGACTTTGCAGAAACTCCAAATACCTTTGCACTGCATGAGCATATGAACTCTGTCAAATATGGATTTAAAAGAAAAGAGAGAGAGAGAGATGGAATTGCGTATATGAAAGTGAAAGGTAAACCAATCAACTCCCAGCATAGTTTTTTTTTTTTTCTCGTGCCTTTCACAGTAATTGAATTCCTCCCTCGCCGAGCAGATACAACCAACAATAACAAGACCACACGCAGTTGTAAGTGATAAAACAAACCTTTCATTTTATCCACATAAATGTGTATTTTTATCGTATTCAGCCAAATCAGCAATGAAATTTGAAACCTATGTATGATGGTGGTGATCAACACGGAAGGACACAGTGGTGGACTCAGAGTTATCAAGTAACTTATTTCAATTGAAAATGCAGTCAATAATAGAACTTTTAACAAGCATCAACCAAGGAACAAGGCCAAAATCTTTCATGTTGAGAAGGCTCAGGCAATTTCCAGGGCATCTCAACTTACGAAACCAAAATTCCCAACTTCAACAAGAAACCCAATATCTTCTCCATTTACAAAATTACAACCATTTCTGCATCAACCAGAGCATAAAGAGGCTGTCCTATTTGAGGCCATTAGGTTCCCTTGACCATTAGACAGATTCCGTTTGAATCATCTTCTCTGAAATTACTAATTTATGAACTTGTCTTTCATAAAAGTTCTCTAGTTCAAGTTGTTTAGAAGTTGGAGGGGGATAAGTTGATTTTAACTCATAAAAAAGATCACATAATCATAAATTTACAAACTTATTCAAGCACAGAAAAAACAAAACCATCTAATCTGAAGCAAATTGTAAATCAACACCCTTTGATCTGAACCGAAAAATATCTCAGCAAAATTGAAAACCTTCAGCGTAACTTCAATCAACAAACTTCATGTTCTGTGACAGATTAATTAATAACTAGAATATAATGGTTAAGAAGAAGGGACGAAAAGAAGAGAGAATTGAAGGTTCACCTGGCACTGGGGACCCTCTTGGGAACCTCTGGCTCGAGCTCAGAGGGCAAACCGAGAAATCCATTGAACCTATCAAAGGTAACATGAGAGACATGGCGCACCTCTGTTGGCCAGCTAATATCCAACGAAGATACATCCTCTCTCTCCACACTGCAAGTAACCAGCGACTTCTTCAACGCAGTCATCAAAATATCCAGTATCGCAATCTGGTTCGATTGGCATCCATGACCACGCCAACCTTTGTTATCTACACCAGCACCTACTTTTGACCCCGGATTGATGAACGGTGTCGAAACCGGGTTGCTTGAAACATCTTCATCCCCATAATCGTCGTCGTCCTCATCTTCGCTGTCCAGTTCTTCTTCTTCTTCTTCCTCTTCATCTTCTACATTATCTTCGTCTTCATTTTTTACATCATGGAAAAGTGAACTGGGCGAAGCAGAGTTGAACTCGACCAGTCCGCAAGATTTGGATCGAAAAAGCCGAGTCATTGCCGTAATTAACGAGCAAGCAATAATGGGGCGGTGTTAAAAGGATCCGAACGTGAGTGAGAGAGAGAGAGAGAGAGAGAGAGAGAGAGAGAGAGAGAGTATTAAAATGGGGCAGTAAAACTAAAACTAAAAGCGAATACTTTTAAAGGCAATTTCAGAAGAAATGAAATGGGTTGGTTAACGGTGAAAAAGGAGAGAGGAAGGAAGCAAGCAAGCAAGGAAGGATGAATCCACAATCGGATTGGGATGGTAAGCTGGTGAGGTTGATGGAGACAACTTGCTTTTCTTTTTGTTTGTTAGTATTAGGTTGGTGGTCCTTTTTTTTTTTTTTTTTTTTTTTGGGATTATTATGTTGGTGGTACTTGGTTGAGAGTAACGGAAGAAAAAAAAAGGCTGGTTAGTAAGAAAAATGCCATGAAAGTGATTATGAGAGTGAAAGTGAAACGAATGATCAAGTTGACGTGAGAGAGTGAAAAGGAAGATATGACGGTAGTTAATGCAGTTTTGACATTTTAGTGTCTCTTCCTTCCCTTGCCATGGAAATTTTGGCACAAAATTTGTAGACACGACTTCTGTCAAATTTCATAATTTGTTTAAGATTCATATAAATCTCTCTTTTCTTCGATAAGATTTATTAAAAAATTTAGATGGGGGTGTAGATTTATGCTGGAAGAAAGCATCTTTCATTAACCCCGCAACACAATACATCACGAAAGATACTAAACCTTGAAACAGGGGAAGCACAGTGTGTCAATAAAAAACTGAGCAAAGCAGCAACTTTGGAACTTAAGCCCAAGTAATTACGGCGCTTTTGGTGCTTAACTTAATTGGTTACATAATTGATTGAGGTTATTCAGAGTCAGAGAGTGGATTGTGTGCAGGTAAAAGTACTGGTCGCGATTTGGCTGTTTATGGATTTTGCTTCCGAACTCCCACACCACACCAAAGTCACATGGGTACACGTTGGAAGCTGCAAGAGTTTCATGGCTGCGATTAAAAAATGAAGTGTGAAATAAGTGAAATGCAAAGTGTATTGCGATTGATAGGGCATGGGATGGGGCAATGAGTCCATAAGAATGCAATGGCAGAGAAAATGGTGGGGACAGAAGAACATGGCCATGCACACATCATGCAATTGCACCTACCTGTCCTGTCATTACTATGCCACCTCCGCGTGATGTTATCTATCCGTGGGGCTTCTTTGGTCCCCACTCCCATGCATCACGTGTATTGTTTGCTAGCCTGTATCATAATATTGCAACTTACAATTAGTCCATTAGCTATGCCTGCATATACAAAACCATTTTCTTCTGTTGTTTTGCTTTTCTCATGCCAGTGGAATCGAGTCATAGATTTCAGTTTTCGTTTTTTTAATCCAAAATTTCGTTTTCAGCTTTTTTCTTCTTTCTTGTAAGCTTTTAATTTGACCATATAACGGCCACAGTTGAATTTCTCCATGTCTACGTCTACTGGTTCAACTGTGTATAAATCTTCTAATCGCAATATTATGTAGCTTGGGGAAACCAGTGTGTACCTCTTAAGAGTTAGGGACTTAACTAAAAAATTTCAAATGAATCTTACAAAATGAAAATTTCAAATTTGTGTCCTACTTTTTTTAAGAGAAAACTGTTGCTTTGCTTGCTACTCCAAACAACTTAGATTTAAATTGGGTCTCGCCAAATTTTCTCCAACAGCAAAAGTTTTCTGCAGTCATTTCTATTCACCGTGTTTGTCATAATAGCATTTTCCATTGTATAGTTGCTCATAGACCTTGAACTGATACTATGGCAATATCGTTGTTTGTAGTTTTTTGAAGAGAGCGTGTACTTTTTAGTTGCCTTAAGAGAAATAAAAATGCAACCATTTGAATTGAAATTTCTCTGTTATTTGTTGTCTTAAAAGAAGTTCTATAAACATTTAAGTAATACAAATAGTATGAGCATATCTTGTGAAGAGCAGGGGTGAAGTGAATGAGTGAAAAGTGGAGCTTTGGGCTGAGAAACGCAGAAACCAAGAAGTGAAGAAGCATTTGAACCATGAAAACGGTGCACTAGTTGGCATTCTAAATGAGTCAGTTGCCAGTAGCAGTACTATATGTATGTAATGTCTGCAACCTCACTTTCCTATGAAAGTGAAGAATTCCACTACAGTTTACTGTTTGGTGGAACTTGCATTACATCTACAATGCAGTGAAGTCAAAGGTTTTCATCAACCTTATTCATAATTTAGTGTTAAATTTAGTTTGACGCACGTGACTCGGGTCAAAATTGTTCTCTGTCACAACCTAAGTCCAATCATGTATAGTTTTCTTACAAGAGGATTGCTATACAAGTATAATTATTTATCTAGATTATGGTGTTTTCAGCCTTTTAATACGTAACTTTTACGACGTTTTTGGCAGGGGAAAAATAAATAGATTGGCCGAAAAGAAAAAGGAGAGAAAAATATGTTGGATAAAATTATTTAATTAAAAAAATGATTTTTATATGAAAAAAGATGAACACGTTCAAAAGTGTATTTTAATAGTTTTTTAGTTTGAAGGATAGTGTGATGACCGGTCAGTCAAACCCGAAATAAAGGCAAGGCGAGTTAGGTGGTATAATTTGTCTTATCCGTTATTATTTTTAAAGAGGGTATATAAAAATATTTAATTTTATTTATTTATTTTAAAGAAAGAAAAAATAATAAAAAACAAACATATTTACAAAATTTAATTTTGTTCTCTATTAATTAAGCGCTTCTTTCTATTATAAGCTATACAGGTCGAGGAAATAAATTTGGGGGAGTTGCTTTCTTCAAACATTCCTCCTATGATTGGTGATTGAATTAACATTTCTCAACCGTCATTAATGCTGTCCTCCACAACATTTCAAATGGATTTTTTTTAGAATAATTATTAGATATTAAATACATGTTTTGATATAAGTTGTTTAAAATAAATAAAAAAATTATCCATAAAAATTCTTTTAATCGATTTTTAAACAATTGTAATTAACATTAAAATTGGTATTAAAATAATACAGATTATCAATTTCTATCGGATGTGTTGTTGAAACTTTTTGAGTCATTTCATTGTGATGAGGTGGCCTTCCAAGCATTTAACAACATGCAAATGCATGTATTCATTCCACACTAGTCTCAGTTTGGTCTAGGAGTTACTTTTAAGCTACTCCATAATGAGCTTCACAAATTTAAAGCGCGTTTTCTTCCAGAGTGAAGAAATTAGGTTTATATGTATGTGCAACAGTTTAACTGAACCCACCAACTAGAATAAAACTTCTTAACGAACAAGTGTGATGTTTAAGGTATTCATTGCTCACATACTAATTTAGTATATACTCATGCACATATTTTGTCACTGTTGAATATTTACCCAAGATCTATATATTTTTCTATACAAAGAGTGAATCATGTTAAAGAAATATATCACAATTTTTTAATCTAAAATCTAACAATGGTAAAACGGCTACTTCGTTTCGTATTGATCAGTAAAAAATTGAGATAAAACATGTTGATTCTTTACACTCACTTTTGTCACTGCATAATCCACACGAAAATAATAACGATAAGTTTGTTAGATATTTATGTGGAAATTAATAAATTCCTTTACATATTCGATATTTCTTTAACTTCACTCAAAAATTTCGTACCTTGAATTTCAAATTAATGATGAGTATCAATGCAATAATTTCCTTTAACGACCTACGAAAGGTTAAATTATATTGCTACTCCATCGTTCCCTTCTTCATCATCTTCGTTTCCCACATGATTTCTTAAGCGTCATCTTCTTCTGAATTATGGATGATTATATAGTAATTTTTTCACAAGCTTTATTACTTGCCTTTCATGAATAAAAGAGTCATTAAAATTTTATTATTTTTACTTTGACCTAATTACTGCAGTGCATACCAAATATGATGTAATTCATATTAAAAAAAGATAACAACAAATTGAAATGAATGATCTTATAACAGCTTTAAAGTTAAAAGTGAAATAAGATAACAAGAAGTCAAGTTAATTTGATGTTGTTGTATACATTGTCTGGTCTAAACTAGGTATATAGGGTTCAAATTGAAATGAATGAATTTTTATAACAAAATTAAAGTTAGGTAGAGACATAGATAAGTTCTTCCCAACATATTCATTAACAAAATCTAGGGTTGGTGTAATTTGAGAAAAAACAGTATGACACAATGAAAGATGGTGTTTCTGTGAGATCCAAAGTGGGAGTGTGAGAGTTGGGTAGAACACTGAGTAGATATCATGTGGCCCAAGAATCCCCAAAATGCTAAATGTCATGTTCTTACAGGCTTGAGCCCATGCTAATTCAGTTTATAATGAGTATCAAAAAATACTTTAAAGTAAAAATTATTTTGTTACGCGTGAATGCGGTTTTTTATCACCTTTGTCTACAATTTTATTTTATGAGGATTGATTCGGAGTATTATATTATATATTATAAAAATTATCCTGTTTAATCAACTCGTTTTCATATGCCATATTTTGATTCTGATTATTATTCCAAGGTTAAAGAATGAATGAATTTGTTCTATAATATCAACCGTTGAAATTATTAGATACAAAATTTGTTTAATTTGATAACTTGAATTGAACAGGCTTAAGGCATGGTGTATTTATTTGAGGGTAGGTAGTTTTAATGAATTGGTATTGGACCAAATTTTGTGCAGCAGACATGGCATTAAATTAATTGTCATAGTGTTTGATGAAACATTCCAACACTTCACGTGATGTCTGGATTTATGGGGACAATCCTGTGAACTGTGTTGTGTGGTAGTTGCTTGCTTCAACTGCACCTTCCTTCCAAACATATACCACTCTATTATCATAAATGCCCACCAAACATTTATACTTTTTATTTATTATATAATATATATATTCTAAAAATTAAATATCCTAATTTATCTGAATAATTTTAAATATTAAAAATTAATTTTTGAAAGATCAAATAATATAATATTAATAAATAATCAATTAAAAAATATAAAATTATAAATATTATGGATTTCTAAATTTTTAAGAAAATCTACAATTGTATTTAATATATTATTCAAAATTTTAATTCATTATTATTTGATCTTTGAAAAAACATATTAATAAATTAAAAATAAAATGTATATAAGTTATTCTTATTTTTAAATTACAAAAATTAACTTTTTGAGTGGTGGGTTTGAGTCTGACGAAAGTAATCTCTTGAAAAAAAGTAATAATAGAGATTTATTTCTGATGTTGAAATCAACTTAAAAAAATTGTGTAATTAAAATTAGTTTTTTTTTCTCTCTAAGTGTATAGAGATAATAATTATTTAAAAGATAATAATTGATTTATACTAAATAATAATAATAATATATTAAAATAAATATTAAATACAAATATAATATGTAAATATATATAAATAAAAAAACTAATATTTAAAATATTAATGAATATAAGAAAAAAAGAAAGAAAGAAGTATATAAGCCGTTCAATTGGGTCCTGCATGTGTCGTTTTCAACTCTTTCCACTGTCACTAAATGCCCAAAATTGGTATAGAAATTAAGATAAAAGAAAAAAGCATCTCTTTTTCCATGAAGATTCGTAGCAAAACTATAACAGGGTAATTACAAGAACAAGATGTAACATTCTGTTGTGGTGGTCATCTCAGCACCATTACACTATCATCACCACTCGATTAACAAAAGATAAAAAACGAAGGAAGAATATACAAAGACGAAATGATGAGTAGAAGAAATTAAGGGTGAAGAAGGTTTTTGTGGTGTAATTTTGTTGATTGATCAGAAGCCGAAGCAGCGAACATGATTGTGGTGAAAGAGGGACTTTTCTCTGTCTATGATGCCTCGAACGGTCCTGAATTCCTGGACATGACAAGGGATGGTTATGGTTCCTTTTTGATCGAACCCAAATTCTTCCTCTGCCTCCTTGAGAAGCTGCATGAAGAGGGGGTGATTGAAGTACATCACAGGCACCACGAACCTTTGTTGCTCTTCTCCTTGACCCACCTTTATGGGCAAACACCCTTTCGGCACTCCTCCCCGGAACCCTTCCTTCTTCCCCTGAAAACCCTTCACACTCTTCTCCCCACTGCTACCCATCACTGCAGAAGAAGAGAGAAACGAGAGCAGTTTGTTAATGCTATTATATGAACGTGTACGACGAGTTCGTGAAAAGGTTCAAAAGAAAACAAGGAAACAACGCCAAGGTTGTGAGGCTGTGATTGTTGCTGCTTTATGGAAGCAGGTAAGACAATAATATCTGAGGGAGGTTGAGACATTATTCATGGCTCAGAGACACAACACAACAAATGGGAGAGAAACGCATTCCCCAAACAAACAAACACTCCAAGGATATATATGTACGAGAGAGAGAGTGAATGTGTGTGTCACATGCTTTTCCACAAACTTGGAATCTACACCGTCCGATCTTGGTGACTATCGCAATCAACGGATATTTGTGGACCTACAGAGAGTGGAAAAATGTGGGAAAGAATTGGATGCAACGCTGACATTTCCTATGTCACTTTATACCCGTACGATCAAGGACAGTTGTGCTCATCGGCTCCGCTCAGGAATTCTTAAGCTAAAAAGAATACTTTTATTTCATAAAGTAATGGTCAGAGGAATATCACTTTAATTTTTTTTTTCTTTAGAGATTAATTACTAATAAAATAAAAATTTAATTCCTTTCAAACAAAATCTATGAAAATAAAAAATCCAGCAAGAGATCATGATTAAGATGAGTTCATGAAGAATATATCTAATCATAATTATTTGTCAGAGATTGGAAGGAGGATTCTCCCACCCTTATGTTAATTAATTACATTTATATCAAACCATAAATGAATTAGGGTTAACTGATTTTGAATTCCAAATGAAATTTGCATGATATGTTTTTTTATCTCAATTGTAGACAGGTGGTAAGAGTTTGGTGTTTGATGAATAAAATAAGGATGAAAGTGGAGGGTGTATCTAATTCCCATGGTAGCTGGGCCATTGTTATATTTTGGGTGAATACTGAGAAAAAGATTAGTTTTTGTAGTACTTGCAATAATAGTTCTGAATAATGATTGATGAATGCATGGAGAGAAGAAAATGGGGGAGGAATGAGGACAGATGCAAAGTCAAGAAAGTGGGATTGAAAAAGTGAAATAGCGTCCAATTGCTAAACTTGTCCCTACATGCTTTTTCATCATCACACCAACACATTTTCATTTCAATCTTCAAACATGCCTTGTACTTTGTAATCAATTTATTGAATATAGGGTTAACTAAGTACTGTTCTTGGATGAGTTCAATTTATTTTTAATTTCTGTTTGTTTTTAGTCTCTCTATTTTAGAAAATGATAAAAAAAAGGTGTTACTATGTTTTATATTAAATTTAGGTATAAAAAAAATGAAAATCACGTATAAAACATATTCTAAAGTTGAAGAATTTAATTAATTATAGAACTACAAACATATTTACTTAAATAAATTTTCTTAGCTATTTTTATTCAAATTCACTATTATTCTTTTAGTATCGTACAAGTATAAATAAATTCACTGCATATCTTAAAATTTCAGAAAAAACTGAAGTATAATATATATATATATATATATATATATATATATATATATATATAATTTGTGTTTAATGTAAAGAAAAAATGTTCTATATAATTTTTAAACCAACAATAATATATAACTCTTTTAATTTAAAAATTTAATAATAAAAAAATAATTATCAAAATGAAAGAGAGATTAAATATAAAAATTTGAAATTTTTTTTTGCTTGTTTGTATTAAAAATATCATTACTCCTCGTTTCCATCTCCATTTGCTCATCAAAAGATCATCCAAAAACCTGTAATGATTGGTTTACATGAAGCAAAGATATTTTGCATCAGTGGCCCACTCATATATGTCTTCTTGCAACTCTGAATTCATTCATTTCCCCACAACAATGACGTAGGAAAGGACAAAAGAGAAAAACAAAAAACCTTAATTACATACGTTTTGAAAACAAAACATTTTTGAGTAAAAATCATCTATGTTTTCCCCTAATTAACACATAATTATTGGCAGGGAAGGAAAGAAAGAAGCCATTGGAAGCAAGAAACATTCTATTCAAAACTCATTTACATGAATTGTACAGAACTTCAATCACCATATCTATATATCCAGGAAGAGAGAAACATTGCATACAATTTATTATTTATACAACAAAAGATCCATGAACGAACTAAGCTCTGAAGCAGGGAACAAGGTGGTGGCGATGGTGGAGAGAGGTGGAATGAATCAAGTGCTGAACTTGCTTAAACTGGGCGAGTTGACAAGGGATAGTTATGGTTCCCTTGTGAGCAAAACCATACTCTTCCTCAGCCTCCTTCAGAAGCTCAACAAAGAGTGGGTGCTTAAGGTAATTCACCGGCACCGTTATTTTCTGCTGCTCTTCGCCTTCACCACCCACCTTTATCTTCATGCACCCTTTTCGTACCTCTTTCCTCACCATCACCACTTCCTCGACCTCTTGCTCCTCGTACTTTGTCTGCGGATGAGGTTGTTTGAAACTTACGCCCAACATATCAAGCAAAGACCCTAACTTTGTGTTAATATAAGGTAGAAAGAGAGGATAGAGAAGCTTAGCCAGTGGGTAGCTGGAGAAGGTATGTATTGAGGATAAGGAATGGATATATATTGAAGTAAATGGATATGAAGCATCTAAGAATGAACCAATGAAGAAATGGTGAATGGAACATGGCGGCTAGAAGAGGGTAGCAAGTGGGAAAAGGAGTCAAATTGAGTTAAGGTGGGGAAGGGTGGACTTGGTCACATGCAAATAATGCCTTTGGTTGACCCTGTAATTCCATCACCTGTCACTTGGAAACACCCATCCAACTTGTTTCAAACTGTGTGTGTGTGTCTCTCTCTCTCTCTCATTCTCATGCAAGTAGCCAAAGGAGAAGGAGGTACCCAGAAAAGGATTATCATGTCATCTTCTTTCTAACCAACCTCCTCCTGATAACACTTTCCATGACAGAGTAAACTATGTTAGAATCTATCCACAGGAACAATTGATTATTATAATATATAATTATATTTTTTATTGTATAAATGATTACTTATTTTATATTTTTACAATGATTTCTATTATAAAAAAATATATTTTCTGATTCAAAACAGCGGTGTATACATTTAAAATATAAATAAAATATTGGATTTTTTTTCTATTCTTTTTAAAAAATTGAAAATAAGGTAATAACTTAAATATTAATAAGGTAATAATTTTATAATTAATAAATTAAAATAGAAACTAAAATCAGAAGTAACCAGGACTAACATTTCCAACTGCTGGGAAACTAAGTTTTATGAATGGAAAATAGGCGTAAGAAAAGTTTTGTTTTGTTAATAATTCAACATGATAAAAATATAAAAAAATTATTTAATAATGACGATAATTATGAAATAATATTATAAATTTTAGAATATTGTTTATGATATTACAATACAAAGTTATTATCATATATCAGGAGTGAAACATAGATATAAATATCAACCTTTTCTTTTCTAGAGCTGTCTTTTTTTTTTTCTTTCAAGCAATAAAACAAATTATATTATTTTAATGGAGTTTATGTATTTATGATATAAAATTAATATTTTGATTAATGCAGAAAATTATAACGAATAAATTTACATTTATTTCCTTTTGGTTATGTCTATCATTCATTGCAGTGTTGTGTTGGGCCTAAATGGCTTTCATGTGGTTGTTGATGTTGGGCCCAAAAGATAATGGTGGGTCTACATCTGTTTTACGTAGAACGGCCCAAAAAAAGGGTTCTGATATTAGTAACTCTAATTTTACTCTTCTGCAACCAGATCAAAATTATTTAGGCAGATGTTATTTGTCATGAGTTGGTTATAAGTCCCATCTATAACAAATAAGAATCGTGTTTGACCAATTAAATAAAGAAATAGAACTAATCAATTCTAATTTCTTTCTTCTTCTTTTTTCTTTTAATAAACTGTAATAGTCATAAACAAAAAGTGCATAACAAATATAAAAATTTGCATAAACAATAAATAAAATATAGAAAAACTATTTAAAAAAAACTACAATGTTAAACAATTTTATAAAGGTATGATATAAAATATTTCAAAAACGAATTTTGTCTAAACCGGAAAAGGGATTGACACATGTACCCAAATGCTTGTCCCACAAACATTGGAATCTGAACAAAGTACGACATTAGACTTAAACAAGCCACGTGTTGCCAAATTTTTTATAATGCTTTGAACACACAACCACACAATTCCTTTCATTGGAGGAGAAAAGAAAGACGTAACCGAGTACCATGTTTTGTGGCTACATGCCATTCGTTTAACGTATTCCTTGTCCCTTCTGAACTTATCCCATTAGAGATAAAAATCATTTCTTATTTAAATTAAGCAACTTTTCAACACTCTGAACAATGACGATGGATGCAAAATTTCAATACTCAATTGGGAATTTCACTCATGATATCGTATAAATAGCAATTCCCATAAAGGGCCAAATAAATTATATCAATAACAACTTCACTCACAACCAAAATTCCACGTCACCTTATTCACCTGTTCGATAATCAGTCCCCCAGATATGTCAGAACTTATGAAATGTTCTCATTCTTCAAATGCAGCCACGAGAAAGAAGAGGAGCAAAAACAAGAAGAGGTTCAGCGATGGACAAGTCAAATCATTGGAATCCATGTTTGCGACAGACTCCAGACTGGAACCCACCAAGAAATTGGAGGTGGCAAGAGAACTTGGCTTGCAGCCAAGACAAGTTGCCATTTGGTTTCAGAACAAGAGAGCACGATGGAAGCTGAAGCAGATTCAGCAAGACTACACTGTGCTTCGAGCCAATTATAAGACGTTGGATTCACAGTTTGATGCTCTCAACAAAGAGCACCAATCATTGTCAATACAGGTGAGAAGAATACTTGCAATACACAATTAATTGTACTACAAACATACAGACATTTCATACGTAAAGTTTATGCAATGATTCTATGTGACATCAATGGTTCCAATAAGAGAACCATGTTAAAATCAGTTTGAAACTGCATAAACGGTTCGTAACGAGCTTAGTTTTCAACAGTTGCAGAAAATGAAAAATCGATTACAAAAGCCACTAGAACAAACTGAGAGTTTTAGTAAAGGACACAAAACAGCAAACAGCATGGAGAGTGAAACTGGGAATGGAGAGACCATCAAAAGAGAACAGGAGATGAAGCAGCCGAGCTTCTCAACAGAAAGATCAGAAGACTTGGTTTGTGGTGTTATCTCGGACTGTGACAGCAGAAAAGCAAAACAATACTTTGGTGTAGAAGATGATCCTTCCCTTCTGGGCCTTGTTGAGAACACTGATGGTTCTTTCACAACATATGAAGATTGGGGTTTGTTAGGATCAGATGATATCTCAGGCCAATTAACTAGCTATGATTATCAATGGTTGGACTTCTGGTCCTGAATGAAACAGAACAACCAAATTATTTAATGCATGCGTGTGAGTATATTTGATAACCTTCTAATAAAGACGAAATCAGTAAATCACATTATAGCAGGGACTTCAAATATGATTCAAGATTCTCAAGAATATTTGGTCTCCTTCCTTCACATTTCATCTTCAATGTTCTTGTCCTGTTCCTTCCTCTCTTTCTATGCGACACATCCCTTTTGAATTTTGATTTTGTGGAAGCTTTTCAAGGATCCCTCTCATGACCAATCAAACTTTAAGTAACCATCAAAATAATGACAAATGCTCCATGCTGTGTTTAATGAATCTATCCTTTCACACATACATAACTGAGCTGGTCACATGAACTTCTCAGGAAAGTTCACGAATAAGATGAAATAATTCTCATAATTTTATCTACAGATTTTAACGAATCATGGTCAACAATTGAAGACTTTTTTTTACAAGAATCTTTTTATTCTCATCTAGTTCCCAAAAGAAATTAGTATGAATCACTGTGGCGTTGATCTAGTAGTAGAGATTTTAGTTATATGAATAAGATAATTAATAGGTTATAATGTCAGTATAATCATCGTACACAAAAAAAGAAGACAAAAATTAATGCACAAAGTAGCTTAAAAGCAAATTAATTAGCTCAGTAATTTTGTTTTTCCCTTCCTCTGTAGCAAACATATCCATATCCTAGTTAGGTGTTAACGTCTTCTGCTTTACAATATACTAAGTAACAAAGTTAGAAAATGGAAAATGATTGAAATAACAATGTTGTTACTTTCTATATTAAGCCATTAAACAAACAGAAGTCACGAATTATTAGTACCGATTACCTTAACATATACGAGATTAGTTTGAACAAAATTCAGTTCAATTAAGTTATACTATAACACGTATTATTGTTCTACAGTCACACAAGTAGACACTTGACACAAACATAATTTTACTTATAATTGATGCACTGTCATATCATCTTTCATTTATACCTTCATCAGGTTTTTGCGTCAACTAGTTTAACAGTTGAAAAAGGGTGCGGTTAATTAGAATCATCAATTTAATAACAACTAATTATATTCTAAAAATGTATTAATGATAGAAAAAACTAAATCCTTAAATGATTTTCTAATATTTTTTTTCTTATTATAATTTTGGCCCACTTAAGATTATTTTTCTATTTGGAGACAATAACGTGACCATAAATTAATTAATTAACTGAATCAGAAGAAGGGAACGAATTCATTCGCTTGTAGAGAGTTACCACTCTTTATCAATTCCTTCGTTTGGGCCACAAGAAATTTCAGTGTAGTTAAAGTTGTCCTATATCATGAGCAACCCCAGTTAGCTCAGGGTGAGAATACTAAGCTTCATGAGAATGCATCCTTTCGACCATGCTATCCTAAAAATCCTACAATCTGAACCACTCATGACATCAATGAAAACCAATAGATATAGGGATCAATCAAATGATTTTATAAAATCGCTCTAAAAATATTCAAACATGAGAAGTTTAAACCAAAAATCAATTGTTTAAATGAACAACTAACATGACAGAGGAAAGACACCACCGTGCCTCAATGGCCCTGCATGATGTTGGGTGGGGTGACAAATTCCAATTATACAGAGACACAACATTGACCAAAGTATAACCACTTTGATACTCCCTGATATGGGCAATGAATTAGCAAACCTACTGAAACTTCGGCTCTAGCTCAAGTTCAGTTTTCATTAGGTGCTGCATGCCTCTTCTTGCCATAGGACTGGAGAGCAAAGGCAAGGCCCAATATCAACAAAGGTAACAAGAATAGCAAGATCTTTTCCACAAATCCAGAAGATTGATTGCCACTGCCGTGAGCCTGTGTAGGTAGTGGCTGTCTATGGTTAACTTTGGCCGGAAGAGTGGAAGTGTCAAGCTTCCCAATAAAGTATTTTTCCATCATTTCTATGGCAGAATCACTGTGGCCCACATCTTCAAAATCAATGGTGGCATCCTTCGCTGTAAAAATGACAAGGTTGGATACTTAGTCCACTCCTTACCAGTTCCTACCTTCACTGATATTTACAGACTATTCATAAGAACCAGCCAACAAAGAAAAAACAATTACCTGTTGAAGTCAGCAAAACTTCATCACCTCCTGGATGGTCATCCAAAAATGGAGTGATATCATACACCTGTCTCAATGGAATGCAATTAAGTATAATAATTTGATGGACATATTAGTCATAAAAGTGAAGTTTTAAATACCAGTTGTGATGGTACTTTAGAATACTTTTAGTGTCAAAATTCAATATGAATCTTAGGCACTTAGTTGTCCACTTTTATCCAAAATACAAACTTCCATACAACACAAAGCAAGATTAACATGAGACCCATAAAATTACTCAAAATATTGATAACAAACCACAAGTCCCAGATATCACATGTCACAAGACAATTATTTACAAAAGTCACATTTAGAAAACCCACATCCCCAAGAACCCCAATAGGTATTTTCCTTCTAATAATTAAGAAAAAGGATTTACTGCCTAAAAAAGCCAACAAAAAGTATAGAAATCTTTATCAATCTTGTATTACTTAATCTCCCTTTTTCTGTGATCATTTAAGTCCCACTTTTCCAAAATATGTGTTTTCTAAGAACCAAGGTTATTAATAGTTTACACAAAAATTCTCACACCACAACAAGATCCATTCATTAATTTAAACGTGAAAAGTAGTAATAAAATGTTCTGAATTTTAGATCATTCTCATACAAACATTAACTAATTATGGCTGCACGCATTCTAGTGCAAATCATAGTCCCCATTCATTTGTTCTTTTGGATCCATTTTCTTAGTAATACTTGTCTATGTAGAGGAGCCAGTGATTGCTGGTAATGACTCAAATGCATGTCCATGGCTGATGTAACTATTGAGATAATTTGGCTGCCAGGTTTATTTACTTTTATGCAGGCCCCTCGTGAGACTCCTACACCACCCTTTTGTCATAATTGATAATCATTTCATATAACAGCGAATCCTTTTCCACGAAAATCTTTAATCAGGTATCATTGCTACTAATTATGTTCCCAATAAGCACAACCAGATGCATTGACTAATGCTTTGGGTTCTAGGCAGTTTCACGACCTGTTACAAGTTAGGCGTTCTTCATCTATACCTGGGAAGTAATAAGTAACAAGGGATGATACCGGGCCTAACCACTTCAGTTGCAAGTGTTCAGTTCTTCATAATGGGGATAATTATTATGTTGAGGTTGTTGAATATTCAAATTCAAACATAGGATATATTACTTTTAGGATAACTATTGTTATCAGCAGGAGGTTAATAACTTGTGTTTATATTTCTGGTGATCAGGTACTTACCTGAATAATCTACTTTTATAATAAGAGTGAAATATTAATAATACACCTACGCGAATACCCCCAACTAGGAGAGACTCTCACTCTCACTCTTTACTCGTTTAAAAATGCATTTCACAAATTAATTCAACAACTCAAAAAAATTCTTTCAACCATCTTAAACTTCCTCTATTTAGTCTTTGTCAATGTACTTGATGTACTTGTTGACGCTAATTTGGATGATTTATTATGCTCCTTGATATTAAGAAAATTGTTAAATCCATTGATGATTGTTAGTCTGAATAAAACTTGATAAACTTAATATACTCTTAATGGAGATTAACAAGAGACTCTAGAACCCCTTCACACCCTTTACAATTAACTCCACCGTCCTCTCCATCACGCATAATGGTCATCCCAAAAACTGAAAAAAAAAAAAAAAAACTAAGATAAAGAGATGAATAAAAAAGACCAAAGAAAAATACCTTTCCATTGACAATAATCCAGCAATCCTTTTTGTGGTTGTGCTTGGACACCTCCTCAAAAGTCAAGGTTTTGGGACTTGAAGTCATTGCTGACTCTGCCACACAAAATCAAGTCAACCAACTCCCGCATTATTCGTCAGAGAAGAACTCAGGATATTAAAAGGAAAAGGAAAAGGAAGATCAATAGGAAAAGGAATACTCTCAAATTGAAGCGAAGCAGAACTCTAAGGGAAATTAAAAATTAAAATAATAACAAAAATAAAATAAAATGGGAGAAGTTGAAGAAAAATTCTTACAAGTAAGAGGAGCAAAGCACAACTTTTTGCCCTTCAACTTCTAAGCTCTATGAGTGCACTCACCTATGACTTTATACAGTGAATTCAAATTAGGGATCACAACTGGTTTTAGGGCCGTGTTATGTTAAAGTTTGCGCATTTAACTGTTATATTTCTGAATTATTTTATATAAGACATATTTACATATGCATATTTATGATCTTTTTAATTTTGAATAAAATTATTTAAAACATATTTTTAAAATATGAACTTAAATAAAATTTTATCTTGAAATATAATCAAAATAAAATTATATTATATAATAATATTGGTAAAAAAATTTAATTTTTCTAAATAAATTATTTTACAAAGTACAAGTTTAAATAAAAATATTTTTTTAAAATTAAATTAAATTTTATAAATTTAAATAAAATAAATTTATAAAATGAAATTTTAAAATATTTTTAAATTTTTAACATTTTCATGATTTAATTTTAAAAAGTCTAAATAAAAAAAAACATTATATAGGTAACAAATATGTAATTAAAATACTTATATATGTTATTAGATATCTACTAAAAATACAGTTTTTATATTTATTACAAATTTTACACATGAATTGCCTATACCTGTGGATTCTCGTTGCATCCTACTTTTTTCTTCTCATTATTATAATAGCATCCTTTAACAGGAGTATATTTTAAACTTAAGAGAGTATATCTATAATATAAATATGTGTAAAAATATACTATCTGTTTTAAAATAAATGAAAAATTTGTTTAGAATTTTAATAAAACTATAATATCAGTATAATTCAAAAAATAATTAAGAGTGTGAATATAATTTATTCTAATTTTTGTTTTATAATAATAATCTAATTATAATAAGAATAAGGAGAATGGTTTTAACTAGAGTAATTTTAAAACTAAGGTAATATTTAAATATGCTTTACTTTGTTAGCTATTGTGTTTTGAATTTTAATAAAAAATACTTTTTTTTTTTTGCATGAAGTCATATGCTCCACACGTGGGGTTTCTAGTAATATAATAGCTGATGCATGATATGCACATATTAATAAAAAAATAAATGTAGAAATGTTAAAAAACTAAATTAATTTTTTAAAATTAAAAAAATATAAACTATAATTAAGTTATTTTTAGTTCAAATTTAAAAAATTAAACTATTAAAAAATTAATTTTATTTCATTAATAATTATTATGGAGTTAATGACAAATTAAACACTGTTAAACAAGTTGAATTACTGTTTAATTCTATTATTATTGATTTTCCATAGAGAAAGAAAAGGAAACAAAATGCTTAGAAGGAAAGACAAGTAGACAACAATGGAAACACAATATCTGAGTGAGTGAAACAGATGAAGTTGAACACGACACCATTTTTATCTGCTTAGAAGGATAATTTTTTAACCTAACTTTTTTTTTAGACATGTTGGATAGATAGTAGAGTTGATCTCATTTGACACCTTTTGAAACAACAAACTAATATGAAGCTAAATTTGTGACACTCAAACTTATGCATGACAAAGACGAATAAAATTCAAATTCGTACAACCTAAGGAATCAAAATGTACACAAAAAGACAAATATAGAGAATAATGGAAGCGCCATGAATTTGAGTGAAATACATGTTGTAAACAAATGTTTTAAGATAACATACAAATTTATTGTAAAAGAGCACAGCGTGAATGAACAATTAACAAAGGATAATCAACAATACACAACCCCTTTCCCCTTGTAATAGACTTCTTCAGAATCTCTTCCATACAAAAACAATTCGTGTTTGAATAAAGCCGTAACCATCATCACCCGTTACACATTTATTTTCTACCAAGGGCAGTGAAGAATCTTCAAATTTGCTCCACATGACAAGGGCGAAGCACAAGAATCAGAACTCCATGCCCCAAGTTGGCCACTCAACCTTTTTTATTTTATCCAATATATGTCATACCAAATTATCATACACTAATCCAGAAGCATAAAAGTACTAACTCCAACTCCAACCACACTATCTTTGGAATCATGTGTTGTGTCCATCAGCGTTTTCCTTGAGATGGAAACCTTCTCCAAATGGTTTTTTTGAAAGAGAAAGACGCACTCCGGGGTCGTGGTGGGAGCAAGAAGTGTTGTACAGGAGCGAGTTGTTCACACACTGCACGTTACTGTTCATGTATGCGGCCATGGGGAACGAAGACGCTGTTTTACCTTTCTGATTCTTATCCTTCTTGTTCACACTCCCATCCTCAGCGCTCGAACTCTCCGACTCCACCTCGCCCACGTTGATGCTCGGAGTCCCCTTCTTGTGGAGGTACTTGGCTTCGGGTTTCTTCTGAGACTGGAGGAGTTCCATGAAAGCCCCTCTGTTTTCTCCAGCAATGGTTATGACTCTCATGCCCGAGTCCTCAGAATCCGAAAGCTTCTTGTGAATACCCTTCTCCTTCGATTCACTTTCCTTGCCAGTGACGTGTTTTCCGTGATGGGCATTGCCATGGTTTTTGTGCGTTTCAGCGGCGCCATTGTGCCATGGCCTTATCCTGTCGATGGTTTTCTGGACCAGCACGGTTTTGGGCTCGGGCTGTTCCGGTATCTTGGGCTCGGTGTTAAACTGGGAAGGTGGGAGAGTGAGAGGAGACGGTGGAGGAGCGATGGTTTTGTTATTGTCTGGTGAGTGCATTGGGCTACGATCAGATTGTTTAATTGTTTTAGGGGAGTGAGTGGGACTTGACACAGGCACAGGCACCCGCTCACGAGCACTCTTCTCAGGGGAGGAATGCGGTGGGGAAGATGTTGTAAGTGTGGCCTTGTGGACTGGAGAATTTGGGAGTGAAGAAGAAGAAAATCTATTAGGTTGAGATGAAGGTTCTGAAGGAGGTTGGGGGGGTTGAATTGGGTGAGTTTGTGGTGATGAAGGTGCTGATGCTGTTCTAAATGCAGGCAAGCCCAACGTAGTGCGAGGCTCTAGGGGAGCAGCAGGAGCAGCAGCAAAAGGAGCTTGTGCAGCAGTTGAACGAATGGAGGCTAAGCGGAACCATGGACGAACCGGGGGAGGGTTAGCCATGACGTCAAAGAACTGCTCAAACAGTGAAGAAAAACAAAGATGAGGATAACAATATTATTAATTATAAGCACACAAGTAGTAATGGTGGAGGCGGTGTTATTTATAGAACCATTTTCGAAAGGGAAATGTTAAAAAAGAAGAGTTCAACTTGTCCCAAGTCTCATGTTGAAAGAAACAAAAAGGGAATTGTGATTACGCCGTGCGGTAGGAGATATTACTGGTAGCAGCGGCAAAGAACATAATAAGGAAAAAGAAAAGGGAAAAGCAAGGAAGCAAGCATCTGATTCAATTGGCACTTCCAGCTGACACAAGCTCGCAAAGTAGGGTTGGTATCCGCTGGAGTGATTTACAATTTTTGTCTGTGAGTTTTGACATCACAGTTGTAATGCAACAATTTCTGCTACAATGTTATTTATGTCTTGGACCAGAAATGTTAATATTGGTATATCCCTTGATGTGTTTACTACTACTACTACTACTACTATTACTACTACTACTACTACTACCTTGCAGGTGACTTTGCTTCAAGGGAGAATGATGGAGGATGCTCTTCTCTTCCTTCTCCCTTTACCTCCGTCCTTTTCCTTCTTTTCAAGATGCTTCATGCAGCTGCCCAACTAACTACCCTATTTCAGCCATCCACAACAAGAAAAGAACATATATATGTATATATGTATAAGTCAATCTGTTTCTTTATGGTGATGGTTTGTTGATGGCTTTTCTTTCTTTAATTAACCTTCCTAGAGAATGCTTCATGCCCTCACATCAGTACCTACTACTTTTATTCTTTGGAATAGAAATGTGAAAACCACTTTTTCAACGTATTTTTATTATTAACATATAAAGTATGTATTACAATATTAAAGGTGTTAATTAGTAGTGCTTCTCTTGTTATTATACATTCCAATTTTGGATTTAGACTCAAGGAAGTAATAGAGGTAAAGAAAAACAAAACTATGGATATATATAATAAATGATATAATAATGCAAAAGAAGAAATGAAATTGTTTTGAGTGTATAACGAATACCATTGTACCAACCTCGTGTTCTTTTATTACTCTTGCCTGAACAGAAAATGTTCGAATCAAGGTCATTATTATTTCCATTGTAAAACTTTTGTACTTGGTAAAATGAAACTTGGCAAATACTACTATTATATTCGTTAGACATATGTGAAAATCAGCAATGAGTGGTGGAGGTTTAAATTTCTTAAATTGGGACCAAAGAACCAAGAATTTGTTCATATATTATGCTTGCTTGCATATATACTTCTATTCATTGCTAGTTTTTATGCTTTTTTAAATCTCATTTAAATAAATGTTTTCATAAATATAGACAATGACATTAATTGCTTTATGTTACATAGAAGCCAATAGATATAAAAGATTTTAATGCATCCAAATATCAAATGATATGTTGTAACAAAAACAGTGAAATTGGAGTTCTCCTTTAGACCTCTTGTGCTCTATCTATGGTGGAGTTCTTCTTCAAGCTCCTAATCATGATCAATAATGACAATCGTTCTTTTCTTCCCAAATTCATGGACTCTCCTCTTAGCAAGGGTTCACATGCACGACCATACCCACAAATGGGAAAAGAAAGCAGAAAACTTTTGAATACATAGGAAAACGAGTTTTTTTCTTCAAATAAATCTTAAGAGTTTAGAACAGTACATGTCGTCCTCCCAAAAACAAAAAAAACAGAAGTAACAATTTGAGAAATAATTCCAACCCTAAATATGAATAATAATAATAATTTATGATAAATACATGAAATTTAATAATGACAAAAAAAATGCATATTCTATTTTGTTGGTTTGCAAATAATAAGTCCCAAATCTAGTACAGCCTTACTAACCTCGTTTTGTAAATTTATGTAACAAATGAACATGTTAAATGATCTTTTTTTGGTTGTGGAAGAGAAATTTATGCGAAAAAACTTGTTTCAAATGGTGGAATAAATTATTAGCAGAAGAATTGAAGTTTTCATCCATTAGGTTATGATTACCATGGTTACGAAGACTTGTTACTAAGTTGAATGTTACGTGGTTACAAGTTGGCCTATCAAAAGCTTCATTGTTGCTACTCATAATCATTTGATGATGTTTTAACCTCTCTCTCTCTCTCTGTTTGTTGTTCTGATTTGTATTTCAGTTGTAAGAATAATATTTCCTACCCATAAAGCAAGGCGCAAGACTCCAAACACAATATTAAATAACATAATAATGCGAATGTAAGAAGTTCTGTATATGTCAATTTACACTAAAAAATGGTGTAATGCAATTATACAATGCTTGTCTGGAAACTCAATCATGTTATATATGACTGGAAGAAAGTGGAAAATGTCAAAATTTGCGTTATTTGATGATGCCTGAAAGAAAATTGAAAGTAAAATAACACGGAATAATTTACACCTTTGAAGAATCTTACATTCAAGGCCATTTTGTGAACTCAAATACCTTGAACACTATGTCAATTCCAGTGGGAATCTGCCACACAAAAAGCAGAACGTTTAATGCATTAAGTGCTATGTGAAGATTTCTGGCTGTTTCATTTCCTTTTTGCATTGCTGGTACTAGAGCTGCTGCCAGTGCCCATAAAACTGTAATACCTACAGGGCAAAAATTACACAAAAATTATCATTTTTTTACCATCAACATATATAATAAGAATAAACAATATATATATATATATATATATATATATATATATATATATGTGTGTGTGTGTGTGTGTGTGTGTGTGTGTGTGTGTGTGTACATGCATATTTATGTATCTATGTATATCTTATAATAAATAGATAGACTGTATTGTGTTATGTTTACCCTCTTTATTTTTGCTTCATCAAATGCATGAAAATTCAATCTTTACCTGCTCCTGCAAATAAATGTGGACCAGGAAACAGCTTTCCTGTCCTAAACCATGTGTTCACTCCTCCACCAATTGACTCAAGCACCCCAAATCCTAGAAGCAGGGATCCTGCATTAAAGTGTCTATCTTTGTAGGAACCTTTGATCAGCTCTTTCCTTTCCTGAATAAATTAGATTCTCATCAGATTTAGAATTCAGCATTCGTTAGTAGATCCATGCATTTTACTGTTTATTGGCTACCATTATTATCCAGCATCCAGAAATTAATCAAACCACCACACTCCATCACATAGTCTAAATTGCTCATGTAACCATACATAGAGTTTATTCAAATACACGTCTTCAGGATCAGTTTAGATATTGGAAAAACCTATTTCATTAAATCACATTCTTTCAATCCAGAGAAAGGGTACGTAAGATGCATGCTTTGTTTTACTACCTACCTCAGTGAGTTGCTGTATTTGGAGTTCAACTGGTGATGGTGATGCTTCTTCCACTGGTTTTCCATCCGGGGTAACTGGGGTAGGTTTGACTTGTTTCTTGAGTTCATTGATATCATTCTGGATAGTCCTTACTCGCCGCCATTGCCACCCCAAATACCCTGCCCACAATGTATAGAAGAAAAAACCACCCATGACAATGGGGTGTACAAGAGCAAATGATCTTCCTTCCAATATCCCAAACTCTCCTCCAACAGCAAGTGCATCCTGTGCCAATAACAGGCATTATGAGAGCCAAACAACAACACCAGCTCAAAATAAAAACCAACAAAAAAACCATGCTTGCCTTGGTATCTAACAAGAGTGGAAATGTGATTGTCGTGAGGGAAAGAAAAGCAGGCTTGAGAGCCTCGATTTTTTGGTCTAAGAAGGAGGAATTCTGTGTGTTAGGAGAAGAAGCCTTTGGGATATTTAACTTTGAGTTTGAATAGATGGAAGGAAAAGGAACAAGTTTTGAGGTTGAGGGGCGTGGCAGTAGTGGCTTGTTAGGAAGAATTGGAAGCTTTAGAAGTGTGAGTGTGGCAGCCATACGAATGATGAGGTAGACGGCAGCACTGAGGAGAGTGAAGGAGAAGAAATTGAGTAGTGCAAGACAGGGAAGGTTGAGGCTTGAAGAAGATCCCACCCAGTAATAGATAAGCAACTCGCGCCTAAGACGTTGATGTCCATTAGTGTCGCTTTCTTCTAACTGCTTTGTTATAATCACTTATGTTCCAAATTGCTACGTGTTTTTTTCAGCCCAGGCCCAAGTAACTTTTTCAGGCTCGGCCTGTTTCATGATTGATTTGAAAAATGACACGTATGTGAAGATTCCACGTGATAAAGTAACTTCATCTGTTTTAGGGACATGATGTCACCAACATAACATTACGCGTAGGAATTGAATAAAGAAAATGGTGACAATGTTTTCCAATGGGAATGTATGAAAGTTGGTATTGTCAAACTAGTAGAGTCAAGTCCAATTCAAGATCCTATACATTTCATTCAGAAAAATTAAGTTGACAATTTTCAATGAATTATAAGTGAAAACAGTCATCCATACAGAATATACACTTAAAATATTTTGATTAGACCATTTCAAATCTTAACAGAAAAATTATATAATGAATCAATTATTAATATGGAATTACTTACTTTTATTAATTAATGACTAATGTGTATATTTTATTGAAAAATGATAGTTACAAATCAAAAGATATGAACAATATAGAAAGTGATATATAATCTGAGAATTTTTCTTTTTATAAACTTCTAAACCCTTTCTGAATTTATACTTAGCTTTTAAGATAACAAAAGCATATGCATTATACTATCAACTTTCTTTTATTTTTATCGTGTTCATTCATCCTTTTTGACAAACATAAAATAAAGTAAAATTAGAAGGAGAAGCAAAAATGAAGCACCAATCGTTTACAAAGCCGAAAGCAGATAATAGATTATTCGAAAAACATAGAAAAATCTTAATCATTTTAATATAATTTTTAGCAATTAATTAATTAGAAATATTATTAATATGCCTCATTATAGTGTATAGATAATTAATTAGCAATTAATTAATCAATTTTACAACCAGTATCCCTTAATAGGTTAAAACAATAAGAAATAATATTGATCAAGATTTGTTATGACAAATCATGTAGTTAAATTATAATATATAGATGAATATAAATTTACTTAGTTTTATGAAGTTAAATTAAATTAATTTTTTTTAATATAATTTAGAAATTTATTGTAATAAAATTTATTCGACTTATTATGTTATCGTTTATGAATTGTTATCATGTATTTATGTTTGGAATGTTCAACTTTTCATGGTCAAAGAATATATTTTAATTTTCTATGAAAAATTATAAATAAATATAAACCTTATTCTATAAAGTAAGGTGAAGTTAACTTTATAATCTACTTTTTAATACATATCTTTTATTTTTTATTTTTATTTTTTGAAAAGTGTTGATTTCTTGTTGGAAACTTTGAACCAAATTAATTTTCAATTCAACGTGTAATAAAAAGTCTATGCATGACGCGACCAACAAAGACGAAATCATGGGTATTTTCATTGTGCATGCCAGATAATTAATTAATTAATTAATTAATCAATCAATTAATTAATTAATCAATTAATTAATTAATATTGTTTAAAAGTCCTTCCTCTAGTATCATTCTCAGAAAGAGAATGAGGTTAAACTCAGTGTTTTCGAATTCTCGTGGTTAAAAATAATTATTTTAATTAAATATTTTGGGAACAAATTAAAAACATATCTCCTAAACATGGGAAATATTTATTCGGGATTCATGGAGTAATTGTCATAAATATTTTATTGCCTAAGATTTTGAAAAATATTTTGTTATATGAGTGTTGTTTATGTTATTATCATTAACTATAATTGATATAGAGCTAAAAATAGAAAATATGAATAATGTGATAATAAATAACTTAAATTAGGATAATGAAATGATTTAATTATACCATTAAATTAATTAATATATTTATTATTTCTACAAATAAAACAATTATATGGTTTTTAATACAATATGAACAATAACTTTGATATTATTTATAAAAGTAGTTATTTTTTTATCATAGTTGTTATTTGAAGAAAATATTTATAACTAAATATAAAAAATTTATTAGATGAGATGTTTTTCACCATAAATTTTGGCTCAAATATTTTTCTATTATTTCTGGTACGTCCTAAAAACTTCTGCATTTTCAGAATATTTATGCATTCTTTGTAACAAAATCTATTAAAGATAGCTAAGTAAACAGAAAATAAAAACATTTATGAATTTTATAGTTATTTAATTGAAAGATATAAATTTTTAATTTATTATCATCAAAATCATTAGAATGAATGAAATGTAATAGTTTAATATACATTACTTAAGTGAAATATATAATTAACACTAATGTAATTGTCTTAATTTCTTAGCTTTAATGTTAAATCAATTTATAATTAATAATTATGACTAAAAAACTATTAAAAAAATTTAAAATTTAAAAGTAACAAATATTTTTGTATGTTAAGCACAATTATATTTATAGTATGTAAACTTTTATATTGCTATTTCAAACCCGATCTTGCATTCAACCGATTTATTACCTAAATATGATATATGAATCATGTAAATTATTACGTAAATTATCAATCACACGTTTTAGACACATTCAAAGGTAATAATATTCATAATATGATAAGATATTGTTTAAAAACATAGACTAAAAATTTGATCTGATATCAGCGTAAATATTTGATGGGTAACCCCCTTGGAATCTAGGATGGTACAATAATCGAGGAAACATTTTTTTTAATAAAAGTTTAATGAACACAAATGGAACGAAAAAAAAAAAACATTTGCAAAGAGGAAGTGCAAATGAATAGAAACACGTGGGAAGTACGATAATGTAATAAGGAAGATGAGTAATTGAGTTCCTCGATAATTGCACCTTAGATAGGTTAAATGATTTGTTTACAACGTATAGATTGTGATTATCCAAATAGATTCTGTAAAAGAGATTATCGTCCACGTCCTCATCCAAAACAAAACCATTCGATACGCAATTTTTGGAGAAAAAATATTGCATTTGGGGAATAAAAAAATGTAAATCTCTGAAAATAAAAATAAAGATGGGAAAATAGGTTTCTTAATTGAATCGCAGAAGAGAAGAAGAGCGGTAAAAGAAATAAATTGAAAAGTTGTGGAGGAATCACTTAAAAGAGCCATAATTCCTCCTCTCCTTCTTCTTCTTCTCTCTCGACTCAACAACCTCATCAAAGTCAAATTCATTACATTTCCCAAAATCCAAACATGGTCTTTTGAGGTTTTGGTTTTCCAAGATAAGCGCGTCGTTACCAATTTGCCATGATTCACCTCACCCCTATATTTCTGTTAACCCCGGCCGCCGCCGCCGCTGCCGCTCTTTTCTTGGTGGTTGGGGCCATGCTGTTCCAAACGGGGTGCTGCAAGAAGCTGTGGAGAAGAATGGAAGATTGGTTCCACGTGTACCAATTCCTCAAAGTCCCTGAACTCAACCAAAACACGCACCAGAACCGCCTCTACCGAAAAGTCTCTCTCTACTTACATTCTCTACCTTCCATGGAAGATTCCAACTTCGCCAACCTCGTCACGGGTAAGAAGCAAAACGACATCGTCCTCTCCCTCGCCCCCAACCAAACCATCCAGGACCATTTTCTCGGAGCCACACTCTACTGGTTCAACCAACCCACTGATCCAAACCCAACCGGAACCGGAAACTTCATTCTGAAAATCAGAAAGGTGGATAAGCGGCGAATCCTCCGTCCTTACCTTCAGCACATTCACGCCGTAGCCGACGAAATCGAACAGCAAGGGAAGCGCGAGTTGCGCCTCCTCATGAACAGCGCCGATGAGTTTGGACGGTGGAGATCCGTCCCGTTCACGCATCCTTCTACGTTCGACACCATCGCAATGGAACCGGATCTCAAAAACAAGGTCAAATCCGATCTCGAATCGTTCCTCAGAGCCAAACAGTACTACCACCGGCTCGGCCGCGTCTGGAAACGAAGCTTCCTCCTCTATGGTCCCTCCGGCACCGGAAAATCGAGCTTCGTCGCCGCCATGGCCAATTTCCTCTCCTACGACGTGTTCGATATCGACCTGAATAAAATCGCCAGCGATTCGGATCTGAAATTGCTCCTCCTGCATACGACGCCGAAATCGATAGTGGTGATCGAGGACCTGGACCGGTTCTTGGCGGAGAAAACCGCGAGAATAAGCGCGTCGGGGATACTGAACTTCATGGACGGACTTCTAACCTCGTGTTGCGCGGAGGAGAGGGTGATGGTGTTCACGATGAACACGAAGGAGCATGTTGACCCGAACTTTCTTCGTCCGGGTCGGGTCGATGTGCATATCCATTTTCCGCTTTGTGATTTTTCGGCGTTTAAGACGCTGGCGAATAGCTACCTTGGGGTGAAGGACCATAAGCTATTTCCTCAGGTACAGGAGATTTTCCAAAACGGAGCGAGTTTGAGTCCCGCTGAAATTGGTGAGTTGATGATCGCGAACCGGAACTCGCCGAGTCGGGCTATTAAATCGGTCATCACCGCGTTGCAGACGGACGGCGATGGCAGGGGTTGGGGCTTGATCGGACGGCAGGCGGAGGATGATGAAATGGATGAACCCAATGGGGTTGTCTGCGGTGAGAGTCTCCATACGGTTAAGGATTTGCGGAGACTGTACAGTTTTTTCAGATTTAGGGTTACCAGAAAATCTTCATCCTCCAATGCTTCCTTGCCCGCAAGTCCATTGCGATAGGAAAATATCTGCAATGTTCCTCATTGCACTCATTCCCGTGAAACACAGATAATTACAGATACCCTTTTAGATATAGACGGTTGAAGGAGAAGCTTTTTTGTTCATAGCTGAATTATACACAACATTTTTTCATGGGATGCAAACATTGCAACTCTTTGTCCATTTTGGAGCCATTTCCATGGAACTGTAAAGCTTTCGAGAATTTGCATTTAGCAAAAAATTTGCATTGCATAGACAAAAGAAAAAGTATCCTTTTAGAGTTTGTTTCCTCATTTTGGTGAATTCTGAATCCAATTTAATATATAGATTTATTCTTTTAGGAAAAGAAAATCCTTCCTGCACAGTTCAAATGTTCTGTTTCTGAATTTGTTTCTTGCGATAAGAATGATATGTCAATCCATTTTGTTCTACAACACGGTCTTGGTTTTGCTTCAAAGGGTTTTGCTTAGTTACTAAGTACGAAATAATTACATTTCTTACAGCAACTTTCCGATAAAACTTTGAACAAGAAAGAGGTATTTCTTCAAAGCACTGGTGTCTGGCTTGGTTTACATACATGACCTCCATGAACATATCTTAAAGCATTGATCACAGTTTTCAGACAAATTTTATTTTTTGTGTCAAGTGTGAACTATATCAGAACAACTTTTGCAATCTTTGCTACTGTTGTCAGTGAAAGTGGTATAACAATTGAAAGGAAAATAACAGTCATCAACACTTTAGCAGTCAATTTAATGCATACCTACCTGGGTTCACTATCATGAAGTAAACACAACCTTTACTCATATTGACGACAGGGAAAATAAATATTTTGTAAATTAACCGTTTAATTTCCTGCACGTGAACCTTGAACTAAATCAAAATATTTAAATGTCGTTTACTGAAGTGGAAAACAAAGCAAGAGCCAAATACACTTTACTCTGTCGTCTTTATAAATATAAAAGTGTTGAAATGGAAACATTGTTTTCTACCATACTTTAAACCCATAATTTGGTGCAACCACTAGTTTTGTGTCAGTGTGATCAAACTCATCCATTTTAATTACTGAAATAGGGTCTTACTTTTTCATAAGGGCACCTTAAATAGGTGCCAAAACCATCAGAAAATCTCAGTAGTTGTTCTTTCCGGAGCCTATTAGTCATCAAAAGTGTTAAACTATTTGATGAGTATGAAGAGTCACATTTATATGATTCTTTGTTCCAATCCCATTTTATATTCGAACAATAATCAAGCATCTTTGGTGAATAAAGAAGATAAATTACTAGCCAAGTATATAGTATATAATTTCGAGTCTTTCCATTCTTTATTCCCTCGCCAAATTCAATGATTGTAGTTTTGTAACCAAATACAGAGATGATGTCGGCGCCTATAACATTATATCTTTTTTTATTAACACTATATTCTATTACTATTTTTTTTTCACATGATAAATTCGATTTTTTTTCATTGCTTATATTTTCAGTTTTCAGTTTACACACTTTGGGGTTGTATCGTGTGCATGGCTTATTGTTGGGTGCAATATAAAAGTGTTATTTTCTTTATTGAGAAAATTATTAAAATCACATATAAAAAGAATAAATAAATAAATAAATTTTATAGGATTTCTTAGTGGCAAATCGAGAAAAGCAATCGAAAATGAAGAAAAGGAATGTGACTCGATAAGATTCAATCGAGGTCTAATCAGAAGAACGTAACATATAGTATCGAGAAGTATAATCGAAAATCGAGTGAATACTAACCAAATACCTGTTGTCGAACAAAAAACTAAGTCATGAGACCAAGGTTATAAAGGAATCGTAAGCAATTCGAAGTTCTCGAAAAACATATAATCAGGAGTAAAGGAAACCAATGCGGACATCGAAACCCTGAACAAACCACAGAAGAATAAGTCAAACGCACGTATAGAAAGCAGTTCTTGGACCATGGAAGGAGTTGAGGATCGTGAGAACGTGGGCAACTGTAGAAAAAGAAACCGTCATGCACGAAAGAACGTGGTAGCAGTCTTATTAACTGTTCCTGGAAGGCTTAAAAGAGGTCCTATAAATAGAGCAAAGGAGGAAGGAAAAAGAGGAGCAGAAATTGGCAGAGAACAGAATTAGTAGTGAAAAGTCTACCGGAGAAACGACGAACACCATGAAGCTTCTGGCAATCTGGATTTCCCTGCTCACTGAGTACATTTACCGTTTTCTGTATTTTCCTTGGTAATTTACTTTGATGCAACTTAAATTCAGCAATTTTATGTTTCTGTATTTTCGATTCCTTGTCATTTCGATTCATGCAATTTAAGTTTGTATTTGAATTCTCTGGGTCTTTTACATTAATGCAATTTCGATTTCCAGTCTTTTACTGCATTTTCGATTTAATTGCCTTTTACATTGTTACTGTTTAATTTCCTGGTCATTTACGTTGACGCACATTTCGATTTCTGGGGTCATTTACTTTATACAATTTCGATTTCTTGTCATTTATAATCACACTGTTCTCGATTTTTGTCATTTTACAATTAAGGAAAATTTGGGGGTTTTGCACTTTACATTTTCTTGCAATTTAACATTGCTTCTTGATTCGATACTTTTACTGCTTTCGATACTTTAAATCCAAAATACCAAAAAACAGTATTTTCGATATTCTGTAATTTTCGATTCTCATACGTGTATTCGATTGAAAATCTAATTGTTAGCCTAAGTAAAAGAACTTACGTGGTAGGATTTCGATTAAAGACCAAAATATCCTTAGAATCAAAATCGATCGAAATTCCACCAGAAACAGGGTTATAATGTGATAGGAAAGAAGATAAAGAGAATAAAAATAAATATTGATTAAATGTTTAAAAAAATTTGGGTGTTCATATCACTCTTGTTAAAATATAGAGTTTTTATTTTGAAAAAAAAATTCTTAAGAAGGTTTAATAATTTTAGATCCAAGCATACTCCAAACAGATTCATAAGATGAATTAAAATAATTCATTTACTTATTGAGAAAACAACCTCTATTTTTTTCCAAGAGATAAACTGACAAAAAAAATATATATTATCATACAAATTGTTATATAAATTATTATATAAACAACATTTATAGTAGCCGTCGTTATATTTGGCTCTATTGACTTAATCTTGAAAGATGAATATAAATATAAATATTCAACAAACTCTTAGTTTGCCAACAAATAATACGAGAAAGTAAAAAAAAAAAATGGCACTAAGCTAACGCAGAGTCATAGTCATAACGGAGACAATTGACTGCCACGTTCACACAATTTTTCTTTTCTTTTAGTATGAGTGCTTTTATTGTTTATTTAGTTTTATGATTTACAAATGTCACACGTTTACTTTAGGTTAAAATAATAGGATTAGTGTTTCAAAACAGTATTATCATATTATGCAGCACGTCATAACTCCATAAAATATTACAAAATATTAGGGTTAAAGTTTGACGTATGGTTTCAGAAAGGGATATATGCAAGCTTAGAAACTAAGCAAAAGTTGAAGAGAAAATGGTTTTAGAATACATAATTTGGGTCAGATTTGGATGGGTTCTGCTAGAGACGTTTATAAAATTAGAAAAAAAAAATCTTTATATTTTCTGTCAAAATATGTTAATTTAGTTTTTCCTTTTAAAAAGTTTGTCAAAGTCAAGAGAAGTAAATCTATACAATAAACTCATTAAGATAAAAGTATATGTAAAAGAAAATATACCGACAATTTTTTTTTTCTCCTTAAAAACAATACATCAAATTCATTGGTGTCTGATCAAATAGAAACATGCAAGGACCAGATGATATGAACTCAATCATCCTCATCTCATCAAACAAACCCATTATCCCTATTTAAGCAGATTTTTTGTATACACATGAAAAAGGATTTACTTCATGAATTTTCACTCCTCTCTCTCTCTCTCTCTCTCTCTCTCTCTCCTACTTATATCTTAACAAGAACATGAAGATAAGTTCTTCATCTCACTAAGTTCCAATTCAGCACCTGAGATTACATCCAGTTTTGATCCTTTAAGAGTGGCAACATTGTTGTGACTGTTGGCCTTCCCTTTACCACATTCCAATGATCTTTTTGAGACAACCCTATGGATCTGTTCTAGCAACTTGCAAAAGGCTGTTTCCACATTTTCACCACTGAGAGCTGAAGTTTCAGAAAAAAAGAGGCCCTGCTCCTCTGCAAACTCCACTGCATCTTCTGCATGCACCACTCTTTGGTCCACAAGGTCTCCTTTGTTCCCAATGAGCATGATCACAATGGAGCTGTCTGCTTGTGCTCGCAGTTCATCAACCCACCTGGCTACATGATCAAAAGACTGTCTTTTAGTTATGTCATACACCAGCATCGCCCCTAATGCACCTCTGTAGTATGCACTTGTCACGGCCCTGTACCTACACCACACCACCATAAATGAACATTTACATATCTATAGTGTTAAGGAGATAAGAAAAAAAAAAAATAGTTGATTTAGTTCAGTTGGAAATTATTCATTATCCTTGAAGTGATAGGTGTATCGGAAATCTAATATTGCTAAATTATAGTATATGGGTGAGCTTACATACCAGTTTTGTATTCCTCAAAGTGAAGGATACGTTCACAATCACCCATATATTAAATGAGCTTCATATCTATTTTCTTAACAGAGTTTCACTAATATTAGGAGTCATCTTGTAAAATACTGATGTAATTTATTTTCTGTTTTTGGACCAGATCAGGAAAACGAAAATGAGAAACCGTACTATAATGTCAACAACATGTGATGTGCTTGGTGATATAGGATTCTTAAGTCAAGTTGGGATGGCATTGTTAAATCTGCACATACATTAATAATCAAAATTGGTATAAATGATGGATATTCAATGCCCTCACTTACTTTCAAGGGATGAACAAAATCAAACATAATATGAGGCATGAGAGAGAGAGAGAGAGAGAGAGAGAAAGAGAGAGGAGGGGAACCTTTCTTGGCCAGCAGTATCCCAGATCTGGGCTTTGATAACTTTGCCATTAATTGTCGCAGTTCTAGTCTGGAACTCAACTCCAATGGTGGACTTTGAGTCAAAGGAGAATGCATTCTTTGCAAACCTTGAGAGTATTTGAGTCTTTCCCACTGCCGAGTCCCCTATCACCACCACCTTAAACACATAATCTATTTTGTCATGCACATTCTCTTTCACCCTCTCAGTCTCAACCCCATTCATTTCCTGATTCATTTTCTTCCCAAGATCACCAAGAGGAGCTTGAAACCAAATTTGAGTAAGGCCCTTTTTTTCTTGCCCTTCTCAAACTAGGCCCTAAAACATTGGTTCAATCTTGCCTATTGGCCGTGGAGGTAGGTGGGAGAAAGCAAAGAATATGAAAAGGTTGGTAAAAAAAGATGAAATTAACAAGACCAGTGTTCAATCAATGGGAGCAAAAAAAGGAAATAGGCAAAGTAATGGTCGGTCTCTGTCTCCCTTTAATGCTTTACCAAATCGAATGCACTACACACACCAAATATATTAATATTTACACGACAATATTGTAGGGGCATTATTGCCTTCTGCAACTGAGATGCCACTGTATGTAGCAGTTAGGCAATAAAAGGAAAATATACAGACAATTAATCAAAATATTCTAGAAGTTGTGATGCTTGGCAAAGAGATTGATCAGAACCACAATGATTTGTTGAGTGGTTGATGAAATGTCTAGTTCATATTTAGTTGATCTTAATTTGTGATGCAAGCATGCACATGCCTTGTTTTTTGCTGATTTATATCTATCAAATGAGTCTAAATTTTTGTTATCTAATGACTTACAACATCTTGTTCTTCAATCAACAAGAACAGTAAGGAAAAGCATAATGTAAATTTATGTGTAGCATGAGCATGGCCTACCATTCATAAAGGACCATGGCAGTGACCATATTATGGTAATGAAAGAAAGAAACATTCTAAAAATCCATAGTATCTATCAGTACAATAACAGCCAGATTGAGATTTTCGGCACCGACAGAACTGATATAGTACAAATAATCATCAATTATTGTCTGTTAACGGTAGAAGTAGTGAAGTTACATGATCATGTAGTACTTTATTTATTATTTTTAAATAATTTTTTAGTAAGTATTTAGACTTTACTGTTTTATTATGTACTTTTGTAAAAATTTTAGTGTTCTTTAAAAATAAGAATGTTCTTTTATTATTGATTACAATCTCAATTTCTCTAATATTAATAAAAAAAAAAACTATCATCTCATTCTAACAACAATGATTGCAAATGGAAACTTATCGGTAAATTCAATTTTCAACTTCCTATATTTGGGAACATGGCTTCCTACTAAATAAATTTCTCATTAATTGTATTATATGTTTCTTTATTAAATTAATTTATCTTAAAACTTACTATCATTTTTTTTGTAAAAATCATATTTTAAAAATATAATATTACTTTTAAACTAATTAATACTTCATTTACACACATTAAAACTAGTCAAAGTATGTTTTTTCACAAAACTTTTTAAAAAATATTTATAATTGTTAAATTTTGACAAAAAGCAACTTGAACAATGATAATTAATTTAACGATAGTATCGATCAAAATTATATTACATATAAAGCTATTGATAAAGTAATAATTCGTATGATACTCTTTCTTTTCCTTTGTTCACTGCATATATGTAAGAGTAAAATTGTAATTTCTATTTTATTGAAATTTATTAAAAGTTATAAGATTTTATGAACTTTTCATTCTATTTAATAATTTTGTTTATTTATATTTTTAATAAATTTTAATCAATATGAGAAAATTCGTTAGACAAACTGTGCTAGGCAATAAATTTCTAACATATTAAAATGTAAGCTTAATATGAAAATTAACACCATCTTTCAGTTACAAATTATTATATATAATAAATTATAAATTTTATTCTAATTATTTTAAAGAGTATACATATAAAATAGATTATGACATTCAACAGTATACAAATCTTTATGATAACAATGAAGAAAAATTAAAGTCTAAGATTAAAAAAAATATGTATAGAGGTGTTACAAATAACAAATATAATAAATAATGATAAAATTAATAATAATATATAATTAAATTATATCAATCATTTTCAAAATATAAGTCGGAATCCAAAGGATAAAGAAAAAGTCAAAATTCTTACAATAAAATATATTAAATATTTTTTTATGTAAAATTAATATATAACTTTTATATACTGTACAAAGTAACATAGCTTCTATATCTGTGAAAGGTGAATTTTTTTGGTCAACTAAATTTAAATCTTAATAGACAACTTTTGAAACATTGAAAATGGTTGCTTAGGTTAATCTCAACCCCATTTATTATGAGACTAGGTGGCCAAAACATATCCTTTCCTCACCTTCTCTTTTCCAACACAACAAAAAAAAAAAAAAACTAAAGTAACCTAAAAACTTGGCCATCTCAAACGGTCTTTCCATGGATACTCTATCAACCTCTGTTTCAACCCTAAAAGTTTCCCCTTTCCCATCTGCACCTACCTTAACAAATCGCGATTTTTATCCCTTCAAAGCAACCCCGACACGACCACAACAACCCCATCATGTTTTCTCCACTTCCACGCCCAAATTTCTGCCCAAAACCAAATCTTTCTCTCACAAATCTCCCCCTTCTCTTCCGTTATCCCTCTCACCCCTCAAACCCAAACCGTGTTCTTCTATATGCCACCCAAATCCCGCCACTGGGTATGCAGCAGCTCTCGTGGACGTGGCCCAAAATAGCAATTCCCTTCACTGTGTTCACAGGGATGTGGAGAGGCTCTTGAAACTGCTGCAGAGAGTGAAGTTTGATTCACGGGCGGTTGAGGAGGGAAACTTTCACCGGCACGTGGTGGCGTTGCTGAAGATGCTGGTGAAGAAGAACAAGGTGGGGATTGTGAAGGAGGCGCTGCAAGAGTTCGAGAGGATTTACGATGAGCTTTGTGGAACACAAGTGGTTCTGGTTTCGTCCAAGACTAAGATGGGGGAAGATGAACTCTTTGGGATTGCGAAAAGCGTGCACCAATTGAGTGGGGCGATGAGAGTGAAGGTCAGAAACTTGGTTCAGGAAAGTGTGCCCTCTTTTGCTGTGTGAAGTGAAAAATCTCAAATTGTTCATTTGATTAGTTATAATTGGTTTCATGTAAGCATGCATCAATCGAATAAGAACGCATTATTTTGTTTTTCAAAATTTCATTGTAGTTTAATACAATAAAAAAAATCATAAAATTGAAAATAGTATTCCGTTGCCGGGACTTGAACCCGGGTCTCTCGGGTGAGAGCCGAGTATCCTAACCAACTAGACTACAACGGATTGCTGATGGTGTTTCCGATAATGTTGAATATAACGGAACCTCTTAATTGATTCTTTAAAAAATAAAATCTGATTAATTTTAAAAATTTTTATAGCAATTAAAATTAATTAGATAATAAAGTGGACATCATATTTTGTTTTTTAAATTAGTTCTTAAAATGAATAAAATAACCCATAATCTCTAAAATTATAAATTTAGTTTATAATTGACAGATAGGGTCATGATATATTGCCAATTGAGTGTGATGTATACATCAAATTTTAAATATTTTTTAATAATATATCAATAATTGTTATTGTCATATTAATAAAAATATTGTCCACTAATTATCAATCCATAATTTTTCTTCAATGTTACATTTCACACTAACAAATACTGAAACTTCTCTTAAAAAATATATATTAAAAAATAAAATGAATTTTAAACTAATTTAAGTTTTGCCATTTTTATTTAAACTCACTCTCTTGGTTAGATTTTTTTTTAAATATATACTTTTTACACTCTGTAATTAATAAAAGAATGTCTCTCTGTATTGTCTCAAATTATCTTTTATAATTGATACGCTTAATTTTATTAACGTTCGACCAGTTTTAACTTAAAAATATCTTCCTATCATAATACAAATTATTTATGATGAATGATAAACATAATTTATATGTAAGAATTGTAATTAGGCGCAAATAAATAGTTAAGTCACATGCTAAAATATTTAAATTATAATCTAACTAGTGTGAGTTCTGGGTTTGGATTAAACAATGGAACCTCGTACTTTCTTATTGACATTTTCAAAATTAAGGCTTTTTGTTCTTTCAAGTTTCATTTATTCTCCTAATGGAGTGACTCAGACCACAATTCACGTTTTCATTTATTCTCCTGATGACCAGAGACTTAGAAACCAAGATTCTTCTTTGGGGTCTGTAGCGTTGTTTTGACTTAGAGATGTCAGTTATGTATCATTGCTTGTGTGAACTTGATCTATTTAGCTCTCACACTGTATGGCTCTGGTAATCAAAGAACAATGTTGTATATATAAGTTCTATACAACATGATTGTGCGCATAATGCTTGCCCTCCTGTGGCTTGGCTTGGAGGCTTGCTATCCTGCTGAAAAATAAATGGCCGCCACAAGAATTGCAACATTCTTATGGAAATCCTCTGTTTTCTAAGTGTTTGTTTTTATGCATGAACTTGTACTAATCTAATCTGTGCTTTGCTGAGGTTCTATATGTTTTGGAAGGGTAGCTTCCTACTTAACAATCACATTTAAAATCTACATTTTCTCACCTGATCATCAAATTTGTCACTCACTCACCTCATCGCTCAACCCTTTCAACCAGAATGGTCATTATGGGACCAATAATCAAACAAACTAATAAGCCTTGACTTGCGTGGCTCCACATAAGATAGGGGATCAATGAAATTCTGTCTTGCCTTGCCTTTTATTACTGAATTCACAGATCCTGCATGAAGGCAAGGTTCTTTTATACGTTTAACCATGCATATGTAATTTTAAATATTAGAACATGGTTTTCGATTTTGGTGTTTTCCTTCCTTACCTCTTAGTATCTATAACCGTTGGCGTGACTAATATTTTTCCACTATCTTACTATACTCTATCTATGCCTCCTGGATTATATCTCTGGTGTGTTTAGATTATACAGTTGATTAACTTTTGATTTAGGATCAGACTCAATTTCTGACAAAAGATGAAACTGAATGCTTTAAATAGTATTAGCAGTGGGCAAGACGTGCAAGAAGAGTATCTAATCTAACTTGTCTACTGTAACAAACTAGTCTCTGCTTTCACAAACTCGGCACGCATTCATTTCATTATAGTAAATTCCCTTTGGAAAGCATTCATGAAATGTGAAATGAGTTTATTTAACTAGCATGATACACCCATGACACACACAAATAACTTACGATTGATTGCTAAAGGGTGAAGTTTAAGTTGAGGATTTGGTGTGGTCTAGCTGAAGTGCCTTGTGAAGCCAGGCCTCAGCTTCTTCCATGATCCCAGGGCTAAGCCTGATCATAAGGACGCAAAACTCAGTCTCATTAAGCTTACCATCCCCATCAAGATCACCCTGTCTAACCATGGCCTCTGCTTCCTCTTTGCTCATCCCATCCATACCCAACAGAGCTGAATTCCTCATCAGACTCTCACCACTGATCAAAGCCGTTGCTGGGTCAGCCAGAAGCTTGAAACCTCCACACAACTCAGACACGAAGGCCTCCACATCCAGCTTCTCTGCCATCACAGGCAGCAAGTCCTCGAACTCAACTTCCACCATGGTCTCTTTAGCTGATTGGTTGCTCTCCATTATTTTTGGAGGAGAACGGAATCTTGGTTTCTTTAAACCCTGAAACGTGGAAACGAGGGTGTAGGAAGAAAGTGACGTTGGAAGACTTGTGCAGAACGTGGAAACAATGGTGGAAGTGGAAAGTGACTTTAGAAGACTTGTTCTTCGTAATGATCATAAATTAATGAGAATTAGTCGGTATAGATGGCTTTGTAAAGAAAAATTGCACTTGTAGAAATATTTTAGTTGTCTTGCAAAGAGATAAAAAGAGAAAAATATAATAAAAAATACATTACATGAGTTAACTATTTTATTAAATATATTTTCCTTTTTAAAATTAACAAATACAATTTTGGTTTTGTCTTCTCCTGAAAACCATATCTGGCTTATCTGCGAATGGGCCATGATGATGATTTATTTGCTGCAAAACCACACAAAGTTCTTCCTTTTGTCTTTTGCGACGGTGCCACCTAAATGACCACATATTTGTCCTATGACATGTTCAAATAAGGATTTGCGTATTCTCCTCGAATATTCTCTTTCTCACGCACCAACTTTACTCTTCTAAAATAAATCTCATACAAATTCTCCTCCGACATTTCTTTACATATTATCTATATCATAACCTCTTAGATAATACAAGACTTTTTTTACCATTCGAAAATCAGTATATTTTTCTAACATATAACCTCTCAATATCCTTCACAATTTACTTTCAAGAAGAAGAAAAAATGTTTACATTGATTTTAGAGTAATTGATTATAATTTATTATTTAACAATAGTATTAGGTGGGTCTAAATGTATGATTTGACCTGGTTGATGAAAAACAAAGTTTTAGTAAGTTGAAAAAAGAGTTAAGTTTATAAACTAAAAACAAATTGACCAAAAAAAGGAAATATTTTGTCAAAGCACATAAAATAGTACCTCTAAAGCTTTAAAAATATAATCCAAGTGTGGATATTGACATGCACAAAAAACAGCTTTTTCCACTACAAAACTCAAACTTCATAACAAGGAAACAACTTAGATAAGAGCAAAAGGAAGTTCCTGGCAAGATCAAATTCAATGAACAATAAGCTTTTTCTTGACTTTCCATCTCTTTTTGTGACTTTTACTGCCTCCAACTTCAATCTTAAAAGTTCTTGAAACCAATATTGATATTGTAACTCAACTGCATCAAGTTCAAACTTTATATCAAGGTCAATAATGTCTTTGACAGTCAAAGACAAAGCACAATTGCTTGTCAAACTTGTGAGATTTGATGTTTCACAGAAAGTTGGAGTTATAGAGATTGAATTCTGTGAAAATTCATATATCTCAATGTTTTCTCCAACATTGCAATCTGCAAACTGCATCTCTAAGCTCCATTTCAGAGGTGAACTTAATCCTTTATAGATCACGTCAACATCAGAGTCAAGATAGTTTACATTTTTCATGCAAGAATCTTCAATAACTATATTAGAAGGTGTGGATTCTTCTGAATATTGATCTTCCAAGCTAGAGAAAGTAGAAGAAAACATGTGCTCACCCTTAAGACTATCCTTATCAACAACATTAAATATGTAACTTTCTCTTTGAGTAGTATTAAACCCAAAACAATTATGTTGATCCAAAAGCTAATTTAGATGGGATACTAGTTCTAAGAATATATGGGCATGAAATTAAGGTTTGACTATCATTAAGTGTTGGAGAATTGACACATTGACTTGATCCACCATCTGAGGTTAATCAAATGAGGAGCTCAGGAACAATTCATCAAATAACCACAGTAAGGTAAATTTATGTAAATAATTTTTTAGTATTAACTTCTTTAAAAACTTTACATTGTGATTTCATTTTCATTTGTAGATATGGATGTGAAGATGTTTCAAATGGATGCATTTCATTATCTGAATCATTTTTTTTTTTGAGGAAATGTTATATTTGTTATTGGATGTTGATTGACTGAGAGTTGAAACGAGGTTCATAGTATACATATACATATAATTGGTGAATCAAATTTCTTCGGGTTTCACCTGCATTTTCTACGTTTACTATTTGTGAATTATATTTCTACCATAATCTCCTCCGTTATCTTCACGTTGAGAGGTCATTTTCTGCATTCTAAGATTAATTTTAGCGAAGGCTATTTAATTTCTCATTTTATGTTTCTCTAGATAAATTTTCGGATGGACCAATATTTTAGGGACTATATAAGCAATTTTTTTTTTCTTGATTTTAGCAGTGGTCGTCATTTTCTCGGGAAAACGAGGAAAAATTGGGCATCGCATTGGTCTAGTGTTTACTTCTCACTCTCACACACTCAGAGTGGGAGCTCTTGGTAGGTTGTGGAAATGGAGAGGGAAAGGGGAGAGAGGTGGTGGAGGGTGAAACAGAAGGAGGACTTGGTTTCCCTTCTGCGGAAATCCTGGTACCATATGAGGTTGTCAGTACGACACCCCTGTCGGGTTCCAACCTGGGATGCCATTGTCCTCACTGCCGCTAGCCCCGAACAAGCTCAATTGTATGACTGGCAACTGGAGCGGGCCAAGCGCATGGGTCGGATCTCCTCCTCCACCGTCACCCTCGCCGTCCCCGACCCTCTCGGCTGCCGGATCGGATCCGGCGCCGCCACTCTCAATGCCATCCACGCCCTCGCCCTCCACTACTGCCACTCTAACTCACCGACAAATGGAAATGGAAGCGACGATCTAGTTTCGGTTTTGGCGAAGAGGCACATACTGTTGCTCCATGCTGGAGGTGATTCAAAACGGGTGCCGTGGGCAAACCCTATGGGGAAAGTGTTTCTGCCTCTTCCTTATTTGGCTGCCGATGACCCTGATGGCCCCGTTCCCCTCCTCTTTGACCATATTCTTGCCATTGCTTCTTGTGCAAGACAAGCTTTTGGAAATGAAGGTTATCTATTACTTCATATATGTTCACATTTGAAACAGCTCTTGACGGGGCTTATTTGCACATGCTTGAATTTCAGTTCTCATTGGTACTTTTACTTTAAAAACATCAATTTACTTATTCTTCATTTTATGCATTGGAATTCAAAAGGCTAAAGTACTTTTACTCAAACATGACCAAAAGTTATGACATAAACTTTCATGTGAAAGAACTTATCGAGTAATTTTTTGCATGTGATGTGATTAAACATGACCAAAAAGTGTTTTAAATTGTTCAAACTGTTAACTTACCGAATTCTTTGAATCCTGGTAGGTGGAATGTTAACCATGACTGGTGATGTTCTTCCATGTTTTGATGCATCCCTCATGACTCTTCCTATGGATACTTCCTGTATCATCACTGTTCCAATCACCCTTGATGTTGCTGCAAACCATGGAGTAATAGTTGCAGCTGAAACTGAGCATTCAACTCAAAATTATGCAGTCAGTTTAGTAGATAACCTCCTGCAGAAACCTTCTGTAGATGAGCTAGTTGAAAGTAAGGCAGTTCTAGCTAATGGTAGAACACTCCTTGATACCGGAATAATAGCTGTTAGAGGTAAGGCATGGTTGGAGCTTGTTACACTCGCATCTTCCTGTCAGCAAATGATTTCTGAGCTCCTGAATAGCAAAAATGAGGTATACCACGTTATTTGCCATGAACATATTGTTTACTTTTAGAGATGGAAAAAAAGAGAGAAGAAAGTAATGGATGAATGAATTCTTTGTCATGCTTTTGTATACAGGAATATGATTGAAAACAAAATGAGAGATACCAAGTTTATTCGTCTTTTAAAATATAATTATGTCTTTTTTTTGTGTTCTACAATTTTTGCATTATAATTGAACCATTTTGTTCTATTTATTAAGGTCGAGGATGCCATTTAATACAAAAAGCAGAGATATAATTATGTTGGACTTAATGTATGTTGCAAAGGCTTCTTTGCAAATCTGTGTATATAGGGACTAATTGGTATATTTAGGGCGTGGAAGTGATATCATCATCACATTTATTTTGCTTTTACATTCTGCAACATGATCCAATAACTGAGCTAGATGCTGTTTTATTGGCTACATCCTTTCACACATTCATTTCCTTTCTGCCAAACAGATTATAAAATTTTAAATGTTATAAACACAACAAGGAATCTTTCTATTCATTCCAGTGTCAATCATATCTTTGTCTAGTTTGGTCTGAGTGCTCCTAGAAGTTTGTTTTTTTAGTCTACAACTGTGTATTCCTTCAACCTCAAGTTCACACCTGAGCTACCTATTCCTTTGGTCTTGGTTTGATAAACTTTCTCTAAAGTGGTGACCTTCTAGGATCTCAAAACTTGTTTGGTCAAATGTGAAGGTAAATTATACAAATGCATTGTTGTCGAGACATCTCAGTTCATCCTTTTTATGTAACAATATTGTTTCTCGTTAATTCTGACTCAGGTTGGCAGGTCCTACTGCAGTTACTTTGATTCGGCTCCATGCTATAATACTAGGTTTTCTTTCCAATTTAACGAATTTTACTGTATGGTGATTTATATATTTTTTCCATTAGGTTCGTTTGGTTATCCAACATTTGCTTCTTTATGGATTGAATGCTATTCATTTTGTTAATGTTTCTTTAAATCTGCAGTACATTACAATTGACAGAACTAGTTTATAGTGTTGTTCAAATAGTATGGAGTCTGCACATTTGTTCCAACTGAAGCAAATGGTGCTCTAATTCATTTGCAGAACGACGGAAGTATATGACCTAAGAACAAATTGTTTGTTGTATAGATGAGTTTATATGAAGATCTAGTTGCTGCCTGGGTACCTGCAAAGCATGAGTGGCTAAGAAAGCGTCCTTTGGGTGAAGAACTAATCTGTAAATTGGGACAGAGGAAGATGTTCAGCTACTGTGCCTGTATATCAAGCCTAATTGCAAAATTATCTTTATATGTGTTTCTCCTCTTATCTATCAGCACTAAAACTCATATTTTTCCGTTACAGACGATTTGTTGTTCTTGCATTTTGGCACCTCAAATGAAGTTTTAGATCATCTCAGTGGTGTTGGTTCAGAACTGGTTGGTAGAAGACATCTGTGTTCTATTCCAGCAACCACTGCATCTGACATCACGGCATCTGCTATTATTCTTTCAAGTAAAATTGCACCTGGCGTCTCAATCGGAGAAGATTCTCTCATATATGATTCATCCATTTCTGGTGGAGTACATATTGGCTCCTTATGTATAGTGGTTGGCGTCAATATATCTCTTGACAACCTTTTAAGTATTGGCAATTCAATCAAGTTCATGCTTCCAGATCGCCATTGTCTTTGGGAGGTTCCCTTGATTGGAAATAGGGAGCGAGTTCTAGTATATTGTGGCCTTCATGATAACCCTAAAAGTTCACTCTCTAAAGATGGTACGTTTTGTGGGAAACCTTGGAAGAAACTTTTGCATGATTTGGGTATTGAAGAAAGTGACTTATGGGGGTCTGCAGACCCTGATGAAAAGTATTTATGGAATTCAAAAATATTCCCCATACTTCCTTATGTTCAAATGATCAAGGTTGCAATGTGGTTGATGGGCTTAGCCAATGAGCAAAGTGAAGCCATGCTTCCTTTGTGGAAATATTCTCGGCGCATCAGTTTGGAAGAATTGCATAGATCTATTGATTTTTCAACAATATGCACAGATTCTAGTAACCATCAAGCTGATCTTGCAGCGGGAATTGCAAATGCTTGCATCAGCTATGGGATGCTGGGGCGCAATTTGTCACAATTATGTGAAGAAATTCTTCAAAAAGAGGGTTCTGGGATGCAAACATGTAAGGATTTCCTAGCTATGTGTCCAATAGTTCGGGAGCAAAACTCTAATATACTTCCCAAAAGTCGGGCATACCAGGTGCAAGTTGATCTTCTTCGTGCTTGCAATGAAGAAGGGAGAGCACGTGAGTTGGAGCACAAAGTTTGGGCTGCTGTGGCTGATGAAACTGCGTCTGCAGTGAGATATGGATTCAAAGGTACATACTTTAATCATGTCCCAATATGCCATACACATAAAACAAATTTGCAAACGGTTTGGTGCATCTATCTTGGATTCAATCTTTTGGAGGGAGGGAGAACAGGGAGGAATCTTGATGACTTGTCTTTTGTTCAAGTTAGCAGAGAAAATACACACGCTTCATTTAATGATTTTTAAACATAGGATAAGCTGTGTAGAGAAATGATTATGAAAATGCAATATTAGATTATATTCAGAGTAAGGATCATTTGCTGCTTTCTAAAGGTTAGTTTTAACTTTTAAGGCACAATATATTGCAATCTTTCTTCCACGATATTGTGTTTATTATCATAATTAGTATAACTATAAAACTATATACTACTTGTTGGTCTCAAAATAATCAATGGAAATGTCAAGGGTGGTGATTATTTTTAAGAAATTAATTTAAAGGTTAAGGCTACCAAAAATCTATTTTTTCGATGTTGATCTCCCTTTGTATTATTGTTACCTCTCAAAATACCGGAGTAGAGTATCTATAAGAATGACTAATACTATTCAGGATCATTTGACACTAAACGAGTGGTAACTTCTTTTTAGTGATTTTTTCACTGTTTGTAATATCATACTCTCTATCACTTCTTTATTCATCCAACAAAATAAGCAGAATGAAGTCTCTGAAGATGAAACCTGTCTTTTCTGCAGAACATTTATCAGAGTCTCCTGGTAGCCTTTCTTGTCAGGAGTTCCGCAATAACCATCACAATAGCAGCATTAATCAGCCTTTCCATCCTAGAAAGGTAAAAGTAGAATTACCAGTTCGTGTAGATTTTGTTGGGGGTTGGAGTGATACTCCCCCATGGAGCATCGAACGTGCTGGATGTGTTCTGAATATGGCAATAAGCTTGGAGGGGTCTTCACCAATTGGCACCATCATAGAGACAACTAAAGCAGAGGGAATATTAATTACTGATGATGCAGATAACCAGTCATTTGTTGAAGATCATACTTCCATTTGTGCACCATTTGATGGAAACGATCCTTTTCGGCTGGTCAAATCTGCATTACTTGTGACTGGAATTATTCATGATAACATTCTTGTAGATATGGGCATGCACATCAAAACATGGGCCAATGTCCCCCGTGGCAGTGGATTGGGTACTTCTAGTATCTTAGCTGCTGCAGTGGTGAAAGGCCTTCTCCAGATAACTGATGGGGATGACAGCACTGATAATGTTGCTAGACTTGTTTTGGTTTTAGAGCAACTTATGGGTACAGGAGGTGGTTGGCAGGACCAAATAGGAGGTCTGTACCCTGGGATTAAATGTACTTCAAGCTTTCCAGGAATTCCTTTGAGACTTCAAGTTGTCCCCCTGTTGGCTTCGTCTCAGTTAATTTCTGAGCTGCAGCAACGACTTCTTGTGGTATTTACTGGTCAAGTAAGTAAACAATTTGTTTGTAAAAATATACATCTGGTATTCCTACACAGAGAGCTCTGCATTTAAGATACTCTTTTCAGTGTTATCTGTCATTTGGAATCACTTACAAGCTTGTAATAAGTTGATATTGCAACTAATGATCATTGGGTAACTGTTTCTGTTGATACCATACATTAAATCATTTGTATGTGGGATATGTCATTTGTTGCTTTGTTTCCTTTGTTTATACAAACAACAACAAAGTCCTATCACAAATGTACAAATTTTAGTCAGTTTTGTAACTCTGCAGCTTGTGCTGCACTTCATTTAATTCAATAACTTCTAGGATAAACTTTGATTTCTATTGTACATTGAACTGTTTTTTGTAGGTTCGACTTGCACATAAGGTATTACAGAAGGTGGTTGTTAGATATCTTCGCCGGGATAACCTTCTTGTATCAAGTATCAAGCGTCTTGTTGAACTGGCAAAGATCGGGAGAGAAGCTTTGATGAACTGTGACATAGATGAACTTGGTAATATAATGCTAGAAGCTTGGAGATTGCATCAGGAACTTGACCCTTACTGCAGCAACGAATATGTTGATAGTCTGTTTTCTTTTGCCTCTCAGTACTGCTGTGGCTACAAGCTGGTTGGAGCTGGTGGTGGGGGTTTCGCTCTGTTGCTTGCCAAGGATGCACAGTGTGCTAAGGAACTGCGACACAGGCTAGAAGATGAAAAACATTTTGACGTGAGAATATATGATTGGCAGATATTCCTATAATATATGGCATGAATACTAATATTTTGTTAGTGTTAGTAGACAGCTGTATTGTTGTTGATCAAATTTATTTTTCCATTATTTGTATATTCTACCCTATATATATTGAATCAGGGTCCATTATCTTAAGAATGATTGTATCTCTTAATGTATTTCATCTTACCGAGCAAGACATGTTATTTTTTAGGAATCCATTAGTATATTTTATTTATAATCTTAAATATTTTAACTTGTGATTTTTGTATTTTACCTGAATTAAAAAATTTCTTTAAACAGACTAGAATTGCTAGTTAAAATTCAGAGAAATTCTTAGAATATCATTGATGTATGATTCACTAATGTTAAACACAAAGCCAGACCTACGAATTTATAATGAAGCCACAGAAGGAGAAATGGAATAACACAGAAATAGGAATTTCTTCTTTGTCAGTTCTAAAGACATATTCTGTCCTGATTTTTCACATAATAAAAATTTGAAATATATCCTACGATTGTTTAATTGCTCTGTCATGAAATAAGTAGCATGGCAGATATCCAATATCCATTAATTTTTTACATATTTTAGCAATGGCAGCTTTGACAAGCATGAAGAATGCAACCTAAAACACGAAATTGAGGATAATATTTTTCTTGCTTGGTCTATAGTGGGATGATTGGTCAATGAAAGGTGAGGTGCCTGTGGATATGGTCACACTGCAAGCCTATGCATATGGTCTCACTCTTCACACTGCAAGCTTATCTTAAATTATGAAGGAATCGTGAAAGCAAGAGCCGTGATTTCATGTAATAACAGTTTGAGAATCCATGGAAAATCACACTAGACATAAATTAACCACTAATAATAGACATACCAGTTGAGCCTCATTAATAATTCTGCTGCACACTAAGAAGTGAGAGAGAACGTGATATGTGATAATCATTTTCCATCTTTTCCATTTATTCATCATTTCTTTACAAAAAGCAGTGACGTGAAAAAGAAGGGTGAAAAAAAGGGTGAAAAGGGAAGGAGGGGTATCACTTGTTCATGTGGCAAAGAATCCAAAGTCGCATGGGTTTCTTTACTGCAGAAACTTCTTCACTTTTTCTTCTCTGCCATGTTGCTTTTTGGGATCCCACATGCAACATTCGATACCTTGTTACAGTACAAATATATCAATCAAACTGCATAAAATATAATAATTAATAAGACATTTTAAAGTAGTAATTAGGTAAATATAATTTTAATTGTTGATATTAATTGTTTGTGCATAAATTTAGCAATTTGACTCATGTCTAGTTTTGAGTTTATAAAGATTCCATTATCATTCTCTAACCTGGACAACTTGTTCTGTTTCTTCCTTGTTGAAGAAATAGAATGGAAGAATTTGGTATTATGATCATAGCCCTACAACCAGTGAACTTTCGTCCTCTGCCTCCAAAATGCATATTATTTAAGAAACATGTTTGAAAATAATAAATGAATTATATTTAAGATGTGAAAATTATAATTATTCTATTCTGAAAATCAATTATAAAACGTGAAAAATCATATTTGAAATCTTGAACTAATCACACTTATTTCTTCTTGTTCTAAAATAAATTATTATTATTATTATTATTATTATTATATATTGTATATATATTATTTTTATACGTTATCTATCAACCCTCAAGGGTTATTTATGTCTTACGTTAATAGTTTAATACCATGACACCATTGTCCATGCCGGGTCAACTGTTAGGAGAAGAGTCCAAAATAAAAACCAGTGAAAGGTCCATCATTGTTAATCACCATCCATCCATTCATCATAATGATCAAGATCATCGTGCTATCAGTATGTGCCACAGAAACAAACCTTTATCAAGGGTTGGCATTTGGATTTGGTGAGAGTAGTTGATGAGAAGGTTACCATCGATTGCCACACACATTCCAATTCCACACGCCATTACGTTTGGTTTTCAGTTAATTTTCAGAACAACAATAAAAAATATTCTTTGGTTGAATAATTAGGATGAGTGTGGGCCCAAGTCCAATATAATAAGAAAAGTGGCACTCTTTCTTTCCACTCTGCCATGCTATGCAACAACCACTGAAGCTTGGAGCGGTGTTACGGTGACAGTGGGGAGTGTTGGAGTGAGAGTGAGAAATGGGTCTGATTTCTAACAGAGTGGAGAGACATGAGATCAAGCCTGGCGACCACATCTACACTTACAGAGCTGTTTTCACTTATTCTCATCATGGTTTTTTCTCTCTTTTTCTTCTCAAAATCAAATTTCATTTTTTTTTTAATTGTGGCGTCTGTGATCTAGCTTTCGGCAATTGGGTTATCTGCATAGCCTCCTCCGTTCTATATTGTTTTTGTTTGCCCTTTTTTTGTTGAATAAAAAAATTAAATGGGATGTGTTTGCATAATTGCAATTGGGTCGATAGTGATGTTGTTGCTGAAGGACCCCGTCCCTCGCCATGGGGAAAGCGTTTGTTTTTGCATCGTCAAATCAATTTGGGTTTCGTGATTTGTAAGAAAAAAATGTTCTTTTTTGACTTTGGATTGATGGGTGTTGGAGAGGAATTTATTTTCTCTTCATTCAAAGTATAAGGTTTCGTGTGATGTTTGCTGGGTCCCGTGACCCTTTTGTTCCTCCTACTTTTCCTAGGAGAGGCGTTGCAATAATTATGTAACTTTCAACATGGTGTCAAAGTGGCATTTTAAAGCAGAATGTGTAGGAATTGGCTGTATGAAATATGAACAAATTAATTGTGGATTTATTTTTGCTGGATTAGGAGTTGTCTACGGTTCAACTGGTAAACCTTAAGTATTCTCTGCACACAGTTGTAAACTGAGGTAGGTCAATGGAACATTTTGTTCCTTTTTCTTTGTTAAAGCCGGGAAGCAAAGCTCTCAAGTAAACTAAGCTTTCTTGCCACTCGATTTGAATCAGACTTGATTTTTTGAAATTCAACATAATTACCTGTGACTATGCATGAAATGATCATTTGTAGATGTTCATATGGACTGATTGACGAGTCTGAAGCAAGTGCCATTCAGATCCCACTGTAATCATTCTAATTTAGGTACTTTGGCAGAGAACTTTTGTCATGGAACAAATACCGTGCCTCTGCCATGATAGTAACTGTTCCAATATACAAATCATCCTTACAATTTCTGGAAATAGGTATATAGTTCAATGAAAACCATATAGTGGTTTTGGACAATGGAAGTTCTGTTTCAGGAGTCATGACTCTGTGTAGAAGACTGTTGATTGTGGCATGACGGAACTTGAATTATAAGTCATTTAGTTGTCTTATTTCCTGATTCTCTTAACGTTGTTGGTGGGTTATCCATGCCCATCATTGTGGTCTTTTTCTTTTCTTATTAATGTCAGTAGCAGTATTTATTATATAGAAGTTATGGTATCATTGCCTTAGCAGGGAAGAAAGCAAAATCTTCTTTCTCTGACAAATGCTTGGATTATTTTGTTAAATATCCAGTGTTTGTGTTAAACGTTTCTTGATATAGCTTCATATATTTTTAGACTCTTTTTATAGAGGTATACCACTCATTGTAAGTTTTCAAGCTAGATTATGCAGCCCAAATACATAAGGAATTTACCCTGCCATGAAGATGAACAAAATTTATTTATTTTTTTACTACTCAAGGAACAATCTCTATATTTTGAGCAATGCGAATTATATCAGCCATCTACTCTTCAATGTTGGTGCTAGCTGTTCTCCGTCTCAAATTTCTATTTTTACTACACAAAAAGAGAAAGATTCACTGGAAAGTGAACCCTTCCTGAGCTTTCTCTCTGGTAAACAAATAGTCATCATTCTGGTTTTTCGTTGCAGCATTTATAACATTTCTTTTACACTTAAGTTTTTGTGTGTGTCAATTACGCCTTAGCTTTTCAGCTTTAGTTCCTGAGACCTCCTTGCTACTTTCTAATCTTTATAACATCCATGATGAAGAATATTTCTGTCATTGTTTGATTTTGTTAGTTTGAAGGCAAATTCCTTTGTTTGCTCTCCAGTTTGTCAGAACCCCATATGAGATGATATTTCTTTGTAGCATCAACCTTTTCTGTAGTTTGCCGCTTGTTCAAGTTGATTTGAGCAAAATATATGGCATCTAACTAAATTCAGAATTGCTTTAGAAAATCTTGTATATTGAATCAAGCTTAAATTTAACTAAGATTAAATATAAATACGATGCAGGCATTTTTGTTGGGGGAAGCAAGGTTGTACATTTCAGACCTGAAAGAAACTTAAAGTCAATCGCAGAGACATCATCAAACTTGGATGATCCAGCATCAAACCCATGTCCAACCTTTCCTGACTGTGGATTCAGACAGCCAAACAGTGGCGTAGTTCTTTCTTGCTTGGACTGCTTCCTTCGAAATGGCTCTCTTTACTGTTTTGAATATGAAGTTTCACCATCTGTTTTCCTCACCAAGATAAGGGGTGGCACATGCACTACTGCATCATCTGACCCACCTGAGACTGTTATCCATCGAGCAATGTATCTTCTTCAAAACGGCTTTGGTAATTATGATGTTTTTCAGAACAATTGTGAGGACTTTGCCCTGTACTGCAAAACAGGTCTTTTGATACAAGACAAACAAGGGGTTGGAAGAAGTGGTCAAGCTTCTTCTATTATTGGTGCCCCATTGGCTGCAATGATTTCTTCTCCCCTCAAGTTGTTAATGCCAAGTCCTGTTGGTGTTGCTACTGTAACAGCAGGAATGTACTGCATGAGCAGATATGCAACTGACATTGGTGTCAGAAGTGATGTGATTAAAGTTCCAGTCGAAGATTTGGCTGTGAATCTTGGATGGAATTGTCCCGAGGAGGAGGCTGCTGAACATGAAACTTCAGACAGACAGATTACTGCCAGATGATTAGCATTGCTCTTCATTCTTATATTCACCAAAAAAAAAAGAAGAAAAAATTGCTTCGTTTGTCACTGTTATTTGATGTACTAGTTCATAGCAGAAATGTCTTCATGCATGTTACATCTTCTGTAAGACAAGACTCAATGGTTTCTTTCTCTTATTCCTTGCCATTATTGGTGTCTGTCTAGTTATTCAAGCTGTGCATGGGATGAAACAGCAATAATATTACTTATAGTAGTAACTATAATCTGATGTATTCCTCTGAGACAAATTTTCTTTTGATTGCCCTTAATGCAACATTTACCTACAATAGTGACTGAACCATCTTGTTGTGCAGCATAGAAATCTCTTCGGATTGATTATATTTATGATATAGTTAATCATGTTTTTCACACATTATTAAATGTTTGTCTACAGTGAAAATATTGATTATTTTTAATGATACGGTAACACAGTTGTGTTAAAAGTTGATCTTGTTTATTCCAAATTGGTACATATATAGTAGTAAAAACAATACTAGCAGGTAATAAAATTTGTAACAGTTATAATTAGGGATAATCTAAAAACTTAAAATGAGAATATTTGCAAAATATCTCAGTTTCCACACAGTCTGTGGCACCACCGACACCCCTCACAATATTGCTTCCTCTTTTTGCTTTGAAAACGATGTGAAGTCAATCAAAACAGAAAATGACAAACAGGGATGAAAAATGCATTTTTAATAATTGATGATTAAAATTTCTTATATCAGCACTAATAAAACTCAAACTACTGCAACTTGTATGATTTGAACACAAAAAAAATTATCCAATTTTTATGGATTGTCTCGATTTTCACTGACCTAGATATTTTCCCAAATTTTCCAACTTTCTTATTTATATACACATCGCCCCTTTGACCTAAGTATTCAATTTCACACCCTTCATTCAAATCATGATTACTAACTATGAGTATTCAAACATTTCGAAAAAAAAGAAGAAGAAAAAAGTAGGTAAAGGAAGGCTTAAAGAATCCCAAAGTATTGGGAAATCAGAAAGCATGATGGAAATAAAGTTAAATAATAAAAAATGGTTACAGTATGATAGAATGAATATACTTAATTTTGGATTTTCTTTTATTGACGTACACCCTAGTGTAATTGTTTCTTCAAATGTCATCACTTATCTCTCCTTGTGAATACCATTTCACTACTTTGTTACTATTTTCAAATATTCAAACTATGTCCTATAAAACTAACCCATTCCAAGCCCTAACTGCTACTACTACATTATGTTTTATTTAACAGTTGATGTATTTCATTTTATTCATATTTTATTATCTTTTATATATATATATATATATATATATATATATATATATATATAAATGTTTTCTTATAAAATTAAATATTTTATCTCCTTGAATTATTTTATTACTATTTTCATTTGTTTTCTATATGTTAAAAGGGGAGTCTCATCTTGCAGTTGATTAAAGGAAAAGATCAATAATTTAAAGCTGCGTTAAACATTGTGTAATATTTCCATCTTCTTCTTTTTTTTTAGAAAATTGAATTAATATTATTAAATCATATCTATATTTTGGCCTAGCCTTTTGGTTTTAATTAAATTTGTCGCTTTGGGGATTTTCTTGACTGTTAGCTAGGTTAGGTTTTGTCCTTGTTTTCTTGTACCTTTCTTTGTACTTCCATCAAAACTATTTTCTAGTACAAGGTTAATCCAGATTTAGTTTACCATGATTTCGAGCTTTCAATGTTCTTCATCGGTTTACTGTTTTTGGGTATTATGCTTATAATGTTCTTCACACCAACACCCTTTTGTGAGTTTTATTAAAAAGCCCTTTTTTCCAATTTACGAAATTGTGGGACAGAAATTTGTGTGACGGGGATTTGATCTCCACAATAAATCTTTGTTCTTTTTCATTTTTCCCCTTCTCTCTTATAACATCTATTATGACTTTTGGGGGGGAAATGGGAACAATGTGGAAAGAAAATTTTGATTTTGAAACATATTGGTACACCCCAAAAGGAGAAATGGGTAAGGAGACTATGGCAGAAGAAGAGAGACATCAACGTTTACAAAAGTTGCTTTGTCTGCCAATAGAAGTTACTGGAAGTGAAAATCATGAGTGATGATGGCGAAAAAATAATACTTAATTAGTCGTATACATGTGAAAGAATTGACCTATGTGAATGAAATAATTCCACTTGACCCAAGCAAGGGAATGTTTAAGGGTCCCACCTACGAAACACCACCGAAACAAGGTTGGCTCTTGAGAATTTTCTTCACTCTTTGCATTGCATTTGCACATACTATAATTAAATTCAGGTAATGGATTACACAAGACATCATCACTACTCATGAGTCATGGAACAAACCATATAATATGTCGTGCCTCTTCCAACTAAATAACCAGCAAGTGGTGTTTCAGTGATCGTATTATTAGGTTAATCAGTGTTTGGTTGGGGCAGGTACTCAAGTTTTCAAGTCCATTTGCCAAAGTTTGATTTATAAAATATATGTTGAACTTTGCTGTTCAAATGCATGCCTCAACAAATGAATGCATTATTCATAGATCAAGCTTGCATTACAATTATACTCATTTTGTTTCTCTTTTTCAGTTTTCGTTTGATACCATTCTTCCGAATAATTCCACCAAGTGCTTTCATAGTTGGAAGAATCTTGGATGTGGTAATTAGATATAAAAGCTGACAAGCCACTAATTTTTGCAGACGCGGATAGAAATAGTAATAGAAATAGGAAAGATCGCACAAAGCACTCACAAACACAACACTACCAATCCAATACATGTATAATTATGGTTACAAACTTGAATATCTGAGTCTTTCCTTAGTCATCAAAAGTCATTTGCACCAAATCTTTGAAACCATGCATACATCGATAAAGGTGATGTATATCTACTGCTGACAGAAGAATTCATGAATACAGGCTATTGCATGACTGTGACAAAATTAGACCCTATATTCACCTCTTCTTCTATCTATCTTTCTAAATGGAAAAAACAACCAAGATGAGCTGAAAAATCCTCGCATTGCTCCAATAGACACGTAGGAATAATGTATACAAAACAGAGTAACCAGATGTATCCTATTGTTAGTGATCTGAACAACTTCAAACAAATAGATCATAATGATCCACGTGGGAAAGGATAGATAGAAAGAGTGAAGAGAAAGAAAACAATGCAGGTTTGATCGACGTCCTCCCAATATTTCTTTTCCTTCCTTAATTACCATGATGACCCTTCACCGATCATTCCAGTCCAGTATCCAGTTGGATTATTTCCTTGTTCTTTATTTTGTTCAACTTGAACACCTGCAGAAAGGTGCTTGATTTCTCCAAAGGGGAACAAAAGCCTCCCACCACCACCGTTCTCTTGAACCCCACGTGATCTATTTCCAAACCCATCAACTGAAAAGCTAAGGTTTGGTTTAATTTCTTGCATGGGATAGCTCGGTGTGTAAAGTGAATCTGAGCTTGTCATGAAGGAATTAGGAGCATAAGGATTCAAACCCCTAGACATCATGCCATATGGTGATGAAAGTGAAGTTGGAGCCGAAGAAGGGCTATGGTGGTGACTGGCACTGTCACCACCAATTTCAAGTTTTGGCATCTCAAGATATGGAGACATGCCATGATACTTGTCCATAGCTGCAGGAAAAGCCAAATTAAGATCATGGACTCCTTGCATTTTAGGGTTTTGGGAAGAAATAACCGAGACTGATGAGAGGCTTGGTGGATTCAAGTCAGGAACCCTTGATGAGGTGACCTTCTTGTTCTTCCTAGAGCCACCTCCAACGGGGACGTTTCTGAGTGAACCACCTTCTGTCCAATACCTTCTACAAGTCTTGCAGAAGTACCTTGGCTGTGTGAGGCTGTAATTGTTGTAATAACAGAACTTTGTGTTGGTTGAACTGCACCTTGGACAATTCAGTTGCTCTTGTGGTCTTACTTTCTTCTCTAACGCTGGCCTTGCGCATGAATTGGGACCTATTTCTTCCATATCTCTCACTATAGCTCAACCTCCTAACAAACCCAAAAGAGGCTATAACTACGTAATGTTCTTATGGGACAATAATCCATACAGACAAAAAACTTCAAGATCACGAGACATGGTAATTTCATTACACAAACACAGATTGGAGAGATAATTAATAAGCCAGTCAAAACAAGAGGAATGAGTAAACTTAAAGAATCAATAATAACAACAAATTAAAAATCCTTTTTTAACCTGCTATTGCTATATTAGACAATAATTATCACACGAGGAAGAAGTTAAAGAAGAGAAAAAGTTAAACCAGTGGCAGCGCTTTTTGTGTTTAGGATCTGATCATAACCTTTTTTGGTAGAAAAGGAGAAGATAGGAGACCAATATACGGTGGTCTTTGCACCTTGTGCCATGAATATCATCTCCTTGATATATATAGCTAGAAAATTAAAACAAAGATTCAAACAAATCTTAAATCTAGCGGAACTTCATGTTTGTGTCAGCTTTTAAACAAACTAAACCTCTGAAGAAACAGCTCAAAGTTGGTGCATTAAAGAAAAGACAAGAGAAAAAACCAACCATCATGTGTTTCCCTAGTGAAAGATAGCCATGAATATTTCAGAGAAGAAAGGACAGGAAAGCAACAAAGATGATATGAAAGAGAGAGAGAGAGAGAGAGAGTTCACCTTGTTTGTCTGCAGCTGCGCTTTAGTGCAAGAAAGAATGTTGTAGTTTGGTTGTGGAATGGCTTTATCTGCTGGCTTGTTACTTTATGAATGATGCAAAGAAAAAAATAAAATAAAGTTTTAGAGGAAATGTGTCAGTTTTGACTATACTTGCAATTCCTCTTCTTTAATGATGTTTTAGCCTTTAGGACTCACTCTATTTCTTTAATGTCTACAAATTCCTTTTCCTTTCCTATTATTTCCAATTTGATTTCTTTTTGTCTGCTTTTGTTTAATTTTATGTGGTGGAATAATGGGTACGTAGTTTGGACAGTGGATTTTTCCTTTTTTAACGATATAGACTCTTCACTAATGCTTCATTTGTCAAACCTTCTTTTTCTCTAATCAAGGACCACCTTTCAATACATGTGATTTTTAGGTTCATCAAAGAGATTAATGTATTTCAATGTTTCCATTCATGTCTTTCTTTAATTATCAAAGATGCTTTTGCTGCAATTAATAAACTTTCTTCATCTTTCTGCAGTAAATTCTAGGGTTTGCTTACAATGCAATCGACACAAATTCAATCCTCTTCTATTGCAAACTTCTTTGCTGGAGAGCTTTTTTCTAATGCTTTCATGCTGATAACTCAACAACTTAAACAGCTAAAAAATGTGCTGAAACAAAAGTTCCAAACTTAGATTCACCACTAAGCAACATAAACATAGCCAGAAAAGCGATATAACTTATAATTTATTAATTATAGATCTACTTTAATTTTAATTATATTTAATTGCATGCCCTAATCCTTATCTTCTCCAGAACAAAAATAAATAAATAAATAAAACAAGGAATGAACTATTTTCACAAAATGTTGGTTTAGAAATATTATAAACCTAGATACATAATCTATCCTTAATTATTCTCTTTTTTTTTTTCTTGTTAATGCATTGTCGTGTCATTTGGAGTGTTGGTGAAGTCCTAAGTCATACAACCATGGTAATAGGTAAAACATATTTAGGAATTCTGAGAATGTTGAGTCAAAATACGTATTTCACTTATCTTATATATTTAATAATTTCTCATTTAGAAAACACACATATTTCCTTAAATAAATTAACCTGAACGTACCCAAAGTGTTTCGAATTCTTTTCGAGAAAAATAATTATTTTTGTCTATACTTTATACGTTATTAACTATAGCTCCCAAAACAAAATAATAATAATAATAATAATAATAATAATAATAATAATAATAATAATAATAATAATAATAATAAACTCTAAAAACTTTCATATAACTATAATTTTGTATTATTTTTATTTATATTTTATTATAAATTTGAGTAAAACATTTCACATCAGAATGCTATGATGAAAAAGTTGTTTCAAAAAAACAATTACATATTTTAACCAATTCTAAAACATTTTTCAATGGAAAATTCTATGTAGAAGGGAGTTATTTATAAGATTTTCTTATCAATAAAAATAATATTTTAATATAGAGTTCACAAGCATTTTTTTTTAAATAAAAAAAATTCTTATACAATTTAAATTCTAATAAGACCTATAAATATTATTTTTATTTATAAAAAACCTCATATAAGCAACTCCAATCACCAATACTTTTATATATTTAGAAAATTAATTTAAATATTTGTATTTGTCTTATTCAAAAGATATTCTGGTAATTACACTTTTAAAACATTTTTAACAATTCTAAATTATAATTTGTTAACATATTTCAGATAAACACAAGTAAAGATTATATTAACAAATTTATATATAAAGAGAGAAGAAATAGCCAATTTTAACATAAAAACTGGACTAGTTGTTGGTGGTATATATGCATCCATGGTTGAATATATATTTATGCATGTGATCAGTTCCTACCAAAAAACATGAACCACCAATCTTTTACACTCTCCAGTACCTAACAACAACAATAAGAAATACATTTATTTTCGTAATAAAAATAAATTATTTTTAAAATAACAAATTCCATTTTATTCCATTGATGCACCTTTTGAAGTAGGTGTGTTTGGAGGGAGAATTTTTCTGTGCACTGATAATAACAAAAACATGTTTCACACGGAACTTATAAAAGGTGAGAAAATCAGTGATTTCTATTCACAATGTTTTGGAACTAAGCAATATGCTTGAATAAGAATCTGTGTGTTTATTATGAAAGGGATCACGAATTTTGCTCACGTTATTCTTCAATTATGAAACTGTTCTTCATGTACAACTATTTTTTCATAAAGAAAAAGGAAGGAATGGTAGAACAGTGAAAAAAAAAATGCATATATCAAATGAGAACCACCATTTTCATTTCATAAGATGTGTAGGACGCTAAAATTTGATGTGATGATTTGAATAAGTTAACGAACATTAGTTTTGACATTTTTATAATGATATTTAGTTAGTAACTATTATTAGCTTATTAGTTGAGAAATACCATTAAAAATTAAGATACAAATACGTTATTTATGATTTAAATATCCAAACTTTTTTTTTCCTAACTATTTTTTTTAATTCTTTTTCACTTTCTTATATTGATATGTAGGGGTGGATGTTATTGAAGAAAAGAAACAATTATGCATCCTAAGATGACGTACAAGGTTTGTTTATGAGGCATGATTGAAACACAATAATTCCAAGAGAAAAAGAGAAAAAAATGAGACAAGTTTTCATAGCCGACAAGAGACAACAAAAAGAAGCCATGGTGGGTCCTGCATAATGATGTATTTATTTAATAATTTAATACTTAATAATGAATTTATCAAATAAAATCTTCATAAAACATATATTATTATCGGTGTAATATTATAAATATAACATCTCACTTATGATGGTGGAAGGTGTGTGTCACTTTCTTGTATCACTTTTTGTTACTTTGGTAACACCAACTGCATTAAAATTTTCCAAGAATGCCAAATAATTACCAATAAATCTTTTACTAAAGGAAAAAAAAAATCAATTTGAAAAAGAAAAGCTATAGAGGAACTTATAAAAAGAAATTAAATTTGTAAAGTAATAGTTTAAAATTTTTTGTTGGTAATTTGGAACAGAAAACGATAAATAAATAAAATGTTAATATTGACAATATAATAAAGCTGCTTTAGAAGACAAACGTAAAAGAAAAGAAAACAGACAAAAAAAAATAAAGAGAATGAAGTGATTTTTTTTTGTTTGTTTATGCAAGGGAAAAAAACTTTAAGATTTTTATTTTAAAAAGTTATAATTATACAATCCAGAATTCATATTGCTTAAATGAGCAACTTATATATAAATCTTATATTATTCTATAGATTTAAGTACTATGTATTGAATAATCGCTTCAAATAGATGGTAATGAGTTTTGTTACAATTGGTTTAATATTAATACTTAAATATTTTTTCATTAATTTATCTTATTTAAAATATGATTTTTTTTGTCCTAAATCTCATTATTTATTTTAATGATAGATTTTGTTATGCAATATATTTTTTATTTTAATTTATCTTTGTACAAAGTTCCATTAAAATTACCTAAAGTGATATAAATAAATTATAGTCATTTTATTCATGTGAACCAAATAAAAGGAGAATATTGCGTATTGGAGTTCCATTGAGAAAATTTTGATTTGATTGTTTTATTCGAGGCCCAATAAATATTGGGCTTTTGGGAGTCCATGCAACAGAGATACCAAACTGACATATACTAGGTCCAGCAGAAAGCCCACCACACATAAATAAAACAATGCCAAAGTTACACAAATAAAATTAATTGTGAAAACAATTTAAAATTTTTTTTAGAATGACAGTTTGAGGGAAGAGTAAAATATTAAGTTACCATCGAGAGTGTAAAATATTGTTTTTTAAATTATGTAAATTTATGTATATATTTGACTTTTAAAGTTGGAATTATACTGTAACTACTTTATATTAAAAAAAAAAAACTATTTTCTATTTTCTATATTCTATAAATTTGTTATGGCTTTGGCATAATTATATGCATTATACATAGATTGAAACATGATTTAAAGATCAAACAAGGAATTTTCGAAATATTTTTGTCAATATTTGTAATGTACCATATCCTCATTATTTATATCATATGCATGAAGACACGAACTTGACGTAGGTTTCATTTAAAGAATTGTTTAATAATCATTTTAAATAAAATAGATGGTTATTTAGGTACTTATTACTTGATATTTGTATTATAAACAATAAAATAATCTCATAAAAAAATAACAAAAAAAAATTATTTTTTTTATATGAGGGTGCAAGGAGTTTTGAAAAACTCAAATAGAGAGTGAATGCAAAGTACCTACATAACTTCATTCATACTCTTTCGTTTTTGTTTTTTATTTTTTTGTGTTTATTAGATCTTCACATCTAATTGAAATCCTCTCAAGTGGCTTGATTACTTCGTTCCTACTCTTTTGTTCCTTTTTATTCTCTGCATAATAGTTGTTTAAAACTCTTTTGCCTAGGGTTGATGAATCGAAATTAAATTTTTAGTAGTTTGGTTAATCATGGAATAGATCTTGATTTTTGTCTTTATGCATATATCTTTATATTCATTGCGTTTCTTTATTTCTACATTGCTTAGAAAGTTTTCTTCACCAGTTTGTCATAAACTAAGCTGTAGAAATTTATAATATTTTTAGGTGCGTTTTATTTGCAAAAATATTTCATCTAATTTGTTGTTTTTACGTTTTCAATTTTTTTGTGTCGATTCACCATAACCTTATGCATATATTCGTTCATTACTTTTTTTTTCTTGTTTCCATGTCCAACGTTGTTTGACTTTAAGAACATCATAGGTGTTAGGTACCATCGACAATGAAAATGTGACATAAATCACCCATCAAAAAGTTTCCGGCTAAGTGAACGATGTTACTGTGTTATCAATGGCAACAAGCTCAAAGTCGATGATATTAGCGAATTTGAAAGGATTGTGATGATAACTTCTAATGGTTACTAATGATCAGAATGTAAAGAAAAAAAAAATCTATAAAATTAATCAAACATACATTTGTATCCCGAGTTCGCAAAAACAACTCCAGTTTATGTGATTTGCCATAAGATTTTAACACACAAACATTTTTAAAGAATATTAAACATGTTATAATTACCATGAGGTACTTATTACGTAACACAAGCGTTATGACGACTTTTACTTTTGCTAGAATAAAACTTTCCAGTTCCTTTAAAAAACAAAACAGTTTCAAGTCTGAGGATTTTGGATACTTGATTTAATTGAAATGCATGAAGTATTTTACGATCAAACTTACGAAAATCAAAAGAAAGAGTACTTGATAATGCTTGTTCTCTTAAGGCATTTTCTTGAGAATCAAGTTAAGTTAAGGAAAGTACATAAATATTCTAAACAAAACATTAATATGGAGATTAAGTCTTTGCTTATAAAAAAAACATTGATATATATATATGGTAGAGCTACATTCATCGGTAAGATTTAAAATGAGGAAATCAACATCTGTTTTGATGGCTACATTACTCAAAATAAGAAGCCACTTCATATTTCAGTAAATTCACTTCTTCCTTTCATCTTAATACTTGGTCTATATTTTCAACAACATTTCCATAAATTCAATGACTTATTTCTTTCATTTTCTCAATGAATTGGGAAGGTTTTCAGAATGGCCATGTGTACAAGCATGCATCATGTGTATAGCCCTAATCAAAACTACATGGTCATCAAAGCACAACATGTCTTCTTAAAAGCTATGTACTTGAAACTTAGGTTTTGTCAACTTTGACATGAACAACGTTGTGTCACTCAACAGTTTCTGATCGAATTTGTGGCTTCATTATCATCGTAAGATGACAGTATTACGTGTGAAGCTTGTTTTACCCTTGTCTCTAATGTTCCTGTGTGAAACCTAATCAGAACTCAGCACGATGCCCTTACTTGCTCTACGGGAATCTGTTGAATATTACTTGTTTGAAACACAGTTCTTGGTTCTCTCAATTCGACATTTAACGTTGCACGTTTCAACGTTGGACCTCACAAGTGTTCCACTTTATCACGTATATATAACATATACACACACACACACATCCCCTTCGCGTAAAATTACTCCTTTCTCCTCTAGGTTTGAGTGGGAAAATGCTTAAAATTTTGTATTTAATTATTTTTTGTATTTCACAGGTTATGTAACTAAAGATCATGCCTGAGATTTTTATTTTCAATTGCTTAATAATATTAATATAACATTAACACTGAAACTCTCCTTAGCAACGTAAACATTAGGATAATGTTATGTAGTTGACAACACATTTTTCAATTACACCAAACACTTTTTTTTTCAACGGAAAACAAAAGTCCTTATTGATTCTATATCGTTTTATTTTTTATGTTATGGCCTCGTAAAGTATAGTTTAGTTTCAACAATTTCAGAAGGCTTAAAATTTTAATATCCCATGGTTTATTTTAAATATTATTATTTAAATCGTTTTCATTTTCTTTTATTTTTTTTTCAAAGGTGTTATTGTCTTATTGTTTTGTTTTGACATGGATCTAAGGCCCCACCAACTTTTTTTTTTTTCATTATTATTGCTTTTGTTATCTGTCTTGACCTTTATTGTTGTGCATATACGTATGGTCGTCATGAGCACTCGTGGTCAGTTATTTGCCCCTTAAATCGTCAATTTTTTTTTCATGAATATATTAATAATTTAACACGTGAGAGGCCAAAAAGATAACTTAATATTGTTCAAATAATTTCTACAAATATTTTTTAAACGACTATTAATAGTTTATTTATCAAACTACCTATAAATCATTTTAAAACAAGTTTTTTTTTTTATTTTAAATCTGTTATCAAAATATTTTCTAAAACAAAGAACACACAGAAATTTTTAAAACACCATCTTAAATAGATATAATTAAGATAAAATAATATAGAAAGTAGTAAACAACATTTTTAGACAAGTTTGTCTTATATCATGCCTACGTTCAGTTTATGATACATCAACAAATTCCAACTGTACAAGTTGCAAATATTTTTTCTGCAAACCTTGTCTAACTCAAACTTAGTAACATTTACAATCACAAAAGTAATTTATTAACAAAGTCTTTTTCAGACTTCAACCAAAATCGTACAAAACTTGAATAAATGGTAAAACTAATTTATTGTTATTGTCTTGTCATATAGAATACAATATAAGTTCAAGGATATCCACTTACATAAATTATGGAGAAGATCGTTTAAACAAATTATAGGTCTTTGAAATAGCTAAGAATTTTGAAATAGGTCGATCGCCCATAATTATTTATGGTTAGGTCGTGAAACTAAATAAATAGGTTCATGAGGTTAGTTTTTGGTCTCTCGAAATGGATACAATTTTTTATGATTTTAAAAGTTTTAAAAACTTAATTAAAATTTAAAAATAATTCATAGGCGAGGGACCCAATATTAAAGTTTGTTTTAGTTTAGTAACCTATAAATAGTTTATGGATTTACTTAGTGATTTAACCATTTAGATATTGCTCTTAATTGAATTTTAATGCTAGAATTTTATTCATTGTTCTTCGTTGTTTTTGGGCTTTATAATTGGTTTGGATCAAATGCTTATACTCGTTCTTAGCAACTGAAATTTTCTTTACCAGTTATATATAAGGAGGAAGAAGACACAATCCGGTTCAACGGCCAGCAGATAAATAAATATATCGAAAGTTATTATTGGATGCTTTCATATGGTTTTTTTAGTGCTAGAGATAAATAATCAATAACAAATGTTCATCCTTTACAATGGCAACAATTCGAGATTTTATTTCTTTATTTGAAATGACTGATTCCATTCTACTATGCTGAGACTGTATAGTACCCAGCAAAAAGAAAAGAACAAAAAGGAATTCTTCCAAGCGTAGTTTAAAATTATTATTAGTTCATTTTCTACAATTGAGTCAAACAAATGGACTCCCTCCACCTATGTTAAATATTGTGTACAACTGAGTCAAACAGATAGCCATATCCAATTATGTGTGTATATTTATTTAATTTTGTTTGGGGTTTTTATAAAAACTGATCACAAAAAGTAGTAGCCCCATGAGTAAAATGTTCTTGATGGTATATAATTAGGGCAAAATAATTTAAACCATTGACGAGCATAATGTGTTAATAAAACAAGTTTACGAGACATATTTTTAAGTTAGAATATCTTGGATGGACATGTGGAATAGGTTCACGTCAATAATATAAATGCATGTAAAGCAATAGGGGAAAGCATGTGGTAGAAAGACAGATAGAAGAAAGGTCGTTGAGTTTCGTGCACGGATCTATATTTACAAATAAATTGGAATAACATTACTCTATTTATACATATATTATCACAACCTTCCAAATAAAACACAACCATTTTTATGTACATAGTTTCTGGTATAATAGTATTTAATTAAGAAACGGTTTAATTAATATATAATCTTTGATAAATACTTTAAAAACATGTAACTTGTGATAGAGAATTATGAACAAATCTGCGATGAGAAATAGGATGAGAGAATAGGCGATGCTGGCTGGCTTTCAGGTTTGAATTAATTAATGAATTTAAAATTCAACAACCATCAATGAGATTTGTCGTGGTCCATGGAATAAAATAAAATAAAAAATATTATTCCAAAGAGAGAAGAAACGTGGTATTTAAAGGGAGGGTGTGTAGGGTGTTGTGAACCTGAGAAGTGAAGCTATGCTTCCTTGTTCTGAGGTAGAGAACCTTCTGGATCTCTCTTCATCCACCATTTGAAGGAGCTTTGTTTATGTGAAGATGGGAAGAGCTCCTTGTTGCTCCAAAGTTGGTTTGCACAGAGGTCCATGGACTCCTCGAGAAGATGCATTGCTCACTAAGTATATTCAAGCTCATGGCGAAGGCCAATGGAGATCACTGCCAAAAAGAGCTGGTAACATTTCCTCATCATCTTCGATCTCTCATGCCATCTTCTTCATTTCTTCATCACTTCCACATGTTATTCTCAAATCAACATATTCATAGTTCTTCCTCGGATCTTTGTTTTTACTTTCTGTTTTTGAGGATATGCAGATGACATGTTTCGTTCTTTGTTGCACCATTACGTCTCATGACTATCTTATTTTATTCATTTTTGTTTTCTAAGATTATACTTTATACCTTAATAATATACACATCGAATATAAAAGTTTTTTTATATTATTATCTAATCATATTGTCATTAAGTAAAAGTAAATAAAAATGATCTCATATTTTTCCTTCTTTTCAACATGAGTGTCAAAACTATTCGTGTGGACAAGGTGTGGCATCATAGCTGTCAAAAAATATACTTTCTGGGTAAAATTTTAATTAAAGTTGTCCCCCACCTTCAATCATATGAGTTAATTAAGTTAGCTTTATTTTGCCATAAATATGAACATGGTAAGTTTGTGATAACTACAGTGTGTCTTCATTTCTTCTTTGAGTTAGATAGAATAATGATGGTTGGTGGTTGATGCAGGTCTTCTTAGATGCGGAAAAAGTTGCAGACTGAGATGGATGAACTATCTGAGACCAGATATAAAGAGAGGAAACATAACTCCAGAAGAAGACGATCTCATAATTAGAATGCATTCACTTTTAGGAAATCGATGGTCCCTCATTGCAGGAAGACTACCAGGAAGAACAGATAACGAGATAAAGAATTACTGGAATACCCATCTCAGTAAGAAGCTGAGAAATCAGGGAACAGATCCAAAGACACACCACAAGTTAACCGCAGCACCAGAGAAGAAAAAGGGCAAAAAGAAGAACAAGCAAAAGAATGAGAATAAGAAAGTGTTGACGCCAGAGAAAACCTTAGTTTATCTACCAAAAGCCATAAGGGTTAAGGCTTTGTCATGTCTACCCCGTACGGAGAGCACCTTCACCCTGGATTCGAATTCAGGTAGTGCATCAACGAGCCAAGAGAAAATTCAAAGCCCAGGAGAAGAAGCAAAAGAGGTAAACATGGTTTGGGGTGTTGGCAACGATGGAGACAATGGTGGTGGGGTTGGAATATTCTTTGGTGAAGAGCATGACCTAGTCAACAGCTCCTCGTACGTGGAATGCCATTCTGATGATGTTCACACTGATCATGGTACGCTAGAAAAGCTCTATGAAGAGTACTTGCAGCTCTTGAAGGATGAAGAGAAACCTGCAGACGAATTAGATTCTTTTGCTCAATCTTTATTGGTGTAGATGTACAAATAATGCTAAAATATATGTTTGGAGCTAATAAAATAAAGTTTGCATGTGAGCATTGTCTTCAATTATGGAAAATATTATTTAATTAAATTCTAGTTTTTCATTTATTGATGAAACTATACAATTACATCCTTATTTTGAATATTGGCTCGATCACTACGTACTCTTATGAGGGAGTTAGGTTCAATAATGTGATATAATTTCAAATTGTGAACAAAGATATCTTAGCATGTTAGAAAGTGAGATGAAGTTTCACGAAAGTGAGATGTTTGAACCTTAGCTTCTCACGTGCTTACCTTCTAGCTCGTCATTGTTGGAATTTAGTGATGCACAACACCGCCGTGTTCACCATATTTATATTTAACTCTTACTTACTCTTACTCGTATGCATGTAAATTTACAATATTCAATACTCTTTTAAAATGCTTGTGTTTGTTTTAAAGTGCATACTAATTTGCATGCATGTAGTAAAAAACTGCAACTAGTTTGTGTATAAACTAAAAAACTACGTTCATATTATAATTAAAATTCATGGATTAATCCTATTATAAACCTTAAAATAAATTTTAATGCTATATTAAAAATAGATTAATATTTAATTTATTTTTACAAAATCAATTTATAAAAAAAATATTACACTTTAATTATATCTCTTATCTCGTAACATAATACAAATTCGATTAAATATCATAATAAATTCTCGTATTCTATTTTCAACTTACTTACAACACGTTTGGCCTAAAGTCGCCGAAATTTATGCAAGAGGAAGTGATAGTTTAATGGATGCGTGTCAGAAAAGTTGACCGAATTAGTAATTTTTTTATGTGATATATATAATTCCTGGAAGAGCCACCTGCTATTGATATCAAAATCATGAATTTTATTTTATTTTTTTCGATTACGATATGCGAATATTAAAATGGTATTATTTTCTTAATAAAAGGACAAAAATTAGAAATAATGAATTGACGTAATAATGGTTATTATATGATAAAAAATGTATTTTTTCAATAATTATATGGTGACACCTAGAAATAGGATCTTAATTGGCCCTACTCTATTTGATAATTTGTCAATCAATAAAGATATCAACCAAAGAAAAGGTTTGGCACGAATTAATTCCGAACTCGGATTCTTATGACTGTCTTATACATTTCTTTCTTCATCTAATTTTAGTACAATTAATTTTGAGATTTTTTTTTTCAATTAATTGGTCTTTAAAAATGTGATTTATATCTATATAAAAAAAAAAGTTCATGAGAATTAATTTTTCTTTCGAACATTGTAAATGATGGTTTGTGGTAAATTAAAGAAATTATTTAACTAAATTAATACTATAAAAAAAAACTATTGTTGGAGTACATATGAAAGGTGAAATTGTTTGTGAAAACACAATTATTTGTATGAACAGCTATTGCTTAAATTTTTATAGGTTACGAGAGATGGAGGGAAAAAAAATACTTCAAATAATAATATGTATGTTAAGTGTAGAATTCATAAAATTAAATTAACACTGGCGTTAGAATTTTGGTATTGAAGTAAAATTGGTATAAAAATGCTTACATTGATGCAACATGGTATAAAATTAAGATAAATAACTCATTTAAGCGATGATAGTAGATGTATATGCGAACTAATATTACTTTGAATTTAAAATGTACATATGAGTATGTTTTGTGTCAAAACATACCTAGAAGGTTGTTTTATCTTTTCTAAACATTAACAACGTGTCCCTCATTTGATGTCCCAAGTCAAAATCCTACTTATTCAATATAAAGCATGTGATTTTGGATGGTTAATTAGTCAATATCAAAGATTGATGAGAATGAGATGGAAGAAGAAAGGGTCAGCATGCTTGTAACATTCCATTGAAAATTGTAACATTCCATTTGGAAGTCAAGATATTTTGGTGCCAAAAGCATTGAACTACAATCAAACCATTTCTTTTTCTATTTTGGATTGGAACCATTTATTAGACCACTGCCACAAATTTATGCAGATGACATCTTCTGGATATAATTCTGTCACTGATCACTTTACCCATCACAACACTGGTTTCTAGAGAATATAGTTTTTTTCATCGCTATTGTCATAAATTGTGTTTCTTTTTGTGAAAATAGTGGCAGCTACATTGTCTATTTTGGCCGCGACGATTATTTTTCTCTTAGTGACAATCAAATAATCAGTAAGTGAGTATTTGAATTTTAATGTTGTTCTTGTTTTGGGACGATTTGGTCATTCCAAGGGAAAGTTTTTTCTTAGTGATAGTGTAATCATGGATAAATTAACCGACCCTATTAAACCAATATCAAAGCTTGTGTTATCAAGATATGAGGATAAGATTCCAGAAAAATATAACTCATTCTTAAGAGAGCAAAGTAACCTCACTGTTCACTCATGGACTCCTACGCAATTGGGCTTGATAAAACTTGCCCAATCCTAAGCCCAAGAAAGATACGAGTCCAAAATTCAAAGTTGAAATAAAGTCCAAACTCACCTAATTCAAACGACGAAAATTACGAAGATAAAGATATATATATATATATATATATATATATATATATATATATATATATATATATATATATATATATATATGTGTGTGTCTCGATGGAATTTCGATCGATTTCGATTCTAAAGGTCCTAATCAAAATTCTACCATGTAAGTTCTTTTACTTAGAGCTATCAATTTGACTTTCAATCGAAGACGTGTATAAGAATCGGACAGGATATCGAAAGTGCTATTTTTTAGTATTTTATATTTAAAATACCGAAAGCAGTAAAAGTATCGAATCGAGAAATGGAATATTAAATTACGAGGAAATGTAAAGTACGAAAACCCCAAAATTGCATTAATTGTAAATGACAAGAAATCGAAAACAACGCAAAAATGACAAAAAATCGAGATTGCAAGAAAAGTAACTGACAGGAAATCGAGATTTGCAGAATGTTATATGACGAGGAAACTTAAATGCGAGAACATTAAACTTTCATTGAATTGAAATGATAAGGAATCGAAAGTACTGAAACGTAAAACCGCTGAAATTAAGTTGCATCAAAGTAAATTACCAGGAAAAATACAGAAAGCGGTAAATGTATTCAGTGAGCAAGGAAATCCAGATTGCCAGAAGCTTCATGGTGTTCGTCGTTTCTCCGGTAGACTTTTCACTACTGATTCTGTTTTCTGCCAATTTCCTCCCCCCCTCCCTCTTTTCCTTCCTCCTTTGCTCTATTTATAGGGCATTGTTCAAACCCTCCAAGAGCAGTTAACACGACTGCTACCACGTTCTACGTGCGTATGGCAGTTTATCTTCTATAGTTTCTCACGTTCTCACTATCTTCGACTTTTTTCCATGGTTTCGAAACCGCTCTCTATACGTGCATTTGACTTACTTCCTTTCACGATTTGGCCAAGGTCTCGATGTCCACATTGACTTTCTTCACTCTTGATTTTGTGTTTTCGAGAACTTCAAATTGCTTACGATTCTTTTTTAACCTTGGTCTCATATGACTTAGTTTTTATTCGATAACAGACATTTGGTTATCATTCACTCGATTCTCGATTGTGCTTCTCGTAGCTACATATTTCTAATTAGACATTGAATGAATTTTTATTTATCTTATCGAGTCACATATTTTTTCTTCATTTTCGATCGCTTTTATCGATTTGGCATTACCAATATGTTTGGTAATTTGTGACAGGTTTTCCTTTGACAGATATTTCTTAATTTTCGATTCGGATTCCCCGAACAAACCCTCCAAATTAATTATTATTATTATTATTATTATTTTTGGTCAATGCCCTTCATATTCGTCCATAGTATATAACAGCAAAGACTGGCAACAGTGGCACCGACAAGAAATATTTTATTAATTCCACTTTATTTGGAACCTTTTTCTTTCACATATATTTTGCAGTTGCAGTGGAATGCAGTCAAAGTCTGTGTGATGAACACGTAAGATAGGTACAATAAAACGCAACCTGTCAACCAAAGCTAGCTAACGTTTTGTTTTTTATTTTCAGTTTTCAAGGAAAGAAGCCAGTGAAAGGAACATTAAGGAAATTAACATGTTCTTTCGCAGTATGCATGTTAAGTCATTTTACACTTCTTTGAATTCGCTCCTATTTATTTGACGTATGGTATGTATGTCCAAAATTCAAAAGATTCCGAGTACGTTATGCAATATTTATATGTTTCTGAAACCATCAAATGACGCTACTATAATTTGTATCCACTGTTATAAGTACTATCAATAATCTTAAATAAAATATACATTTTATTTACTCAATTATTCATTACAACTTCTTGCTTTGTCAAAAATTTTCGTAAAAACATATTATATCAATTTCATTACTGTTACTATTTAAAAGTTTTCCACAAATAACCAATTTTTTCTTTAGTTTTTTTAATTTCTTATAATCTTAATATTTCTTTATATTCACGATTAATATTAGGTTAGGGTTTTCGTTCACGATGTTCAATTGTTAATATTCGTAAAGTTACACACCTCCGAACTCATAAGTTGAATACTTCGTTAGAACCCGATCTATGAGATTGTTCACGTTACCAAATTATTTATTTGGAGAGTACCATTACTAATATAAAATTTTGTGAAAATCATATTCACAACAAATACATATTTCAAATAAAGTTGTTTATGATAATAACTAAATCTATACCAATATCATTTTATTTCTCATTATTTTTATATATATTGTGTCAAAATAAAATAAATATCTAACTATTAATTATTTTCATGGATAATTACGAACAGAAAGAAATTTTAAATATATATTTTTTAATTATCAATAAAAAATTATGACTATAGAGCCAGTGAAAAAAAAATTCAATTGTCACTAAATTTAATTAATAATATTCTTTTAGTGTCTCTATAAACATGTTATTTTTCCTGTATATATGTAATATTTAGCACTATTTATTAGCCACTAATTTTGAGTTTTTTTAGTGTAAAACAGTAACATTGAACTTTATAATTTAACTTTTCTATACAAAACATTCAAACTTCTGACGGTGGATCCTAATGTATTTCTCATTTTGAATATTTAGTATCTTTCGGATGATTTTAAAAGATGAACTGATGAAGATTTAAATATTCTTATCATTAGCTTTAAAATTTTGTACGATTATTTGATTGTATATTTTGGTCCTGAGCATATATTCTGCAATATTAAAAAGTATTAGTTACAAATAAAACAATAAATGATAATTACAAAAATTTAAATGATTGAAATTTTATTTAATCTAGATATTTAATACCAAAAATTTAACCGAGAAATCAAACTCGTAATGAACCCATAGAAGCAAGCAAAAAAGTTCTTTCAGAAGGAGGAATAAAAGGAAAAGAAAAGAAAAAATATAATAAAAATAAAATAAAAAAATGATGTTAGCTCTTTCCAATTTTTTCGGAATTGGGTCTAGCCACGTGGGAGTGTTTGTATTAATTTTCTGAATCAGTGCTTGTTCTTATTTCCAATTGTCTAAAGTGGGGAAAACCTGATTGAATTACCGTGTGTTAGGTCCACTGTCCCAACAGTGAGACATACAAAAGTCGCATAATGTTTCAAGTTCTTGTTTCTATGTATATTTTTAAGATTACCGTAATCCAAAATTTGTCTCTTGTGGCCACTTCTGCATCTTCCTCGCACTTAACCTTTGAAAAAGTAGCACTCACGAACACGAAGCTTTTCTGCTTTTCCTATTATGACAAATTTTCCATCTTCTATATATACCCTTGGTTATACTGAACTGAGACTCTAGCAACACTTTTTTGCATATCTGAAGATGGGTTTTCATGCTGATGAGGCAACGGCGAGTATGCAACATCAACCATGCGCAGCTTGCAGGATGTTACGCCGCAGATGTGACAGTAAGTGCGTACTTGCTCCATATTTCCCAACCGATGAGGTTGAGAATTTTGCTGCAGTGCATAGAGTGTTCGGTGCCAGCAACGTTATCAAAATGATTCAGGTTTGATATACATGATCATGCACCCACTTTGGTCGTAACAAAAGTTTTATCTGACTTTATATCAGATATTTTACTTAAAATCATCCATATTAGTCTTATTAGACGGCTTTTTGTCCAATGTTTACTATTTGTCGTGATTGCATAACTGATAAATCTAAACCGAATGATAAATACTTGTAAAATCTTCTGGCATGGTTACACCAATGAATGGTAAATATATGCATTCTTCTTACTCATGAAACATGATGAAAGAGACAAAGTTTCTTAAATATGAGCGTATTGTTTTGTTTGTTGTAGATGGTTGAGGACACAAAGAGAGAGGATGCGGTTAAATCCATGGTGTACGAGGCCAAAGCAAGGCTTAGAGACCCAGTCTATGGGAGTGCTGGAGCAATTTATAAGTTACAAAAGATGATTGAGGAACTGAAGGCACAGCTGGATTCGATCAAAACAAGGGTGTCAGAGATGGGTGAACAAAAGGAGAAGCTGCTGAGTGTTGGTAACAACAAAGGTCCTCTATTTGGCGCCAATGACCCTATGTTCCATGGTTATGGTACTTTGTGGGAAGATTTTGATTCTTCTATGGTCTCAGATCCATTTGAATTTCCTGTAGAAGGTGGCTGGTTATACAGCAATATGTCAACATCTTCTGTTACAACACTGCCTAGATCTTAGTTCAAGATATTGTACACGTGTGTATGTGTAGATGTTTTAACAAAAATTTACTTTGTAAACTATCATAATTAATTATTGAATATTGACAAAAGACATGTTTTAATAAAAAAAAATCATAATATTCAGTATATTCATTATTGACCATTAATATTAATCCTTGTGATTATACATGGCGTCATTTTTGTTTTGGGTGGCCAAAGGCATAATTTGGTTCTTCATAAACAGAACAAAAATATAATAAATAAAAAAGGAAAATATAAATTATTAGAATCAATGCGTTGTGTATGAATCTTGCCATCTTTTCCCTCTCAGAAAAAAAGAAAGAAAGAATCGTCTGAGAAGGTGAAACTTAACGTGGATCGCAATTACTGTTATTCATTGTCAACCCTAAAACTAAGCGCAAGCACATGGTTTTTCTCATCAACTTTCTTCAAATAAACCCACCCAATTAATGCAATTTTTCTAAACTTAGACCACAAAAGTTAGCATTTATAACTTTTATACCAAATTAATTAATTAATAATTAATTTTTATGACAGGCCAAAATGGTGTCTGGGAAGACCCACAGGATTGGGATTTTCCTATGTGGTTGTGCACCTTCATCAAAAATAAGAAAAGAAAAATGAGAGTGAAAGCTCAATCTTGTAATATAAGAAAGATAAGAGTGCTTACCTGCTTCTCATCATATGATGGCAGGAAGAGAAGCAATCAGCCTCTGATTTTCAATCCACTGCCACGTGTCATTATCAAAAGCGTTCATTAAAACCTCTTTTGATTGATTTCCAGTGGGACCCACCAAACCGAAGCACGAACCAACCATTTGACAGAGACTGCATGATAAAAGAGATAATGCCGAAAACGGCGTCGCTGCGGTCCTAAACTTGGGTTGTCGTGTCCATGACGGAGCAGAAAAAGGGTGTGCGAGAAAACCGACAGCATAGCGTAGTAGAATGATAACGAAAACGAAAATACAAACAGCGTCATCACCTCCTTCTTTTTCTTCATCTTCTTCACTCCTTGACTCTATTGGATCCATCCATTCCTTCATTCACCTTCATCCTGATCTGCCGCTTTATTACTTGGTTCGTTCACTCAATCCTTCTATCTTTTCTCCGTTTTCGTCTCAATTTGTTCTTATGTTTGCCTATTTTGCGTGATTAGTCCCGTGTTATGGTCTTTGTTTTGTTACATGTGTGTCAGCGATTGTTTTAGCAATTGTCGTGTTTTGGGCGGTTCGAATTTATGGAGTTTGCATTTATTTTCTGCAACTGCTTCAGATTTCATTTAGGTATTGACTGATTATTTGCTTGTTGGGTTTGACCATTTTGATCGGTTTTGGTAAGTTTTTAACTTGAGGCCGGGAGAGGCACTACCGTGAAAGAGGGTTTTCAGTTTCTGTATTATTATCGGTTCCCTGCCCTTGTAACTATTTATATGATTTGGTGAGTGTATGTGAAACCCAAAACTCTGTAACGGGTTTTGTGAAAATTCATGTTGAGGCCTCCCTCTTTTATACAGGGCACGTTTGCATTGTCAGTTCAAAAGGTGGTATCCATCCTTTTTTCAGGTTTTTTAGTCATTTGCATCATATGTTTGGTGGTTTACATACACATACACTTTAAGCATGTTCCATCCATAATATCTGCCTACTGTCGCATAAATATTTGAGTTTTGTTGTGGTATTCCCTTAAGGGATAGATTCAAAGAGCACGAGAACAACTACAACAAACAAGTGTTTTCAGTTTTCCCACTAGGTGATTTTCAAACAGTAAAAAAATCTTAAATATTTATGTATCTTTCCCTGAAGAGAGAAGGATCAAATTTTTTTTTTCTTGCAAAAAAAGCCTTGCTGCTTACCATGGTTAAACAACATCAATATACTGTGGATTTTTCGGAGTCTGTGTATGGTTGAATAAGTGGGAAATGGAAATGTATTTGTTTATGACAAAGACGGTATTTGATAGATGAAGGTATATTCCAACATGGCCTTAGTTACAATCAAGGACAAACGCAGAAACAAGTTAGGAAAGGAGTCAATATTGAACAAACTTTAACATATATAATTATATTTGTAAATATTTAGATTATAACTTTTTTATAAATTGAGTGGGTGGGGTTGTTTGCCTCACCTCGCCTCGGAACTCATAAGCTTTGAGCATGGTGCTAAATCACCAAAGTGTTCGGACTTCTTATCTGCCACTGTACGAATTCCTTCTTGCATGCCTTTTACTAAAACTTAATATCCTTTTTTTTTCTCTTTTTGGATAGTGTAAATGTGGTATAAGTAGATTCAGACTTTTTAACCACTACAATTTATTTTGTTCAGTAAGTATGAAGAAAGAATAGATAAGTGATGGCAGGAGCAGAAGCAAGGGCTCTGTGGCAAAGAACTGCCAATCGTTGCTTTGTCCAAGAAGATGCAAAAAGAGCTCCCAAGTTGGCTTGTTGCCAATCTTCATGTGCAACATCCAAATCGGTTGATACTGGGCCTGCCAGTGCAGCAGATGAATCTGATCATACTGCAGTTAATGTCACCCATTTTCACAGGAAATCATCAGTTTCCAATCTATCACCGGACTCTAGGTGGTGGTTGTATTTGCAGCCTAATTATGGGTATCAAAAGGGTTTAACATATGAACAGTTAAATGCATTAGAGGAAGAGGTAGAAACTTTGATAGCAAGTGATGTAAGTAAGAAATCTCAAGAATTTCAACAATTAATGGATGTGATGGAAAAACATGAGACAGTGGACATTGATTGTGTTGGCTGCTCAGAATCCCCCAAGAAAACTAATGAATTTTCATTGAAATCAGATTATTCTTGGATTGAAAGTGATAAAGCCGAACCATGGTGGCGAACTACAGATAGAGATGAATTAGCTTCATTTGTTTCACAGAAATCACTCAACCACATTGAAAATTGTGATCTTCCCCCACCACAGAAGAAGCATATTAGAGGATACCCATGTGTTCGCATGAATAATTACAAAATAAAGACGGGAAGTTTAGATTCAGGATTGATGCATAAGAATCAGGGGCCTTCTGCCTGTGAAGGCCTTTTATATTTTGCTTCTGACAAATGTTCAAGGTATTTTATATGACTGCATTAATAACGGAATGATATATTCTACCTTACATTTTATTTTTCTTTTATTCAAGAGAAGTCATGCTCATGTGGAGCTATTGATTTGCATAATATTTGTTTGGCGTTGCATTGCAGTGATAACCCCAAGCATGAGGATGCCAAAAATAGTCAACAAATTTTCGATGAAGACCCCAGCAAAGCTCAACTATTGGAAGCATTGTGTCACTCTCAAACACGGGCTAGGGAAGCAGAGGAAGCAGCAAAGAAAGCCTACGCAGAGAAAGAGCATATTGTTACTCTCATTTTTAAACAAGCTTCACAACTTTTTGCCTATAAGCAATGGTTACAACTGCTGCAGCTGGAAACTCTTTGCAGTCAGATTAAGAGCAAGGATCAGCCAATCGCCACTCTTTTTCCAGTGGCTCTTCCATGGATGTCCTATGAAGGTAGAGTCTCAAGGAAGAGGAAACAAAAAATATCCAAAGGTAAACAAGAAAGGAAAGTCAATGCAAAATGTGATATTACAACATATGCTGTTGCCTTTGCTTTAGGATTGAGTCTTGTGGGAGCTGGCTTGCTTTTGGGATGGACAATGGGTTGGATGTTACCTCGTTCATAGTTCTTTAAGATTTGGATGGTAGTCCTGCTTGTCATATGGATTGATATACACAAAGGGAATTGGTTGACAAAGGAAATTGCAACAATTATTTTATCGGATTTGTGTGTAGTTTTGTAGATTTATTAGTGCTTCTTCCATTGTAAATTCCAAGTTGGGCTTTTGTCTATTGAATCTGTTTTGTTAATGAGATGATGTACATAAATCTTTGTGTAGATAACGTGAAACATTTTCTTTAAATAACTCCCTCCCTGGAGGTAGATTCCAAACTACTAACTGCCAAAATCTTTATGAGTGACCAACTACTCTAATAAACATGTTGGGGATGACTCTTTGTTGAGGAGAAAGGTTAGCGTCTTGAAGGACACTATTATAGTAGTTGAGTTTGTTGTATCATCTAATTTATATAAGCCATATTTTTGTTTTTACGCACTTATTCTTATTTTCATGGATCGTACCTAAATTAAACTAACATATTCTGACCAAGTCTAGTCAATAATGGACAATTCCAACAATTTTATTACTTTAGATTTACATACAATAGTAACTACATTTTTTTATCAATATTAATTTAGTTTTTTTTTTCTCGTTTTCATTATGTATAATTCATTAATTGAGCTTGTGGATCCATTAGACTTGAATAAGATTGTATTAGTGAAAAAATACGTGTAGTTTTATCAGGAGAAAAAAAAACTAATCTTTTTCAAGTTTTTAAGCTAATCCAACATTTAAAAAAAATAGTTGTTTTGGTTCTGTAGTTCCATTCATGACTATTTTCTACTCAATTTATTTGAATTAAATCGATTAAATTATTATTAAAAAGTTACTAAACAAAACATCAAATTTCATGAAATATGAGAACATCTCAAACTTTATTGTCTTTAGATATTCATAAATTTTATGATTGTTGAAGTTTTATTTTATTTTTTTATCACGAACATTGTAAACACTCAAATATATGAAAAAAAAAATGAGGAGTTTAAGGAAAACAAAAAACAAAGGACTAAAAACGCGACACTTACATAATTTTAAAAACAAATTAACGTAATTGGTTCAGATGATTTGAGGATCATAATATGAAACAATCTAATTTAAAAGGAGAGATATACCAGCAACACACTCCTTTATACATACCATCTATTATTAATTAAAATTTATAATTTATTTTCCTTTACAAAATTTTATAAGTCTTACTAATTATTTAATAATGTTAATTAATTTTGTAATTCTTAACAAATTTTAATAAATAACAGAGTGTGTTAGAAATATGTTGAAGTTAGTGTTACCAATACTCTTTTTAAAAAGTACACCCCTCATTTCTGAAATTTTGATAAAGTATTTATCATTTGGATTCATAAACCTAACATGTTTGACTTAATATTAATTATTTATATTTAATCTGTCAAAAAATTATAATCAGAGACTTTATATACTAGAATACAATACAATACAAAGGTGGGCTCCGTCTGTTGGTTTGGGTCGCCATTGTGGGCTCATTGTATGGCAACCATTAATAGCCCACTAGAGGTCCAATGTATATGTACTATTTAGAAACATAGGTGGGCCCAAGCTGTAGGTCCAGCAATGTAAAATTGAGAAGGAATAAAAATAAAAACAAAAACACAGACCAGAAGAAAGTAGAAGATACAGAATTGGAGCAAAGAAATTGGAAGCGAGAAAGGAAAATCGAAATCGAAAATGGCAGTGATGGAGAAGTTGAAGATGTTCATAGTTCAAGAGCCTGTTGTCGCCGCTTCTTGTCTCATCGCTGGCTTCGGTATTCTCAAAAACCCTAATCTTACCCCCCGCCCCCCTTCGCGAATAATTTGATGTCAAAAACTCCATTAGTGGTTATTGATTTAGCTTTCCATCTGAGATTATTAATGGGATTCATTTCTGTCACATTTGTGAATGCTGCAATTGATTTTCGGTGAATTATAGAAATTTGTAATTTTATTGTTTCAAATGGTTGGATGTAGATTTTAATGTGGATTCCATATTTGTCAGAATACCCTGGACGTTCAGCATGTCCATTGTTAACTAGATGAATGTCATCTACAATTAGCAAATTACTGTGCTCGTGAAATTTCATTTATCGATTTCTTTACTTTTTTTTGTTTGTTTTAGTGTGATTTCAGTGTGTATGTGGATGTCTTTGATGTTTGGTTCACTTCTGCCACTTTTACTGTTCAGAAAATTGAAATGTGGGTTTTGATCCTCCTTTAATCCATCTAATTCAAATTAGCACGTACCACTTGGAACACAATCATTAAAATAACTCTTCTCGTTCTGGCCTGAAATTTGCTTGATTATTCTATGCTTTCATTTGATAAGACTACCTGAAGCTTGGCATGCATCATTTGCATCACAACGAATAAATTGTTCTAGCCTGAAGCTTTTGCACCCAACTGTCTGAATCTTCTTCTCTGCTTTTGTTTAATAAAACTGCATGACGGAAGGGAGTCGATTCAAATTTTCTCTTTAAAATACCTTTTATAAAATTAGGGCTGAAAATAAAAGCATAAATTTTTTTATTTTTTATTTTTTGGTTCTTGGTTCCTTTCTCTTAGCTCCCCATTTTGTGTGTCAAGAAGGGAAGAGTGCTAGTAAAAGTTCTGCTTCTGGTTTTAAATTTTCTTTTGATTACTTAGTGTTGTCTGTAACCAGTGTATGCTGTGGAACGAGCATACTCAAAATTAGATTTTAATTTTAAATTGAACATATCTTGATTAATCACTTATCATGCTGCGTAATCCCCCTCAGGCCTATTTCTTCCAGCTGTTGTGAGGCCCATGTTGGATTCCTATCAGGCAACCAAGCAACCTCCTCAACCTGCTTTAAGTGATGTGAGTATTGCTTTAGACACTAACTTCGTAATACTGTGTTCAAATCCAAGCAGTTGTATAAATATATATCATTTTTGTTTCATTGCTGATAATAATATTCTTCATACTAAAGGTTTTTTTTTTGGTGCGATGTCCTAAAATAAAACTTAAATGTCCAGACTCCAGGATAAGCTCAACCTCCGTCCCCTTCTTTATGAATAACGTGTAATTAATAAAAGGGTGCTTTGAAACAAACGAGTTTCAGCATCAGAATGTATGAGCTGGGTTTTGAAAATAATCACTCACTTTTATTTCATCCACTCATTCAACACGTGACAAACATTAGTGATTCTTAAGTGCCCTCCTCAGTGGAATAAAACCGGCCGTTAGTAGCATGAATTGCTTGTGTTGAAGGGTTATTAGAGCATTTCTGAAATCCCTTGTGAAATTAAAGAGTGAACCCAAAATGAGTTAAGCAATCCAACCATTGTTGCTCGTTAGAGATGCTCTGTGTGCTTTCTTCCACCCACAATACTACATTAATGGTTTCCTGTATTGGTGTCTTGTTAATCGCAGGTGGTTGCAGGTTTGACGGGTAAAAAGTAAATTTGGTAATTTGTTTGAACTTATTTTAATTCTCAATGTGAGTGAAATAAGAGTACGGAATATTGAATTAGCTTCCCTGCCTGACGATCTCTATCTGTTCCGGAATCATTCAGTGGTTCCATTTCATATTATTTTCAGTTATGAGTCGGGTTGAAATGTCAGTTTTTTGTGCCGCTTGATGAATTCTGCCTGTACTAGAAAATATGATTTCTCAAATGTCTCCATGGATCAATGTGAAGGAATTTTTGAAACGTTATAACATTTTCACGAGGTTAGATGTTTTTCTTGAATACTGAAAATTTAATTAATACCCTACCACCCTAAACAGGGAAAAATATTCAAGCCACGAGCTTGTTAACTAATAATTACAAAAATGTATTATTTCATATTTTATTTCAAGATAAGATTTTATTGATCATGATGTAAAAATTTAATTTCAATTATTTTTCATTCACAAGATTTCAAATCTTAAAATATAGTCTAGTTTTGTTCGAAATGCGAACTAAGAATATAGTAATAATTAGAATGACACTTTGTCTTTTAATGACATCTAAAATTAAATTTTCTTAGATAAATATGTAATTATAATATCTCTTGCAAATAACTAAATTGATTTACTAGTAATATAATATATATATATATATATATATATATATATATATATAGTTATAGTTATAGAGAAGTAATTTGTTAAATTTCTCATTTTATGATTTTTATTAAAATGATATTTATGTAATATAGACTAGAACACTAACACCATTAGGGTCAAGTGTGAATTTTTTTTTATTGGAGTAAACCCTGACATTGTTAGAAATGAAAAAACTTTTCCGCTCACACGTGAGAATTTGTATTGATAAAAAAACCCAACATGTTACATATTAAAAGAGAGTCTACCACCGACAAGTTATTATAAATTTTTTTTTCCTATTTGCATGTTTCTAAATTTGCGATGATGGAAAATATAGATTTTGAACTTTTATTGGGTGTGAAGTAAAGAGGAAATAAAATGAAAAAGGTTAAAAAATATTTAAATGAATGATCTACTTAAACGAGAATAAAAACTAAAGAAAAATATAATTATAGATTTTGATTAAATAAAAATAAAGGACAGAGATAATTCTTATACTAATATTTATTTTTCTTTCATTATTATCTTGAAATTAAATTTATTGTCTTCTTTTGCAAAAATATGGATGAAAACTAAACGTGGCTGTTAAAAATTTTCTTTGTTTTCCTCTTCGACCCAATATATAATTTTTTTCTCTATATTTTTCCAAATAAGCAAACAATCGGCCATATAAAAAATATATATAGAAAACTAAACGTGGCTGTTAAAATTTTCACATAAAAAAAGTTCAACAATATTACGTGACCAAATTTTTTTTATATTTTTGTGACGACCAAATATGTTTTACAGTAGTGAATGTTAAATTCTATAAGGACAAAAACATGAAAGCAAAAACGTAATGAAAGGATAACAAAAGTTGATTAAGTGACTTACAAATATAGACATGCATAAGAAATACTCCTAAACAACCAATACAGAAAGTTGATAGCTTGGTTTTTAACTCTTGTAACCAAAGAAAGGGAAAGACGAAGACATAAAATAAATTTTATAATGAAGAGCATGTGTAAAAAATCTAATTTGTTTATTAAGCCAGTGACCTGACTTAAGGAATCATTGATATTGTACCGACAAAACATGAAGAAACTTGTGAAACGTGATGTGTGTCCAAATCATTTTCCCAGGGCCACAGGTCAAAGATAAGACATAGACTTTGATACCATTCCACCGTGTTGATGATGATAATACCAACTTCAATTTAGAACAATTCTTCTGAACTAATCAAGTAAAGGAAAGTAAATAAATATCATGTACAATTTCCAGGTTACAAGCATGAAGTTTTATAGCACGGCAGCAGAAGAAACAGGTTTTCTCTCTGCAACCCTTCTATAATTAGGATGTCATAGTTTCTCATAAAGTAAAATATGGTACAGATGCATTGGATGTGTAGCTCCTAGATAACTCATTTTTCACCAAACAATGGTGTCCAGAAAACAAAAGTAAGAGGCTAAGGCTTAAGGGCACCACCACTCCCATGTCTCTTCAGTTTTTTCCTCCTCCATGGAACCACCAGCTTCAACCCTTCACAAATACTTGTCTGCAAAAATTTGAGACACTGCAAAATTAGACACCCTTTCCATTTTAAGGATAGATCTCACACAAACACTAACACAAAATAGTTTTGTCACAGCTTCTTAATGCAGGACGCTTCAATTTATACATTTCTATCTTTCAATTTATACTCCACTGAAAATAGCAAGTTTTTCTTGGGTAACTAAAACAACTACATTCAAGTGAAACCCCAAATACATGCTAAGAATAGAAATCCCAAGAAAAGTAGTGTACAAGTACTGTGTGCATGTAGCATCATTTCTCAAACAGAGGTGGAAAAGAAAGAACATTGGATGGAGCTAGGAAGAGTAAAAGCATACCCAGACGCCAGAACGTTTCATGTTTGGGATATGAGTGTCTAGAATGGAAGTGTCAGTGTCCTTGACATCAGTGGAAGAAGAAGGAAACACATGACTGGCCCCAGTGACCTCTCTCTTTTTGAGTTTGAAGGCCTTTTTTTTCCAAGAACCAAACCAGAGAAAGTCCTTGAAGCTCCCACCTTTGGCTAGAACCATGGCCCCAAGCACCTTGCTTTGAGAACCATAGCAGTTGGCACTGGTTCTGAAGGATGGAGAGCGAAACCTGTTGCTGGTGGAGACGTAGGGAGAGGGTATGAGCAACCTTGGAGGGAGTTCCAAGCATTTGGGTAAGAAATCTGTGGGGTTGGAGAAGGGTATGAGGGCACTGCATGGCCTTGGTTTTCCTGGCTCTTGTTCCCAACAAAAAGGGACAGCTGCAGAGGTGTGGAGTGGGGGAGTGGCCATCCCTGATCTCTCTGGGGACTCCATTGGTGGGATGGAGAACAAGGGCAAGTTTCCTATCCTCTTCTGCCGCTCATCCTCTCCCTCAAAATCCATTCTTCACAGCAAAAAAGAACCAAGGAAATACCCTTTAAGTACTACTACTTCTGAGCCCTCTTCTTCACCCAGTTACTTACTTGCACCTACCCTTTCTGCATTTTTTTTATTTTTTTTCTCTCTCCTTTTAATGTTACTTTGTTCCACCCAATGTTCCCACCGCCATTGATATTTTACTTATTTTTTACCAAGTTTCTAATTCAAATCTTATAAATAAAAGTCAAAGCTTCTTAAAAAAAAGGTACCAAATTCATTATTAACCATTAATTTTTATAAGCTATTTTATGCATTTTACATTAATTAAAAGAACACAAAGCAACTCCAAAATATCACATTGTTTATATTAGTCCAATATATCACAGAGAAATCAAATCAAGGTTGAAACATGAATTTCTACAACAAAACTAAAAATAAGATTTTAATTTCCTTATACTTTTAATTTATATAAAAACATGACAGAATTTTAATATCTGATAATTAATATAATATATCTTGTAATAACGATTTGGAAAATGAACATATCATGTGTAGTATTTATCAGTGTACCTCATCATGCGTGTGGACAAAAGTTCTGCAGACACAATGCTATATAATCTGCACATAATTAGCGTAGACTAGTTACGAGTACCAAATTAAAGTTGCCACACTTTTTTATGTGTCTCAATCACTTTCTATTAAAGAAATTCCATTTATAATTTTCTAACTTTTATTCATTTTTTATTGATAATAAAAATATTTTAAAATGTATTATTTGGGAATGACACTAGAGCCTCATGATATTGGTTAGAAATTTGCCACATGGTCAGCTTTTTTATATAAAGGCATGAACATTGCATATAATAATTAGGAACATGAATGAAAATTAAAAAAGAAAAAGTGAACGAAAATAGGTTAAAATTAATGAAGTAATGTTTTACATATATAGGAAAGAAAATGTAGATAAAAAAAATCCCGTTACTTTAATTCTTTTTTTCTCTTTCTTTTCTTTATAGTAAAATGAAATGAAGCAAATAATAGTGACTTAAATCGCTATTAATTATGTACTCTACTGTAACTGTGATTTGAGTGGTAGAAAGTTTATGAATGTGTCTCCCATAGACACACGTGCATGAAAGACCCCTATTTATCATTAAAAAAAATGTTGATGGGTCCATTCTCTATTACAATGCTTTCGGGTGCAAGAATCAGAGTCTCCATTTTCTTCATCTCACCATCTAATTTATCCCATGTTTTAACAATTTATTTTAGCATTAAGTGAGTAATTGATTTTTTTAATTACTTTAATATGTTATGTAACATTATTTTAATCATTCTAAGCTTGAATTCACCCATTGCACCGTTCAAGATCATGTTAAAAATACCAAAGCTTTTGTTTGTAACTTACAAATCTAACTGTTCATGCATAAATGCTTTGTTTATATACTTTATACACTTAATCCATCAAATATTAAAATTAACTCACGACTAAGTTTCATGCAGTAATTTTCAAGAAAGAACACGAAAATCAATTTTTTATTTTTTTTTAAAAATCGAGTTAAGCCAAAAATCATGATTATGTCGACCACCCTCACGACTTGAAAGTCAACAACGATGTAAAGCAGTAACAGACACACGTAATAAGAACAACTTTTTTCTTATAACAATTTTTTTTTATGTTACCTTCAATACCTTTTTAGTTTTAAATTTAAAGCAAAAAAAAATATATTTTACAAAACCATTTTAAATGTTTTAAATCATTTTGACATGTAATAAATAATAGAAAAAGTAAATAAAATAATGATATATATATATATATATGAATTATTCGCTATGTAACGTTTTTCAATATTTGATAGAGAAATGTCCCCACTTTCTTCATTAACTGTAGCAACACTATTTTATTTACCTTTTCACTCCGGGAGAAAATGAACTAAATTTTTGTCACAAGACAAAACAAAATCAATCATGAAATTAGGGTTGTAAGGTTGTGTTTGGTTAGGTTCAAGGTATTCATTCTTATGACTTATGAGCTACAGACTAAGCATGCATGAGACAAACAGGACACAGCACCGACACCTACATATATATATATATATATATATATATATATATATATATATATATATATATATATTTTTTTTTTTTTATGTTGTAATTTGTTTTAAAATAATTATGTTGTATACAGATAAATTAAATATTTTCAATTTATGTAAATTTTTGTTCAAATTTAAACGAAATATATGTCAGTTAGTATATATTGGTGGAGCTTAAAAAATAATACAAATGATTAATATATATATATATATATATATATATATATATATATATATATATATGTAATTTTTTTAGAAGGGAATCATCAAATATATTTTTCTAATTTTAAAAAATTAAAATTTTTGAGAGGCTATGATCATTGGCAGTAAAGAACAAAAATAAATATACATTTTAATATAAGATGATATTTTATTGATAATAAATGAAAACGATGGAACTAGACCATTTTAAATTATAGAATAAAATTCTAAAGTCAAATTCGGTATTTTTAATGGGTTGTTTTGGACATTGGGTCGACACATTCGGCGGGGTTAGGCTTTGAAATAGCAATTCGGGTTGGGTTTAAGTAGGATGGTACTTTGGGCCAAGTTAAAAAAATGGCCCAAATGGGAGGTATCTAATATATATATATATATATATATATATATATATATATATATATATATATATATATATATAAATTTAATCTTCTAAAATAAATAAAAATTTAAAATATATTACTCTTGTTTCTGTAAACTGATTAAATAGAGCTTTATATATTATTTAGTTTTCGTATCTGTAAAATTTTTTTCATTTATTAATATTTTTAATTGTGCATTATATTTCTCTTCATTATTGTCATTTATTGTGTTAATAAAACTCTAATAAGACTAAAAATAATAATTTATAATTTTAAATAATAAAAATAAAGAATCACTTTAAAAATATAAGATTAAAATATATTTTTTAGAAAAAAAATCATAGTCAATCCTAAAATTAAATCAAAGATATCTACATTTAAACGTGTTTTGTATAATTATATTGTAAGGAAAAGTGTTAAGCATAATTGTCATCAACCCTAGAAATGATTCCTGCAATTGTAACTTACATATAGTGGTAGTCATAACTTCTTTTTTCTGCAGAAAATTAATTTATTTCCTTTAACATTGAAACATGAATACAGAATGGGATAACATGAAATGAACAAAGATCACTGCATAAATGTTTAGCACTTCATGTATCTGATGGATTATCACGCCACGTTCAATAAAATTTTCATCTACATTTTGCAAATAATGAACTATAGTTTTACAATCTGATTCCATGATAACAAAGACCAGTTTAACTACCCATTCAAAAGTTGGTACTCATAATTGTTAAAAGCATCTAATAAACACAGGGAAGAGGAATACTGTTACAAAAATAAATATGAATATTTTTTATAAGTTAATTTATCTACAAACTATTTTCATTTTATAAAATTATTTTAAAGGTTAACTATATTTTTTCTCGTTCTAAATTTTATTAAATTTAAATTTAGTTCCTATGTTTTAAAATTTGATTAATTTATTTTCAATTTAATATAGAGAGAGGGAGAATAAATTATTACGTGGTCCTGAATATTTGAGTGCTGCGTATTTAAATTTAAAAGTAAAATAAATAAAAAAATCTGATTATATGTGGTATAAAGAAAAAAAAACATGGAGAAACACCTTAATACTGTGAGTAATAAATTTGAGTAGACGAATAAAAAGATATATAAATAGAGCATTATTTAAGAGATAATAAGATAAAGATAATGGATAGAAAAGGAAAAAGCAAAGTGCAAAGTGTCGTAGTGACCCAATTTTGAAAAGGGAAAAAGAAGGAGAAACCCAAAGGAGATGCATCTAGAGGAAGAGACATTACTGCACTTGAAACCCTTCCTTTGACTATGTCGTTTTCATAAACAATTTTCCCTGTGTTTCGTGGAAAAAATCAAATAAAAATAGAGGAAATGGTTGGAAGCAAGCTTAGCCTCCAATATTTAGACACCTTACCAGGTACACAATGCAACAAACATAATTCTAAATTCGCACAAACATTTATATCTCCTGTCTATTAATGTGTGACATCTGAAAAAGTGACATTCTCCAACGCACATGGAATCAATTTCACGTTACGTATCATTCAATATGCTTTAATTTTATTTAACACCTTTAGAAAAGACGTTCAATCAAAGACAATAACAACTCATAATGGAAAAAAAAAAAAAAAAAAGAAAAATCCTTTTTTTTAAAAAGTTACAAAACATCGCAGAATTATACTAATTTCGAAAACATAACTCCCGCACAAAAATTATGAACCATACAATAATCATACTTTGGTAAGTGTGGATATAGAATATGATGATGATAAGGGTAAAGTTAAGTGTTGGGTGGTTACCCAACACTGAAACATTTAAATGATATGCTAAAAATCATGATAACACAAGAATGGGCATTGTTTTTTTTGTTTGGGTATGAATTGTAACATCACTTGCGAAAAGTGCCAATCTAATAACGTTACCTTGTACCAAATAAAACTCGTGCCATTGTCGTTGGTAATGTCATTTCCCAACAACATTAATTCGATCAGAATATGCCTAACCCATCAAAGGCAAATGGTTGGTTGTTTATGTGTATGTAGATGTAGATGTCACCACCCAAAAACAAGTATTGACAAATATGAAGTTCCTAAATGTAGTTATATGATATTAGTCTCTTACACACAATGTATGTAGTTCACTACTCTACTAGTTTAAAGTCGCATAAAATTAGGCAATCCAAACCATGAAGCACCCTAATCCCCAAACACTTTTCCCCTCCCACACCAAAAAACTAGAAAGGTTAAGCTGTCAAATCGCAAGAGAGTTGCTGAGTTTCCTCCCTAGTCTGTGAATCTTGGCTCAACAAAGTCTCCTCACCCTCTGATGAACATGCAGCATGCTTGCTTTTCAACTTCTTCAC